AAAAAAAAAAAAAAAATGAAAACCTCAAACAATGCTTAATCAAATCGACCAGAATGCTTGCTCAACAAGCCCACCATCAACCACACCGCCTTTTGCCAGTTTTCGACCGCCATTTTCTTCCCCTTCCTCTAAGACTACTACGTAAGGCTACAAATGGATCCACAACACCAATCTGCGCCTCTTCGTCATCCAGATTCATCTTGGACCTCCGGACCCACTAAGCAGACAGTCGCTTTCCCCACCGACAGTTACCGGATATCAATTGTCACGGTCCCAAAATACTGATATAGGCGCCACTCGTCTGCTAGACCTGAGTATTTGTCGGCAACTTGATGCACCCTCAAATGGAGGGTCTTTAAACCCTGACGACAGCTTCCGTACGGCCCTAGCGCTTTATCGAGTTGGTCCAGATACTCCACAATCTGCCATGCCTCTTCGTACAATGCACAAGCCTCAGTCTCAGGCCCGATCATGGTCCATATCTTTTCTGCTTGCGGCACCATTAGTTCCTCGATACACCGGTGCTTATCTTCCGGCACCAAGGGCCTAGACTCGTCAAGGATCCATTGTACGTCGCACATGAGACCCTGAACCATCTCAATAAATGGGCCGTTGTCTACATAAATGATGGTGATTTGTGACGGGCTTCCAGAACGACTCTGGGTTAACTCATTGTTGCCCCGAGTGGTTGTAGTGGGTGGGACCGGACATTGTGAAAGACTGAAGAGCTCAGACGATGTACCTTTCACCGGGCTTGTTGGATTATCTTGTCTCTGGTTGTCCCTGCGTGATGTTAGTCCACACCATCTACTATTCGGTACATTAACATGCATACCAAGTGGCTGTCTCTGGTACGACGGCAAGCTGATGTGGTTGTAAAGCTAGAACGGGCGTAAATTGATAAAAGGGCCCCAGAGCGAACGTGAGCAACGTGTGGATGAACATTGTCGTGTGGTGTGAGGATATCTCCTGTAACGTGAACTGCGATCGTTGGATGAAAGATAGTGCCGCGTGGTTTAATGTCTCTTGTAATGCAAACTTTGTCTGTTGGATGTTGGATGAAAGATGAAAGTTATTGGCGTGGCATTTTCATAGGATATGAAGTCGTACTTTTGGGGCAGCAACCCCCATCTACCAAAAAAAAAAAAAGAAAGAACTAACCCTCTGAGGGTAGAGGAAAGAACCAACCTGCAATATAAGAAATGGAGGCAACCGCAACCTAAGTAGATTTCTTGGCAAACTCGACACGCAAGATGAGGTGGCCCAGCCCATACCCATCCACCTTAGCGCAAGCCATCTGAGCGTCGTCTCTGTCGGCAAAACTCACAAAAGCAAAGCCCTTAGCACGACCAGTCTCGCGGTCCTTGGCAAGGAAGACCCTAGTGACGTGACCGAAACGAGAGAAGATATCCCGCAGGTCTTGCTCCTCAGTGAACTCGCTGACGTTGGTGACGCGCAGCGTAGCAAGGTCATCCCTCTCGTACTTGCCGCCCATCTTCTCGCCCGTAGCGCCGCCGCGGTTGCGCAGATGAGGAGGGACATAGCTGGAGCCGCCGCCGCCGAGAGCACCCGCAGTCTCAGGCTCGTCGAGGTCCGCAGCGCCTGCACCGACCTCGCCCTCTGGCGCCATTGTATCCTTGAAAGGACACTTGGTGGTCCAGTGGTCTCCGCTGCAAATACGACACTTGATTTTCGCATCCTTCAAGTTGGCCTTCTTCTTCTCGTGCTCGCTCTTGTCATCAGCCGACGCCTTCCAGTTGGCCTGAGGACGAAACACGATATTCTCAGCGACTGAAGTGGTGTCAGTCTGCGGGCCCGCAGGCTTGCCCGCTTCTTGGCCGAATTTCGCCCAATGCTTGCGCTCAGCCACTGCGTGGTTGACGACGGTCTTGACAACAGTCTTTTTTATGCGCCGCGTGGTCTTTATCTTTTTGCCATCCTCGCGCATCATGTAGGTGACAATGGTCTCGGTGCCATCTTTGTTCTTGGTGATCTGCGGATGTGTGGGTAGGGCGACGTTCTGCTCATCGTCCTCCTCTTCGGCCCAGTCCGTGCGTCTGCTCGACCATCAGTTCGGTATCTCACGCAGGAACATCGAAGATTCGAGTGTCAAAATCAGTGACAAGCGGAAGATAGCATCCAGCTTACCCGGCGACCTTAGACATCTTTACAGCTTTTGCAGGGCAGGGCGAAGGTAGATAGGTAGTAGGTAGATAGTTGTGTGTGGGGTCGTACGTCACGAAACCGTCTCCGCTTTGTGGCCCAGGCACAGAGGTAGATGGTTGTTGATTGTTGATTGGAGGACAACGTAGCCGCTCGGACCATCCTCGGCTCCTACCCGCTGACTCATGCTCCGGGTTGCGCAAATGCGTCTTTACCACCGACTGCACAGTCAACATCGCTCATGATCAAAAAGGTTGCCAAACAGCTTGATCATCAATGCAACCTTATGACACCGCCCCTGAGTGACACGGTGGAGTCATTTTTCAACAGTATGTTCTCACAATCAAGAATGGTTACAACACTCCGGTCCCTACTAAAGGCATTCATCGGTACATCTGACCACATTTTCTGTGACTGTTTGCAACGTTATAACGAGAAAAACGTTATAACTAGCCAACGCTAAAGAGAGGTCATTGTAAACAGAATAACTCCGAACTTAGTATTATTATTGAGAGACCGCGCGCCAAGTCGCTCATAGTGAAGTTGTAGGTGCCTGGACCAACTTTCTCGGTCTGAGTTGAGCGCGAGGTTTTGTCAGCGGAGGTTTCGGCCTCGCCTTAGCGCTTTCCGAAGCCGAGCATCACCAAGCACCGGCGTGCGACACCATCGAACGTCGTTAAGTGATGAACTGTGACAAGAACGCTTCAAGAGCCATGGAATATAAAATGGGTGCAATCCAGCACCACAGAGGCATCAATCACTGCAACAACTCATTTTCTCGAGAAGGCATCTCTTCAAGAAGCTGAAAATCATCATCAAGCACCATGTCTGTTAAGAACGTCCTCATCACGGGTGCCACTGGCAAGCAAGGCGGTGCTACGATCACTGCTCTTCTGACCACCGGAGCTGACTTCAACATCATCGCCGTCACTCGCAACACGTCCTCCGTCGCAGCCAAGGCTCTCTCTCAATGTTCCGATAAAATAAAGCTCCTTCAGGGAGATCTCGATGAACCCCACGCTTTCGTTGACAGCGCCAAATCCACCTATGGGCCTATCTGGGGCGTCTTCAGCGTCCAGGTATGTTAAGATCTACCTCCACGTGACTTGGAACAGTTGCTAAGTTCACACTCACAGTTGGTGGCCGGCCACAACGCTCCTCCCGGAACTGAAGAGGCTCAGGGAAAAGCTCTTGTTGACGCCTCGCTTGCTGCGGGGGTCAAGCACTTCGTCTACACCTCCGTTGAGCGCGGTGGGTCCGAGGACCCCACCAACATCCCGCACTTTGCCAGCAAGTGCAACATCGAAAAGCACCTCAAGGCCCGCGCGGCTGGCAGTGACATGGCTTGGACCATTCTCCGACCAGTAGCTTTCCTGGACAACTTTGCCGGCGAAATGTTTTCCGTCTTCCCTAGCTTTTGGAAAGCTTCTTTGGGCATGGACAAGCCGCTGCAGGTGATTGCGACGACGGACATCGGGCGTGTCGCTGCTCAGGCATTCCTTCAGCCGGAAAAATATACTGGCAAGGTTATTCCGTTGGCAACCAGCGAGTTGACTCTGGCGGAAGCGGAGGAGGTGTACAAGAAGAAGACGGGTACGGACATGCCGATTGCTCCCGAGGAGGTAGCCAGGGGTATCTTCGCGCAGAGCGACGAAATGCGGCTTATGTTTGGGTGGTTTGTGAGCCATGGATTCAATGTTGATATCGAGTCTGTGAAGAAGGAGTTCCCGGGCACACTGGACTTTGAGGCATGGGTAGAGAAGGAGAGTGGCTTCTAGCTATAAGAGGAGAACGAATGTAAGGATATAAAAACACTTTTCAAGATATGGGAATACAACATATCCAAGGGCATAAAGTAATCGTATGTTTCAATATGTATGTTATCACATAAGGTAAGTAAAGTACCAGGGGCCTTTGGCTATAGCCTCAACTCGAGTAAATGGATGCTTCTTAATACCTGCGCAATGCCTTCTATCATAGCTCCTGAAATACTTACAATACGTGCGCAGCCAGCGAATGGACCGGAAGCAAAACAGGAAGACCCACACTGTAAAACACAAAGAGCAACCTCTCCATCCCCATCCATCGCCATCCATACCCCCTAGGATCAGGATTTGTACTTGACAAGCTCCTTGATGGTCTGATCAAGCTCCTTGTTTCTCGCCATGTGCTCGTCCCAGTTGCGACCCACCTTGTCGAGGACCTTCATGAAGGCTTCGGCGTCTTCGATCTCGCGCGCGTCCATCGCTTCCTCCAGTAGCGAAGCAACATCAAGCTTCTTCTCGTGAGTGTATATCCGCAACATAGCTCTTTTGAAGTCGTACCAACGGTCGAAGATGGAATGAACCTTCTTGACGCGTTTTGTTCCAGACATCAACTTTCGCATCCGATCCTTGTATTTCGCCACTTCAATCTCTTGCTCCATGTGCTCTAGGAACTCGGGCTCGATACCCCACTCCTCATAGCATTCTACGTCACCCGACACGTTCAACGTGCTGATGTGCGCATGGTCCACGTTTCGGATAGTCTCAAAAGGTTCCAGTAGACATTCTGCTTTCGAGAGGTCAGGAGGATCCCCATACTTGAAGATGTATTTCCAATCGACCTCGATATGAAGTACTTTCAGGTCTTTGGCGCACTTGAGATGCCCAACAACCCATCGAATGTTGTCCCTGACAATGTTGTATTCGTTAAATCCAGAAGGATCATAGTACTGCATGCCGTATAGTTCCGAGTTCATGTCCATATCTGTGGATTCCGTAGCGAGAATACTGATTTCGAGGAAGCGCATCTTGGAAAAAAAAGGCTGAAACATCTGTCCGGTACATGAGGTGTCTACGGCAGAACATCGAGTAGTTCCGAATCGTAATCTCATCATCAGTAATGATCAACACCTGCCCCGCCCGAAATTTGTTGGTGTGAGAGCGGGTGGAACTGTAGAGTATGTCTACGGCTTCCTCGTAAATCTCTTTGCAGGTACAAAGCAAGGCGGTGTAACCACGGCATCCGTCCCCAGGATGGAGTGCGTCACTGGACTCAAAGAAGCAAGGCTCGTCAGAGTTACGCTCGCATTTGTTGACTTCTCTGCACGTCATCTTCTCTGGTAGAGCGTACTCGTAGATCTGGATGCGAACTTCGACGGGCAGCTTGAGGAACGAAAAAACCACATCGTGGCTACGAGTCGAACGACGTCCTGTTTTCGGAACTGGCGGGTCGCTTTGAGCTGTCGCTTTGCCTTTGGCGGCATTGGCAGCGCCTCGGGTGGACTTTCGAGCCATGGCGGCTTCGAGTGTTCGTATAGTGGTGGTGGAGAAGAGGTGTAATGAACGAGCTGGTGGCAGCGGAGGAGTTGATGGAGGTGAAAGAGCAAGGAAGGCGCGTCCTTTAAAGGCAACCACCACGTCGCGTCGCGTCGCGTCGCGTCAAGGCGCTGCGGCTGCCAAAGGCGGAAGGAAGTGGTTGGATCCCAAACAAGGAAACCGCCTGACAGGTTGACGAACCAACAGCGAAGTTGAAACAATTGAAAATTAAGTAACTACAACGAGTATATCCGATAATAACAAGCTTCAGTAGCCCTTGGCGCATAATATATCACGCGAACATCACGGCGTTGTCACTTCACCACCAGCTTTCGTGGGCGATGACGTGCGTGCGACGGGCTGCGAATGCCTGCGCTGACAACACCAAATATCCTGTGTCGTGAAAGAAGACGTCGAGTGTGAAGCCTGTTGCGACGCTGCTTAGAACACCAAAGAGAAAAGCGTTATTGCTTATCGTTGGTTGACGGTGGCCTTCGTGCGTGGCGCTGGCAAACATCAACACCAAGCGCGCTGCGCCTGCGCCGGCTAAAGAGAACACAAACCTTTGGATAGGCGTGCGCTGGCTGGCATGCGCTGACTGAAAGAACACAAACCTTTGGCTAGACAGGCGTAGATAGAAGGAAAATGATTGTGCCGTGTCTCAAACCTATTGAGAAGCAGGGCATCGTCACAACCTCACTCGACCTCACTACACCATCGTGACAGACAAAAAAAAAAAAAAAAAAAAAAAAAAAAAAAAAAAAAAAAAAAAAAAAAAAAAATACTAAAAGTCTCGTAGGTTCCATCCGAAGAGGAACTCCCGCGTTGGAATCCGTTTTCAGGACCCCAGGCTTCAAGACTTTTAGTTGCCATAGGCAGCTGGCGGCGAAGCCAACGCTGACCACCTCTGCAGCCACTGAATGTCCAACACTGCCCTGACATGGGTTCGAACGTATGACCAATCAGAAGGGTTAGTTTCTGATAGTTTGGGTTCGAAAATGTCAGAGGTGAAGGACATACACTAGACCAGCCCGACCAGAGGAATTATATTAGTCATTGCGGTCTCGCGCATTATATACCAGACCCTTCCAAGGTCACATCCTCTGTAGAAACTCGTGTTAACTGCACGACGGCAGCTTAACTTACTTGTTTAAGCCCTACTGACGATGAGACCTTGGCGGCGGTGTTTTTCTATGGGTTAGTGTCGTTTTGGTGGCGTTCCTTTACCTACGACGGTTTTCTGCGACCATGAGTGATGAGGCTCAACGCAATGCCTTTTCCACCTACGATATCTCATCGGAAATCGTTGGTAGAACACGCTCACCATGTCAATACTCGTTAACCATAATACCAGGCCTTGGTCAACATCCCACCGCGCTTTCTTCGCATGGCCATGTTCCAAAGAGTCGTACCGGATAACAGAAACATGTCGACAGTCTCAAATGCCACAGTGACCGGGCTGTGAGGGTATTCATAAGAGCAAGGAAAAAGGGAACCTATTCGTGCCGCCAGGTCATGCGATGAGCCGATCGTAAGGCCAGGCGTGCCTTGTGCAGCCAGGAAGGATGGGTCGGCATCGGATAACTACAACGCAGGTCAGCAAAGGTCTTTCTTGCCACAATGCCGCCACCATCTCAGTCGGAAGAAGAAGAAGAAGAAGAAGAAGCTGGTACAGACCTTGTTGCCAGTCGTTATAAGCTTTCGCGCTGATACTTCGCGCGAAGCCGGTGAGGGTGAAGAGACCGATGACAGGCCAAAGGGTTCATGGAGGAGTTATCGAAAAGGAGAAAGCGGCGACAAGTGAGGCGAAAAAGGCTGCGAGCCCATGGCTTTCTCGCGGACGTGGCTGGTAGTTTCCAAAAGACGCCAACGGCATCCGCGTTGCTGAGAGAGAAGTCGAGAACAAGAAGAAGAATAAGAAGAACAAGAAGAAGCGGGCGAGGCGGCGACAATGAAAAGGCTCAAAGGAAGAGGCGTTTGAAGAGAGAAGGTGTGAAGGCTGATTGAAGAAGGCGAGCCCAGCAGGCACCCACAATAGCACCGAAAACCTGGTGGCACATGTCCCTACCTAGAACACCTTCATCAGCTTGTCTCTATCAGTTCACTAGGCACGCTCACCTTCACAAACCCACCCAGTCAGTCATCGCTCACCAACACTCCACCCACAGCCACAGCCTCACCAGGCTCTCTCGCCTCCCACCTAGACTTCCACCCCAAACAGCTTCACCCGGTCTCTCGAACCACAGGGCGTTGAGGCGTACCAGGCCAGCGCGTGTCGTTGTCGTCGTCGTCGACGTCGTCCAGAGGGATGAATGAAGTCAAAGAAAGCTCGACTCGCTAACCTCAGCTGGGTTGGGGCGCCGTTGTCCGTGCGGGTAGCCGCACCCTGTCCCTGGCGCCTGCCAAACCAGCACGCCCCAACTCACAATTGACTAGCGCGAACGTCGCCGCGAAGGCAGAAAAATTCGTTAAATCTATTTGGAATGCGGGTTGAGAGACGTACGTGCGAAAGAGCTGTGCGTGCATGCATGCATGCAGAACTAGCATCTGGGAACCCATGCGCGATGTGCAAAGTCATGAGTGGGCTTAAGGGACAGCGAGAAGGGGGCAGAGAAGAGGGCTTGGTGGGTTGGTAGCGCTGATGAGGAGAAGCAGTGAATATGGCTGTATGAATGAACTCGATTTTGGGCGTGTGCAGTTATTTGCCACAGCCTCAATCGTGGCTGTGAGGTGTGAGAAACGCAAGTGCGCATCCACAACTGCGGCTGTGACGCGCGAACAACACACCCACTCGTGTTTTGGTTTGTAGATTCAACAGGATACGAGATGTTTTGGGATAGTGAGGGGCGAGGTTTTTATATTGAGAGTACGTGACTTATAAAGGCAAAGACCTTTGTTCGAGTTTCCATTTCACACGCATTCTTCGTTTGCTATACATCGTGCTACGCGGGTATATCTTTTTGGCAGCTCGCCTGCTACAATATGTACAAGATGGCACCAGAAACTACTACAATCCCGCATCCTCCAACAGCCGCACCACCACTTCCGGGATCTTGCTCACACCATGCGCCTGGATTGCACTAACCGGGACAGCATTGATGTTCTTCTTCCACCCATTCTTCTTCCCGCTCGGATGCGGCGCCTTTCCCGCCTGCACTTCCTTCAGATACGCCATCAACTTCGCAAAGTTCTCCTGCGTGCCATCTAGGTCCGCCTTCGTCGCGACGACGAACCACGGCTTCGACGACATGGGCGGCAGCGCGAGCGGCTCAAGCTCGATCTCCTCGTCCGGGTCGCGGCCGAAGATATCCGCACCCGTGGACGACGCAAACTTATCCGTCAAGATGCGCTGCGTCTCAGCATTGAGCTCCTCGCCGCGCAGAGTCTCGTACGCGCCGACCTCGCGCCAGAGGGCCTGCAGAGCCTCAACAGCGTCGCCTGCATTCAAGTCGACCACGAATGCCAGCACCGCCGCGCGCTCTACGTGCCGCAGGAACTTGATCCCCAAGCCTTTATCCATGTGCGCGTTCTCAATCAAACCTGGGATGTCCGCAATGGTGAAGTTCTCGCGTGGCGCAACACCCCGCTGCTTGCTCTCGATGATGGGTCTGCCCGTGTGGTTGTCCAGCACGACCGTGCCAATATTGGGCTGCAGCGTCGTGAAGGCCCAGTTGCCGACACGCGCGCGCGAGTTGCTGAGCGAGCGCAGCAGGGTGCTTTTGCCGGCATTGGGCAAGCCGACGAGCCCCACATCCGCGAGCAGCTTCAGCTCCAGTTGCACCCCGACCCTTGTAGCGTCTTGCCCGCGCGACGCGAACTGCGGCCGCGGCGTCGTCCTGCTTATAAAATGCGGATTCCCAAGGCCGCCGACTGCGCCCGCGACTAGCAGCATGGGCCGCTCCATCGGCTTGTCCAGGTCCAGGCGTAGAGGGCCTCGGGGCTCCATGTGCGCAATTGGAGCCCGTCGTGGCCCTGGGATCTTGGGTATCTCCTTCAGGAAAATGGACGGCGAGGCTCCGGGATAAAGTAACCACTGTTCGTGCTTGAACTCTCCCGGTGTGACTTCCTCGCCGCTCTCCTTCAGCGCGCGCTTCCGGGCTTTTTCTTCACGGTACCTTTCCAGGTCCTCGTCCACGGGATCGCGTCGCCACAGCTCGCGCACAACTGTGCCGACGGGGACGGTGATCAGGACGTCCTCGCCCCGTTCGCCACCCTTCAACTTGCCCTGCCCGTTCCTGCCACGCCCTGCCTTCAACTGCCCGCGTCGGGCCAGCTTGTGCAGTGATGTCTCGCCGCGGACAGCCTGGATGAATATGCTGCCGCCTGTACCGCCATCACCCCCGTTGGGCGGTCCCTCGGAGATGAACTTCTCACGCAGGAAAGAGACGCAACCGTGGCCGCCTTCGCCGGCGTGCAGACTGAGGGTGCATTTGTCGGCGAAGGGCGTGAGCGAGTAGGAGTCCGGCGTGGGGTTCAGCGAACGCTCTCCGTCGACATCAGCCGTACGAGAAGTGGCAAAGTCAACGCCTTGGCGGCGGACGGTGGTGTTCAAGCATCGTCTGCGGGGCGTATGGGTGAGGCGCAAGAAGCGGAAGGCGACTGGGCGGGTGGAGTAGAGGCAGGACTCGGGTACGAAGGGATAAAGGAATGGCGTCATTGTCGTTGCGACATGATGGACCTGCGCTGGCGGCATGCAGCTGAAGGTGTTTCGGGCGCGTGAGGGAAATTCGAGCAGCCGTTGCAGGGTTGGTTGAGGCTAGACGGCGAAGAGAGCTCTCTCTGGCAAAATGCGCGCCAAGACGCGCGGCGCGCACGCCGTTGCCCCGTAATCTGTGTAGCTCCAGGCGCTCCTATTTGATACCTCTACTTTTTGTCTCCACGCGCTAGCACCTCGACAATCCTTCATCTTCTTAGGTCCTTCACAACTCTTTTCATCATGCCGACATGCGCCTTGGCACTGTAGCGCTCGCTAATTTTACCGGCAACCGCTGCCTTCAGCTCTCTCTGCAGGTTATCTATATTGATAAGATGACACTTTTACAAGCTTTTACGGTTCTAATATGGATGTGATCAACGTTCGTCACCGTCAGGCGAGATTCACCGTCTAGTGAGACAGGGAAGGATACAAGCAGTTCCCATGGAATACTCGTTGTCAAGCTACATCTCTGAATCCTGGATGTAAGTAAAGAGATGTTTAGGCATATACGTACAAACATCTTGACTAGATTTCGTTTCCACTCCATACACGCCTCGATCTTCTTAGGCGGCGATTCTCGCTTGATGGTGACGGACGTTAGTCCCGCCTTGTCTCAGCACAGCCTCCACAATCACACCGCGATAGCCGCAAGGCCGCAACTTCTGCTTCATGTGTTGTGGAGCTCAGCCGCCTGATCCCTGGATGCCTTGCATGGGTTCTTCTATAAATGCGGCTTATCGCCCGCATCTGCCAGTTTGCTATTTCGAATTTGCTCTCTACCAGCTGAGCATCCATCGGCTACTTACGCGTCACCATGTCGGCCTTAGCTAACTTTGGGCTTGCAATCCTATTGGGGCTGACGAATCATTTTTTGCCCGGCCTCATCGGCACAACATCCGAAGCACAGTTCATCGGCGAAGTCGCATTCCCTCTTCTCCAACTTTACATTGTTTACAAAAATCCCGTCTCTAGCCTTGCTTATGTCCTGTCTAGATGGCGAGGGGTCAACAACAAAGTCTACGGCAGTATCGACTTAGCAGTATTCTGGATAAACTGGATCGTTGTCGTGTACTTGTGGGTTATCACCCCGGCAAACGAAAAGCTTAATCGGTGGGCTCGTAACAAATGGCTGTGGGAGTTCAAGAAAGATCCTCTCATGAGGTTTGCCGCGGAGGAGAAGAAGTGGAAATGGCCCAACGAAATCGCTGTCATTACTGGAGCCTCAAATGGAATCGGGGCCTTTGTTGCGCAGGGGCTTGCGGCTAAAGGCATGAAGGTGGCTGTTTTGGATGTTCAACCGCCGGCTGAGGAGGTTCTGAAGGATGGTACGTCAAACTCTTACGCATGGCGACTAGCCTATTTTGGCGCCACAAGCATGCAAGTTCGGAATCGTTGACCGTTGTATCAAGCAGGCCCTAACATTACATATTTCGAATGTGATATTACTTCTCCCGAAGCAGTATGCCACAGCGCCGACATGGTGCGCTCAACTCTCGGACAACCTTCAATTCTCATAAACAACGCTGGCGTCGGAAATCAGGCCACCATTCTCGACTTGCCACCCGCTAAAGTCCAGAACACATTCAATGTGAATGTGGTATCCCACTGGTATACGATCCAGGCTTTTCTCCCTGACATGATTGCCAAGAAAAAGGGTCACGTAGTCACCGTAGCCAGCACTATGAGGTTCGTAATGCCTTGGGTATAGAGAAATCCGCCATTTGTACTGACTCTATTAGCTACGTTGGGAACCCTACCACGGTGGACTACAACGCGACCAAGGCGGCGCTACTAGGCTTGCACGACGGGCTCAACCTCGAACTGAAACATGTGTATCGTTGCCCAGAGATTAAGACAACGATTTTTCATCCTCACTGGACCAAGACCCGGCTCATAGATCCATTTGTTCCCGCATTGCAGGCCTCGGGGGCACAGATCATGGAGCCGCAGCAGGTCGCAGACGCCATCCTCAAGCAGGTCTTTAGCGGGCAGAGCGGGCAGGTTTTCGTGCCGGAAGAACACTCATGCACAATGCCCATTTTGCGAGCTCTTCCCACGTGGTTGTACGAATGGAGTCGGGACCGGGCGCTTGGTGCGTGAGCGTTGACAGGGATTAACGGGGGGATTTTCCGTACCGAGAGTTGCCACGCCACAGGGCACGATCGAAAAAGCCATTGATGAGATTCTGATTCGCGTTTCCCCAGAAAATTCCGGTCGATGAGCGTGCACATGTGGCAGTGCGGTGATCAGCAGTGGCTTGCGGGCGGCAAGTGGCAACAACGTGAATCCTGAATCCCCAAAGATGATGATCCCAACCCCCCGCGACGCGAGGGCCGAGGGGATCATCGTCGTCGATGGCGTCCTGCCGTGCCACAGCCTCCTCGCGTCTGCAGGTCCCGCGGCGGCTTGCATCAGCGCAGACGACACAGTCAGCAGACCGGTGCAGCCACGCTGCTATTCTTGGGACAGCACGTTTCCCAGAGCGGTTAGCTGCCGGGGCCGTAGTCGGTCGGGAACAGCGACCACGCGTGGCCTAGACAACTATTGACTCCGCCTCGCTGGCAGCGCCCGATTATAGGTCGGCTCCGGCTGGTCCTGTCCGTCCTCCCTACTCTTTTTTTGCCTTCCCTTCAGCTCGGGAGACGTTGGCGGCGTGAGGTTATTATATGTTGCTTGTGGGTCTTCGTGTCGCGCGGCGGCTATGGATTGCTTCCTTTCCTCCTCAGCGCCTAATTTTCTTCCCCTTCCTACTATTTCACCACTCTCGCTTCAAATATCCTGTCCGTCGTTTCGGCTCTGCATGCCCCTGTCTATCTAATGATATAGAGACATGCAATGGTTATGTTTTCGCTTTTCCTTCTTGTCCTTGTCTGGCTTGGCGTGATCTCGACTGCTAGTCCCGTCCTCGGCCGTCCTGGTAAGTTGTCCCCTATTTTTGATGCCTCAGGTCACTGATACTCCTCAGGCCTACTTTACCTCAATGGCACGAACGTTGTTCGTGACAGCACTCCGTCCCCAGGGCTTGGTGCCGAAGTGGTATCACCGGAAGTGGGAAACGCCACAACGGTGACGACGCCTGTTTCGTCTGACGCGACGACATTGACTGCTGTGTCGTCTCGTCAAGATGTATCGCCAGCTGCAATGGAGCACCACTCTCCCATCGACCCAAGTTCTACTGTACAAAAGACGAACTCGTCACGGGCAGTGGTATGCTACATCCACGACGTTCCAACACCTTGTTCGACACTTTCGGGCCTGACCTCAGCTGAGACTACTCCTCTCCGAACTAAGCTGACGCACGCCTTGACTTTGCCTGCGACAACAGCTTCTGAAGTTCCGTCGTCAGCCGCTGTATCACCGCCCGCAGGCGACACCAGCGCCACTGCTTCACCTCCGAGCTTTACTCTGTCGCAGAATGCATCGACATCTGCGGTGATCTCGCCGGCATTCATCGCCCAGGAGAGACCGGCTGCCTGGCCTGCCCATAACAACACAGTCTATGCGATGTGCCGTGTCCATGGTACTGCAGTGCCCTGCTCAGCGGTCGAGAGAGTTCAGACGGTCTCCGCATCGGATTCCTCACGAGCATACGCCGGCTGGAGCTCATCACGGACCTCGCTAGCTGCGTTCTTCTCCTCTACTCCATCATTTCCCTCCATCATCCCGCCATTCCGAAATGCCTCAGCACCAACCGCCATCCAAAACAACACCGTATCCGAGCCCACCGCCTCCGCCACGCGGACAATCTCAATCCACGGCGCTTTCTTCGAGCACGACGCCACAAAACGCAGTGCCTCGACCCTCCTCACCGTAGCCCACGCCAAAGAAATCCGCACAACCACAGCAACATCCTCCGCGTCTCCAAGCTTCGAACCCGAATCCACCAACGTCTTCGAGTGCGGCGGCCAGGCTTTCAGCCCCTACCAGTACACTTGCTGGGACGACACGACGCTCTGCCCCGTCACTGATGGCAAGCGCCTCGAGGCGTGCAATGGCGGCTGCTTTGACCCGGAGGCTTATGCTTGTACCGATGGTGTGCTTGAAGGCATCCACGACGGAAAGTTGCCCAATGGCGCTGCTGCTACGGCCACACCGATACCCGCGAGCGTGTGGCCGAGTTCTGCGGCGACTATCGCGCCCTCCAGCACCAGTGATTCCAGCAGTAGTACAACCGCCAAGTCCTCCAGCACGGCATCCGGCACATCCGCCGCTACGACCACCGCGGCTGTAGCACCCACAGCCGTCCCTCCCGATGATTCCAAAGAAGATGACGACGACCTCTCATCCGGCCAGATCGCAGCTATAGCAACCAGCACCACCTCAGCGGCCCTGCTCCTCTTCCTCATCAGCATTTTGCTGTTTAGGCGGCGCAACGCCCGTCTCCGCAAAGCCACCGATGAGGTTGTATATCCCGAGATCGCATACTTATATGATCCGCCTGTGCCGACGAAGTTTGGTGGCGCTGTTGTGAATGGCCGTGGTGCCCGTAGTAGTGGTTCTTCAGCTCATGGGGATACACCGCTCCTGCCACCACTGCCACAAATGCCGTCGTTGTTGCCGCTGCAGGGAGTTAGTGGCGGTGAAGGTGTGGATAGGAGCCCTGGAGCTGGCGCAGGTGTTGTTAGTATGGGAACAATGAGAAACGCGCAGACGCAGACGCAGCCACAACGCCGCCAACTGGATATCCTAAACGAGGAGGACGAGGACGAAGCCGCCGCTGCGGAAAACCAGCCCCAGTCTCAGCCCCAAACTCGGCCCCCGCCGGCCGCAGCAACAGCAGCCCCCAAGTCTCCCGCTCCTCCAAGCGTAACCCTCACTACTTCCTCCACTCCGGACTCCCCCGCCGTCACGGCCGCTCGCCCACTTCTCTCCTTCTCGGCTCACGCACTCAAGAGGAAAACTGGAAGTCTTGCACTGACGACGACGCTACCGCCTTTTCCACCTGAAGGTGTGCTGTACCACACACCTACGCACAGCGGGAGCAGCAGCAACAGTGGTAATGGAAATGGCAGCGGTGGACTTAGTGACGGAAAAGGAAAAGGAAAGGGCAAAAGAGGAGGCGGTAGTGGTGGCAGTGAAGAGCACTGGGACACCATCGACCTGCAAGACCACGGCCAGATCCTCACGCCCGTACACTCGCCACAGTGCCCCTGTCCCTACTGCATCACTCACAACCCGGCACGTCCTTCGACTTCGTCTTCTTGTGCCAGTGGTAGCAGCTGCGCGAGCAGTTGTGCGTCTAATGACGGGTGGGGAGGCCCGCGCTCGCACCGCCCCAGCATCATCAGCAGTAGGGGTAGCAAGACACCCTGGTGGTGTCCCGGAACACACATCCCGACATCGTCCGAGCAGTTGGAGGAAGCAGAGCGCTCGCGCGGACGACTGACCGTGCGGAACGGAGCTGCTACGCCTGCGAGCGGAAGGAGTAGGAGTGGGGGCGGGAAGAGTGGGAGGAGTGCGCGGAGCAGTGAGTTAGAATTTGCGGATCGGAGGTTGTTGGGACGAGAGTTTTAGGAGGAAAAGAGGAGGCTTTGACTTTTTGTTGTTGCATAGCGTGGCGTTGGTGGGATTTTTGAGGTGGGGCTTTGGATGTCTGTATCGATTATGATACCTTACGATGGATGGATGGATGGATGCGTATGCCTGGCTATGTGGCCGGGGCTACTAATGAGGCTACTATAATGATTGTTATGATGGGGGATGGACAGGGTGTTATAGATATGCCTATCAAATACTATGGTCAGAGAAAGTTATTTTTATCTATGTCACTACTGTGGGTGTGTTTCGTAGAAGTGAAAGCACGTCAAGTCGCCTGTGGTACCTTTGGAACACTCCCTATAGATCACTCTTTAAGTGGATCTAGAGGCTGCTCTCGTGATTATATGTATTACTCATGAAGATATGTAAATTGCAACAATTTGTACGGATGACCTGTTCTAAACGCATTTTTTGGTACGACCAAAGCCACGCCACGGAGTTAAAAGGTGTTCACCCAAGGTTGTCGCTGTCCGCTTAGACAGTATACTTAAAGCCACAATACTCGACTCCTCACTCGAAAAACAACTCCGTCCCATCGCGCAAAACTACAGTCAATGTTATATCATGGACCTTGACCGCTTATTATCCGTGAAAACCTACACATCTCCCGAGATCATGGCGGCTATTGCAGCCGTTGAGAGGGAAGTCATTAAGGCGATCGAAAACCCGCTCAGGCCCGTTAAGGCGGCTGATATAAGTACGAGGTTGAAGAAGATATTTATGGAGCACTATATAAAAGGCCGCGTAGAGTAGGCGAAACTGTGAGATTCCCTTGTATCACAGTAACGTACTAACTTAAACAGAAAGACAAACTCAAGAGCCATTGCACTGAATCGCCTGAGAACCATCTTGCCCAAGATGAATCTCCTTCCACTTCACTCTCTCGAAACCGACACACCTTTGCCAAATTTTCCAAGAACGGTCCGGGATATAGACTCTCTGCACGCTGAACACATAGACAATATGCTTAAGGAACTGGAACAAACACCGCTTAAGACGACGGATGTGGTGGCAAAGAGAGTGCATTTTAGAAGGGTTATTGGGTTGCGGGTGGGAAAATAGGGCTGAAGGATTAGGAGTGGAGGATGTAATAAGAGCATCCACTCGAGTTTTGCTCTCCCGGACGTAGAGCGTAAAGCTTTCATCTGTTTTGTGTTGGAGAATGGATTGAATGGGAGATGGTTACTACGATCGAACATGGTCTCGCTTCCGTTCCGAACCAGCCAATCCGTCCAGGAAGGAGCATCCCAATACTCAGACGACCCAATATTCTCGCCAGAGCGGGCTTCCTCTTCCCTGTCTCACTTGAAAACAAAGGATATCGGTCATTTTTGTTATCCAACAGCCTTTAAGATAAATTTACTCTATTGTTCAGCAGCAAGCGTCACTTGCTCAGACTACGACAGAACCTCGCACCTTCGCATAGCAACGACATGGTCTTCGGGCGGACGTCTAGCCACTGTGGACTTGGCTGGAGGGAAAGTGCTTTCCTTCGGGCCAAAAACAATCACTCCATCCCTCCCGAAGATCAAGGTCAAGCCGTAAAAAACGCAATGACGAACTTGGAGACCCTAAATGATCAATGGAGTCGCCATCTGGATACTTGCGATAATGACAGCCTAGTCTTGGAATTACTTCAGACGTACAAAGAAATACTTGAAGCGAGGATTGCTGCGTGTCTTGCGCAACGTAACCAACACGAGGATGCTGGAAGAAAGGCAAACGAGCTTACGGAAAACCGGCCCCTGACGCCAGATAGTGAGGTTTGGGGCAGAACGAGTTACTGTTCTTGGATGGAAACGTGGGAGAGCACCGTGATGTTACAGTTATTGCTGCATAGGCAGATGGCGTCAATAGCGGTCCAGCTGGCACCCTTTGCTTTGGAGTCTCCTCGAAATTTGGTTATAACAGACATGCAGGCCACCGTTAACCGCATGATTATAGAACCCCTCATAGCGGCAGGTACAGGGCGGTCGGCTCCAAATCCGGCCAACACCTGGTACGCCGAAATGTTGGTGCCTTTTTACAACGCTAGTTTTGGCCTCTTGGCCGGTAGCACTATGGCTAATGATAGCACTATGGTCTACTGCCAAGTCACGGGATATCCATACGATGCACAAATAGTACCGGCTCTTCAAATAGCAGAGCTAGATTGTAACTATTTATTGGGGAAACCACTGAGTACCTATCAGCCAACGGACTTGGAAAACCACCTTCTCGTAAACGCCCTGTTCGCAAGAGGCCTGGAGGAGAGCATACTTGCCATCGTTCCCGTCGTTCCTTCATCAGAGACGTCCACAACCACCTGGCGCCTTGCCGTTGTGGATGAGGATCAACGAAATATCATTGCCGGAAAACTCGTCCATCTAGACAACGCCGCAACATGGGGAAGATGGGACGGTCAATGGTTACAATTCCGGAACATTTGTCGCCCCTCAGCAGAGCGGTTGTACGCACGCTTCGTCTACACTGTTATCAAACTGAGGATAAAGCAAGATCGTGCCCCTCCACCGCCAGGTTGGTACAAGTATATCAAAAGCCTTTGGCCATCTCCACGTCCTTGGGTGAACACGTCGCTTATTATGAAGATCGCTTTGGCAATCGGGGACACATATGTGCTCCCATCTTTGTTGCGAAACGAAACTTTTCAGTTTGTCCAACCTACTTTGAGCTGGGAAGAGGAGCATGACTTGGCGAAGGACCTGGCTTATACGTTGAAACAAGACGTGTATTAGATCTTGACATTCTCAGGACTGAAAACAGGAAGACTTGGCGGAGTTTCTGGCCAACACGCTTGGATAGATCTCGTAGTTAATCCAGCTGCAAGCTTAAACAAACAAACACGTACAAATGGTGTGACCTCCTGTGTGATAAATTCGGATGCGTTTGAATGGCAGACTCCTGTCTCAAAAGCTCGATACTCAGTCTTATACCTATTGTCGGTCAGTCCATGACGGTGTGGAGGGCGAATAGATACATACCTGAGAATGGACTTTTATGGACATACATCTCGTCAGCTTCAATACCCATGACTCTCTTTCAGAACTGCTTGCGTACCCAACAAAGCCATTGAACCAAAGGGTCCTTATCACCATCATCACACACCACAAGGATGACAACACCACACAAGGCTTTGTAGACAAAAAGAGCGGACATTGCATAACTAAGAGGCGAGGAAGGTATCTCGAATCGGATGATATGCAATCTACTCAAGCAAACCGCAGCATCGACAGCAACAAGACACAACACAAACAACACATAAACACACACACGCACACACACAATCCACACCACCAAAGAACAGCACACAGCAACAAGAAGCAGCAACAAGAAGGGAAGAGAAAAAAAAAAAAAAAAGTTATAAAATAAAAAGGAATTGGGAGAAAAAGAAAAAAAGACAGTAAACTCGTTCCTCTACATGCGCGCATGAATCAATTTTCCTTCCCTTCTTCCTCCTTCCTCCTCCCCGCCGTCATCGTGCCCCAAGCCCAAACCAAGTCCGATCCGTCTCAGCACAGTCAGCCAGTCAGTCATACCAGTCCGAGTCGTTCCACCCAGCCAGCAGCCTATACAGCATCAACCAACCAACGAACCAGCCAAACAAGCCTCACCAGACCGACCCAGCGCAACCCAGAGCCTCCCTGCAAGAAGAAAGAGCAAAAGAAAGAGAAGAAGGGCAACAGAAAAAACAAAAAAGCCATATCGCCTCAAACCTTCGTTCGTACCACTCATCTACATACACACGTGAAAAAGAAGCCAAGCCACAAAAAGCGCAGGAAAAAGAGAAAAAAGAGAAAATAGAAGAAACCAAGAAACCAAGAAAGAGGGAATGGGAGTGATAGCAGCAGCAGCAGAGTCGTTGTCGTGGCAAAAAGGGAGTATGAAGAAGTTGAAGATGTAGTGGTAAGTAGCGTAGCATAGCGTAGCCAAAGCAGCAGTGAGTGAGCTGAGAAGAAGAAAGAACATCATGATCATGATCGTGCTTGGAATCATCAATCAATCAACCAGTCAATCACCTGACGCGTCCTCCGCGCCCGTCGCCCCAAACGAACGAACGAACGAGCGAGCGAGTCGAAGAAATCCGCCGCTTTTCTCTCCTCGTGTCATCGTGTCCCGTTAACTCGCATCACCACCAATCGTGCCGTCCGTCTTCATCTTTCTGTCTGGCTCCCATCGCCCCAACCCGTCATCCCAGCAACCTCAAAGAAGAGTAGTAGGTGAAGAAGCTCAAACGACAGACGGGCCGGGTCAAGTCAGGTTGTTGTGCGGGACAGATCAAAGCAACAGACGACGACGATGACGATGACGACAGCAGTCAACGGCAACAACAACACCAACACCACCACCAACGCGAGGAGAGAGAACCCGCCGTGCGTGTGAAAAAATGTGTCAACTCCAGACCAACTCCCCAAAACGTGTAGTCTTCAGTCGTGCCGCCATCTTGTCTCGCCCTCCCCCTCCCTCTCCCCACTCTGACTCACTCTGTACTGTACGCTTTCTCGCTCTCTCTCATCTCTCTCTCGCTCACTCTCTCCACTAGCAAAACCACACCCCCTCAAAGACCGCCATATCTCCTATATTCGTCATGGCTGTTGTCTCATTCAGGTCGGCAGCAGCCGCAACGGCAGCGGCAGCAGCAGCAGCGACAGTGCGACGAATGCCAATGCCAATGCCATTGCCATTGCGTCTGTCGCGTCCGCTATACCCACCGCCGCCACCACGACCACGATTATCGTCAGCGTCGTTGCTCATCATCACCACCGCACCACCACCACCACCTCCTCCCCCATTCCCATCATTCCCCACATGCTCCTCTTCCTCCTCGTCAGCAGGCTCCTCCTGCCGTACAATTCAAGTCCTCTGGTTGAAGAACCACGAGCTGCGCTTGGGCTGCTCGGGGCTGGCCACGGGGATGGGGCCGTCGCCGCCGCCACCGCGCAGGGGCTTGGCGATGCGGGAGCCGCCGCCGAAGGCGAACGAGGCGCCCGACGTGGGGCTGCCGAGGCCGCGCGTCGAGCCGACCTTGGCCGCCTCGAGGCGCTCCTTGACTGCAGTAAGCTGGGCCTCGAACCTGCTGGCTGTTAGCTACTGGTTCTCGAGGTAGCGAACAAGCATCGAAAGAGGCAAGGGCGGTGTCGTGGGCGAGGGCAAAGGGGAGGAATACGCGGGGTCTTGGTGGAGGAGTGGGAGGGGACGAATGGGCACGGGGTTGGATGAAAATGGTGTGGAGCAGGTGGAGCAAACGGTTGGCAAGGCAGCAAGAACGCGCGAGACGAGGGGCTTAAGATTGGCATACCTGTGGTTGGCCGCCGTCAACTTCTCCTGAGAATCCTGGAGCAGCGACTCGAGGCTCTGGATACGCTCGTTGCGGGCAATGAGCTTGCGCTCGGCAATGGCAACCTCCTTCTTGAGGCTGCTGTTCTGCTCGACGAGCTGGCGCTGGACGACCGTCAGCTGCTCAAGGTTGCGCTCCAAGAAGGCCATCTTCTTCTGCTGGGCGCGGTTGTTGGAGGTGCGCAGCACGTTGTTGTACTGCTCACGCGTCTCGTCAAGAGAGATCTCCAGCTCCACGACCTGCGACAAAAAGGAACTGTCAGCTAGGTGCAAATTTCGGAGACGGTGGTACATGAAAGGAGATATACCCGTTCGCAGCGGTTCTGCAGATCCCGCATGAGGCTCTTCTTCATCGCATCGAACTCGGCGATTTGCTGTTGGACCGTCTTGCCGTTGACGGGTGGCACGCCGTTGGCGCCATTGGCGGCGGCCTCGCCACTCTTGAGCTGCTGCTGCAGGCCCTCAATCTGGGTCTTGAGCTGCTGCGCCTCCTCCACCTTGCGGGCGAGGTCGGCCTTGAGCTCAGTGACCAGCTCGACCTGGCCGTCCTGCCGCGCGGCGTAGGCGTCAAAGAGCTTCTGCTTGACTTCTTCGACGTCGGCCTCGCTGAGGTTGCGCTCCAGGATGGCTTCGTACTCCTGCTGGATGTGAGCCAAACGCTGCTCGAGAGCCTCGCGGCGCTTCATGTGCTCCTCGTCCAGTTCGCCCCGCTCGTTGACAGAGAGCTCCGCCTGGCGGACAATGCCCTGAGTCTCCAGCAGCTTCTGCCTCAGGTCGCGAAGAGCGTCTGGTGCGACAATCTCGCCGGTAGAGCTCAACTCGATGAGAGCATCGACCTGCTCGATGACCTTGCGGATCATCTTCTCGTTGTCGCTGAAGATCTCGCCACCGAGGTCGAAGCCAGCCATCATCTGGGCCATGCGCTCAGCCTTCTTCTTCTCCTTCTCGTCGAGCATAGCGCCAGACTCCTTGGCACTCATCTTAGCGTCAAGGAGGTGCTGCTTGACTTCGTCGAGCTCGACGGTGAGCTCGGCGTTGGCCTCCTTGAGGCCATCCATGGTGATGAGAGCCTCCTTGCCCTCGAAGTTGATCTTCTCGACCTGCATCTTGAGCTCGTTGATCTCGGAGTTGAGCCTCTCATTGTCCTTGTTGGTCTTGGTGTCGTGCTCCTTCAAGAAGGACAGCTCTTCCTTGGCCTCAGCAAGGCTCTTCTCAGCCTTGGCGATTTGTGACTCCTTTTCTGCGAGCTGGTCCTGCAGCTCGTTCTCACGGCGCAAGAACTCTTCCTTTTCGTCCTTTTCGAGAGGCAGGCCCGGCGTGCCAGCCCTCTCAAGGTCCAACCGCGAGTCTGGCCGGGACGGAGTCTCCGACCTCCTGTTGGCCACTCGGTCAACAGCAGACGGAGTCTCCGAACGAGGGGTGCCCGTGGACTGTCTCTTGGCGGGGGTGCCAGTGGGCCGATCAAGAACCGGCGTCCACTTCTCCTTGGGTACAGTATCACCAGAGCGCCATAGGTTGACTTCACCCTCAAGGTTGGTGACATAGCTCTCGAATGTCGTGACTTGAGACTGAGCCTTCTTGAGCAGGGCCTTGAGCTCAGCAGGAGAAAGTTCCGCGTTGACCTTGGCCTTGTTCTTGATGGACTTGGCTCTGACACCGAAACGCAGCGTACTTACGGTTTCGGAGTCGTTGTAGCTGGAAGGCGAACAGTTGATGATGAGAGTCGTTCGCGAGTTACCACCGAGGGACTCTTGAAGGATACGGGTAAGCTTGGAGTCACGGTACGGGACGTGTGACGATTTGCCATCGGTCAAGGCGTTGATGACCATGCCCAGAGCACTCAAACTCTTGTTGATCTTCTTGGCTTCCTCGAGCGTCTGACCACTCGCACCAGTCTTGCCAACCTTTTCACTACCCGCCAGATCGACCAAGAACAGCTGACCGCTCTTTGCCGAGCCCGACTCGAGGTTCTTTTGGGTGATGGTGACGACGAAAATGGAATGCGAACGAGACGACTCCTGGTTCATGTTCGTGGCAGCGACCATTCTCGCCTGGCCACCTCTACGCATGACTTCGTAAACTTCCTGCACGCTGGAGACGTAAACCTCCAGCAGGCCCTTGACGTAGACTCCCCTGTTCTTCTCCTCGTGGACCGGCAGGTTGTCGTTCTGCGGCGCCAACAGATCGCGGATCTTCTCCATGTAAATTTCCATGTAGCTGACCCTGACCGTGTACTCGATGTTGCTGGGACTGGCCAGGATGCTGGCGAAGATCTGCTCGATAATTCGAGGTATTATACCTTTGCCCTCCGAGTCGTCGATGTTGGAGCCCATCATCGTGTACGACTTACCGGCACCGGTCTGACCGTACGCGAAAACCGTGCCGTTGTAGCCGTTGAGGATGTCATCGACGGTGGGCCTGATGGAGAAGTTGAAAACATCCTCCTGCCGCGAGTTCATGTCGAAGACACGGTCGAAGGTGAAGGCGCCGGCCGCCTCATTGGACTGTGTGAAGCCATCAGCATAAGCCATCCCCTAAAGGCCGCAGCAGACGCCTCCAGCCGTCTCCTTTTGACAGGGCCAAGCCTACCTGGATGTTACATGTGTCCTCGGTCTCGAACTTGACAATGGGCTCACCACCGCTGGCGATTTCGATCTTGTTTTGCGGCCGGAACCGCGCAACAACTGCGGTTCAACAAAGTCAGTACACGTGTGGGACTGCAGACTCGGCCGGTCGCACCTTTGATGGTGTTGTAGCTCCTGCGCGGGCACGAGGGTTAGCACGGGTCTTGCAGCAGCAGCAGCAGCAGCAGCAGCAGCAGGGCGGGACGTACGCCATGGTTGCAGGAAAAGGGCAGCCAGGGCCCAGCGGCCAGATGTATTATCGGTCTCGTCGCAAAATCTGCAGATAGGAGAGGGGCGGGCGCGGGTAATTGAAGAGGTTCGCCGGGCGTCGGATGTTTTCCGCGATCAAGGGATGAGATGGGGGGCCGCCGGTGGAGGGATGCGTTGGCGGTATGCGGACCAGGCCGACGAGCTAGCAGACGACGCAGCAAAGGGAGCGATGGACGGCGGGAGGGCGGTCGGTAAAGAAGGATGAAGGGACGCGGGAAAAGAGCCTGCAGGGCGCTCCACTATAGCCTTGGGAGAACTGCGGGCTCGAAGGGCGGTGTATAGGGTGGTTTAGAAATTGTTGTTTTGGCTGATCCCCAGTTGCAATGCGGGTCGACACATGCGCTAGCGCCCAAGGGTACGGCTCCCGCTCCCAGGCCCCTCCACGCCGGCCGTACAGTAGCACTGCGTCGCCCAGTCGCATCGCCCCGTTGGTGCCATTTTGCATCCTTCTGCCGCAGCAGGCGCGTGTTCTGCTCACCGGAAGCACACGCACCCATGCCCGCTCGCGGGGGGGCCCTGACTAAGTAGCCGCATGCATAGTAGAGACTGTCCCAAGAACCCACGCCAGAATCGCACACTAAATACAGGGCAGTATCAAATAGCTCCCAATACGCCGTCCGCACGCCATGCTGGTTCCCGCTCGGCTGCCCCGTCACTTCCAAACACCCTGAAAACCCTGAACACACGCCATGCCGACTCCCTAGTCCTCCCAGCTCTTCTCCACCGTCTCGCGCACGCGCTTGATGTACTCGCGCTTGTTGTCCTTGTACAGGTTGCTCGCCTCGACGTTGGCCGGCGAGCTCGTGTTCGGGTCGTTGAGCAGACTGTGACCCCGTCAGCGCCCCATCCGACCTCACCATCAACCTTTCCGCCCTTACCTCTGGATGCTCGTCAGGATGGCCGCAACATCGTATGTCGGGCTCCACCGGTTCTGTAGAATGTCCAGGCAGAGCTCGCCCGTGCCGTAGACGTTGGGATGGAACATCTCCGAGATGAACTTGACCTGCGGCGGCTTGTTCGGGTACGCCTCCTCGAAGTGCATCACCAGGCGAAACGTGCCGTCCTCAAACGGCGTGTCGGCCGGCCCGATGATGACCGCGTTCCTACCACCGCCCGTGCATCAGTATCCGCCATGAGCTGTGCTTGAAAGAGAGCGTACCAGGTCATGACATTGTCGGCGATGGGAGAGGCAGAGACACCAGCGGGCGGGTCGGTCTGCATGCGCTGTAGGCCACGAGGTTAGCTCATCAAGCCTGCCAAGCGGATAGACACGAGCCCAGCATACCTTGAAGTCGCGCATGAGCCTCCTACGCGCAGCAGTCGACATGTTTGCTTGTCCGTTGGAGCAGAGTGGGTGAGGGGAGAGGGGGGCGTCAGAGGCGTCGGTGGCCTGAGAGACTGGCGTTCAAAAAGGGGTGTTTCCGAGGTCTTGAGGGTGCAGGAAACTGTTGCGCAGGCAAGTCGTGCTACCTCGAGAAGGCGTGACGCAGCGGGATGCGAGGCAGGCAGCCGCGTCACGTGCTCCGGCCTGTGCGGGAACCACTCCAGGACGGACAGCATCAAACACAACCAACCAATATCAGATGGCTACCATTGACACATAGTTCTCCATGTCATGTGGCAGCCACAGGTCGACTTTTCTTGGCTCTCATCGCGAGCTTTTTCGGTACTCGGATGGCACAAACCACTCACATCGCAATAGGTACCATAGGTGGTGATACACACCGGATAGATTGGAGAGTCCCTAGCCAATTGCTAAACAACCTAAGAGAATACTCGTGATGCCAACTGGTATCCTTCCCTACTTACAAATGAACGCCGTCCCTACTTTTCCCCGAGATAGATGTCTACCTCCCACTACAAAAATACATGATACAGCTTTTTCCTTGGCCCATAAGACCATGATTGACGGCATCCATCATGCCGTTTGAAAGATCCTGAACGCCGTCGTCAATCGACTGTCAGGGCCGTAACCGATCGAAGTGCAGACGATCAATAGCGGTTGAACCTGTCGCCGCCGAAGCTTCCACCACCACGCCTGTCACCACCGACGCCTTGACCAGTGCGCCTCTCACCACCGAAGCCTCCACCGAAGCCTCCACCACCACGCCTGTCGCCGCCGAAGCCTCCACCACCGCGCCTGTCACCACCGCGCCTGTCACCGCCGAAGCCTCCACCACCGCGCCTGTCACCACCGAAGCCTCCGCCACCACGCCTGTCACCACCGAAGCCTCCACCACCGCGCCTGTCACCACCGTAGCCTCCGGACCTGCCGCGACCATAGGCGGATCCAGTCGAGCCAGGAGCAGCAGTCGGCGTTTTAAGGCCGAAGGGATCGTTCGGATCGTAATCAATTTCGCGGTGGGTTGCTGACCTCATCCTGTTTCCTGCCGTGTTGATCCCATCAAGTCTGTTGAGACCCAATTTTTGAGCCATCGATGGGCCGATGAAAGGCGGCTCGGGCAGGCCCCAAGTGTGAATGGCAAGGTCATTCATTTCATAAATCATATCCTGCTTGGCGCCGGCCGCGGGGGAGAAACCACCAATCATGGACAGGAATGAGGCAGTAACATTATCGGGGTCCACCATTTGGAATGCATTTTTAATGGTTTCTCTGTATGCAGCGACCTCTGGTGCAAGGCCTTCTGTCTCCACACCTGCCTGGGCCGTGGCAAGAGAGGTGTCGGCTTGGATCGGAAGATCCTTGAGCTTATGCCTAAGTTCGCGGCGCTCGAAGGTCGGGATTATCAGCCAGCCCTCGCCTTCTTTACCCGCACGGCCGGTACGGCCTACACGGTGAATGTAATCCTCGCGTTGTTTTGGCAAGCCCATCTGGATGACGTGCGTGACGTTGGGGAAATCCATGCCACGAGCCGTGACATCCGAGGAGAAGAGGATAGCAGTCTCATCAGCTCTGAATGAGTCTGCCGCCCGTTGACGAGAACCTTGCTCCATTTGGGAATGAATTCCATAAACGGAGGCCGGCCGGAGCTCCCTCCGGAGCTTCATAAAAAGATCGAAGTAGACCTTTACATCCTTGAGGGTGTTGATGTAGACGATAGCCTTGAAGGGACGTCCCTCACCCTGCCTGTTCAATTCCAGGTTCTTCTGGATCAGCTCGAGCAGGACGGTGTGCGAATTGCGAAGAGGAGCAACGACGGCCTTTTGAGGTACCCTGTGGTGGGTGGGTTCTTCATCTTCTTTCACCGTGCGGACAAACTGGAAGCCGGGCTTCAGAGTCTGACGGACTAGTCGAATTACTTCTTTGGGGACCGTGGCAGAAAACATAAGCGTTTGGCGGTCGACCTCTTCCCTTGCGGGAAGCTGCGCTTGGATGTTGGTAAGTTCCTCGAAGAAACCAGCATCAAGAAGACGGTCCGCTTCATCCATGACGAAGTACTTCAGGTTGGGCGCCTTCACGCCACTGTAGGGGTCGGAGAGAAGATCGTGCAGACGACCGGGAGTCGCCACCAAAACGTGGCAACCTTCCCTCTTGATCTTCATCAGACCTTCCCTCTTCTTCGTACCACCAACGGCTGTTTGTACAATGACACCAGTCCGGGCAGTCAACTTCCTCGCCTCTACGGCAATCTGCTCTGCCAGCTCTCTTGTCGGTGAGATGACAATAGCTTGAATATCGGGGGGAGTTTGCGAAAACCGCTGGTGCTGCTGATAACGCCGCGAATAATGCGAGGATTGGGGAGCCCGTTGGGCTTGAGCGAGCTCGGGGTTAGCGGCGATAATTCTTTGCAGCATAGGTAGGAGGAAGCCGATGGTCTTGCCCGTTCCAGTCTTGGCTTGGGCAATCCTTCTCATAGTTAGCTCCAGTCGGAAATGGATCAGGAAACGGGATTTTCACGTACATATCGGAACCTCGGAGCGCCTCATTGATACTCTGCGACTGAACATCGGTCATCGTCTCGATGCCCATGGCCGTGATAGAGCGGATGATGTTAGGGTGCACCAATCCCTTGGCTTCAAGATCCGCAAACTGGGTGATCAGAGGTTCCTGTGCCGGGGCCTCGGCCGCAGCGGCTTCAGAGAGGCGAGCGCTCAGCTGGAAGCTCCGGACGGAGAGGATAGGCGCCAGCTTCGACTGAGACACGACAAAGCGAGGAGTCGAGAGCGGCGCGCTGCGCAGAGCAGGCCGCGCAATGGCGGCGCAGCTGAGCGCGCGAGGAAGAGATGCAGAGCATCTCCGAAGAGGCGCGAGCATAACGAGTAGAGGAACTGCGAACGACTGATGACGAGATGAAGAGTAGGATCAAAGGGGACGACAATTGAACAGAGGGGACTCCAAAGACTGGCGGAGTGGAATATTTGTTCAAGATAAAAAAAAAAGGCAGCCGAATGGACGCGATAGCTTTTCCATTGCGCTAGCGTGCTATGACCACCAACGTCCGCCACTGGCGCGCCCGCGCGCGCCAACGCCGCCGCTCTCGGCTGATTTGCGCGTGCTATCTAGGTACTTTATTCAAGATATTCAACCCCTCGCTGACCCCTTCATGGATCCCGCCCGTCACGCCCTTGAGCCACCAAAGCGTCACGTCGTTGATTGCCTGTCCCACCTTCCCGTCGTTCATCTGGCAGATGGTGTTGGTGAAGCGGATACCACGCCGTCCGAGCCCGTCGACCGTGCTGATTGACGACGACACCAGCCGCTCTGATATCCGGTGCTGGCGCTCGTACTGGTATGCCTGCCCGATAAAGAGCTTGAAGTAGGGCAGGAGAATATTGAAGAGCAGGAACATCTGAATGATTCCTGTCGCAAAGATTCTATGCACCCACGAAGGCTCGGGCGCTGGCGCTGGCGCGTCCCCGTCGCTGGCCGTACACTGGATGAGCTGCCCGCTTGTCGCTCCCACCTGCACTGCTTTGGACATGATTGGTGGCAGAGCCGTTTTCACCGAAAGCCTCTCTTCATTACTGAGGTCTGAAGGGAGTCCTTTGAGGAGGTAGGTCAACGCATGCAGATAAAGCTGTCGACTGAAGGACTGCGTTGCATTGCCTGCACCAACCTCCAGCGCTGAATACTCCTGCAATGCAGAGGTGAGCAAGTTCAGTCCTGTTTTCCATCAGTGCCCTTTCAACCACCTGGAAACGCACGGCTCGCATACCTTGGTTGGCGTACTTCCAGTTTACTCCGCTCGGCGTCTCCAAAGAACTCCGATAAGAAAGCAGTGTCGACGCAGCAGTCGGTGGCGAAGACCGCGGTTCCTCTACAAACATGGCTTCGTCCGGCAGAGTCTGGGTGGTATCTGCATCCGAGCCTCTCCTCCAAGCCGCGCTACTCGCCGGCCGCGAAGTATAGCGCGGCGGGGGCGTCAGCGCGCCCTCACCCAGGCGCGGAGTATCAGGTGCGGCAACACACGAAGGCGAAAGTTGACGAGGACTGGAACGGCCGCGGAACTCGTTGACGGTTCGACGAAGCGAGCGCAGGCGCGGGATGCGCGTTTGAAGCACAGTGGGAAGGATAGCGTATACAGACGAGGGAGCGCCGTCATCGCCGCCATCGCTCTCTGCCAAATGCTTGGAGACGCCGCACGGGAGCGGCTGGCTCTGGGGGGAGGACATAGTCGGCGACATCGGCACAGCGACAGAAGACGAGACGCGGGCGACGACGACAACATACAACGGCATAATATACATATCAGCAGGCACGCAAAGGGCCTAAACGACCAGTACTGGCGCTTATCAAAGCCATATTTTTCCGCCATAGCGAGCGAGTAGCTAGCGGTTCCTGACATGTGAAAGAGCAGGCACCCTGCCTTTGTTGAGAGGACGTTGGCGACCCGGCTGCCGACGCTTTCCGGGTTCCCGGACAAAGATAGCGCGATGCAGGTGCCTGGTGGGTGCGCCAATCATGCGGCTGGATGCACGCGTGCTTGGATTCGCTTCTTCAACACGATGCGCGCTGGACGTCATGTTAATGCGCTAGTTCGCCTGTGGTTCAAAGTGCATGTCGCCTTTCGATATAGAGCTCAATGTCTCTGATAAGTCTGCTTTTTTAGTATGCGTTATTCTCATTGCTCTCTCATATGGTATCCAATACTAACATTTTCCTGTGTATCAGGCCCTCTAACGTCCGTCACCGAGAACCGAGATCCACCGTCTAGCGAGACAGGGGGCAATACAAGCAGTCCCTACAGATTACTCCTTGTCTAGCTCACATCCCGAGTCCTGGGTATGGATGTAAAGGTCTTAAAGCACACACAGACTCTATACATCGTAGCTGGGTCTCTTCTTCTCCTCTGTACAAGTATCACCATCTCGCTTCCCGGTGAATCTCGATTCACGGTGACGGACGTTAATCGTCAGTGATATAAAATATTTCCGCCTTTTTACTCCTTTCCCAACTACAACACTGGATTATCGAGTCGACTTTCCACGACAGTTCACACTACATCTCAAGCATACTAACATATACGTCCTTCTTTAAACGGACAATAAAACACTTCAACTCACAGAAATAGCCATCTTTAATAACCTAAAGCCAAACCTATCCACGGCCAACACGATAAAACAACAGCACAACTAACCACCCTCATCTTATTCCCTGCCAGCAACACAAATAGTTCCCCATAGAATAAAAGCAAGAAACAACCGAATTGCTCAACTTCGTAGCAAGGCACCGCTCCTACGGATGATTCAACGCCATGACTACTCGGTCTTGATAACTGCACTAAAAAAGAAATGCAAAATCTTAGTATCCTGCTTATACAATACATCTACATTCGAACAGCACAGCAAAACCAAAGCCAAATAAATCTAATCCGACATGAACGAAGGCCATATATTCAAAACCCTAAATTCAGCTTTTACTAAATCACCACCGTATCCACAACCATCACAATCAGTTCCAATAACCTCTTGCACACCAATAGCAAATACACCCTTCTCTCCCCGCGTCCAAAAAATACCCTCCCATGCCCGGCCTCAGACACTAACTCCAACACACACAAAAAGCCCACCCACCCCATCAATCCACAGTCCACCTCCACACGCACAGCACACCACACAACCAACCCAACAGCACCATCCCTCCACAGCTTCACACCCAATTCCACTTCACCACAGACAATACAAACACACCCACAAGCAAGCAAGCAAGCACACAACACACTACAAAACCCCTTCATTTATATCTACCACCCACCCCTCCCCTCCCGCTAACAACTGCACCCGCATCCCACCCCCAACCCTCCATCATTCATCTAGTTACACCAATCAACTTTTCCACGCCAGCAAGCAAGCAAGCAAGCAAGCAAGCAATCAAGCAGTGGTAAGGTATTTCCGTCCCAACAACAACAACAACAGCGCTGAGAACGATGATAACGGCAACAACAACAACAACAACAACAACAACAACAACAACGATGCATGCATGCAAACAGCTCACAGCTGCGCGCCGCCAGTCTGGGCGACAAATCTATCCAACCACAACGGCAATGAAAAGAGAAAAGGAAAAAAAGAAATGGATAAAGGAACGAAAAGAAAAACGCCACTACCGATCCAAGTCCAACCCAGTCCTGTCCTGCCCAGTTCCGTCCATTCCAAACCGCTTCATCGCTCGTCACCCACCAACGAAGCACCTACTACAAGTGTCAAATATCTACCTCTCCATCAGCCGGCCTACACCATCATCCAACCAAGCAGATGGATGAGTTATAGACCAACAGCCAACCAAACCCCACACACCCACTACCCACTCACTTAACTCGCATTCCTATAAGTCCACCCCCCATCCTCCATCAACCGCTTCCTACCCTCCCTATCCTTCTTCCTCTCCTCCTCCGTCAACTTATCCGCCGTCCAATGCGCCGAGCTCGTCCTCTCCCTAAACCTCTTATGGCGATCCTTATTCTTGAATATCTCCTCCATCTGCAACGGCGGGATAGGGCCAAACACCTCCATTGGATCCACCAGCTGCTGCTGCGAGAGCAGCTCCTTCAACGCCGGGCTATTGACCCACGACGGCGCCTGGAAGCTCGACGCCTCGGCATCCGAGTCCTCGTCCTCCGAGTCCGTCGCTATGTCTGGCAGCTCCGGCGTCGGGAAGTGCGGGCTCGCCGTCTTGACCGTCGTCGTCGTCGTGTTGACACGCATTGGCGTCTTGAACTGGTGGCTCGAGGGGCCGGCCGCAGAGGCCGATGGGCCTGGCGCTGCTGCAGAGTCTGCGAATGGTATCTTCGCTTTGGAGATGGTCGCCATGTCGTTGGGATGCCCGCTCGGCTTGCCGTGCTGGATCTGGTGCTGCGCCGTGACCGTCTGCTTGAACATGGAGCCGGTGTGAGATGACGCCCCCGACGGCGCCGCCATGTAGCCGTGCGTGAACTTGCTGGGCACGTCCTTGGCCTTGTCAATAACGCCCATGATCCGATCCCTGTCGGGGTATGCCTTGCGGATGTTAGATTGGCGGATTGGTGGTGCCATCATTGACCGCCTCTGCCCTGCCGGTTCTTCGGCTTCTTCGCTGGTTCTACGGCGTTTCGCATCTAGTCGTTGAAACGAGGGACCATTACGCGGCACCTGGGGCCGTTGTACAGGTTCGTCATCATCAGCTTGAAACATGCGCTTTGGCGGAGGTTTCGCCGGGTTAACGGGCCGGCTGAGGTTCATGTCCTGAACCGTGTTCATCCTGGAAATTGGTCTGGTTGCTGGCATGTCGGAACGCTGATGCGACGGCATCGTACTGGCCTTCTCTTGCTGCAGTGCATGGGCGAGGTCGTTGCCTTGGCGGCTTGCAGCCTTTGACCGCATCTGCTCTTGTTTCTTCGCCTCAGCTGCCAGCGCCTGTCTGTTCGCAGCCCTCTTCGCCTCTTGAGCCCGTTGTTGTTCCGCAGCCTTACGCTGGACTTCGGCCCGACGTTCTTCATCAGCCTTGCGACGCTCTTCTTCGGCCTTTGCAGCTTTTTCAGCACGCTGTTGCTCGATAGCACGCTTCTTCTCGGCCTTGCGTTGAGCCTCACGTTCCTCCTATGCAGATTTAGTGCCTGATCACATGCGTGTTTGTAGAGGTGTTCTTACCTTTTCCTTGTTCTTGGCCGCCAATGCCAGCGAGTTAGGCTTAGCCACCGATGATGATGCGCCCGTGATGCTCTTGTTGAATGAATTGCTTGCGGGCTCAGCATTCACCTTCGGTGCAGGCAAAGTTCCCTGAAGAGACTTTGACAGATCGGCCGTCGAAGGGTGTGCCCTTTGCGAAGAAAGGCCCACCTTGATAAGCGTCCTGGGCCTCGGAATAGATTCCTTGACAGGCTTCAAAGACTCCTTGCTGGGCTTCGCAAGCCGGCTGGCCGGCTGCTTCAGTGTTTGAGATTTGCTCGCAGAAGGCTGCGTCTTCGGAGCCGGTGGAGGTGATGCCGCCTCATCAGCCGAGTTGTAATCCTCGTCGAATGGAGAGACGGTACCAGCACGGCTGGCGGCACCTGGACGAATGCTCAAGCTCTCTTTCGAGGGCTTTGCCTTTTGCTTTTTCTTTTCAGCCGCTGCAGCAGCCTTTTGGCGTTCCTTCTCTCGTTCCTTTTCCAGCGCCTCTTCCTCTTGGCGCTCCCTTTCCCTGGCCTCAATCTCCTTCTGCCTGCCCTCACGCTCAGTCGAACTGCGTGTTTTACGGACCTCGGTCGGCTTGGGGGTTGCCGGTGCAGCCATCGAGCGGGATGCTGGAGGAGCGGGGTTTACAGGCTTATCGAAAACAGATGACAAAGGACGAGAAGGCTCGGGACTGGACACCTCCTCCATTTCAGGATAGGTGGGTGCAGGCGACTGCGCGTCCAATCGAGCTTGATCGCCGGCTCCAGCACTGCTGGCGAACATACTCCTCGCCGATTTCAAAACCGAGTAGAATCGGGATTTAGATGCGCTGAGTGCACCAGCATCAGTCTTGCTGGGAGAGCCTGCTGGGGTGCTGGTTTCCTCAACCTCAGCAGGCTCAGGCTCGTCGACAGAGTTCGATTTTTTGTGAGTTGAGCCAGGGTCCGTTGCCACGGGCCTCAACGGAGAACCAAAGTCGGGAACGGAGGAGCTGGATTTCGCATGTTTGGCACCGGATGGCGATGCTCTTGTTGCGGGCGAACGCAACTTTGAAGCCTGGGTATCCGGCTCCGTGCTGCCAACACTGCTTTTTCCAAGGGTGTTATCCATGGTTTCAGCTGAGCGGCTCTTGTTTAGAACAGGGCGAATGGAAGACATTGGAGGAGGCATGCTGCTGATTGGAGCAATCCAATCGTCATCATCGTCTTCGTCTTCATCCTCTTGGGTGTTTTGCACTGGGCTTGGTGCTTTTGCTGGTGCTTTGGAAATGACTGGTTCGGGCTCGTCTTCGTTGTCCACGCCCGGCAGTTGCGGATAATTCGGTTCGGTGCTTGTTTGACTGGATGGAATCGATTTGGTCCTAGGCTCTTGTGACTGAGCAAGCATGTTAATCCGCTCATGGAGAAGTTGTGTGGAAGTCTTGTTGTGCGTCTTCGTCGTTTCCGATGCCTCATGCGCTGCTGAAGACTTGTCTTCTTCAGCTTCCTTCTCTTGGCTTCCATGGTCTGTTTGGGTGTTCTGGGATCCACCCAGACTCTTGCCATGCGTGAACCTCCCAAAGTGACTGCTACGCGCCTTGTACTGGTCCACGTGGCTCGTCCGGGAGACTCTGGCACCCATACTTTTCTTCGCCGCCAACGGCTCACGCGCGGGTAATGATGAAAATGCCAGGCTGCTCTTGCGCAAAAGTTGCCTAGGCGGACTGGGCCCCTCGGAAGGGCTCTTCGTGCCCTCAGCATCCATCTGATTCTGTTCTTCTTCTTCTTTTCGGCGCTCCTCTGCGCGCATTATCGAATTGAAAGCAGAGGTCGTTTGGTCACCGACACTGTACTGGGGGGATTTTGCATTCTCTTCGTCGTGCGGGGACGGCGGCTCCTCCGGTTGTGTGTCTGGCTGTGTGGCGACCAAATCCATGTCCTCATCCGGCGCGGCTGCGCCCTCGTCCTCATAGACGCCGTAGTTAGTTGGCGCTTGGTTCTCGGCATCTTCTTTGGCAGAGACAAACGATGACCCATGCGAATCTTCGTTTTCATCGGCGGGCTTGGGCGGTGACGAAACAGCGGCAGGCTTCGCGGGGCTTTCCTTGACCGGGCTGAGCTTTGCAATTTCCTCATTGTCATCAACCTCCATCTCATCGTCCGTTATGCCATGGTATCCCGAATCCGTAATCAGGGTAGACAGGGGAGCGCGATGCGTCTGTGACTCGGATTGGGAAGGTTGGGAAGGCTCCTGCGCCGAGGAAGGCTCGGGGTCTTCTGCGACCTGGAACTGCGCAATCTGCTTGAAGAACTCGGTGTTCTTCGCCGGGCTCGGTCCAGCCTGGATATTTGGCGCAAAAATGTCTGTCAAGGGCTGTGGTTCCAATTAGCGGGGAAATGCCGCAGTAGGGTTGCAGCAACTTACAGCCCGAGTTTCAAGAGGGTTCCGCTTGCGGGCGGTTCTGGGAGTCTTCCCTCGTAGTTTGCCGGGCGTCTTGAAAACATCCGCGACATTCCTGAAAAGCATCGCGATCAGCGGCGCATTCATTGTAGGGGTGTGGCGGGCACGTACAGCTCAGTCTTGCTGAAAATATCGGCCATGTGTTCGTTGAGCCACTCCATCTCATTGCGCACCGAGTAGGAGAACTCCTCGGCCTCCTGGTCGACGAACTCATTCGCCTGGCGGCGCTCGCTCAGGATCCATGGCGCGGAGCCGACCTGGACCTTTGAGCGCGAAGGTGCCATGTTGGAAGTGTTGCGAGACGGGTGGTTGGAGAATCGACGGAAGCGTTTCCACGAGACGCGTGTCTAGAGCGGGAAGCGAAGGCGACAGGTACAGAGATCCAAGGAAGCAAAAGCTACATGTACATGGCGAAGTGAGATTCGCGGGCGTGATTGGCGAAATGGGTGGTTGCCGGGTGGTTATTGGCAGTCGCGGTGGTGGGAGCTTGGATGTTGTGATGCTTCGAGGAGCGTAAACAGAAAGCGGGAAGCGAGCTTTACCCGATCCGGCTCGCAACTTCGCATGACGCCAACACCGCGGGGACGGACGACCTCCTCCATCCTCTTTCCCATTGATGCTATCCAACGAATAGTCTAGTCAAAGTGCTCCCCACCATGTACGCCCGTAGCGCCCTCAGATATGCCTCTCTCAAGAGAGTAAATAAAGCAATCATCATCTCTTCTCCAAGATACAATTCTCGCTCTTTTTCCGTCTCATCGTCTCGCAGAATCATGGAAACGGCTGGATTCACCGAAGAGCAAATGTCCGTACGGGATGCCGTATTCAAAATATGCTCTCACTTTCCAGATGTATGCCGTGCCGTCTTCCAACCCCGCTCACGTTGTTGACTTGCCGGAGGAATACTGGGCACGGCATGACGAAACGGGCGAATACCCGCATGAGCTGCACGCTGCTCTCGCAAAGGATGGCTGGATTGGTATTGCGTTGCCTGAAGGGTTGGGCGGTGCCGGATTGGGCATTTCAGAAGCCACAATGATGCTCCACACCATCTCTGAGTATGCCGTGTCTGCCGAGAGCCAGCCGCGTGGCCACGCCCATTGAACTCATATCTCAACAGGAGCGGAGCTGGAATAGCCGGTGCTCAGTCTATTCATGCGAACGTCTACGCCACGCAGGTACCATTCTCCCGGCCAACATGAGTGTTCCAAGCTGAACTGCATATACGCAGCCTCTCGCCAAATTTGCGAGTCCTGAGCAACGGCAGGAGATGCTGCCCAAGATCATCAACGGAGAGTGGCGAGCCTGCTTCGGAGTGTGAGCTCTCACGCACTACTACCCCAAAACCACTATCTCACGTCTCTAGAACGGAGCCCAACACTGGCCTCGAGACGCTCAAACTACGCACCACCGCCAAGCGAGACGGTGACGGCTACCTGGTCTCTGGCCAAAAGACCTGGATCTCCTCAGCGCAAGTCGCATCGAAGATGATTCTGCTCGCGCGCACCACGGCCCTCGAAGACGTCAGCAAGCCCTCAGAGGGCCTCTCCCTCTTCTTCATCGACTTTGACAAAACCAAGCCGGGGCTCGCACTCAACAAGATCAAAAAGATGGGCGGGCGCGCCATCGACGCGAACGAGGTCTTCTTCGACGACTACCGCATCCCAGCCTCCGCACTAATCGGGGCCGAGGGCCAAGGCTTCAAGATGGTGCTGCACGGCATGAACGCGGAGCGGTGCCTGCTAGCGGGGGAGGCGCTGGGGCTGGGCTACGCGGCGCTGAAGCGGGCGGCGGGGTACGCGCGCTCGCGCGTCGTCTTTGGAAAGCCAATCGGGCAGAACCAGGGCGTGCAGCACCCGCTCGCGGCGGCGTATATGGGCCTCGAGGCGGCGAAGCTGGCGACGTATCACGCGGCACGGCTGTACGATCAGAGTCGGGTGGACGCGGGCATCACGGCGCACGCGGTTGGTGTCGCGTGCAACAGCGCCAAGTACCTCGCGGCCGAGGCGGCGTTTACAGCGTGCGAGCGCGCGGTGAGCGGTTTTTTTTTTTTTTTTTCATTTTCTCTGCCTTGGGCCCTTTTCCTTCCTCTCTCCACTCGTGATCCGCTGACAATCCCACCTTCCTGCTGCCAGGTCATGGCCCACGGCGGCATGGGCTATGCGCAAGACTACCACGTCGAGCGCTACTTGAGGGAGTGCTTCGTCCCGAGGATCGCGCCGGTCAGCAGGGAGATGATCATGAACTACGTGGCAGAAAAGGCGCTTGGGCTGCCGCGCAGCTACTGAGCAACGAACAGGTAAGTGAGAGTGGGTGGGAAGAAGGGCAAGCAAGAAAATAAAAAATAGAAAAGATGCAGCAGGAAGGATGTAACTAGCACAAACACGGAGGAAGGGGAGGGGAGGGGCATGCAGCAGCAGACTCCAATGGCATGCAGGGGCGGTGATAAAAAAAAAAAGTTAAGAAAAAACCACGTAGGCAAAGGTAAGGTAGGGTGGTAACAAGCATGGAGCCCGGGAGCCCCGCGATGATGTGTAAGTGTGCCCAACTTCCCCAGGAAGCAGCGCAACGCACAACACAGCCTACATAGCTACCCCGCCGCACGACGCCTCAAGAGCCCCACTTCCCGTGCATACATACATGGCATACATCATAGGCCACCCCCCTTGCCAGCATGCAACATGCCGCTTACCAACCACGCAGGCCCCACTCGCCCGAGCTTCCCACCCGCTGACACACACACGCACAGCCAGCACTGCTGCTGACTCTGCCGCCGAACAGGTCACTCGCCATGTATGATGTAGCTATGTTCGTCGGCGTCCACACCCTTGCATCTACCTACTTACCAGGTTACGTGCTCGCCCCCGGCCTAGGTTGCGCCCGTCCGCCCGCCCGCCCGCCACGCCGGCTCCGTGGCTCCGCGCCCTGCAGCTGTCTGCAATGTATGTACAGCAGCAAGCAAGCAAGCAAGCAAGCAGAAGCTGTGCCCCCACGCACCCGCTGCACGCGCATGCGCGCTGCTGCCTGCCTGCCTGCCTGCCTGCCTGCCTGTCTGCCTGCCTTAGCCTCCCTCCCACCCGTCTAGACACCTGGCTGGGTCGGGGCGCGGGCGTGGGCGTGGGTGGTAGGTCGTTGTCGCCCAACGGCTTCCCGGCTTCCCGCCGCGCCGGGCCGCGCTGCCTGCTTCCCTACCTACCTAGGCACCTACCTTACTACGTGCGTGCGTGCGTGGGTAGGTATGTGTGCCCGACTGGAGCCGGGGCGCGCGATTGGCTGGGCTGGCTGGCGCTGGCGGGCGCTGACGGGTGAGTGGGTGAATGAATGCTGTGTGCTGTTGTTTCCTCCTGCTGCTGCGGTGCGGTGCGGCTGTTTTCGGCGCATACCTACCACCTGCCGGCGCTCATGTGCTAGCTACCTAGCTAGGTCTTATGTAAGGTAAGGATGTAGAGGTGGGCCTGAGGACGACTGATCTACCTAGGTAGGTACCTAGGCTGTTGGCGCTGTTGGCGGATGCAGAGATAGTGTCCATACCTACTGAGTGGGTTGGATAGACCACCAGAAGGTACCTAGGTACGGCGCACACAGCTGAGTACCACCACCACCGTCTCTCTCTGTGCTCGCACACGACACACACGCAAGGAGGTAACGAGCCCATGTGCTCGCTACGCCCTGCTGCGTCAGCCAGACGGACGGCACACCCACTCACATGTACGTACCTATGTACATACATACCGCCTTCCGCCTTCCGCCTTCCGCCTCACGTCTGCCTACATCTGCCTGCTTACACACACACGCACACACAGCCATCCGCCTCCATCCGCCTACAAGGCAACCACCACCCCAACCCAACCCACCGCCCCTTCTGCCCCATCCCACGCATCTGCATCCACGCATCCCCCGTCCCCCGTCCCCGCCCCTTGGATCCTCACTCACTCACTGACTGCAACCCCACGCCCCACGCTTCGCACCTCGCACCTCCCGCCTCACGCCTCACGCCTCACGCCCAACCACCGCACCACCCGACCGTTGCACCACAGCAGCAGCAACAACAACAACACACGCACCCATTCACCCAACCCTTCCGCACAGCAAGCTCTGCAGCACAGCACTGCACCCACAGCACCCACCCGCCCACCCGCCCGCCGTCCCGCAGCCGCAGCGGCCCGACCCGCATCCCCAACAACCCAGGCAGCCAACCACCCGCCCATGCAAGCAATGCGCCTCTGCAGCTGCATTCAAGCACTCGATGCAAGAGCCAAAAGCAAAAGCCAGCCAACAGACCAGCCCCAAACCAACCAACCCGCAGCGCAGCGCGGAAAGGCAAGGCACGAAGGCAAGGCACGAAAGACAAGGCATGAAAGCCGCACCCGCGCACGCATGCGCACGCAAGCGCCTGCCAAAAATAACCCAACCCACCTCCCTACATATACACATACATGTACACATATATACATACATACACATATACATCCTGCGTGATGGAATCTCTGCCGCGCGCGCTTGCGTGTATGCGTCGAATATTCAAACGCGCGGGTACGCGTACGTGGTGCGTAGCTACTGCACGGCACCGTCGATCGGGGCGATCGTCGTGCGGAATCCGGGACTAGGGTGTGTGTGCTGTGCGTGCAGAGGGACGAGGCGAGCAAAAAGTACCTAAGCTTGCAAGTACGAGAGAGAGAGAAACGAGAGAGAAACAGAAGGGGACAGAGAAGAGGCAGGTAAGCATGAGAGGAGAAAGAGAATCGGAGATTTGTTCGTTCTTTGTTGTCGTCATCGTCGTCATAAAAGTCTATATACTTGGTGAGAATAATAAGTAGACAAGAAGCAGAAAAAATAACAGTAGGTACTGTAGGTAGGTATGTAGGCGCTGGCTGTGCGTATATGTACGTACTAGATCGTATGTATCCATGTATGTAGGTATGTGTGAGAGCGTGAGTGGACGACCGTCACCGCGCCGCCTAACTGACTGACTGACTGACTGGCTGGTCGCTTGCTCGCCTTCCCCCCTTTCTCGCGCAGCCCGTCTCTCCCCCCATTACCGTCTCTTCTGTACACGTTCCGTTCTGCCCCAGCGTGTCCAGCACCGGCGGCACACCCACGCCCACGTTCACTCCTCTCTTCAATCCCACCCCGCTTGCCCACTCTTTTGGATATCCTATCACCGCACACAACTTCCTTTCCCACCTCTTCACCACAATCACACCACACCATATCGCACCCTTGATGCAAACCCACTAGCACCACCTCCCTACAGACTCCCTGGCGCACCAGGCCCTTGCCCAAAGAAAAACCCGTCAAACAGGTCAAACGCGTTCCCGTCGCTCCAGTCATGGTTCCCCACCGCATCGCCCAGCTCCATCCCAAACCCCAGGTCCATATTGCCACCGCCGCCCGTCTCGGCGCTCGGCCCCGGCGCGGCACCACCCGGGGGAAACGCGTCGAGGAAGTCGAGGTCCGGGAACGGGTTCACGCCGAGGTCGGGATAGGCCGACTGCGGCGGGATATGCGTCTGGGGCGATGGCTGCTGCTGCTGCGCGCTATACCGGTGCTGTTGCTGGCCAAAGCCCATCTGCTGCTGGTACGGTGACATGTGTGGCTGTTGCTGATGGACGCTATGATGCTGCCGGTGGCCCTGGCTCTGCTGGCGTGGCATCGCCACCGGGCCGGTGGCGGCCTGCTGCGGCTGTGCGTCGAGTGGCGCAGCGCTGAACGGGCCTTGGCTCTGGTTCTGGGCCGGGCTGCCGTGCAGGTGCGCCTCGGGCATGTATGCGCTCGCGCTCGCGGGCCGCTGTTCCTGCTTCGCGCGTTGTTGGTGTTGGAGCCCGTGCGGCCGTATACCTACGAGGCCTAGGCTCGGCCGCCGTAAAGCTCGCGCCTCACTCTCATCGTCGCTGAAGAGGTCACGCAGGTTCATGTCGAATCGTGGATACGGGCGGGGCCCTTTGCCGCTGCCACTATACGATTGTTGAAAATAACTCTGCTGCTGCGGCGGCTGTTGCTGCGGCTGTTGATGCTGTTGCACCTGTTGCTGTTGTTGATTCTGTTGCTGCTGCTGCTGCTGCTGCTGCTGCTGTTGTTGCTGCTGGTAGTTCTGAGGTTGTTCAGAGGAAGGAGAGGGCATAGGGTGAGTTTCTGCAGCAGAGTAGCTAGGCGACGGAGTGTAAACTGGAGCATTAGGAGCAGGGCGGGCTTGCTGGCTGCTGATAGCTTGCGCAGCCTGTGGCCCGAAGCCTGTCGTCGACATGCACATCTGGATGGTAGCTTTGCTCATGCGGTCAAAGGCGTCGCGGCAAGCTTCTGCGGGCGGGCATTTCTCGACAAGATCGCCAAGCACCGAGGTAGCGGCCAGCACAGTGAAATCAACATCGTCAAGAGACTGCAACTTGTCAGTGCACGACCTGCCCTACACAACTAAAGACGACTTACCAGATGACTACGAACCACCGGCGAATGCCAGACGGCGTAAAGAAACGAAATACCTGCCATGAACAGATGGTGCGTGGCCAGAAAGGTGTAGTTCACCAAGTGTACGCGATGTAGCTGGCGATACAACTTGAGCACCTTCTGACCAGCTTCTGCCACCTTCAGGAATACGAATTCTTCGTCTTCCGTTGCTTCAACGTTGACCATAGAGGGACTTGAGACGTCATCCTCCGTCGTCTTCAATTCTTCGGCCAGCACCTGTGGGACACTCAGGCTCTGCCGGTACAGCATTATGACAGCCTGCCAGTAATTCAGTTCCAGGAAAAGGGGTGAGAATTGCACGCCCGTATCAGCCTGAGTCGGAGAAGATTCTTTCCACTCCCAGAGACGGCGGTCAATGTGCCGCCGCCAAGATTGAAAAGATTCATATTTTGCCAAGAACGGAGACGGGAGTTCCGAATGCATCCAGTCGTTGCTTTGGTTTGCTCCGTTCGCACGAGCTTGCTGAGCCTGGCAATGCTGAAGCACTTGGAGGATCTCAGATTGCAAAAGACGGAAGCGGAGATAATGATATGTCACGAACTTGTAGCTCGGCTTCTCGCTCGGTGGAGTCAAGAAGCCTTCCTTGGTGATATACTTGTCATCCAGCAGTGAGGGAAATTCAGTCGTGATGACTTGGTCGGTGATGCCAAAAGGTCGACCGACGCAAGTACTGACCAAGCGGTCGAACGAGTATACGCACCACCACAGACGGCGTCGAAGGTCACGGACCCATTGTCGCCGGCCTCTCTCCTTAGGATTCAGCTTCACAGTGTTACTTGGCTCGGCGGATTCGCTCGAGTCGGGTTCCTGCTTGTGTGAGTTCGTCGTTTCTTCTCCAGTGTTTCCGTCGATGCCTACGCCGTCTTCGTAGTGAAGACCTAGATCCACGCCCAGTCGGACCGCCACGCCCGTGATGTACCACAAACCCGGAGCGACCGGTCTCAGGAGGGCGAAGCCGGCCAGCAGAAGCACGGCCTGCAGCTCTTCCAACCCTCCGCCGAAGCCGTCGGGACGATCCACGGCCGGGTTGGAGCCGAGAAAGCTCTCGAGGTGCACTATAGCCGAAGCATGGTACTCCTCGGGCTGAGACTGGACGCCGGAGATCCTCCTCCGCTTGCCGGGCGGTGACTGAGGGGGTTTCATGGCGCCGTTCGAGCCATCAGGGTCAGGCGATTCGGAAGAATCGGAAGAGCCCATGATGATGCCGGCGCCAATAGCAAAGACAATGTTAAGCATGTAGAGCTCCCTGCTGGTCCTGGCGGACTCATCGGCGGCATAAGCGTGGTCGAACATGGCCATGAACTCACCGCGGTGGAGAATGGGGATCTGAGGGTTGGCATGCTCAAAGTACAGGTCCACCAGGCGCAGGGCCAGGTCGCGCTCGGGGAAGGGCGCCTGACGTATGTTGGGTTTCGTGTGCAGGCCGAAGAAGGAGTCCCTCATGGACGTGCCACTGGCGGCCGCAGATCCCGGCAGCGGCTTGCTGGCCTTGGTACTACCCTTTTCCGACGAGGCGCCCGACACGGAGCTCTTCACCGCCGCAAACACGACGCGCGCAAAGGAGATGCCGGAGGTTGAGCCCAAGTAGCGGGGGTCGGATGCCCCCTGCACCGAGACCATGCCAATATTCGACACCATTTTATTGATCTTCTCGCGATCGTGCTGCCGGTCCCGGGCCTGAGCCAGGGCCTGCTGCTCGAGCGAGAAGGTGGGCTGGCCAGTAGGCGGCTTGAAGCTCAGGGCAAAGTGCTCGGGGGGCGCGTAGGCAATGGCGTTGTCGCGCAGCAGCGATTGCAGGTAGGCGACGCGACTCTCGAGATAGTAGACGTAGCTGCACAGGGTCAGCCAAGACAGCACACTTGCGCATGGCCGACGCACCTTCGCGGGATCTCCCTCTTGGTGATGGGATCGTAGCCGACGCATTTAACATGGGCCTTTTCGCAGCTGGCGCAGGCGGGCAGGCGCTGGTCGCAGCGGTTCTTGCGCAGGCGGCACCGGTTGCACGCCGAGACATTGCGGAAGGACGAGGGCGACTGTGCGGGCGAGTCGACGGGCGAGGCGGCGCCGTCGTCATTATTCGAGGATGCCTCTCGCGGGCGCTTGGGAGCCGTCATGGGGCATGTCTTGCCTCGCGCGCAGCAGCACACCCTGCACACCGACTGTAGGGCGGCGGAACCGGGCGCGCGGTGCTGCGCAGGATGCTGCTGCTGCTGCTACTGCTGCTGCTGATGATGCTGCCGTGCAGTGCAGGGCGGTGCAGGGCGGTGCAGCAGCAGATGGGGGCGGGCGCGACGACAACGACGACGGCGAAGGTGCGGTGCTGCTGCGCTGTGTGCTGTGCGTGTGCTTGTTTTGCCTTGCGCACTGCCGCTGCGCTGGTGCGTTGGAGTCTGGCTATCGGTGGGACCGAGCGGCGGGACGCTTCTCCACCTGCCAAAACCGTGCGTCCTTCGAGAAAAAAAGCAAATCCTCACAGACCCTCTCATGAAACCCGGATGACGACGTGCAGTCGACGATCACTTGATACGAACGCGGCTGTGACGGAAGCTGAGTCAATTGCTGGCTACCTACAGCCCAACCTTCCACCCTCCAGCTGTTCCCACCCCCAAGCGCCACGTCCCGGTCCCCGGCCCTCCCTTTGCTGTCAATGGAGCCTTGCGCCCCCATGCTCTATCTAGTACAAACCAATCAAACAAATCAATCAAAAACAATCAATCAATCAATCAATCGCCCAAAACTCCGCCCTGATGCTAGTTCTGTGTGTGTGTGAGTGTATGAGAGAGAAAAACGTCCATCGAGGTAGGGGGGGAAAGGGGACAGCAAATAAACAAAAACAAAAAAACAAATCGCTAAAATAGGGAAATCGTCATAGCAGTCGCCCGTGAACTGCCTGGTATCATGCCTTTCCCTGAACTCCAGATGCCCCCCCTTTTTGGCACTCGTAATGCCCCTTTTCTACGCTTTCCATTACCCCCCTCTTGTTGAGTGTGCGTGAATCCGTCCGCACTGTCGTTAATACTGTTCTTTCGAGGCGCCCGAGTGGTCTTCCTCAACACCCTCGTGCAAGGTTTGCCCCTGGACCGGGTTGCCATCGGCCGCAATGTACGACGCGCTCAGCGCGTTGGGGTCAAGGAGCGCCTCGCCGCTCTCCTCGTCCGTCTCGTACTCGCTGCTTTCCACCTTCTCAAAGCGCGTCTTCACCTCCCTCATGAACAGACTCTCAGTGGCGCCGACAGTGGCCACCAGGGCGCACGCCCACCACGAGAGACCAGAGTAACCCAGACTGAGACCAGCAGACTGGATGAGACCAGAGACCGTCGGGCCGAAGGCGCGGCACAGACTCGCAGAGGAGGCAGCTACGCCATTGAGCGTGCCGAGCACCTTCTTGGACGGCGCCGAGTTGGCCAGCATGATCGCGTTCGAGGGGTAGGAGAGTGACTGGGCCGTGACCTTCCAGAAGAGGACCAGAAGCACGCCGGCCATGCGCATGCTGGTGGGAAGGAGAGTCAGATATGGCGTCATGGCGTACAGGAAAGGGTATGCGAAGATGACGGCGCGGAATGTCGTCAGACTGCCAAATCTGCGGCTGATGACGGGGAAGATGAAGACCTGAACAATCATCTGCATGAACCCCTGAAAGGAGAGGATAAATCCGATGGTCTTTGCGGGCAGGGCGAAACCGCCGACAAACCTGAAGGGCAAGTGGGCCGGCTCGTGCGACTCTGGCATGCTCATCAGGACAGGGAGGAGCTGTTCGAAGGAGATGGTGTGGAAAGCCAGGATACCATAGCCGACAATGTTCAGAATAACCTGTGGAGTAAAGGCAGAGCGCATTGACGGCTTCGGCTGCGGGGACCTTCTTGGTGGTGGCGAGCGGATCGAAGACGCGTTGGCGGCCTGAAAGCGCGAGGCCTCGAGCAGCGGCGATCCCTCGGTCGAGTGGTAGCCGGGGGGCTGCTCGTCCTCGGAGTCCTCAGCCAGCAAGTAGCAGGTCTGCTCAATGTAGCCGGCCTTTGCGGCCAGGGCCATGTCGTCGGGGCGGCCGCGCAGCTTGCGCAAAATCCATTTGCCGCACTCGAGGCCGGGGTCAAAGCGGTCCTTCTTGTCCTCGTGCGTCTCCTCGAGGAAGAGGAGGCCAATGACAAGGCCGCACAGGACGACCGTGGTGCACACCAGGTTCGGAAGGAGATAGGGGAAACGGTCGAACAGGGAGCCAGGCAGGAAGACGCTGGGATAGCCCTTGGCGGGTTCAGCCAGGGTGCCGCCCAAACCGGACCCGATGATGGAGCTACGCGAAGATCGTTAGTCGACTTTTTCCACGTGGCTGTCGGCAGGAATTCGGACGTACCCAAGACACCAAACAAATGGCATGATCGAATATGCGCGCGCTGTGTTTCACCGTCAGCCTGTCACTAGTTCCCGTGCGCGCGACTCAGCACTTACGCTGCTGCGACTCGACCGTCACCACCTCTGCGACTGTCGTCTGAAGCACACCGATGTTGCTGCAAGGCGCATGCGTCAGCGAATCAAGCTTTCTCGCTTGCGCGCAAAAGGAAATGTCGGTGACTGCGCGTCAATCAAAAACTCACCCGTTCAACAACCCGCCCAACGCGCGTGCCAGCAGCGCAACGGGCAGGTTGGGCGCAAGGCCGAACAGCAGCATGCTCAGCCCCGTGCCCGCCAGCCCGGTGAGGAGAATGGGCTTCCGTCCGAACCGGTCGCTGAGCCTGCCCCACATGACTCCAGTCATGAATTCTGCAAACGCAAACGCCGACGTGACCATGCCCGCGTACATGGCAATCTGCTTCTCGTCCGTCGTGATGTTGAACGACGAGACCATGTAGTAGATGTACGGGAAAATAGACATGAATGCAATCGGCTCGGCGATGCGGCATAGAGCTGCGGCGCCATGGTCAGCAATCGTCTTGTTGTTGTTGTGTGTGTGTTTGTGTCTTTTGTTCTTGTTCTTGTTCATGTTCTTGTGTTGATATGTAATGGGTGATGGTGATGGTGGTGATAGTGGTAAATACCTAGCACGAACAACTGCTGCGCCGGGAATGGTACGTTGCCATCCGGGCTGGCAGAAGCCCTCCGATGACGGGCGCGACAGCTCAGCATGGTGGAGAGGTCGAGGGAGGGACTGGTCTTGACGGCGGAGGAGGAGGAGGTGGTGGTGGTGGAGGGGTTGAGGGAAGAAAGGAAGGACTTGAAGAAGAGCGTCTCTTGGGGGGAGCGGCCAGGCGGGGGTTATATGGGCGAGGTTCACTGTGTCATCTAGACACGATAAGATTTAGCACAGTGGCGTAGGGCAGACGGGCTTATTGCAGGAGGCAAGGGTAGACCAGCCGGGGAAGTCGGGGCGTGATGGAGTCGGGTGCCAGATGACACAAGAGCGGGTAGGAGCAGCGGGCGGACGGGACGGGGCCATGATATAGGGCAAAGAGGCGGTGATGGTAAGCGAACGGATTCGCTGGCAGGGCAGACCCAACATGAGGTTGTGTACGGCGCCCAAGCTTGGGATGTGCGGCCCCTGAGTGTTTGGCAGCCAAGCGAAGCGGGTAGTACAGGAAGCGGCTGCCAAAAGTAAGGCGGGCTGAGACTTTGGGCGGTGCGGCGGCCGGGATGACATCCACCGATCAGCGGCTGGCCGGCCTGCCGGTACGCTACTGGGATTGACTTTGGTGCTAAGTGCCGTTGCCCCCTTTCGCCGGGCCCTGCGAGACAGGGGCTTGCGGCTCCGGTGGTGACGGGCAAATTGCAGGCCCAAGCCCGGCCTTCGAGAAGCCTTCCGCCCTCGGGGCACGCGGCGGCAGAAACTCGCGGCGGCATCGGCAAGTGCCCCGATAGCATCATCAGCTGAGGCAGCGTGGCAGTGTTATCCCTGCGCGCGCGTGTCGGCCTCGTCGAACGGCCGATCTCAGTCGGAACGTGGCCCACGCAACCTGATTCGCCCGGGGAGCCATCCTTGGGCAGCCTGCCGAACCTTCCGCGCCCTCGTCTCTCACCACCGTGTCTGGGGTACCGCCCGACGTCATGCCCGTCACTTGACGACCTGCGCGCCGCCTCGTGTGGTGCCAGCACCGCGGCTGTACCACCTGTCCAACTCCCCACTTTTGCTGCAGCGCCCGTCCCCGGTCCTTGGGCAAGCCATGTCGTGCCAATATAAAGCCGGGCGAATGCCAGCGTGCCGAGTTGTCCTGACCCCCGTCGCACATCTCCATGACCCGTGAGACAGCCAGATCTCCCGCTGCCTGTCTGTCTTCACCGCCAACGTGACGTGTGGCGAGGTTTGACTGGTGCTTCCCCGCCGTCTCTTGCAGGCCCTGTCCGACCAGAGATGCGCTGGCTGCTGGCGTGACGCGAATATTGGAGAAACCCGGCGCGTGGATGCGAGGGGCAGTGCGAGCGTTGCATTCATCCCACTTCCCGCATCCGGAAATGTGACAACAGAGCCTTTCTGTGCGACGTGTAGTAGCTAGGGCGAAGAAAAAACAAAACACGCGAGAGAAAGAAAAAAAAAATCAAAAACAAAATCAAAAATCAAAACTGAAGCGGGGGGACGCGGCTCTAGACCGCCACAACGCTGTGGTGACAAGCGTGCATATGGCGTGAACGAGTGTAGTTTCTTTTTGCGTGCGATGCTGCAAGGGCGGGCATTGAGATTGTCGATGGATGAGATGTGACTGATGATCGCGGTTCGCGGCCGAGTGGGAGGATCGCGAGCCGAAACAGATCCCCCGTTGACTAAGGCATCAAGGCTCCACTCACATGATAGGCTCGTCCCCTCCTCTTCCTCCCCGCCCCGCCACCTCCGCCCCTCAATCTACAAAAGTCATCATGCCCTTGCTGGGGCCCACGTTGGCCCTGCCCGCTCTCCAGAAGCAAAATCTCCTAGTGGAGTTGTAGGTGCGCGTCCGCCCGCCGCGTCGTCCGGCGCTCTGACGCCGTAAACAGTGCCAGCCTCCGCCATACCTGCCCCGATGGCATCTACATGAGCATCCTCCCGGAGGACGCCTCCATCTGGACTGGCGTCATCTTCGTCCGCAAAGGTGGGCATGTGCTCGCCGCCCTCAAAAGCGGGGCATTTCCTGCACCTGCTCAGGGGAACTAACCGCTTGCATCTCAAGGCCCTTATGCACCAGCAATCCTCCGCGTCCAGATATCCTTCCCCTCTACGTATCCAGCCGTCCCGCCGCTAGTGACGTTCTCTACCGACATCTTCCACCCCCTGGTCACCCCACTCACCACCTACACTTACACGACCGGCTCAGCTAGCGGCGACACGGTAAGCGCTACCGACGAGCAGAGGCTCCCGCCTGGCGGCTTTAGCTTGAGGCACGGGTTCCCGCAATGGTTCCAGCGCCCTCCCCGAAGCCCCTCCACGCCCCGCATTCTCCCTGGGGCCTTGAGCGTGGCGCCCGTGGTCCACGAGGCTGGCCCCACCCCCGAGATGGACTTTGAGTCCCCGCCGGTGGTGAAGATCCTCAAGTACGTCCAAGACACCTTCACCGACGAGGCCATCCTGGACACGATTACGGTCGAGTCGGCGGCGAACCCTGGCGCGTATCATGCTTGGCAGTCCTACAGGGAGACGCAGAATACCGAGGCGCAGCCGATGAAGAAGGACGCAGGCCCCCCGGCGACGAGGTCCCGACGGCCCGGCGAGTGGAACTGGGAGGGCGTGTGGGAGGAACGGGTCAAGAAGGGCATTCAGATGTGCACGTCGGACGCCGTGGTGCACGCGAGCGGCGAGGGGGGTGACGAAGTGGTAGGTACCGGGCGGCCGACGACGCGATCCCCCGCTGACGGACAACAGGTACGCTTCGCGGCCATTGATGCAGAGACGTACGAGAGTGCCAAGAACCGGCTGATGGCCGAGAAAGAGAAGGAGACGTAGAGGGCGATAGTTGCGTTGCTTCGAATTGATGCGTGGTTTGACTTGCTGCATGGAGATGTGGTGTTGGTGACCGTGACTATCAAGGTACTAGCCTGGGTGCCTGATTGATGCCTCAGCAGGGTGCCTTCCCAAAGTGGAAGGGGAGCAGCACCGCGCGCCTGCCTGTCGCCGGGCACGCGCAGAGAACATGGATGCACCGTCGACCGCCAATCCCTATCCTGCCACAACCAACACCATGGCACCCTCCTCCAGCCCCTCGGGACTCCCTACAGGGGAGCTTAAAGTCCGCAAACGCCGCGAGAACAGGTCATCTGCCGCTGAAACCGGTGGCGTCCAATATCAGACGTTCGCCGAAGATGAGCAGAAAGCGGTTGAATCTCCGCTCCAGGGTCCTCGGGATCAACCCTCCTCCCCGGCCCGTACCCAGAGCTCGCTGCACCGGCGGAAGTCGTCAAAGAACAAGGTCTTCTCCAAGGTACTGGGAACCATCCAGAACGGCAGATCGCATCCCGGCCATCACGGCCCTCGGAACGGTCAATCGGACGGCGGCCTCTTTAGACGCCTTTCACTGAAGAGGGCGGCTCAGCTCCCTGCTCGCTCCAAAAGCAACGAGCTGCCCATGCCAGCCTCGTCCACACCGTAAGTGCCTCCGCCGCCCCCCCTGTCGCGGCAGCCGCGGCAATGCACCTCATGCGTCTGTCGGCCTCAGTGACCGCCTAGCCGCTACACCCCGGCCTTATTGTTAACGATCGACAAGGCTTCTCACCCCGCAGGTCACTCATGCAAGCCTCGGACCCAACCAGGCTCTTTCCGGTGCAAAAGAAACATCGCCACAGCTAACCCTGCCGCTGCCTGCACCCGAAAAGGGTCCGGCTCAGGACGGAAATCCCAAACTGGCACCGCCACATAATCTTGGCGTCGACCTTAACTTGATGCCTGAAACAGACACCCTGAGCTTATACAAGGAGAGGTCCCTCTGGATAGCCGTTGAAGTGGCAGGGGTCCTGAGAGGAGCCGAGGGGCATGATCCTCCCGCTTCGCGTGCAGCTATTGATGCCGTGCTCATTATTGACAATTCGTAAGTCTCCCGGCCCTCACCTGATGCAGGGTTTGTTTTCCCAGGCTCAATAGCGGCACAGGAGATATGCGTCTCCGGCATGCCTTGAGGCCGCATGTGAGATTGCGCTCCGAATCTCGCAGTTGATGTCCGACCCCGAAGACCGGATCGCAATCATCTGTACATCCTGCCGCCATCGATCTCGCATTTTAAACGCATCTGGATGCCTGCTACATCCGCTCAAGCCCCCGAACCTCAAGGTGATTGGCCAGGAGATACGCGCAATCCGATCCCTGTCGACTCAACCGCCAGCTGCTGGCGGAAAACTCGGTGACACCCTGCATGAAGCGATAAAAATTCTTTCCGACCCAACAAATGGCCCTGATGTCCTCCGCCTCAACCAGAGCCATGTTTTCATCATCTCGCCGCAGTCGCCAGGTAACCGGATCCCAAGCGATAGTTTTGCACCGATCACTGTGCATGCAATCTGCCCGGCCGTCATACCTTACCAGAGTAAGACAATGCAGGCGGATGCGTGGAAGCCATCGGCCGAGCCGCTGTCCATCGTTGGGCAGTATGACTGTACCAGAAAATACTTGCATGAAAATTCAGCGTGGTTGCCCGATATTCTTGCACATTGTCGACGTGGACACGCATACGGCTGTATCAAGGACCTGCAACTTGCCATCAGGCCACATTCGAAATGTGTAATCGAGAGCGTCCTTGGTCCGACCACCATCAACATACTTGAGGTTGGTCAAACTATGACCATCTTGCTAAACGTCAGGATCCCAGCATCCTTGTCCGCAAGCCGCGAGCCCCCTCCAACGAGTTCAATTACCAATTTCGACGACGCGGTTTCTGAACTAGAGATACTGCTTGGAGAGGCTGTCACAGAGCTCTTTACTATTCGAGCGCGTTACAACCAGTCTGTATCCCCTGCTGACGCTGCCGTTCGTACAGAAACCATGTGCAGCATCCGTAGATCCAACCCGTTCTCACAATGGAGCATCGACCCTCGCGGGGATATATTGTCAGCTCCAAACAATGAGATTGAGCTTTGCAAACGACTGGCCTACTTTATCGCCACGCAGAATCCTGTGCAGGAAGCATTGAAAACTTTAGATGCTTTCTCAAACAGTCCAGGATTACCACACACATGCTTTCCTTACATCAATAGTATTCGCCAAGAGTTACGGTATCAAATATATACCCTGCAGCCTCGAACAAGTATACCTTTGACTACTGCTGTCCCAGTTTTGGCGCCGTCAATGCCCTCCATAGGAATTGTCCCGTCAGGGCCAACTGTTACGCGTAAGGAACCTATGAAAAATATTACAGGCGGGCCTCGCCACTATCCATCTCACCCGCATTTCTCTTTCGAGCCCCATGACAGTCTCCGCTTTACTGCTGTGACTCCAACACCACCTCCGGCGCATCGCTCCGTGTCAACGTCTCAACTTACGACCCCTGGAAACAGCGACATACACGAACACAGCCCCGACAATACCTCGCCAGCAGTCAAAGCATCGCCGCCCAAAAGCAGGCCCCTTTCAGGGGAGTCGGAAGCCAGTGCAACGTCAGTAGACGAGGCGCGCGCTATATGGCGCGAGATGCGGCGGGACTCGCAGCCGCGTCGCGGCGTCGAGTCAGTTTGCCAGGGTAAAGACGGCCTCACAGTGGGCGTCTGGCTCCCAGAGGAGAGGGTCGTCGAGCAGCAGCTGAAGGAACAGGAGATCAGGCGCAAGGCTGTGGCCAACAAGCGCAGCATCGGCGCGGATACGCTGAGAAGCCTGGCCATGGGAGGATGTGAACAGCTGGGCAGCGGCAGATCGGGATATGCGCCGTGGATGGTTTAGGTTTAGGCTGAGATGACGAGCGCGTGTACTGGCTTCGGGAAGTGGGTAGATGTTCCTACTGGATGGATAGGCGCAGTTAGATAGCGGGGAAGGCGGCAGTGTTACGTTTGGTTGTTGTCGGGTGTAGGGTAGGTAGGTAACTATGACTATTCGACGCGTGTTGTTGCACAACAACTACTACGGAACTGCACCACCGCCATCACGACGTCTCTCGTCAGCGACACATCGCGCTGCGTAACTGCCTGCCCGCCTGGCTCCTCCGGGTACGAGCCGGAAGGTCGGCTGGTAACTTTGTGCTCTCGGAAATGTTTCCGATGGTTTAGCCGGTTCCGCGGACGACGGCGATTGGACGATGCTTTAAGCGCTGGTGTTGTGTGTTCAACGGGCAAAAAAGAAAGCTAATAGCTATGTATCCCTGACATGTTACTCTACCCGGGTCTTCCAGCTATGTGCAACGGCTACATGGATAGCGGCCGCTACATGGATAACCACAACCATAGACCGCCGGAGTAAGCGGTTTGAGAGTTCGTCGATCAGGTGGCGGGTCACGCCAGGCTCTGCTGATGATGAAGGCGACTGATCTGCGCTCTGCCTGGGGTTCCGAGTGATTGGTGTATTGGAGGGTGTCGGAGATTTTGGTCGGGTTTGTCGGGAGGGCGTTCCTTTTGGTTAGGGGGGAGCGGGTAGTGGAGGGATTGGTGGTGGGGGATTTGGAATCTGAGATCCGTTGTGCGGGGCTGAAGAGGGGGTTTGGGAAGGGTTTGAGGGGGACTGGGTAGGATTTGGGTTTCTCATTTGCGGAGCTCGGGGTTAGTTCGTTCTCATGGGATGGAATTCGTGGGTTGGGATGCCTTCTTGATCAAGATCAAATACACTGAAGGCTGATGAGACCAGATCAAACTAAAACTGTTTCTTCTATGCCCGTACTGGATTTGATCCGGTGTGGAGGTGATGCAGGTAATGAATTCCTTTCTTAAGGTATCTCGTAGTGCTTCCCCAGACTTCAATTTCGTCACTGTTCTTATTGTTTGTTTAATTAACTTCATTGATAGCTTAGGATATTTTGAGATGTAAGTATCATAACCTCTACTACCAAGGGTACTCCTCCAAATATTGGTTTTATTGTACTTCAATGGTTTCCAGCATCGGTTTTGATCGGAGAAGTTGAGTATGGACCTTCTCCCTTTGTATCATCTTACTTGCTCGCAGTCTCAGTCATCAACTGCCATTTTTTGTCTTTTCACAACAAGCATCGGCGCAATATCCGCGATTTAGATTGAAGCAAATGACAAATATCGACGACCAAACCAATTCCACCATGAAGGCTTACCTCGATACCACTACGGGCATGCTCATAAACCTTTAATTCTTCATGGCATTAGACAACATACTCGAGTGCTGACCCCTATCTGCCGCCTAACCTGTTCACCGATTATTGGAGGAACAGGCTGATTGCCCGGGGAATTTCTTTCAGCTTGAACCGGATGTCTGGAAAATCGAATTCTCTAAGCTTTTATTCAATACATTAAGGACAACATTTCCTTGTCGTGGTATTAAAATTCTCATTCAAAGATAACTACGCCTCTAAGGTAACGAGCAGCTACACGGGCCATTTTTGAAACCATAAAGTACACGAACCGTTATTTGAAAGAACTTACTGCGCGGTTAAGTGTCTATCATCTTCACTCTCACTGATGAGTGGAGCTCCCCGCCTTAAGTAGATACTGATTCAATTAACAAAAATTTTAGGTTATTTGTTCGTTAAAAATAATATGAAATAATAACAAATATTTAGAACTTTCTCCATGCCGGGATACGTTAGTTTCATCTTGCTCGAGATTTGCCGGCTGTGTTAGTACTGCCGCACTGTGTCAGTTCAGGATATTTATAGTTATGAAAATAAATATTCACTGTCAATAAGTCTAGTTTAGAAAATCTTTTACTATCCATATTAAGTAGCAGATAATTCATCCTAGGCACATAAATATGTCAGCCAGGATCACTCCGATAACTCTCGTTTTTTCAGCCTTATTACAGTCAGTTGTTACACTACAGCCTTACCCCTTACACCACACGTTTATCCACTGCAAGGAAATAAGGATCTTAAAGAGAAAACGTGTTCTTTTAGATAGCAGCATATATACCCCCATAGGTCGTAGTAATTTAGGAGGACAAGCGGCGTCCAATTCCTCGCGCCTAGCTTCACAAAATACTAAAGGTAGATATCAAATAGGCTAAAATCATACTGCTTTACAAATCCCTAGGTAGTAAACCTTTTTAGTATAATTTGCTCTCTCGTTCCTTTAATAAATTTTGGAAGAAACGCAAAACCGCAAAACATCTTCTTAGTAACCCTCACGTGTAATTTGCATGTCGTGGCTATGCCGACAGAAAGTGAGGGGTCTTGGGACTTAGAGCCAGATGATTGGTTGCTCGCTCAGCAACCTTGTCGTGACACTTGCTCAGCCCCGTCAGCCTCGTCTTTTCAGACGAAGCGTGCTCCTCACTTCATCTGTCCGTCGTACTCCCTCTTGTCTGCTTTCTCGTCTGGTCCGTGTGTCACTGTAAAGCTTTGTATCTCGGTCAGGATTGCCGCCGACTGTAGCACCCTTTCTTCTCTGCCACTCAAAGTATCTAGGTGCTCAGCCTCGTCAAGATGGAGGCTCTTGCGGCGATTGGCCTTGCAGGCAATATTGCCCAGTTCCTCGACTTCGGGTTCAGAATCTTGTCGCAAAGCCGAGAGCTATACCGGTCAGGAAGCGGTTCTCTTCAGGAGAATATTGACCTCGAAAACGTCACCACAGACCTCGAACGATTGGTAGAAGGTTTGGCCGTAAAACCTTCACAGCAGTGTGCTTCTCAAGATGACATTCGACTTTCCAAGTTGGCTGCCTCTTGTCAAAGCACATCAAATGATCTAGTCATGTTGCTGGGGGATTTGAAGATGGGGGAAAATCCCCCAAGAAAGAGATGGTATTCATTCCGCTATGCTATACGTACTTGGAGGAAGAAGAGCCGGCTTCAAGAACTCCAACAGCGACTTGAAATGTTCAGAAATCAGGTCAACGTCCACCTGCTATCGGATATAAAGTAAATACTTACCACGTTAAAGAATGACTGAAAGGGGATTTCAAGCTAACATATCCAAGGACAGCTGTCAATTCCATTGAAGATCTGTCGCTGAGCAGTCTGAATTACGTCAAAATACTACTACAAGGAATGCAACAACCCAACACCGTAACTGACCTCAATTACTCCCAGAAAATAATGGAGTCACTACACATCATTGAGAAATTTCTGGAGATGAGAGAGCAGGACGTCGTAAAGAGCAAAAACAAGACCGTCCTTGGGAGTTTGCGCTTTGAATCATTCCACCTTCGGGATTCTCAAGTCAAAGAGGCACACAAATAAACATTTGAATGGGCATTCGACGATCCAAACGTCCGTTTGAAAAACTGGCTTGAATCCCAAAACGGAATCTTCTGGGTTACCGGAAAAGCTGGATCGGGGAAATCAACTTTCATGAAATTTATCTACAACCACTCAACAACCCAGCAAGCTCTAAAGGAATGGGGCAGCCTTGACAAAGTTGAAACTGCTCAATTCTACTTCTGGAATGCGGGAAACCAGATGCAAAAGTCCTTAGAAGGCCTTCTACAATCACTGGTGCATCAAGTCCTTGAAAGGTACCAGTCATTAATCCCGACCGTCTGCCCATCAAGATGGGAAGAGGCAGAGTTTACGGAGCAACTGAAGCCTTGGACCTACGACGAGCTCTCTGATGCTCTACGGGCATTAGCCAGGCAAAATCTTCATAACACAAAGTTCTGTTTCTTTGTCGACGGCCTTGACGAATACGACATAACTACATCCGACAGAGACCACAAAGATCTTGTCTGAATGTTAAAGGACTTGGCGTCTGCACCAAACATAAAGCTGTGTGTTTCCAGTCGGCAGTGGGAAGTATTTGAGCAGGAGCGTGGAAAGATGGAATGGAAGCTCCGTTTGCAGGATTTGACAAGAAACGACATCAGGCTCTATGTCGCTCACAGTCTGGAATCCGACAGCCGGTTCAAAAGCCTTCAACTGAGAGATGGCAATTGTGCGAGCCTAGTGGATCTTATCAGTAACAAGTCCCAGGGTGTCTTTTTGTGGGTGTATCTTGTGGTCCGCTCACTTCTGCGCGGCCTACAAGAAGAAGACAATGCCTCCGAATTACTGGGACGGGTCGAACAACTACCTGAAGATCTGGAAACATACTTTAAGCTCATGTTCGAGTCAATTGAAAAGTATCACCGAAGGCAAGCGGCCGAGATACTTCAAGTTGCCATTGCAGCAGAAGAACCACAATCGATTGCTGCCTATTCATTCCTAGACCTAGAGCGCCAGGAACCAGAATATGCTTGGAACATGCCTCTGAGAGAGATATCTGATTTGGAGGCCGAAGAAATGTATTTGAAAATGCGCAACCGCCTGGATGCACGCGCAAAAGACCTTCTAGAGGTGCAGCTCTCGCCTTCGACAGATACTAGCATGCCGCTGTTTCTTCGCTATCAGGTTACCTTCCTTCACCGAACAGTTAAAGATTTCCTCGAGACCAAAGACATGGATAACCTTCTACGTCAAAATGCACCAGGTTTTCAGCCTCTTGCGAGTCTGTGCAAGGCATCCTTGGGTCAAATCAAATCCTTGGATTGGACAAGCAAAATCCCACACGGAGTTTGGTTAATAGACTATCCTTCAAGGGTCAGAATCATATTTGAAGATGTGTTCGAATCTGAGGCATGCAAACGGCCACTAAGAAGGCAAGATACTGAAACGAGTCAACCAAACGGTAGCAGTCCGGATTTTCTCTCTCTTGTGGTATTGCAGCTGATTTATATCACATTTTTGGTGGGTTACATTCCTCATCGTGATAAAGGGCTGCCATCAGCCATGGAGTACGCCCTCAATCCGAATATACATATTTCATCCGGAAAGCAAGCGATTTACTAGCCTTTGTGTTGGAAAAACTCGAGGAAAGGAAAGATCCGAAGCAGGGACAAACAAGTCAGGGCAGTATAACCGTCGAACGGAAAGAAGGAACTCAAGAATCTATGTCGGCGTTTGCTGCTATACGGCGTTGGATCACCGGAAAGTGAGAATGCTGTTTGGAGTCGGAGTTTGCTGGTATTTGTATAGCGCTGAATGGCTGGGAAAATAACATTATCGTTTTCCAACATCCAAGCAACCTGACCTACAAAAACCTCTCCATCAACTCCCTCACCCTCTCCAACGGCAACGCCTCAACCCTCCTCCCCCCCGCCCCCACCATCGTCTCCGCCATACACAACGCATTCAAGACAGCCTCCTCAACCGCATCCACCGTGGCCTCAAACAGCGCATTAACCGTCTGATCATCCACGACGCGGACCTGCAGCGCCCGTGGCTTGAACGGATCGACGTCGCGCCCCCCCGCCGTGACCGTCTGCACCGGCACCTCCGCCGCCGTACTAAACGCCAAAAAGACGTCGCCGGAGGGATTGTGCGCGTAGCTGCCCACGCGCGCTATGCCCAGCGCCGCGCGCTTGGCCAGCCGCTGCAGCTGCAACGGGTGCAACGGCGCGTCCGTCGCGATGACGATGATGATGCTGCCGTCTTTCTTGTCCTTGGCCTTCTCGATCTCCGCCATAGCCTGCACGCGCGCGGCAGCGGCCGCGTCGTCCGGCTGCGCCGCTGCCGCTTGCTGCGCCTCTGCTTCGAGCAGCCGTCCGATGGGCGCGCCGGCGATGCGCAGGTCGCGCAGGCGGCCGTAGTTCGCTTGTACGAGCACGCCGACGGTGTATTCCGTCGTGTCTTTGTCGACGGACAGTTCGACGTCGGTTGGGACGACGCGGCTGGCGCTGCCGGTGCCGCCTTTGTGGCCATGACACAGCATGCCGGTGCCGCCGCCGGTGTTACCCTCGGGGACGGGGTCAGCGCTCACGCTCTCGATGCCCTGCACGATGTGCTCAGGCTTGATGCTCAGCGCAGCAATGTCGTTCAGGAAGCCATCGAACGTCTCGCCCACGACGGGCAGCATGAACCAGTCGACGGCGCCGGCGGCGTCGCGGTGCCGCGGGATGCAGTACTCGTAGATGCCCTGGTAGGCGGCGCCGACGGCGAACGAGTTCGTGAGCACAATGGGCGAGTGCAGCAGCCCCGTTTCCTCGATCCAGTGCGAGCCCGTCAGCTCGCCGGATCCGTTGAGCCGGAAGATGCCGGCGTAGCAGGCGTGCGAGAAGAAGTCGGCGCGCGGCAGGATCGTCGTTACTCCCGTGCGCACTTCGCCGTGCGTGCTGCTAGCGGGCAGGATCTGCGATTGCGTGTGGCATAGCACGCCTGCGACGTCGGTGAGCGTGTTGTTTGGGCCTGTGGCGTAACGGCCTAGATGTAGAGTTGGCAAGAGGGCGCGGATGCGCTGCCGGGATACAGGTTGGGACTGGGGTTGAGACGACATTGGGGGCGGAATTGAGGAGTTTGGAGAAGAATAAAAAGATATCAAGGCGCAAACCTATTATATATAAACTACCACAGCAGTAGCACAACCGCCCAACATTATCCCAGCCAGCCCGGTCTCCCTATCAAGCGAGTTTTTATAAGTAGTCGAGGTCAATGACTCGCTTGCGAGCTGTTACGACCTTCCTGATCGGGCAAGTGCCGGCGCAGTCCAAACTCGATTCGGATGCGGGGTGCCTATCTAGGTCACCGCCCTTTACCGCAGCGCATGATGCGATCCTGCTACGCAAAGTCGATTGGAGCTTGTGGGTTGGTAGACTGCTCTGTCGATGCGTACGGGTTATCTTGCATGCCTATGGCGCGAAAAGCTGAATCAGCGAGCTTAAAAAATGCAGATAGACACCTTGTTTTGACTTACCTCTTCACTTTATACCTAAAATAATTAATACATCTATAGATATGTTAGACGCAACCCCATTTGAACAGTTCCATTATGCATCTACACCCATGCAGCTGCAAAACAACTTGAACAAGTCAGTACCCTAAAGAGCAAGTATGGCAGCCAAAACAGCATTCTAAGAACATTTTGAATGGCAACTCACCGAAGCAAGCTCGCTCTACTAACAGCAGGGCATACCTCTCAGCCACGACCACTGTACCGAGATCACGTCGGCCGAATATTCAGAAGCCCCTCTAGCAAAATATGATACAAAAGCAAACCGCAACAGCACATCCAGAACGGCCATTGCAGCAGCAGCCACAATGTCCCGACAGCTTTTACGCTCAGTTCCACCAGAAGCTGACACTGAAGCTCGGGCTCAAGCTCCTGACATAGTGCCACCAGCCAATGGGGATATACAAACACTCGCCCGGTCCCAGGACCGTCTCCACGTACTTCGCATTCTTGAACCTGGGATACTTCTCCTCGAACACGCGACGCCGCTTCTCGAGCTTATCAAACTCGCGCTGATCCATCGGCTTCGCTTTGCCAATCTTCCGGTGCGAGTCGCTCCAGCCCTCAAACAGCTCCATGACCTCGCCAATGTCAATGTTGCTGTTGTTCTCCATGGGTACAATGTCCTGGCCGTTGCGCCGGGGATACAGGTTCTCGCGCTCGCTCGGCGCGTACAGGCGCACGTACTTGCTGCCGACAACTTGCGCGAATATGTTGTGGTATGGATCAGTGTGAACAGGTGATACGGTGTTTGCGGGTCCAAACCAGGCATTCAACTGGGGCTCTTCGACTTTGTCAACACGATTGACGAAAGGTGGAGGCGGAGCAGGTGGCGCGTCCGTGTGGCAGTAGTCAGGAATGGCGATGTCAGCGCGCAATGACGGGATTTGGGCGAAGAGGTCATGCTGCGCGAGATAACCAGTTTTTCCACCAGAAGAGCTTTCGCTGCTTATACTCTCGTCAGCAGCGGCTTCGCCATCACTGTCTGGAAGCTCGATCTCTTCGCCAGTCCAGGGGTTGTTCCCGGTGGCGCCTTCGTCAGCGTCCTCTTCGCTCTCCTCGGAATCCTCATCGTCAGTATCATCAACCAGAACATACTCCTCCATAAATTCTCCAAAGGAGATTAAGCCTTGGCCCCAGCCAGCAGCCATGTAGTGCTTTCCGGTCTCAATTGGCACAAGACGACGCCCTCCAAGCGTCTTGCTAAGTAGATAGTGCGGATCGCTCCATGGTCGCTCAGACAAGGCAGGCCAGTGTTCCAGGGCGCCAGTAAGAACAAGAGGAGTCGGTAGGTCGACATCATCAGCCTTTTTCGCTTTCGCGATGTCTAAGTGTTCCTGGAAAGTTGTCATACTTAAGTTGTGGCGTCTGGGGATTGGAAAGCGGAGATTCGGTGCATGAAGAGTATGGTCGGGAAATCTGTCCGGGACATCGAAGTCAAGGGTAGGCACCCTTCTGTGGCCTCGTACTTCCGTAGAGCTTGATTTCTGCTCAGGAGTGCGCACAATGGTAGGGTTGGGCGCCTGCTGAGGGCTGGATGGTTCCCTGGGGCTATCTGCCTTGGTTTGGCTGAGGACTTTCTCAGAGTTGGAAGCACCTGCGGGGTTCTGGTTTTCGCTGAGGATGCGCTCTTCCGACGCCTTGGACTTCTTCGCAGGCCGCTCAACCAAATCAAATGTCATCGGCCGAGCCATGACGGCCTCCTGGCGCCTGCATTCGTTGTCCTCATCCAGGACCTCGGTAAGCCGGGCAAAAAGCCACTCAATGTCCTCAAGCCTGCCCACGGCACCGGCTATGATCTTCGCCCGGTCTAAGACATTGACAATGTCAAAGAGCCAGTCTTGCGACCGCTTGCGGCCCCTAGCCTCGAGTATCTCGACAGCTTGCCAACAACTACCCTCGGTGTACAGGCGGAACCAGTGGTGCGGGACTTCGGTAAAGGGAAAGATGGAATGAATGTGTCGGTGAGCGGCATTGGTCGCGGCCTCGGGGGAAGTTTCGAAATGCTGGAGGTGCGACGGGCATTGTTCATGGAGGCTGTCGTAATCGCGCTTTACGGAGAGGCGAGCGCGGAACTGACGAGCGAGCTCGAGGCGGACGGGGTCGGTGGTGCGCGGCGTCATGTTTCGAGGTGCCGACGGCCTCCTTGCGACGGCATGCCTGCGCGGCGGGGAGAAAAGAAGAGGAGGTTCGGAGGGTTGTGGGGGAGAAGAGGCGGCGGTCGAGTTCAAGGAATCATTGTGAGTTGCGGGGTGGTGACTGCTGCCGTCGCAGACCAAGTCGTCGTGGTGAGTGACAGAATCGGCATTCTTCGGCGGAGGCAGCTGCAACGGCCTCCTTCTCTTTCCCAGAACCGATTCGGCGCCCGTTGGCATTGACAGGTCTGCACGCGATCGCTGTGATCACCATGGACGTGAGACTGCGGGAAGTGACATGGTCCCGTCACCACAACGCCGTCACTTTCCCCACATCGATTAGTCACGGTCTAAACATAGTACTGCACCTAGCGCCAACTAACTACACAATCATCATTGCATTGCACTCTCCAAACACTCACATTGACCCCCTCCTTTTTACAGATCATGATGATGCGTGATCCGTTAAAGTCAAGCCAAGCAGAGCTAAAAAAAAATTACTTTTTAAAAAGACAAGGTCCGCCAGCCACACCACCGCTACCCAGCCAAGCAGGCATTCCCACAACCAACCACCAAACCCCTCAATCCCGTCAAAATGCAAGCAAAAAGCCTCCCTCCATAACCTCAATCACAACAAGAAGCACATGGCATAACAATAAAGATACAGCAACCCTTTGCCACCCTCCCATTACAACCCATTTTAACAGCCTCCAAACCACAATGCCACCACAAACCCAATCCCAAAACACGATTAAACTAATCAAACGACCGCCCCGCAATCCCAAAAGAAAAGAAAAGAAAAGCAAAGCAAAGCAAAGCAAAGCAAAGCAAAGCAAAGCAAAGCAAAGCCAACCCCCTATGGCGCGGAACAGGATATCCCAAAAACCAGAAAACTCAAGATTTAATCAAGACGTTGAAGACGCTGGCGTCCTTCTAATGTGTAGTGGGCAGGGTATCGGAACGAAGGCGCTGAAGAGCAAGAAAGGGGTATGGGTATGGTCGTCGTGTGTCGTATACGTGTATCGTATGCGTGTATCGTGTGCGTGTGTCGTATGCGTATGCGTATGCTGAGATCAGAAAGGATGTTTAGAAATGGTAAAGGGCTGGTGTCGTCACGTCACGTCACGTCGCGGCGCGGTGGTGGTGGTGGTCGTCGTCGTGCGTGGTATCATTCCGGTCGTCGTCGCTCAGGTGCGTATGGGCAGCTTCATCATCTGGCATCGTCCTCTCCTCCTCCTCTCCCTCCCCCTCTTGCACCTCTCCGCCCCTACCGCCCTCCCGTCCCCCAACCCCCGCGCCGCCACCCAGAACACCCATCCGCGCATGCCCTCCCAGCGGCGACACCGGAAACGACACGGTCTGGTCCACGACGCGCGAAAAGACGTGCTCATCGGAGCGGCGCCCCAGCCCCGCCTCCCCCTCCTCCCCCGCACCCGCACCCCCCAACAGCCCGCCCACATCCTGCAAGCGCGGCAGGCCGCCGAGCGCCTGGCCCGCGCCCCCACCGCTGCGCTCCACCATCCCCGTCGACTGGCTCCCTCTGCGGCCGAGCCCCAGGTTCAGACCCAGCCCTAGGTCCTCCCCGTCCCGCGGCGCGAGCTCGAAGCACTCGCCCTCGCGCATCGACCATGGCCGCGGAGACGCCGCCTTGCGATGACGGTTGTGGTGGTGGTGGCTGCCGAATGCCAGGCCACTCAGGTCCTGGAGCAGTACGCGCGAGCCTCTGCGCTGCTGTTGCTGCTGCTGCGGCGGCGGGGAGGGGCCTCGCAGCGGTGGTGGGGCGCTGGTCGGCAAACCGCTGGCCAAGGACATGGAGCGCGGCTTCTCCTGTATGAGGCCGCCGACATCAAAGAACGAGAGGTTTTCGGGCGTCGGATGGTGCGACGCCAGCGAGAGGTCGTGCGGGCTGGGCGCCGGGTCTAGGTCGTCGGCGCCGGCGGCCGCGGGCTTCCAGTACGACTCTGCGCTGTCGTGGCTGTGGGCGTGGGCTTGTGGGAAGGTCCATCCGTTGCCGAGGAACGCGGGCGGCCGGCTGGGGTGGTGGTGGTGGTGGTGGTGGTGGTGCATTGACTCGGAGGGAGGTGCCACGGGGGCCGCGGGGCGAATCGTCGTCGAGCACGCTTCCATCTCCGGTGAGAGGCGCCAGCCGACTCCGCGGACGAGGTCCTCGTCGCTGCCCCATTGCATGGTGGTCAGCGTGGGTTTGCGCTGCGACGACCGCTCCGTGCTGTCTGTCGTCGAGCCAAACTTGTATTTTCTGTGCTTCTTTACGCCGCGATCACGCAAAAACGAATCCAGAACCACGCCGTTGGAGACAGCGGCAGCGGCCAGGATCTCGCCCGAAGCAAGCACGGTCCGGTACTGTTGGAGGCCTTGGTGGTTGATGACGCTCGGGACGCGAGCAGATGTGACTCCGATGAGGATGGCGGACATGGAAAACAAGAAAACAAGGCGTATCTTGCGCTTGAAGGGTAGACTCGATCTCAAGACCAAGGGAATAGGGAATACGATGAGCAAAATGTCGGTGATGATGTCGCAGGCGCCCATGGTGATCAGCTGCGCGTAACCCTGTCTACACTTGGGACCAGGGTCAGGGGTGACCTGCCAATAGTGGTTGAAGGGGCGGCACTCTCCCAAGGTGGCAATGATGACGGCGATGAAGGTAGCGAAGAGGAAATATCGGATACAGCGCAAAGTGATTTCGTACGCGCGCTTCCAGAACGTTTCTATGAGCCTAGCAAGAAACTCGCAGACGCCGAGCTTGGCAGTCCATATGCTGTGGAGTAAATGAGATTGGTTAGCATCGTCGCCGGCTCTCCTCCCCTGACAGCGGCATTCCATTTGCGGCAGCTTACAATGCGGCGTAGGAGATGCGGGCAGCTAGCACCAGCCTCGAGCCAACTTTCCGCATCCGAATTTCGTCAAGGTTGGTCATGTTGGAGGTGTCGACATTGTTGGTTCCGTAAAGTAGCATGGCATGGACGAAGGCCATGCGCGTAAACAGTGGAATGATGCTGAGGGCCATGACTCTGTCTTCTCTAAACAGCCGCTCGGTCCGTATGTAGCGGCCGCCCAGGCGGGAGAGGATGATGACGAGGGAAAAAAGAGTGCACCACCAGCTGAAGAGCAGAGTAGGATGATTTTCCATGCGCGTGCGGGGATCCGGTGGTGATGGGCTGCCAACGCTTCGAGGTAAAAACATGGTGGCTGGGGCGGGGAGGATCAAAGGCGCTCACCACCTCCGCGGAGGGGTGAGCCGGGTGAGCGCGCGATCTATCTCGAGGGGGCCAGTGGGCGGGGATTTATGGGGAGCCTTCGCTATCGAGACTCGACGTTGTAGCATGCGGTAATAGCAGCGCATGGACCATGTCGGAGGGCACATGCGGATAGCAAAAGGCTGGAGTAGCGGCGGGAACCAAGGTAGCGAGGCGCGCGCGAGATGGGGTGGGGAAGGTAGAGAGAGGTTGGGGAGAGCGAGGGGAGAGGGAGATGACGGGTAGTGTACTCATGATAGGGCGGGCGCTGTCTCGCAATCCAGACTCTAGGACCAAGGCGCTGAGTTGTGATTGTTGCGGCTGGCTTGATAAGGGGACGGCTGCTGCGCCGAATTAACGTGCTTCGACCGGGGTCATCATACTGAATGGACATACATCATCTCCGCCCCGGCTCACAGCATCCCAGCGTCGCATCGCACCTACGGCTCCTCTGTTTCGCCAAGCGGCTTCGAGCAGGTGATGAGCGCATGACAGAGTGTGGCGGGCAACTGTCCAACGTTGCTCATCACGCTTGCGAGAGAGATGGATACGAAGTGCTCACGCGGGGTACTGCCCGTACCTACACTAGCTGCTATCTCACTTAAGCCCACCTAGTCTCCAACCTCCTCCCCCACTCTCCCCCACCTCCACGATGCGATGCGATGCCATGCCATGCAGCTGCGGATGCTTGTTGCAGATCCATTGCCCTCCCCCGGCCACGGGCTGAGTGTGGGCGGATCCCGTCCCTCCTTGCTGTGACGAGTCCTGTACAACCAAACCACTCGCCTATACTCTCTTCTTCGTGTCACGGAACAGCTCTAGTCTCTATAAGTACCGCCACCTTTCGGCCTGTCTCGAACCATGTACTCTACATGGTGGCTGAGAGCCTCCTTACATGCCCTCGTCGTCGTCATCCTTACACAGCACGCCGTCCCGCCTCACACCGAGATCACAACAACACAGCCCGTCCGTCCGTCCACCCCATCCCTGCCTCCACTCCAATCTCACTACGATCTGCACCCCAGCCTCCCATCTCAGTAAATGGTCGGCCTCAGTCATACTTATGTGCTTAGTCCTCCGGACTGTGTCCACGTCCCGTCCACAACCAGAGCGGGAAACCCTACTTATTCACGTGTCTGAAAAAAAAAGCATTTGCCTTGCGCGTGCGGATGCATACATCCGCTTCCGTTTACTTTCCAATACCCGATCCCGTTTGCCGCGCGCTGATGATGCTTCCCCTCAGCCTGAGAGCTCCGTCTACCGATCCGACATTTCAACCGCCCCGGCCATGCATGCTGCTGTACTATCTTTAGCCCACCACTCGTCATCATCCCATCCACTCACTGAACTCCCCAAAAGCAACCAACGCACCGCTAAGCTTCTCCAATATACTAGGCTTCCGCTATGCCTTTATCGCAATACTTTCGCGATTGCGCGTTCCGAAATGTGGCTGCAGTTGGCTATCCGACTGGCTGACGGGGACTAGAGCGCTTCTGGCTATAAGCCGCGTGTTGTGTTCGCAATGTTCCGTGGGCTTATCTTCTCGACAGGCCGTGAAGGGGCAGAGCGCATTCAATTATCTTCCCGTCTATTTCCTTTTATTTATAGTCTATTAGATCGTTCAGCCATCTACGCCCACCTCAGCTCAGCGCGGAATCGCATTACGCGACAACGCCGCTGGCAGCCTTCTCTCTCTTCTCCTCGCCCTGGCCGCCCACCTTGGTCTTGCCCGCGTAAATCTTGTCCAGCACTTGGCGCAAGCTCTCCAAGAAGCGGGTGCACTCGTCCTCCGTACCAACTGTGATACGTAAGCAGCCAGTGCAACCGAGTTCCTTGCCACGGAAGCGGACAACGACACCCTTCTCCTCGGCCAAGCCTTCGTACGCCTTAAGCGCAACCTCGTTGTCAGGCTTGCCGCTCTGGTCCGCCGGCGCGTCCAGCACCTCGACTAGCAGGAAGTTGGACTCGGCGCCGCCGCGGAACCGCCCGATACCGGGCACGCCTGGCAGCTCGCGCAGCAGCCGGTCGCGCTGCGTCAGGATGTTGGTCACGTTTGCGCGCATCACTGCCAGGTGTTTCGGTGCCAGTGCTGCCTGCGCAATCTGCGACGTCGGGTTGCTGATGTTGTACGGCGCCTTCAGACTGTTGAGCAGGCGCGCAATCTCGGGCGACGTGAAGGCCGCGCCCAGACGGATGCCTGCCAGGCCGAAGGCCTTGGATAGTGTTTGCATCACCACTAGGTTCGGCCACTCGGTTACCCACTGCGCGAGCGAGGCGCCCTCGGGCGCAAAGTCGATGTAAGCCTCGTCGACGACGACAACGCCGTTCCATGTCGGGTGCTCGAGCACGGCTTGTACAGCCTCCTTCTTCACCAGCGCGGCCGTGGGGTTGCCCGGGCTGCAAATGTACACCATCTTGATGTTCTTGCCCTCCTCGCTGCTCAGCACGGCGTTTATGCTGGCCGGGTCAAGCGCAAAGTCCTGATCCGCGAGCAGCGGCACCTTGACAATACCCACGTCGTTGACGCAAGCCGACACGCTGTACATGCCATAGGTCGGAGGGCAGGTGAGGATCTTATCGCGGCCAGGAACGCAGAAGGCGCGCAGCAGAACGTCAATGGCCTCGTCGGACCCGACGCCAACGAAGAGGTTGGAGGGCGTGATCGACTTGCTCGTGTGAGTGTTGGTGTTGCGCAGGTTGCAGAGGAGCTGCTTGAGGGGTTCTTGGTGCCTGCGGACAAAGTGCCATGCGTCAGTAACTTGCGGCGTGGTCCAATGGCCAGACTATCATGCCACACTCACGGGTCGGGGTATCTGTTCAATCCCAAGAAGTCCACCTCAATATTCCTCTCTGCCGCGTCGCTGGCCGTATTGCTCAGCTTGCCGTCACCCGAGAGGGCCAAGCCGGGGCCGTAAGCATTCTCGTTGGCGTCCAGAAGGATGTTCGTGCCGTCATCTTTGTAGTCACTGCCTCATCAGCCGTCAGTCCTCTTGCGCTCATCCCGCGGCATCAAGGTAACCAATCTCAATTGCTGCGGGAACGTAAGCGGGACACTTACTCGCGAGCGCACCGGTACGGCTCCAGCGCGAGAATGTTTGACCTGGCACAGGTCTGCAGGTTGAAGGCGGGCATTGTGGGTGTTTGCGCAATTGAGTGGTTGTCAATGGTAACTTTTTGGCAGGGAGATGTGACACACTGGAGTTATGGCCGATCTCGCTATGACTCAATAGCCCTCCGGGTAGCATGCATGTGCTGCTTCCCGCGAGATGTCACGACTCCTCCCCGCATCCAATCCAGCCTTCATCCCTCATGAACCTCTATGTCGGAACTTCCCGACCTCACCATGTACACTACCTCCTACTCCTCCTATCAACCACCTTTCTCAACTCACTATCTCTTCCGTCGCTGAGCTCGCTAAGCCAAGCCAAGAAGGGCCCTGGTATCAAATACCTACTGACGCCGGTCTATTGTACATACATACACACTTTTATTCTCCAGATTGGCAAAGCGGATTGAAGCTAGCGGTGACACTCACAATTATTGCCAGCGACTAAACACTGGATACTTACGATTGATCGTCCCCCCCGTGAATTATATTTTGGCCCCCCGCACTTCTTCCGTTGTGGAGTAAAACATGTCGTTGCCACATAAACCCCCACATTTGTACTCTCATATAGGCAACGAATTACGAATCAGAAGCTCAGGCACAGACACCGAATTCCACTCCGATGCTTCTACACCGTATCTAAATGCTTGCCCGCACGCGTACGCCGTGGCCCTAAACAGCATTTCCTGGGGGCTAAATTGTAGGTAGCCTTAAGCACTTACGCTACGCAAGAGCCATGCAATACGACGTAGGCGCTATTTCTCTATGCGGAGCATACGCAACTGTGCTATAGAGACCATATATAAACTGCGTCGTTCTCAGCAAATCCCTAGTTTGGAGCAAGCCATCACCGTCTTCCCAATACAAACACGTCCTCCGAAACCAACCCACTGTCAAGGTAAGCACACCTATACAGCACGTGCCAAATACCAAACAACAACAACAACAACAACTAACAACACCAGATGTTCGCCACGGCACTCTTCCTCGCAGCCAGCCTCCCCCTTAGCGTCATGGCCGGCATAACCTGCGAGACGACGGACGGCAGCCCCTCGACCGAAGCCGTCACCGAGGTCATCAACCAGGTGCGCGGCCAAGGCGGCGACTGCGAGCAAACAAATCACTTTGGCAGCAATTGCACCACGCTGGTCCACCACGACGGCGCCGCTATCGCCATCTGCGGCCCCTACGGGAACTATTCCCCCTGCACCGATGTCGCGCATATCGTCACGCAAATCCAGGACCAGTGTTTGGTGGACGGCAGGGCCGGCGGCACATACACCTTTGAGGGGTTTCCTGATACGGGAGAAACCATCGAGCTTATTAGCTCGTAGGAGTTGAGCTAGTTGCTCGTAGAGCGCTGAAGCTTAATGTGGAGGATGATGTCTTACGCTGGACAATGTATACGACCTTGTATTACTCCTGTCCCATGCGGAACCCGTCCGCAACGCCAATGGCCTTCCTGTATATATACCCAACCCAAAAACCAGATTTTTTAACCATCGTAGTCCAGACGATGCCGCAATGATACCAAAACTTCTACGCCTCTCCGAGCACAATAGCACTTGCGCTGTAGCATCAATAATCCGATCCAACCAAGCAGATCAGACACAATCAATACCTTCGACCGCTCTTATGGCCCTTGTGCCTTGCGTCTCAAACAGCCCAACCAGACGTTCACACTTTTCCCGCAGTCTTTGTTCTCCCTTCTCTGCTTGCGCGTATACCCACTCCTCGACGCTCATCTTCTTCTCGCGGTCGGTCATACTGCGCATGACGTAGGCTATCTGTTCCTCGGGGCTAAGAGCTTCCCAGTCATCGTCTTCCATGTCTTGCTCCTCTGCATCAGCGCTGTCTTCCTTGCTCGTGCCAGCGTACACGCCACCTTGCTGAAGGATACGTTTCGTCTGCGGCGAGGGCAAAAAGACGTTCTCGAGGTCGACGGGGCGCCACGGATGCGTGGACGCAAGACCACCGTTGTTGGCATTGCGCTTTGATGGCGAAGCTTGTGGTGTGCTGCTACTGTCTGCCAGAGGAATCCGTGTACCCATTTGCCGAGCTGAGAGGGGGGGCCGAGTTGATGCTGGACGCGAGGACGGCGGCTTGTTCTCTGCGTCGGAGGATTGAGCGGATGGAGAGGATGAAAGTTCGTGAGGTGGAGCAGGGGAATTTGAAGATTGAGCAGGAGACTGCGCTTGTTCTTGATCTTCTTCGGGCTCTGGATCATCTTCATGAGGTGTAGGTACTTCGTCTTGCTCTGGTGCAGCAATTTGCTCGGACTCTGGTTCAGGCTCGGGCTCTGGCGAAGGCTCCTTAGGTGGTGCTGAAGCCATATTGCGGACCGGAACTTTGGAGGCAGAGGATTTCATGGGTGGTGGCGGTGCGGGCATTTCGTCGAGAGTTGGTTCTGGCTCTGGCTCCGCAATAGTGGACTCCTCGACAGCCTGGGCTTTGGGTTTTCGGCCACGCTTAGGCTTGGCAGCAGCAGGAGCCTTGGGCGCAGGTGCTGTAGCAGACTCTGCATCTACAGTTGCGTCCTCAGCCGGCTCTGGAACAGGCTCTGGCGCAGGGGCCTCCACCTTCTTCGGCTTCCTTCCTCGCTTCGCCTTTGGTGCAGGCTTTGGCGGCTCATCGACAACCATGATGGATGAATCCTCAACTCCCGAGAGTTTGGGTGCACCGTCACTCGTCCTCTTAGTGCCGCTTGTGGGCTTAGGTGGTTCGAGTTCATCGGCCTTCTCGACCGCATCTTGCAGTTCAGTCTGGAGCTGGCTCTGGTCATTGCTGAGTCTCGACTCTTCCACAGCTTTGTCCTTCCGTCCGCCCTTTGCCCGCGTTGCCTTGGGCTTTTTAGGCTCGGGCTCGGGCACGGGCTCAGCCTGTGCAACTTCCGGGTATGATTGAACTTCCAGTCGTGAGGTTCTTCTCGTTGCTCTTCCAATGGGCTTAGGAAGTTCCGATTCGGCTTCATCGTCCACTGCCTCCGCGGGCTCTTCGTCCAACAAAGTAGAATCTGCAGCCTTCTTGGCTTTTGAAGTTTTGCGAGTCGTAGCTTTTGCTGCACTCTTAGATTTTGCTGCCGTTTTCCGGCCCCGGCCTGCTTTCGAAGCGGTCGTTGCTGTGCTCAACGCACTATCTCCTTCGTCTGCTTCGATATCTCCAAGAGTTAGGTCTCCATCCGCATCAGCAGGTTCCAAGGTTGGCTGGTCCAGCTCCAATACAGACTCAGACTCCTCAGTAGCCTTTTTTCCGCGTGTAGTCTTTTTGGTTCCCTTGGCAGTCGATTTGGCCTTGGTAGTCGCCTTCTTTCCCTTCGCCATCGAGGTAGTCGTAGCTCCAGTTGCAGATGTCACAATGCTGTCGTCGTTCCGAACCGCGTCGTCGCCTAATGACATAAAAGATGGTGCGTCTGAGAAAGTGTCAAAGTTGTTAGACTGAATAGACAAGCGCGACGCTTTGGAAGCTGTAGATGCGCGTCCCCTCTTCCCTTTCGTCGCCTTTCTGGTAGGAGCATAGTCTTCGGCAAGAGCGAAGAAGGAGCAATCGGGCGACCTCCTGTGGTGCTCTTCCCTGAGCAGAGTCAGTAAAATAAGGAAGGCTCGATTCGGGTTTTTGGACGTACGCAGGATTATCTTTGGGCTCCCACCCGTCAAGGGACAGCAAGCAGTAGAAACAAGTAACACCATCCTCATAATCCGGGCTAGGATCAAAACACCATCCAGCCTCGGCCATCTATGGCAATATTAGTCAAGTGGTTCGCAACGGACATTGCGCGTCATACCTTCTTCGTCTTGCACTTCCATCCTTTCTTGTCCTCATGCGGCCAGTTGAGGAATGTAGCCGTCCTCGCAACGGTCATCCTTTCGCTCAATGGATCCTCCAATTCCTCCACCGGCAGGTGCATTACAGAAGTATTGATTGCCCACGCGCATTCAGGCGCATGTGTCAAGTGTTCGAGGGCTGGGTTGTCCTCGGGCTCCCATCCATCGAGCTTGCGATGGCACGAAAAGCAGGTTACATTGTCGGGATTGCTGGCAGTCGGCGTATAGTAGAAACCAGCGCGCGCGAGCTAGAAGTGCGTCAGATATTTTGGTCAAGCATGCATGCACAATTACTCACGTCTTCTACGGAAGGGGCGGTATGCGGCCAGGAAACGGTAGTCGGCGCCTTTCTCTTGGTGGTGGAGGATGCGCGTCGTTTGGTTAATTGCTTGGGCGCCTCGAAAGTCGCGACGCGACCGACAAAACTGGCGACGTCGTCGGGAGCAGCCATGGCGTGCGGTCTGCGGCGCGGAGAGGAGTGGGTAGCAATGCGAGTGACGTTGAATGTGTTGTTGATGGAAGGGTCCGGAGGTAAACAACATGGATGGAATTCGGCGCGACTCGCCGAGCTTTGAGCTCTGACTTCATCTTAGTCAGTTTCCTTCCTGCGCAACAACTAGCTCGTGGACACCGGTTGGCACCTTTCACCACTAGCTGTCTCTGTGTGCTCCTTTCCACTCCTTCAACCCATACATGGCTGTGCCTTTGCTCACCCTTGCTGCCTTCCCCGCCCGCCGGTAACTGGTAAACTTGAGCCCCTCTCTCCACCACTTTCTGCGCGCACAATGGCTCTTCGACAAAGCTCCGTAGGTTAAGCCGGCGCATTCCACTCTATCAACCCACGTTAATGACAGCAGTCTGCCAGGGGCCTGCAATCCCTCACCGCAGGTTGCATCATGCATCGCTATCCGCTGGCCTTTCGTCGCCATCCGCAATGCATGCGGCGCAGAGCTTATGCCTCGAATTCCTCCCCCGCAAGCACCCCGCAGTCCGACTCGCAACCGACCTCTCCCTCCATATCTAAATCGAAACGCGAAGCGCCAACCGCCACCAACGCCTCATCCATCAATACTTCGTTACCCGACGGCTGGGAGGATGGCCATCACGATGTCAAAACTTTCCACGACTTGCCAGCGGGCCGCGACTTTGGACTCAACCAACACATGGTGGAGATGAACCACGATTTCACCGATGCCCTCAGGCAAATAATATGGCAATTCCGTGCGCCCATCCGCTACGCCTTTGCCTACGGTTCCGGCGTCTTCCCGCAAAGTAGCGAGAGTAGTTCGTCCGGCTCGCTTTCTCCGCATCCCAACCCACCCGAAGCGATTAAAAAGTGGCAGGAAGGCGGCCAGAAGGTCATCGACTTTATTTTCGGCGTCACATATACGCAGCACTGGCATTCGCTAAACCTGCAACAACATCGCGACCACTACTCCTTTCTTGGCACCGCTGGGTCTTGGGCAGTCTCCCAAGTGCAGGACCGGCTGGGCGCAGGTGTTTACTTCAATCCCTTCATCACTGTGAACGGGACTATGATCAAGTATGGTGTTGTCAACCTCAACACTCTCTACCGTGATCTTTCCGAATGGGACACCCTCTACCTAGCCGGTCGCCTACAAAAACCAGTCAAAATCCTGCGTGACGACGCGCGCATCAGACTCGCGAACCAAGTGAACTTGATATCCGCTGTGCGCGCTGCGCTGCTGATGCTGCCTGGAAAGTTTACCGAGCAGCAGCTCTTCAACGCAATTGCGGGTCTCAGCTACATGGGAGACCCCCGGATGACCTACGGTTCGGAGAACCCTCACAAGGTCGCAAACATAGTAACACACCAGCTGCGCAACTTCCGGCGTCTCTACAATCCTCTGCTCGATACTCTACCCAACACGACACACACCGATTCGCGAGTCAAGACGCCTGGCTGGGAAGTTGATACGCCACCAGGCGTCGATGTCACAATGGAGCAAGATATGGACCCAGTCAAGCGGGGCAACATGGTGCGCCGGCTGCCCAAGTCCTTCCGGCAAAAGATCTACTTTGCGTACCAACGACAGTACGGCATCTCGGGCACCGAGTTCCAGAAAATGCTCGAAGCGGCCAAGGACGACGACAGCGAGTCGTTCAAGAAGCGCCAGGGTGGAGATTTCGAGCAGCGCGTCGCCTCCGAGTCAGACCTCCGCGACAAGGTGAGCGATGCGGTGCAGTTGACAGTCAAGTGGCCCAGCACAGTGCAATCAGCAAAGGGACTGCTGACCGCGGGCCCACTGCGCGGCTGGAAGTACATGAGCGAGAAGTTGGCCAAGTCGAAGCAGGGCAAGCAAGAAGGTAAGAGCAAGTAAAAACGCCAAGTGCACGAACAGGCAAAATACAGATCCAGAAGTCTGTTTATCGCCTGTACGATTTTGGCGAATAAAGGATGAAGGAGTTTAGGGAGTAGGAGACCCGGTATGATTGGAAAGCATGTTCTAGGAGGTAAGACGATATACAAATGATGCATGGCATAGCGGACGGGGTTAGGTCGGGACAGGGGCGTGCGGCGAGCTTTTGTTCCATGTCGTTTTTACGATTTACGCGCGCCTAATTTTACCATTTTCCCCGGTGTAAGAATGGCGTCGAGATGGCTGCATGGGCGTTTGAGACGTATCGTTGTGCCCTTAGATAAATGGTAGGCGTTTTAGAGCAAGCTTGGACGTGGGGCTCATGCACTTCGGATAGATGGAATGTCAATATACTGTAGATATCTGCACTTATAGATCTGGTGGAGTAACGTCCCTCAACGTTAAGCGCGATTCGCCGCCTAAGGAAATAATGATGCTTGTACGGAGCTGAAGAAGATATTCAGTTATGTTGTTTATAGTATATATGTGCTCTAAGACCTTTTTACTCGTATCTAGGATTTAGGCTTGTAGCTAGCCAGGAGTAGTCCGTAGAGACTGCTTGTATTGTTCCATATCTCGCTGAACGGTGAATCTCGGTCGACGGTGGCGGACGTTAGTATGAGCTCTGATCTCTATATAGGCTCAACGGGATTTGAAGTTAACAGTTTCCCGTATAGAGATTTCTCATGCGAAAACTCTTGGTAGTGACTTAAAAAGGCCGACATAAGAGTGCCGCTCGTTGCATGAGAAGATAATATTGGCACAGCAGCAAGGTTAACATAATTTGATTGCAGCAGTAGCTACATCTACAACAACGCAGCGAGGCTAGAGATTGGCTGTCATGAAGCGGAGGACTTGCAGAGAGAACTTTGGGGCCTTTGGATGAATTGTAGTGATATTCAGAACACCCACCTCTATAATAAAGGCATAGCAATACACAGCGTGATGCTGCGGATGATGTCGAGATCCACGATTCGGCTTTGTAATCTCATCTCCGATCATTCAAGGCTGCGATATCAATTAGTACTGCCCGGCGTCGAGTTCTTTCATTCACTACTACTTGGCATACATGCACCATGGACCTACAGTATTTTCCAGAGCGCTACGCGCTTGCTTTTGCGCCTATTTGCACGCAGGTCTTCCTCTAGATTACCGAATGCTTCCTAGCGGCTTGTCGTCCTGGTCCACGATGTGGATTTTGGGCATGGCGCTGTCCAATCTCTTCTTTTCTTCTTCGGTAGGGACCATGTTGAAAGCCTTCTCGGCCTCGTCGCTGGCGAACAGGCCAAAGGCGCCGTAAGCCATCAGGCCCACGCCCAGCAAGAGGCGGGTTTTGGGGGCCGTGGCGCGGTATTTCCTGAAGGGCAAAGGTCAGCGTGGGCAAGGGCAAATCGGGCGACCAACGCACTGCCAGAGCGACATGATTCGGGATGGGCAGGACTGAGTTGGCAGAGGGCGGCGCGTTGCATGACGTTGGAAGAAGCTTCAAGCTTCGTCTCGCTTGGGGGTTCATCAGACAGCTCCTCCCGAAATGCTGCCAACTCCGCAGATGCCAGCTATGCCGTCTGCCTACCTCTCCGCAGCAATCTGGACTGCTCCTTGATACCCGCGAAGATCGCCATCTGCGCCTTAATTAATCTCAAACTTCCCTCGTCCCCGACATGGGAACTTGATTCTTTCCCTTGCCGTCTCCGCGTCGAATCCTACACCAACGGCGCGCGCACACCCTTCGGCCCTCCCCCGATGACGCTGCCGCCAGCTCCTCACCATGGACGAATGGAAACCAAAGCCCCGCTCCCGGCGCATGGCCGCCTTTCGCCGCAACCCCACGCCGACCTTTAAGCTTCTGGCCGCCGTCCTCATCATCACCTTCTACCTCCTCTACGTCAGCATCTACGGAGTCGCGTCGCCCGTCGATGAGACCTCGCACGACTTGATAGGCCCCGTGATACAACACCGACCATGGACTGGGCCCAGCGGACGCGCAGACGAGGCAAAGACGAAGAAGGTGGCCGAGGCCATGAAATATACTTTCGCAAAATACAAACAGCGCGCATGGGGCTACGACGACATACTGCCGGTCAGTGGAGGGAAGCATAATAGCAGGAATGGCTGGGGCGCATTCATCGTGGATTCGGCCAGCACTCTGGCCCTCATGGGCTTGTGGGACGAATTCATGCTTTCTCTGGATCACATTATCGATATCGATTTCTCCACCGCCGAAGGACTTGTGGATCCTTTTGAGACAACAATTCGCTATGTTGGCGGCATTGTCTCGCTGATTGATCTTATTGACGCAGGCGTCGTACCGCCAAAGCTCGTCACAGGGGAGCAGCGCCTTGCCCTTTTGTCTCAAGCGACCATTCTGGCCAACAAACTCGCTCCAGCCTATGATAGCCCTACTGGAATGCCGTATCCTAGAGTCAACTTCAAAAAAGACATAGGCCAAGGGGATCCGCCGGAGCTGTACGAGAAGTATCCTGATAAAGTCCGGTACGAAAATCCATCCATTGGCCCTGCGCGTGCCGGATCGAATCTTCTCGAGTACCGCACACTCACCAGGCTGAACGGCATCGAGGACTACTTTGCCAACGCGTCTCTCTCCTGGGCTCCACTTGTCTGGGACAAATACATTCAAAAACCGCCCGGCCTCATTTCCGCCCCCATCGACATCACAACCGGCGCGCCTGTCGGGCGTCAACGTCACTGGGACGCCGGCCACGACAGCTACTACGAGTACCTGATCAAAGCGGCGATCCTCGCGCCCAAAGACCGCTATTCGAAAGCCTACGAGGAGCGCTGGCTGCAAGCCGTGGACGCGCTCCGGCACTCGCTCGCCACACGCTCCAGCTACGCCGACAACTACAACCCACAGCACCTCTTCATCGGCAAGCTAGACGGGGAGTGGTACCTCAACGAGCAGTCACACCTGGCGTGCTTCGCGCCGGGGAACCTCATGCTCGGGGCGTCGTACCTGGCCAAGCCGGCGCTGATCAAGACGGCGCAAGCGCTGCTCGAGGCCTGCCACCACACGTACGCGAGCACGTCCACGGGCATCGGCCCCGAGCTCTGGAGCTGGGAGCCCATGAGCAACCTGCCGCCCGGGACCTTCTCGCCGCAGTCGCCGCGCCAGCGCCTCGAGCTTGCCCACCACGGCTTCTGGGTCGTCGACCCGAGCTTCCGCCTGCGGCCCGAGTACGTCGAGTCCCTGTTCTACGCGTGGCGCATCACCGGCCAGAAGCGCTACCGCGACTGGGCCTGGGACGCCTTCCTCGCCATGGAGAAACACTGCAAGACGGACTTTGGCTATGCGGCGCTGCAGGACGTCATGGCGGGCGGTGAGGGCAAGAGGAGGGTCAAGCATTTGGATGAGTCGGAGAGTTTCTGGGCCGCTGAGACGCTGAAATATATCTTCTTGACGTTGACAGATGTTAATGTGGGGAGCTTGGATGAGTGGGTGTTTAGTACTGAGGGGCATCCGTTTAGGATGATTCGGTAGGTTGTTGTGAGCGTTGTTGTGTACGGGAGTGTTGTGTGTGTGTGTTGATGAGGAGGGAATATATGGCAAGGGAGGGATTACCGTTCCCTGTCTGTTTGGCATGGCGGAGTTGGGTTTGAGCATTTTAAGCCTGTCACGGGTTCAATGAGTGTACAGTGCACGGAGAGATACCCAGGCGCGCAGCACGAGAAAATGAAACGATAGGTCTTGTATACTAGGTTCGTGGGAATCATTGCATTTATCCTAATGAGGCCGGTTCATAGGGGCTCTGTGGCTACAAGTGTTTATTTTTCACGAGCCTCGTGCCGTACGAAGGAAAGATTGTAAGCAGTGGTTGTGGCTAAACAAACTTTCTATCAGTCCTTGCTTCCTTTCTGTATCAATGTCATCGGCATCGCAAAGCATCCCTCAGCGAACGTGTTCAGTACTGATTTGATCCACAATGAAACCGTTATTTCCCTGCATCAGTACGATCCCGACTGTCCTCTGAGCGAGTGTGCCAATGCATCATTTTCTTGAGCTTCTTCAACGACGCGGAGCCCAACAGCTCAAGCACTTCATCGTCATCGGCTTCAGCAGCTTTTTTACTCTTCTCCAGAAGCAAGTCCCGCTCAATTATTCCCTTCTCCACATCAGACATTGGCCATTTGCTTTTGTTCTCCAGATAACTCAGTCTGATTTCGTTGTTCCTTTTGTCCAGATGGGACGCGACTATGGAGGCAATGACCGTTTTTGGTGCGGCATCGATAAGCTTTTCAGCATTCTTGTGCAACCTTCCATTTCTGGGTGCATCGTCCTTGTTCCAATAATTTTCAGGTACCAGTAGCGCTTTCATGTAAGCGCAGAACGATGATGTTTCTGGAAGCACCTTGAAAACCTCGGTGGCATCTTCGTCCACACAATACCGTTGGGTGATTCGTTGGTGGTATTCGGCCATTATATCAACTCGAAGTTGGTTGACGTCGAATTCGTTGGCAAGGTGGTATAGATCGAGGAAGTCGTACACTGAATTGTATACATCGATTTGTCGAGTATTGACCCAGTGGATGAACCAACCGAACACATAAGGTGAGAAGCCGCCGATTTCCAGGGGTTTTTGCGTGTATTTGGCGTCGAAGTAAACTTCATAGAAATATTGACAAGTGCCGCGAATGAGATCTTTCTTAACGCTGAACTCTTGGGTTCCTCTTTGCTCTCCAACAACTTTTATTGTGACCATGTCGCTACCACTGCTGAAGCAAAGATGAGCTTCATGTCACAAATTCCGTGGATGGCGGCTTCTCCCCAGATGAACCGAGCGAGGTAACATACCTGGACTTGTGCACTCCGTTTACGTTGCCGTTTGTCTGTGCCATGGTGTCGTCTGTACGCAGCAGCTCACTGGCAACTGAGCACTGAGTCTTTTATGTTGATGCGAATGTGAAGTTATGCTGATGCGAATACGTGCAAATTCTTAGTGATGTGGAGTAACGGTATGTTGAAGTTGAAAAACCATGTATATGGGAAGTTGTAAAAGAAAGGTTGCAAGTAAAAGGTCGTAAGAGGAAGGTTGTCACAGGCATCCTGAGCGCCTTCCTAATTTGCTGAGATACTGTCAGGAAGTAACAGGAAGGTGCAGATGGTTATCCACGCATGCAAATGATCCGACGAGAACCCTCGCATGTTGGTACTAAAGATCAGATATATACAGTTCAATCGCCTCCCAGCTTTGATTGGCGATGACATTCCTCTCTTTATAAAGTCAAAGGCATGCAAATGAGCTTGCAAATGAGCACGCAGAAACTAACCTTGTATAGCAACAACTGCCTTTTTGATGACTAGCTACTGCTTACCAGCTCGTACGATGTAACCAGCTTGATCGTACGTGAAAATTCCCAAGAAATACTGATGGGCACATCTTTAACGATCGGAAGTTGCTGATAAACTCAGCCGTTGTAGCCAGTCTTGGCTGTATACAGCGGTAAAGAGGCGAGGTCTCCGGCAGATGACCAGAGGCAGAGGATTCCTGGAGACATCTCTTACACCCTTACCGCATACGCTACACACTTTGAACAAGGTAAACGCATCGAGACACATTTGTGGGATGTCATAATGCTCATCAAAAGCATAAATGTCGATCGCATGGCAGGAAGTAATATGCGTGTAATGGTTAAGACACATGGTCTCGCTTGGCAGGCGTTGACATTTGCCAAGCGTGTGAAGGTGAGTCCACGAGAGGGAATACTCCACGTGGACATCTTTAGGCTGGTTGACACCGGTCTCAGCCTCTTCTGATAGCTTATCGGCGCTTTCTAAAGAAACCGTTGACATTACAGAGGCGTTGTTTGTTGACGGAATACTCTTTCACTTGTGACGCGGTGCTAAAGAATGATTTTAGTACAAGTGGCATTGAAACATGTGTCCACTTACCTGGCCACTCGTGCCTAAGGGCCAGACATGTCCGTGCAACAACGTTTGGAAATGCCAGTCAAATCGACCAGTTCTTCAAAGGAAGCTTTACATGTTTCAGATAAGCTTGTAGACTCATTGGCGTTGCATGGCTTGGATTGACGCAAAACAAACGTGCAAAACGGTCAAACCCAGATCATGGGTGATTGGCATATCGAAAATGAAAGAAAAGGAATGAAAGAAAGCCAAAAAAACACAAGCTAAGCAGAAGAAGTAAGACACACCTCAATCCTATCCTTTTAACCGCCAGTGACATCACTAGAATCTATCCGCATCCTTGAAAGAGCCATAATCGCCTCTTCCTCACTCACAGAAAGGCTTCTCTTTGAAACGGGACGACTTTCTCTTTCGTACCTCTTAACCATCGCCCAAACATCGAACGGTAGTGTGTTCAGCCAGGGGTTGGACAACTGTTCCTTCCCCAACTGCCTAGTGTTTTCACTACACTCCTGCGGGTATTTGCCTTCGTATTGGAATCTGTGGTAGCCGTCCTCTATTGTTGCTTGCTTTTTGGTATAGTCTGCCCTTAGTAGGTCCTTGAATATCAAGAGCATGTCCGAGAGCACATGAACCGGCAACATTCTCACTGTCTCTGCTGCTTGCTCCCTTTCTTTTGGGTTATTTTTACTCTTTTTGACGACCAGCAAGTCTTTCGTATATTGAAAGAGAGGACACGTGGGCAGCAAGGCCTCGGTTTCGCATTGGTGATATACTTCATTGGTCAGGGTCCAAAGAGAAGCTCCTCTTAGCATGCTGTTGTGAATGGCGGTCAAAGCGTCAATCCGGAGTTGTGGAACGAGGTGGCCTTCGGCGAATCCATAAACATTGACAAGGAAGATGAGGTATGAGTCGAGGTTAGTGTGGACTGTTCTATCTCTCTCCCAGAGTGGACTGAGTTTCCGAGTGTATGCCCATGCAGTGAATTCTGCAAAGATATCCGGCTTTACATGGTGAAGCTTGCATGACCCAGACAGCGTCTCAGCGAAGCCACCGTCCAGCATTCGGCGAAAGTAATCCGGGCTGACACAGCAAAGGAGGTCTTTATGGATACGGAATGTCCTTGCATCCGCGGCGTAACCGACTTCAATTGTGGTCAGGTCGCTACCGAGATTGCTGCGCCAAATTAGCCCGGATTGTCAAATTGAAGGGGCCGTTATGGAGCTCGACAGAAGGACATCACGATGTGCGCGGGCTGTAGATTCCGTGCTGAATGAAGGCATTGTTTGGAAAAGTAATGTAATAGAGCGATTTCGAATGTCGATACTAGCGAAAGATAGCACGTTTTTTTTTTTTTTTTTTTTTTTTTTTGGACTGGGGTGCTTTGCTAGTAAGATCAAAAGTTTGGAAATGAAAAAAAGACACGACAATGGACGGAGTAGTTGCAGGACCGTACATAGTCTTCCTGGCTATCAGAGTAGGAAAGCGCAATCGATCTAGATTGTTCGACACAAAACCGCATCGAGCATGAGCGTGCATGTCCATCGCAGCCAGGCACAGATACAAAGTATTGAGCCGAGGCAAGCCTAGATGAAAAATAAGGGATTCGATCGGATGATGAGTAGTACCGCTTGAAGGCCACTTGATGCTGCTTATACCTAGTGAGAAGGTCGGTACCGAGAATGAGCAGACTCATCGTGATAGAGGACCGCCCGAGGGGCCGGTACCTTGGATCGCGAGAATCCAAAGCTGCTCATTCTACCAAATGTCGTTCCAGGTTTTCGTCCTCATGTCAAAGAATTGATAGCGTTGTTGGTTGGTCACGACGAAACCAGACGGCTTGGCGGATGGTTGTTGAGCGCAAGGCTCTATCATCCATGTTCGCCGACGGGGATAAAGTAGCGGTGACTTGCCGATCCAGCCATCAAAGCATGGCAGCGAAACGCATGGCTTCCGCGCTCACGTACGAGCCTGTGGCAAGATGTTCGGTACTTGGCGGCCATCTCCTCCTTCTCTCGATCACTGCTAACGCCCAACAAGACCACCAAGGCCCGCGCCGCTACGCTTCACCTTCCTCATGGCCCTGTCCCGCTTCCGATATTCATGCCCGTGGCCACGCAGGCCTCGCTAAAGGGTCTTTCACCTGAACAGCTGGCGGAGACGAGCTGCCGGCTGTGCCTGAATAACACATATCACTTGTAAGAGGGTTGGAAGAGCTCGGAGAAGCATGTGCTTACAAGCGCACTAGAGGATTGAAGCCGGGACAGGCGACACTGGATGCGATAGGCGGCGCACACAAACTGCAGTCATGGCCGCATAACATCTTGACAGGTATATTTACCTAGAACCTTGCGCTTTTGATTTCTAGAGAAAGCTGACGCTTGCAGATAGTGGCGGGTCGGTCACCAGGATACCTCCAACAAGAGAAGCTATACTGATTACTCGGATAGGTTCCAGATGGTCTCGCTGCTCAAGCTCGCCAAGGTCACGGAAGAAGGCGTAAGATTCCTGAGTCCGCATGATGGGACGCCTATGTATGAATGCCTGTTGCTCCTAGTTTGGCTCGTTGAATGTTTGCTAAACATTGAAACTCAGGCTGCTCACGCCCGAACACTCGATTTCTTTGCAGAACAGCATTGGCTCGGACATCATTATGCAACTAGACGATGTCATCGCGACAACCTCTCCAGACCACGCACGCATCAAGGAAGCCATGCACCGTTCAATACGATGGCTGGACCGCTGCATAGAGGCGCACAAATACCCCGAGAGGCAGAACCTGTTCTGCATTATCCAGGGCGGTCTCGACCTCGACCTCCGCCGGCAATGCTGCGAGGAGATGGTGGCTAGAGATACGCCTGGAATTGCCATTGGTGGACTCTCGGGAGGAGAAGAGAAGGAGTCGTACTGCCAAGTCGTGAAGACATGCACAGAGCTCCTCCCCGACAACAAGCCGCGCTATGTTATGGGCGTCGGATACCCCGAGGATCTAGTGGTATCGGTTGCGTTGGGCGCTGACATGTTCGACTGCGTATGGCCCACGAGGACCGCCGTACGTGCTCCCCTCGCCCGTTCCCCCGAGTAATTTGCGTGACTGACTCCATGACAGCGGTTCGGCAACGCCATCACCTCCAAGGGCGTCCTGACCCTGCGGCACGCATCGTTCGCGGCAGACTTTACGCCGATTGAGGAGGGCTGCACGTGCATGTGCTGCAGGTCCGAAGCTGACGGCGGCCTTGGTATCACAAAGGCGTACATCTACCACGTCACGGCCAAGGAGACTGCGGGGGCGCATCTGCTCACGATGCACAACGTGCACTACCAACTGTCTCTGATGAGATCGGTGCGGGAGGCGATCATTGAGGACCGGTACCCGGCCTTCCTCAATGCCTTCTTCAACAAGCTGTATCCAAACAAGGACTTTCCAGCTTGGGTCGTCGGGGCGCTCGGCGGGGTGGGGGTGAGACTAGAATAGCGGTCGAATCAAGACGAAACATTGTACAATAACCCCTGTCAGCCTTAAATACCCAGATCCTTGTCGGGACGCACGGGCCTCGCGCGAGCTTGGGGTTGTGATTCCCCTCGGTCGGTCTTGGACACAGCGAAACAACCAGGAGAGACTCAGCTGCTCACCAACATGGCCCTTTGACCGCGCACCCCACGATCCGTTCCCCCCTGAAACCTGTCGCTCTTTTACAAACAATGCAGAATGATCCAGCTCCCTCCGACCCCGCGCCCGCGGAACATGCCTCGCAGGCCTTAAATCCCGACAACTCCCCTCGTCTTTCCAAATCCATGAAGCGCCTCTCGATCAACACGGCCGCAAACCCTCCCCGCCCTGATTCCCCGAGCATGAGCTCTCCTCGTCGCGCTCCGGGCCAGCGCGGTCCTATGCGCTCGCCCACCCCAGCCGCGCCCCAGCCCAGCCCGTTGCACCGCAGCTCCAGCAGCATGGGCAACCACCAGCGTTCCTCGTCGCCCACCCTCTCCCGCCGGAGCTCCATCATATCCATGAACGACACCCAGAGCACCAGCACCCCAAGAAAGTCTTCTTCCCGCCGCACCTCGAACAATAACCACCCCCCAGGACCTCCTACCTCTGTCCCCATCTTCCCGACGCGGATGACGATCACAATCGAAGAGCCTGCCCCGCCCACGGCGCAGAAGATCGCTGCCGATTACTTCGCGAAAGAGCTGGAGCTACACAAGCAGGAAGAAACGTCCGCGCAGACGGTCGTCATACTGCACGATGCATGCTATGGCCATAGGTTCTCAAGGCAAAAGACCACCAAGACCGCGCTGAGCATGATCGTCGAGCGGCCGGAGCGGATACATGCTGGTATCCTGGGCATCTCCACGGCATACGTGCGGTTCGGCGAGAGGCACCAGGGAGGTCCGTATGCGCCGCATCCCGATCGCGAGCCCAACCAAGATCTCCCTTTCAGAATCCAACGTACCTCACGCACCATGGATATCACGTCGCAAGCCGTTACCAATGTTCATGGTACAAAGTGGATGGAGGAACTCCAGACAATGTGCAACGCTGCAGGTGAGAAGCTGGCACATCATGAAAAGGAGCTTACAAGGCCAGAGGAGGCGGGTCAACCGGCCAAGGAAGCTTTCCATGAGGGAGACTTGTATCTTTCTAATGAATCTCTGGACGCTTTCCAGGGAGCACTTGGTGGCGTTTGCGATGGCGTGGATGCCGTATTCGGCAACGCAAACAAGGAGAAGCCCACCAATGCCTTCGTCTGTGTCCGGCCACCTGGACATCATTGCTCGGCCGACTTCCCATCCGGGTTTTGCTGGCTGAACAACGTCCATGTTGGCATTGAGTATGCGGCGCTGAACCATGGTCTGACGCATGCTGCCATCATCGACTTCGACTTGCATCACGGCGATGGGTCGCAAAGCATCACATGGGAGCGCAACTCAAAGGCTGCTAAATTAGCTGCCAAACAATCTAAGAATGCCGCACCTTCCAAGAAGGCCTCTATCGGATATTTCAGTCTTCACGATATCAACTCCTATCCGTGCGAAGAGGGCGACATCAACAAGGTTCAGGCCGCTAGCTTGTGCATTGAAAACGCACACAATCAAACGGTTTGGAATGTCCACCTTCAGCCTTGGAAGACCGAAGAAGACTTCTGGAAGTTGTATGAGACGAGGTACCTCACTTTGCTTGAGAAGGCCCGTGTTTACCTGCGTACGCAATCCCAGCGTCTGCGCACTTCGCCTAACCAGACCCAACCAAAAGCGGCAATCTTCATCTCGGCTGGCTTTGACGCGAGTGAGTGGGAGGGACAAGGTATGCAGAGGCACAAAGTCAATGTTCCCACAGAGTTCTACGCTCGCTTCACTAAGGACATTGTCCGTATGTCAAAGGAGCAAGGCCTCGGGGTTGACGGTAGAGTCATCAGTGTCCTCGAGGGTGGGTACAGCGAGAGAGCCTTGACAAGTGGCGTTCTTAGCCATCTCAGTGGACTCTGTGACGGTCAAACTCGGACGGTGCAGAAGAAACAGGCGGAAACGAATGGCTTAGGCTACGATACGGTCATGGGCCATGCAACGGCGCAGCCCGAAGACGGAATTCTCGAGTTTGAGAAGCAGCTCCGTTACAACGTAGAATGGTGGCACGAGTCCAATCTTACTGCTCTGGAGACTCTGGTATATCCGGCTCCCCCACAGCCTATCCGGAAACAACAACGCATTGGACCGAGGCCGAACTTCGCCACGCCAACTCAGTCATTTACTCAAAAGGTAGTCGATCCTACCAAGTTCATTAAGAACTCCTCTGGCGATTGGGTGCCGATCAGAGAGGCCCCCAGGCCACCAACTCCGCCGCTTCCCGACGTCGATTGGGTCACTGCCGCGAACGAACTCAGTAAACTGCTTATTCCTACCGACCGTCCCACGAAGAGCCACACGGCAGAGGAGTTGGCTCCGCCTCGCATAAAGAAGGAGGTGATGCCACCGCCAGATTTTTCCATCAACTCAGGAAGACAGCTCAGGGACAGAAAGGCTAAAGTTCCAAACTACTCTGAGCTTCCCTCGGATGACGAGACTTTAGGCGGAGGCAGTGACCGTAGAAAGACAGTGCCCCCGGATTTCCTCACAGCCCCCGAGGGGAACGAGATGTCTGAACCTTTACAAACTAATCGCCGTCTGAGCGTCGCATCCACTGCCACCTCCGTCGCCGGCGAACGCCCTAGTAGTAGGGCTTCGGTTGCAAGACAGCCCAGCGGCACAGGCATGCAAGTCAAGAAGACGAGGCCTGCCAAAGCAGATCCGTCCACAAAGCTTGCTCCTCGACCTGCTGTCCACAGGCCGTCCACCAGTTTAGGCAGTCGGACCAAACCACCTGCTCCCAAGGCAGCATCCATCCCTCGAAGCAAGACTCCTGCTCCCGAACTAGCAAGCGCGAGCACCAAGTCTACCGAGGGCGGCGACCCTATGGATCAATTGACGTCGGGCATCAAGAAAATCACTCTCAAGATGCCGACGAAAGAAGAGCATGATGCTCGCCAAGCCGCGGCGGCGGAAGCAGAGAAGAAAAAGCCTACTGCGGCCAAGGCAGCCCCAAAGAAGGCACCGGCATCTCGCACGACCAAGACCAGCACCGCCGCAAAAAAGTCGGTTCAGAAGGATCCCAAGGAAGCGGAGACGAAGGTCGAACAGCCTGACGTGTCCAAAGCGGCTGCGGTCGAAGAGCCTCAACCTATTCAAAACCAACGAAGGATTTCCAGTTCCCCTAGACCTCGGCAAACTTCTCTAGAGCCTGCCGGTTCCGAACACCGTCCCATGACCCGTCGATCCATCGAAGACATGGGAATGCAAGTTATGAATTCAATCTCTCCGGAGCTTGCTAAGTCGCCCGAAATGCAAGCTGGGACGCCACATAGTCCTCTTCCGACAAACGCGGTTCATCTTCCCACGATGACGCCCAGGCCGGACACACCGCCCCCGCCACCTCCCTCTACTGCCCCCGAAGCGGGCCAGCAGTTTACTCAGTTTGTCCAATACACGCCTCCAGAGACCAAGGATCTCGCTCAGGCCGGACTGGGGATCGATGGGGCTGAATCGCAGCAGCCTGCAGCGCTGCAGTGGATACCGCCGAACTTGGACCCAGAGGCGCATGGCGCAGGGACCGAGGCGCAGAAGCCGAAGCAGCAGCTGCCGGTCTTCACCAGCAACGGGTACATTCCGTTCGGGCCGCGTCCCGGGAGCGGCGGTTCGCCGAATGGTGCGTCGCCACCAGCCAGCGTGGGAGAGGACATGGAGATGGCGGACCAGCAGTAACTAGCGCGTTGACGTTATCGACGGGACCCAGCATGGCGGTCGCCGAGGATCCCTGAAACGTGCGTCGGGGATAATGATGCTGCGACGATCATACACACGCGCCTGGGTCGCGATTTTATTCGGCGCGGTCGAGCACGCCATGCTCGTATCATTGCGTCGGAGGATATGGAATGTGGAGACCATTCCGGGGCAGAGTCGCACTCAAGTCGGGGAAGTTCAATCGGCATGGGCGCTTATGCGCAATCGACATTCGCTTCACTCAGCACACAGCAGTGACACACGCTCTTTCAGCGACAGCCTCTTTTCCTTAGCAGTTGGTCGGGCTTGACTACCCGTTTCCCATGTTCCAAAGATACCCACAAGCATACACACCACCACCACCAACACTGTACTACCTAGTAAACCTATCCTAGCATAATTGAGCGTCTTTTTTCCCTGTTGATTGATGAAAAGGCCTCTGGATGGCGGCGAGGATGCGGGGTCGCCAAGGATTATCCCTGCGCGCGCGTGCGAAAATGACGTGGGGCCCGGCCATGGTACGACCGTTGGCTGCGCCTTCTTAAACCTGCACACCCACACTCCCTCTGTTGCAACGCAACGCCCGCTCTTCCATTCCCTTCTTCTCCCCTGTCCTCCCTCCCCGCCGTGACCATGTCTGAGACTTCCGGCAACAACAATGTCGCCGACCGCATTCACGCGGGCGTGCACTCGAGTGAGTAAATCTAACATCAGCTCCCCACTCCCCGCTGCCTACTCCAATCTGACCACCCTCGTCTCAGTCAACCCTTTCAAGTCACATGCCGAGGAGGAGCGCTCGCGCGGCAGCATTGTCACGCACAAGGTCTTCACCGCCATCACTTACCTGTTGGTTCTGATCACAGCCATCTACTACACCTTTGAGCGCCCTCATGAGGGTCACTACGCCAAGAGGACCATCTGGGGTCAGAACAGTGCCCACCACACCAGCTTCACCATGAACTCGATCATCACGAGCATCTACTGGTAAGGATTGAGCCTTCGCATGTTACGAAGCATTGTGGTATTAACTCTGTTCAAGGCTCGTCCTCTTCATCCTTCAGATCGGCTACAGCTGGCACCTCTACAGCGGCAACAATGTCTATGTTGCGGCCGCTGCCAACGTGGGCTCGCACTTCATCACGCACAACCTGCTGCTCTTTGGATTCATCCACTTGTGGGTGCGCTCGCATTTCTGGCTCGCCGAGCTGCTCCTGGTCATCAACTTTTTCAACTTGTCCGCCGCCTACTTCCGCCACAGCACCACCCCGCGCTTCATTCACATCCCCGTTGTGTCTGGACCGCTGGCCTGGAACTTTGTCGCGCTGTACTGGTGCGGTGCCGTTGCCGTCCACGCGCACAACCTCCCGGCACGCATTGTGGCCAACATCTTCATCTGGGGGATTCTGGTCTACGGCATGTTCTTCTTGGCGGCGTACAAGGACTACACCATGGGCTTTGCGCTCAGCATCCTTGCGGCTGGTGAGTTATTTTCCAACTTCCTCGCGGCGAATACAGTTGCTGACTTAAACAGCGATTGGCGTCGCCCAGTTCCTCACCAAGGTCGTTGCCTTCCAGTGGATCTTCGCCTTCATCATTATGGCCCTGCTTTTCGTCTTCTCGCTTGCCGTCGGTGTTCCGGGTCTTCTGGGCCGCGACCCCTTCAAGCGCGGCGAGATCGTCGACGAGGACCGCGAGAGAGCGCCTCTGCTTGCGGACCAGTAAGCACGCCCAGTACAGTAAAATCTGGCGACAGCTTCGTGAGCCGCCTGCTCAGCGACACTGCCCTTTGGCACGCCAAATTTGGGACTGAGCTATTCGTAACTCCGGATAGATGTAGCAAAGCCTGGCGGTGAAGAGTGTGGTTGGTGCTTTGGCCCAATCACTACACGCCAGGAACATCTATCCAATTGTGCGCGTGTCTTGCTTTTCTCGTTCCTTTTGTGTGTAATGCTGCATCGTGTACCCTCTGTCGTTTCCGCGCTTGGTATGATTGTCCGCTCCGCAGCTGTACAATACCCATCTCCGTCGACCTGTCTGTCTGTCTGTCTGCATATGCATTCTGGAGGGAGGGCATAGTAATGAATTTTTGCAATTTACTCCAACCAGCGTAACGCTTGTGACACACACGTAACAAGTCTGCTCTATTTAAAATGCGCAGGTGAAACATGCATGTCAAATCAACGGCTGTTTCAAATTGATTAGGGAGATGTTTATACGTCTTGACTAGGTAGGTGTTTTGCATCGGGGCGGGCGCCGCAAACAGCAGTCTCAGCGTTGCAGTATGCATGGTGGGCGGCCAACCAAGACGTTTTGCTTGTCCCTCCTCTTTCTCGTATGTATGTCGCTCCTATCATGGCACAGCACAGCACAGCACAGCACAAAACCCACCGGACGCGGCACATTGGGTCAGACTTCTGAAGCGAGTGAGACAAACTGAAAAGGCTACGTATGTTAGTTAGACTGACTGGTTGTAGGTTTTAGGGCTAGTGAAGATGTGTGGCTGAAAGTCTGTCTGTCTGTCTGTCTGTTTTGGTGAATGGATGGACGGATAGATAGATAGATGAGACACAGGTAAGGGTAGGCATAGACGCGCGAAGGAAGAGGGCAAGCAATAAGAGAAAAGCAACAGCAGCAGGAAGAACGAACAGTCGGGCGGTAGGCAAAGAGATATAAATGGACTAGAAGAAGGAGCTGTCCGGCCCCCTGTCGCCGTCGCTGTGATGATTCCAACCAAGCACAAGATGAAGAAAGGGAGACTACTAGATGATGACGAAACAACAACAACGGAAAAAAACAACAGGAGAGAAGGCTAATGATAAAAAACAACCAAGGAGGAGGAGGGGGGAGGGGAACCAAGCTTTCCGTCCTTCCGCTCTCGCCTTCTTCTTCTTCTTCTTCTTCCTCCTCCTTTCTCTATCCTTCCACCAAACAAAACAGACGGGCACACGCCGTCGTCGTGTGCGCAAACGTCGTCGTCGTCGTCGTTGTCGTCCACCAAGCTTCCACCATGCCCCGCAAACCAAGCCCAACAACAAACCAATCAGACCAACCAAATCACACCCCGGGCTCTTCCCCTCCCCTCCAAATCTTCAACCTTACCTTCTCCTCCTCCTCCCCCCTTACAACAGCAACAAATCCCCGTTCCCCGCCCCCACCGCCGGCTGATACACCTGCTGCGGCTGGTTCTGATTAACGACGTACATGTTCTGCTGGGTGCCCGAGACGGGGCTAGCGGCATCGAAGCCCATGCCACCGCCCATGTCCATGCCGCCACCCGCCAAGCTCATGCTCGCCATTTGCTGGCTGCCTACGCCCGCGAAATAGAGGTCCGCCGCGTCGGCCGCGGCCGAGACGTTGCCGCCGCCGGGGTGTGCGCTCGCGGGCCCGGCGGCCCCGCCCGCCATCGCCGCCGCCATGCCCGTGTCCAGCGCCGGCATCGTCATGCTGCGCTTGATCTGCGCCTGCGCCTGCGTCGTCGGCAGCTGCTCGCGCTGCAGCGCCGGCGAGTCCGGCACGCGCCGCACGCGCGCCGTGCGGAACACTTGCTGCACCGGCTTGAGGTAGACGGTCGCCAGCGTGCCCACGTTCAGGCACATCTCCTCCAGCGTCACCGGGTCCAGCTTCTCCGACTCGGCTGTGATGGCCGGTTTGTCGCCCATGACGACTTTCTTCGCCGTTGCCGGGTCCGACGACAGCAGCCGCCAGTACATGTACCCCCGGTCGCGCAGGTCTGGGTTGTCCGTCTCTTCGGTCGCCCAGCGTAGGACCTTGGGCACCAGGTCTTGTCCTTTGGTCGGCCGCTGGATGAAGAGCTTCACGGTCGCTGTGAGAAGCGCAAGTTGCACCTCGTGCGGCTCGTCGGCGAACGTGTACAGGAAGTCGTCGAGGAGGACGTCCGAGTTGTCGATGCGGTCGGCATATTGCCCGATAACCCAGATCATGGCTGCCTTCGCCTCCGGCTCGTCCAGGGAGTCGAGGTTCTCACACAGCGTCGAAATGATGGATTCGTACTGGTTGGGGTATTTGCGGAAAATGTTGCGGATGACGACCGTCGCTTCTTGGACAATGTATGATACCTTGGTCGCGACCAAATCGAGCAGCGTGTTGATGCACATTCTTGCGGCGGGTTCGATCTTGATCGCGAGCTTGCCGATTGCTCGTACGGACTTGCGCACAAAGTCGACATCGATTTCCGTCGCGTATCTGATGCAATCAGCCTCTAGAAAAAAAAAAAGTAGCCGCGAGTCCATTGGTACTTACTCTCTCAGCTCGGTCAAAACCTCGTTGATGTTCTTTTCCGTCGCAAGCATGAATATTAGTTCCAACTTGGTCACCTTTACATAGATGGGGTCATTATATTTGCAGAAGAAGACGCGGATGTCGTTCCGGAGGACTTCCGGCCGCCTTTGGAGGATTAGAAGAGCGTTACGGAGGGCTAGATACTGGATTTCGGGACCCTTGGAGAGAAGTGTGACGAGAGGTGGGGAGAGCTTATTACAAAGGGAGGAGATGACTTTTTGGTCCGAAATGTAGTTCATGAGGTAGAGAATGACCCGTATGCAGGTGAGCACAACGGCCGAGTTGGAATGCGAAAGCCGGGGGGCAATGCGCTCTGCGAGCAATGCTGCTTCCGAGGTGTCTTGGGGTACATAGTTCATCATGGCCTCTAGGATGTAGGTTTGGCCCCATCTGCGGCGCGTCAGCTGTGACTTCACGGGATCCGGGCTAGAATTAGGCATACTCTGAGCAGTCCGGTAGAATCTGAACAATCTTTGAGGCGCTCGAGTAGTCGATGGTGAGCTTGATGCTCTCGCTTCTTTCCCAAATGTCCATCAAACTGGCCAGCGCGCTCGACACAACCGTGGGATTTTCGTCCCGCAGCATGCTATTGAGCCTGTCGATGAGGTCCGAGTGCTCGACCAGGTGCTTGTCATGATCGTACAGCTTTGCGACGCAGAAGGTCGCCGTTTTCCGGACGTAGGGATCGGTGTCTCTGAGCAATTGCTTCAGCGGCTGCACCGTCGCCTCGATGAACTCGCGGACATGGATGTACGAAATGGTGCGCAAGGCGAGGGCGCGCACGAGCGGGTTGTGGTCGTCCATGTCGTTGATAATGATTGGTAGCGCCTTGAGCGCAATCTCGGGCTTGATGCGCGCATAGTTGACCAAGTAGAGGAAGCACCTGCGCGGCGGGTCAGCTTCGTCGCGACAGGCGCGGGCAGAGCGGCCACTGACATCTTCTTGATCTCGAGGCTGGGGATGTTCATGCAGTTGACAATGTCCGGGAAGAGGGCGACCATGTCGTTATTGCTCATGGTCATGTTGGCGACAATCTTCTTCAGGGCAATCTTCTTGGCCGAGTGGTTCTTGTCCTTCTTACCGCCACTGGCCAGCTCGAGGCGCAGCTCGGCGACCTTGCCCTGTTGCGAGCGCACATAAGGTGAGTGAGAGTCGTGGGGTAGGGAGGGCATGGAGATGGCGAGGACGACGTACCCGCGCAAACAGTTTCGCATCTTGTCCGCCTGAACTCATGATTGCGACTCTATATGCATGTGCTTCTGACCCTATTCCCCTCCAATTGTATGCGGCTTGAACCTAGTCGCTGTCGCACCACCCGTTGGTTATGCCTGGAGGTGCGCGGAGCAGCCGGCCATTACTATGCGGGATCCGAGAAGGGGAGCGTGTGCGGAGAGAGAGCAGAAAGGGTGTTTTTGCAGGCGAGAGGGCAGAGAGTGAAGAGTAGAGGAGCCCCCCTCGGTCAGGCTGGCTGGGCTGGGGTACCGAAATGCAACTCGAGCCACCCTTGTTGCCCTGCACGTCCGCTCCCGCCACAGCCCATCATCATTACCGATCCCATCATTCACCTTCAATCCCCGCACGCGCAATCATGGCCACTCTGCAACAGCCTCCTCCGCCGCCTCCGCCGCAATGGGTTCTCGACCTCAACTCGGCGCCCCATGCTCAGCCCAAGAACTCGTCCATCCCGGACCCGCCAGGCTTTACGCGCCAGCTGCCGGCCAAGGGCAACACCAAGGCAGCTGCCGCCGCGACGCCCGCTAGGAAGCCGCCCTCGACCGAGGAAATGGACACGCTGAAGTTGAAGAAGGCCTGGGAGCTCGCCATTGCCCCCGCAAAGTCGCTGCCCATGAGCGCCATCGGTTCGTCGACACCCCGCTACAATGGAAAGCTACTGTTATTAACACAAGCCACCTAGGCATGTACATGTCCGGCAACTCGCTCCAGATCTTTTCCATCATGATGGTCTTCATGCTGTTCAAGACCCCCGTCACCGCCCTTCTCAACATCCAGCGCACCTTTGCCAACTTTGATACCCCCGGCACCTCCTCCCGTCTCCTCGGTGTCAAGCTGGTCTTCGTCGCTACAAACTGCCTGGCACTGGCATTGGGTATCTGGAAGGTGAACAAGATGGGTCTGTTGCCCACTACGCGCAGCGACTGGTTGGCATGGGAAGCAGCGCGGGAGCCGTTGGAGAGGGCCTACTTTGAGGGCTGGAGCAGCCGGTAATGCGTTCAAGGTAATCAGAAGATAAGGATACAGTACAGCTCCCAAAGCTTCTGTAGGTTGTGTATACGTATGACGCCCGGAACATAGCTAGGTACACGTAGGAGTATTGACCGATTGCAATGACCGCCGAGCGCCTTTTGATATGCGATAATTTCCCGTTATCTCGTATCTGATGGGCAGATCAAACAAAGAAGAAAAAAAAGAAAGACAAAAAAGACTTGTGCCAGGCAATAGCCGTGCTCTTCCAAAACAGCTCGTGACGATACTCTAGCAACGGGACGTGTGGCGCGTACCTGTGGCGGAACACGCTTACGGGAGATCGACAGTTCGCGCATCTTCCAGCCCATGATTACGCGGGCCCGCGGCAGCCTGGTCGCCTCCTAACCCTCATCTCCAACACTGTCGCTCACTCCCAGTGCGCCACTATAAAGACCATGCACCATGGCGTCGCAACCGCCTTCCGATTCCGAACCACAGAGCTTCACCACCATGTCTGTCGGCGACGTTGAAGCAATCGGCGCCCATTGCCAAATGGCTTTCTGCCACCAGCTGGACTTTCTGCCCTTCCGCTGCGAGAGCTGCAAGGGGTAAGCAAAGCAATCTCCGCCCCGCCGCACCCGCCAGCGACTAACAAGCAGGCACACAGCAAGTTCTGTCTAGACCACCGCAGCGAGACGGCCCACAGCTGCCCGCAAGCCGGAGCATGGGCGCGGCGACTGCGCGAAGCCTCATCGACTCCCTCCTCCGACTCCACCACGCCGACACAGAAACCCAACATCCTTACGCACGAGCAGCAGTGCTCCAGCCCGTCCTGCAAGACCCTCATCGACACTCCCCTCGTCCCCGGCATCCACTGCACCAACTGCAACCGCCGCTACTGCCTCAAGCACCGCCTGCGCGAAGACCACGAATGCGACAAGTTGATGCCGCTGGGCGCACGCCCCGGCCCCTCACAAAAGGAACGCGGCCTCGCGGCGCTCGAGAAGCTGCGGGCCTGGGGTGCGGGGAAGAAGGCAGCAGCGACAGGTGCGGGCGCGGCTGCCAAGGCCAAGGCCTCGGCGTCGTCGTCAGCTAGCAGGAACAGCAATTCGCCGGCGGCGCGCGCGGCGGCCCTGAACAATATCAAGAGGACGGCAAAGGGCGACTCGAAGGTCCCGGCCGAGAAGCGCGTCTACGTGCACGTGGAAGCGTCGGCCGATACCACGACGGCCAAGTTCCCGACAGGCAACTTCTTCTACAGCGCCGAGTGGAGCGTGGGCCGCGTGCTGGATATAGCGGCCAAGGCGCTGCAGGTCGAGAACGTGAACAACAGGGGTGGAGGCGAGGAGGAGCGGCTGCGCGTCTTCCACGTCGAGGGTGGGCGTCTCCTGGATTTCAGTGAGAAGCTGGGCGCGGCGGTCCAGACGGGCAACACGATTGTGCTGCTGCGCGGCGTGGGCCCGCCCGTGCCGGACTTGATTGAGGCGTGAGAGAGCGCCTGGGACTTTAGCGGCATCGGTTTTGGAGTTTTCAAGCTGGGATAGTCTTTTATGACATTGAGATACCCCGTAATCGATTTAATACGGTTCGTACCATCTGTTCCGCTGTATGAAGTGCTTGGACCATGTGATGTAGCAGTTGTTATGACCAACCCTAGATGTATAGAAACGGTTGTTGGGACACAACCAAGAAAAAGAAAACCCACTTCAACATTCCGACGTAACTATACCCATCCCGACGAGCATCCGACGACGACCTCGGCACGCCCAAAATACTACCCGACATCTCAACGGCCAGCACCCGAAGCCACCCAAGAACCGGGCCAATCTGCACTCTAACCCCATCGTGTCCAAGATCTGCATTCCCAGAGTCAAAAAGTGCCGTCTCGCCAACCGCAATGGCTGAGCACTGCTATTGTAAGTATTATGCGAGCAAGCCAGGCCCGTGCGCTTCCCCACACGCTGCCCCCGCAAATCGCACCCTAGCTCCCGTCGAGAGAAGTGTATATATAGCAGCCATGCCGCTGCAAGCTTTGTGTTGCGCTTACATTCCTCTCTGCGCGATTCGACGACCCTTTGGAGCTTGAGAGAACGTTTTGCTGGAAAAAATTGAACCATGCCTGGACCTCTAACCATTCCAGAGTCCAACTGCGATGTGTACGTCCTACGATTGCCCGAGCTCTTGCGTACATGCGGCTAGATGCTGACGTCTTTTGCGCAGGCTCATTGTGGGCGCTGGCCCGGCTGGCCTCATGACCGCGGCCTGGATGGCGCGCTGCGGCATCAACGCGCGCGTCGTCGACAAGCGCGGCACCAAAGTCTTCAACGGCCAGGCCGACGGTCTGCAGTGCCGCACGCTCGAGATCTTCGACAGCTTTGGCTTCGCGGACCGCGCGTGGAAGGAGAGCAACCACATGCTGGAGGTATGTCCGGGTAGCAAGCACGTGCCATCTTGGACATTGCGGGACTGATGCCAGCGCTGCAGTTTTGCATGTGGAATCCGGGGCTTGATGGCGTGTTGAGGCGCTCTGATCGGATTCCTGACACTATGCCCGGCATCTCGCGCTTTACAGAATGTGTGTTGCACCAGGGCCGTGTGGAACGTTTCTTTCTGGACCATATGAAGCAGCACTCCAATATCGAAGTGGAGCGCGGTGTGCTTCCGGAATCCCTGGAGATAGACGAGTCCAAGGCTGAAGACGTTGCGGCATATCCCATTACTGTCAAGCTACGCCATTTGACAGATGAAGAGGCTCAGCCTGAACAGAGCAAGGCGTCCAGCTCGAAGCTGCAGGATGGGCTGTTCAGGAGTAATCTCGCGCCAGACGACACTGATGATTTGATCAGAAAGAGCAAGGGAAAAGATGGGTCTGAAGAGATTGTACACGCCAAGTACGTGGTAGGTTGTGACGGGGCACATAGCTGGACGAGAAGACAACTGGGATTCGAGATGCAAGGAGAAGCTACCGACTTCATATGGGGCGTGCTTGATATCGTACCTATCACAAACTTCCGTAAGCATCTCTCCCTGGCTCATCAGTATCAAGTTGTTGACCGGCGCCAGCCGATATCCGCAGTCGCTGCGCTATCCACAGTGAAAACAATGGAAGCATCATGGTGATCCCGCGAGAGAACGGGCTAGTGCGCCTATACATCCAACTCAAGGAAATCGTTCCCGATGCCAGTGGGAGAGCCGATCGGTCGAAGATTACTCCTGAAGTCATTCTGAAAGCGGCACAGCGGACATTGAGTCCGTATACACTGTCCTACGTGCATTGTGATTGGTGGACAGCATACCAGGTAGGCGACGCTGGTATACACTTTTTATGCATAGAGATTGACCCTTGTACCAGATCGGACAGAGAGTAGCCACAGACTTTGACAAATGTCAACGTGTGTTCTTAGCTGGTGACGCAGTGCACACACACTCTCCTAAAGCGGGCCAAGGCATGAACATCTCCATGCAGGACGGCTACAACCTTGGCTGGAAAATTGCTGCAGCAGTCAATGGCCGCTCGCCTCGTTCCATTCTAAGAACATATCAATCGGAGCGTCGGCGCATAGCGCAAGACCTTATTGCTTTCGATCATCACTTATCGCGGCTCTACAGTAAGCGACCGGCCAAAGACGTCATGGACACTGAAGGAGTTAGTATGGAAGAGTTCAAAGCGGCTTTTTTGAAGGGCCATATGTTCACTACTGGCCTCACCGTTGACTATGGTGGCAGTATGTTGGTTGCCAAGCAGGGCGAGACCAATGTCAAAGCTGGCAAGCAGCATCTTGCTGCCAATGTACCGCTGGGAATGCGCTTCCCCTCTTTCAAAGTCATGAACCAGGCGGATTCCCGTCCATGGCACTTCCAGGAGCGCCTGCCGAGCGATGGTCGGTGGCGCATCATCCTCTTTGCGGGCAACATCTCCAGCCCTGCGCAAAAGGAGCGCGTAGAAAAGTTCTGCGCTGCGCTCGACAAGCCGAGCTCCTTCCTCCATCGTTTTACACCTGCCAGTGAACCCATTGACTCGGTCATCGAGATCTTGACGGTGCACTCGGCGAAGAGGTATGAGACGGAGCTGCTGCGCGACTTCCCCGAGATTTTGCACCCGTTCAGTGAGACGAGAGGCTGGGCATACGACAAAGTGTATGTGGACGACGAGAGCTACCATGAGGGTCACGGGCAGGCATACAAGAACTACGGTGTGAACGCCGAGAGAGGATGCGTGGTCGCGTTACGGCCTGACCAGTACGTGGGGTGGGTGGGTGAGTTGGAGGATGTGGCGGACCTGGAAGGCTTCTTTGGCGGCGTCTTGCTGGAAAGGAAGTAGCCACTGTCGAACTGTCTATGGCCGCTCGACAAATCAAAACCAAATCTTCTGCCCCCGTGCCGGCGTTCTCTCTCCATCGTCTATCCATTGATTGTCTATCCGTCTTCTATCCATGAGACCCGCTTCAAACCCACTGGGCCGCCCCAACCCCGTCAAGCCGGCCCCCGCCATTGTTACACCAGCTACTGCTAAAAAGCCGTCTTTTTCTCGCCCAAAGGAATCCGCTGCTAAACGTCTACGTCGCTCGCTGTTGCTGCCATTCACTCGCTGTTTCCGCGAGCCATGATACCCCCCAAGACTTCAAGGCCTGCCGGCGGTCAAAGGGTCACCCGTCACTGCTGGCCTAAACGCCTCCTGGACGAGTGGAAAGCGAGAATCGCTAGGGGCAATGAAATGTGGTTGGACATCCGCGAACAATTGCAAACTAAACTGACTGATTGGCATCTCTACCACTCGGCTCCTCCGAAGCCGGCTTTACCACGCGTTTTCCAGGATAATAACAACTTACTTTCGCGGCCTGTACTGCCTGCAGTGCCTGCAGCGTCTGGCAAAGAGATTACAGATCTCTTGGATGCTCTATCTTTTCTAACCGAGGCAAGCTCTCGACAAGGGGGTGCAGAAACACTACCACAAAGGGATGCAGGAGGATCAAGAAAGTCCGAGAACTAACCGCCACAGAAGCTACAACAAGCGCCTTCACGGCCTAAATTTCCTCCAGGCACTTCACATGACGTGCAGGTCAGACACCGCCATATTAACTTACACACGACAACGCCCAAACCCCCTCCACTACCAAAGCCAGCACAACCCACATCCCAACGACCACCAACATCCCCATCTCCACCAAACCATCCGCAAGTTCCCCCAAACAAGCCACCCCACCCCCCACGCCAACGCGCACCACGCAAACCGCGAGCACGGAAGCAACAGCAGCAGGCTCGGCCAGTGCCAGTGCCACTGCGGCATTTTCCCACCCCAGAGCCTTTCACGCCTCCCCCGCTAGAGCGCACGCCCAAGCCGTCAGCACTGGGCACACAGGTCATCGCGGCCGCGAAAGCGAAACCCGCTGCAGGGAGCTTTTGGGTTTCTGGCGGCGCGGTGGCTGGAGACTTGGGTGCTGGAGCGGGGGTTGGGGATGCTTGCCGTTGTGGTGGCTGGCGGTTGGCGGTTGGTGGGTTGGGGTTGATGTAGAAGAGGAGGAAGGAGGAGGGGGATGGGATATATATGCATACCTTACGCTTGAGATGGCTGGCACGGCACTGCTGAGCCGGGAACAGAGATCGAGGTGGTAACGCTCTCTTGCCATCGAAGATTAATTGCTGTTAGCCCAGCTTGCCGGGCGTTTCTTGCGTTATTTTCAAACTTCCGATCACTATCCCCATTGTTCACTGTTTACAGTCTTTGGTAGTTTGGTACTTTGTGTTACTGTCTTTACCATTGCTCTGGCACACATAGTCGGGGCTCTTCGAGAACAGTGGCTTTTACACCGAATCGTTCGTATGCTCAGGCAATGATTAGTTGGAGAGCTGCGCACACTGCAAACCACTCTGTTCCATCCTCCTCTGCTCGACGTGACTGTTGCATCGCATTGCAGTACATGCATCGCATACAGCGACTTGACCGATTTCCGGTGTGTCGAGTCTGAATATCCTCTACCAACATTCTCCGCTGGCATGGAGTCTACAACCTCGATTTCAGTGAATATATATGTACAAGGTACCTTAGCCAAGCCATCCACGGTCGCAACCCCAGCCGAAACAAACGGTTGCCGGATCGACTCTGCTGAACGCAGTACAAGGCACAAATCTGCATACGCTGGCAGCGGTGTTTTGGAAACCCTCCACGCTGGTTTCCTGCTTCGTGGTGGGTGATTCTCGACAGCGCCGGCTTGGTGCTGTAGAGCCGACGCCTACGTACCTACCCAACAGCAAGACTAGGCAGGCAGGCACCATGCAACAACGCACACGAACACGGGGTCATAGAAACACCAACGCCACGATTTTCTGTTTGGACTAACTATCCTGACTACGCGCGCAGACAGGCTAAGAGAGATGTAGCATGCAACTCCATGGCGAGAAAGGACGAAAGGAAGAAAGAAAGAAAGAATAAAAAAGGGGGGGTATAATCGACCAGCTATATATGAACCAACCAACCAATCAAACGCCAAGCTACCGTACGCGCACTCCCACCTGACCAAGCACCTGACGACGCGACCGGCTTATGTGGATGGATGGATCAATGGGTGAGTGAGTGGGTGGGTGGGTGTGCGTCATCCCATCCCATCCAGCCTGGCACGTACGAGTAGGCAACCAACTCAAGTAATTAACCTACGCAGAGCCACTGCGTTAAAGAAAAGAAAAAAAGCAAAGAAAAGAGCAGCTACGCCAAACGAAAAGAGACGGTAGCAGAGACAGCCAGCAACCGGAAATGGGGTATGAGGTAAGAGTGAGAAAAAGCCGGGAAGCCGCAAAAAGTCAAGAAAGCCAGGAAAAAACATGGAAAGGGATATAAGGAAAGAAAAAGAGAAGTGAAATAAGAGAAAAGTAAAAGAGGTAAAGAAAAAATAAAAGGGAGGGGGGCCAAACAAAATCAAGCAAAGCCAAGAAAGGGAGAAACGAGACAGCAGCAACCCACGCCGCCACCACCCACACGACACGACGCACCATCGCGCCGGGTAAGCCCAGGCGTCTCACCGCCCCCACGACGAATACCAGGCCCCCCTCTCCCTCTCGCGCTCGCGCTCATCCCGCACCCGCTGCCTCTCCCTCTCAACCACGTCTCTGCCCCGCGCGCTCGCCGCGCCAACGCCACCAACAAGAGGAGCCTGGTGCACGACGGGCCTATCGCCAGCACGGCGCGCCACGCTACCCCTCCTGTCACCACCGCCGCTACCGAGGGCGTGGGTCGCGCCACCGCCGCGCTCGTATTCAAGGCTCTCGCGCCCCCCCACAGCCGCCGCAACGTCCCGCGCATCAGCGCTCCGCCGCTCGCGCGCCAGCTGCTCGAGCTCGCGGCGGTTGAGGGCCTCGCGCTCCGCCACCTCGGCCGTGGCGGCGCTGCGGGCCGTCGTGTCGCGCGCCGGAGCGTTGTGCAGACTCGGGGTTGGACGGGCGTTGGTGCGGCTGTGGAGCGGCGACGTCGGGCTGAAGGACGACGAGGGCTCCTCGCGGCGGCGGTGCCGCACGGGCTCTGCGTACTCGCGGATGGGCTCGGGGTGCTGCTGGCGGAACGGCGCCGTGCTGGGCTTGTCTCTTGGGCGTGATGTAGCAGCAGACGATTTCTGGTGGGGTCGAGGGGTATGGGTAGGCTCTTCGCGAGGAGCAGGAGCAGGAGCTGGTGTAGGCTCCGTTCGCAGCCTTGCCGCATCCTGCGCGGCGCGCCGGCCTGCCTCAAACTTGGTTTCCCAGTCGTCGTCCGCTCTGCGTTGAGCCGCGGCAGCAGCCTGGCGACGTGCTGCTTCTTCCTCCTGGCGACGTGCCTCTGCATCCCGTCGACGGGCTGCCTCTTCCTCTCGTTGACGCGTCTCCTCTTGCTGGCGACGACGTGCCACTTCCTCCGCTTGAAGACGCCTCTCTTCCTGCTGACGACGTCCCTCGTCCTCCCGATGGCGTGCCGCCTCTTCCGCTTGAAGACGCGCCTCTTCCTCCCGCCTCCGCGTCTCCTTGCCATTACGTCTCGCCTCTTCGCGCGCATTCGCCCGCATTCTCTCATAGTCGGCATGCCATTGGTCCTCCCTCTGCTGCTTGCGCAGACGCTCGCGCTCCTCATAGCGCGCGGCCTCCTTGCGCGCATAAATGGCATCAGCAGGCTCGTCATCATTGAGGTCGAGCGCCGACATGGCGTCCTCGACGGGCTGGGCTCTCGCCGGGGCAGGGTGCGGCACGTCGCGCGGCGTGCGCACCTCTGCCGCGTAGTTCGGTGTCGAGGGGGTAGGGCCCTGGTGGTGAACACCTTGGGTTGGGCCAGTGATGATTGGGCGAAGGTCCTTGGCTTTGCGCTTACGGTTGGGGTCATCGTCCGGGAAGCCGGTGGCTACGGCGACAGGGGGACGCGGTGGGCCAGAAGGAGGTGCGCTGGCTGGAGCAGTTGCCGGGTGCCTGGGTGGGGCCATGGTTGCTGTGCGGGATGAGGCGTGTGCGTGTGAGTCGGGTGGTCTGTAGCTATGGCCCGCCTCGGCGAAGGTGGAGGAGAGAGGCGAATGGTCGTTTACTATGTGCGTGGTGTCCAAGGACTGTTCTGAGAGAGTCGAGGCGCCGGAGCTAGCGTGACGGCGGTGGCCACGGTGGGCTTCCTTGCCTTTTCTGTTGGATCCGCCGCCGAGTCTGAAGTTGATGTCGGTAGGGTTGATGGTACGGGGACCGTAGTTTCGTGAGGACTTGGAAGGCCGCCTTTCGATGAGGCTGGGCTCATTTGTAGGAGTGGACGGGAAGCTCTCCGAGAGGGGCGAGACGGAGGCGCCAGTGTCGGGGACGAGGCGGACACGGGGGGATCTGGCGGAGTGGCCGGCGCCCTGGAGGACGCGCTCGTCAAACCTCACCGACGAACACGGCTGGTTGCCCATTGCTCGATCGCAGTAGTTCTTGACGTGCTCGTACACTTCCCTCTCGCCGCCGGAGAAGAGGTAGATGCGCTTCTCAACGACGCACATGGTTGCTTTTTGGTTGGAGGAAGCTTCTGGGGGCTAGAGGATGCTCCCGCGCTCTAGCTTCGGGGAGAATAAGAAAAACAGACGGCGATGACTGTAAACGGTGTCGGGTGGTCGCAAAGGGATAGCGCGTGGACCAAACAGATGTCGAGGTCGCAGGTGACCACCGAAAATGGCACACCTGATGGATGATGAGAGCAAGCGTGACGACGAACAATGGACGAGGTGGAAATGCAGGTCCAAGAAAGAGGCGTCGGCGATGGCAGCGAATGAAGGAGAATGTGGAGGAGGGCGAGCAGGCCGGGGGTCTTAAGAGGTCGACCAGGCCAACATGGCAGCCTGCGCGGCCACAGTCGTCGGCGCGGCCATTACAGGGCAGAACCTCGCACGGCGGGCGAGCATAGCCCAAGGCCCAAGGCGACGAAAAAACGCCAAAGGGCAATGATTTGACAGCTCGCTCACTCGTCAGTGGGCGGGGAAGCGCGGTCCTTTTGCTAAGCAGCTTGCTGCGCCTCGCCGTCGACCTACCTGCCCTCTCGACGCGTCGGGCCAGCCAACCTCTCACGGACGTCGCACCGTACCTGAGCACGCGTGAAGCGTGACGCGGACCGGTGAACAGGTCTCAAGTGCGAGGTGAGGTGGAGGCGCATACCTACGGTCGCGCTGATGTCAGATGGCAGCGCGTCTGCTACTGTAGCAAGTCTGCCTCGTCCGGGCACAGCCACTTTCCGGCCCCCAGCAGCTGCATACCCTGATACTCAGTGAAGAAGTCGACGATGTGCTTAGGCTTTCCCCCGCACTTCCGCGCCGACCGGCAACTGCTCCAGCCACCACAGCCACAGCCACTGCCAATGACAACCACAGCCATCCATCACCACCACCATTCCATTCCAATCCATCCCATCACCGCCACACCTCTCCCCTCCCATCTCCCCATCTCCCATCCTTCCAATAACCACACACCCCCCTGCTCAGCTGAACCCTCTCTCTCCCTGCCTCCCTCCCCGTCAGCAGCCACGTCCGCCCATCCGCGCTCCGACCTCTCCCCAACCAGCCCGCCTGTTGTGTTGGTGCGCCCCCCGCCGACTGGCTCGTCCCTGGCACCGAGTCGTGCGTGCAAGCGCCCGACGCATAGCTACTTGCCTACAGTAGCCTCGCCGCCAAACCCCTTGCACGCATGCGCACTGCGCGAGGCGGCGGGCGGCGGGCGGCGGAGGCGTCTCGGTGCGCGTGCGCGTGTATAGTTAGGTAGGCAGGCGCCCCAAAAAAAAAGAAGATTCGTCATTATCGAGGCCGTACGTCATATTATCTGTGCCTTTGCGGCGGCGGCGGGAGATGCCTTTGGAAGAAGAAACGCCTCCCGCGCTCTAAAAAAAAAGAAAAAACCAAGAGGAAAAAACCCAGATGCTCGCTCGTTCGCTTGCTCACTCCATACCGTCCTTCTTTTTGCTCCCGCTTCGCTCAAAAAATGCCCATCATCCGCGCGCTAAATCATACTAACAGATCATAATAGAAATACAGGCCCGGGACAAGCCGTCAAAGAGATGGTGGGGGGAAGCTGCCAGGCAGCAAGGCCAGACCTGAGGCGGTGCCGTCGGTTCAACCGACGACTTCGTCTTCTTCCCTGTGTTGGTTATTACTTGGCGGACCGCTCCAATATTGCTTCGGCTGGCGCCCCGTGCCGCGCCCATGCGGACGGGCACCCAGGCAACTGAGACACCTCCCATACCCAACTCCCTTCTCGTCCGCCGCGAAGCCCAAACACCTAACTCCGTTTTTCTGCCCCGGTGCTGACTCATTAGTGTTGGGTGCTCGTTTCGCCCGTATTTTCCGTGGAGCCTTCGGCGTGGACCGGATTCGGGTAGTAGAAGGCGCAAACCGCGACAATAACGTAGACAATAACGCAGAGGAAGCCTTCGAGGTAGTTGCTCTTGCCGTCTCTCAAGAACGAGCCCACCACCAAAATGGCCAGGATCAACACGACCGAGTCAAACACCTCGAACTCGAGACTCATATTCTTGCCAAGGCCCCAGCCGACGAAGACGACGAGCGGCGTGTTCAACAGCGCCGTCTGGATACACGCGCCCAGGACGTGCGACAGCGCAAGGTTCATCTGGTTGTCCCACGCCTCGTCGACGGCCGTGAGGTGCTCGGCGGCCTTTTCGACGACGGGAACGAGAATCAGACCAACAAAGGCATCGCTGACGCCACGAACTTCGACGATGTAGTGGATCTCTTCGACCAGGAAAACGGCGCTCATGGCAACGCAGGTTAGAGCAATGACGAGGGCGAGCAGGCACTCGGTGAAGGTGAGCTTGTCCTTGACCAGGTCCTTGTGGCGATCGGTATCCTTGAGCTCGTCTTTCTCGAAAACCTCGTCGTAGAGACCGTGGTGGGACCGGGTTTGGAACCAGAGATAGCTATTTCCAAAAATTAGTATCCTTCCATTCATAATAAGCATGAGCCATGCAGGACTTACACAAAGTAGGAGATGATCAAGACGATGGCGGTCGCACGACTGATTTCGAGAATCTGGTGGTCAAAGTTCTTGCCGGCGTGTTCTCCGATAGCGAGGGTAGAGGAAAATGCAGAGGGCATGACAAGAGCCACTATTGAAGGGATTAGTATGCGTTTTCCTCACCTCTGAGACATGTCCACTTACTTCCAGCGACCAGCATGAGACCGCTTCCGACCTCACTGACGACGTCATGGAATTCTTGTTCCTCGCGGCGCATACCGCCAGCGAAGAAGCACAGACCCAGACACAGCAACAGGTTTGCCAAGATGGAACCCAAAATGGCAGCCTGAATGACTTGTACAGGATCAAAAGACGCCGTCTCTTTACGCGAGATCAAAACCATGAACAGTATGATTTCGACAATCGAACCCAGCGTCGTCTCAAGCACAACAGCGGCGACCTTGTTAAACTTGCGGGCAAGTTCCTGGCCGGCGAAACCGATGAGGTTGGCCGCGGGGACCATGGCGATGTAGTTCAAGATGAAGATCCATAGATGCTGCTCCGGCCTAGCAAAGTGCTGCGGAGGAGCAAGTCAGCAACACGAGGGTCCGCGACGGTTGGGAGCAAGTCTTACCAGAGCGATGGCAGCTGGCACAAATGGCCACAGAAACGTCACGACCTTGGAAGCTTTGCTCGAGCTGTTGTAGCAGATGCGGAAGAAGTGCCATGGGTGGAAGCCGGCCCGTCCACTTTCACCGTCGGGGTGGATGCCCGTGGTGACCTTGTGGCCATTGTGGTTGAAGCGGGGCAGGACGTGGTCCTTCTTGGGGTGCGGGCGTCTGGTGCCGCCCTTGTTGCCTTCAACGGCAGTAGACTCGGAGGCGTCTCTCTCTTTTGGAGCCATGTTTTGTCGGTCACCCAGGGGGCGCAGATGTTTGATTGCGGGACAGAGGGCGAGAGATGAGCAGAGCTGAAGGAGGGGGTCGCAGCGCAGCGCCGGGCTATTGGAACGATGCCACCTCCTGAGAAGGCGGTAAAAGCTAACAGGGGTGTCGGCTTAGCGTATTAGAGAGCAGCGTTGTGCAGGACGCTGCAGTAGGTACTGTAGGTAAAGTAGTGGTCGAGATAGGTAGAGAGGAGCAGGAATGGTCTGAGGCAGCAAAGCAATCAAGGGCGATGCAGCAGGATTAAAAAGGGCTTCGTGGCAGCGCAAGCAAGCCTGGAAGCAAAGCGGTTACAGCGAAAGAGAGGCGCAGAGAGCCAGGGCCGCCAGCTGGCACTTTCAGGCAGTCTGGGGGGAGCTCACTCGTCAGGGTCAAGTCACGATAACCGCGCTTGACTCGCGCTCTGCGTTTCAGCCGGCCACAGGATCAAACTCCGGGCACTGCTCCGTCCTGCCGCCATTAGCACTCACGGCACTATCTTTTTTAGACCCTTCTACCCCACAGCCAGGGCTGCTATTTTCGCCCCGTTTCAAGTTTCATCGTCTTCCGCCTTCTTCACACGAGTCTAGGTCCGTCCCCGCAACCGCTGGCGTTGTGGGCCGTCACCCGTTCTCGGCCCGCCGCCGTGACCGGTGCGTCGCGCTTGGGGCGACTCACCGCATGCCGTTTGCCGTTTGGACACGAAGGCGTGCGAGGGCCGCGAGGGTCACTTTGATGCCCCGCCACCCGCAACGCGTCGTCGTGTGTTGGCTGATTTAAGGATTCTCGGCGCCCAGCCAATCACAATCTCTGTGAGATATGCTTATTACCCTCGAAAACCAGCTCAGAACGTCTTGACTGTTGACTGTTGACTGTTGCTGCATCCCCACCATCATCCACCTCTTGCCTATCCGGGTATAACGAAAACGACCGAATGCCCGACTCCCTGCACAACATCCATTTACTCCACCGACAATGTACGCCTCGGATGCCTCGCCTTGACAAAAAGACCATCAAATACCTAGCCCATCCAGGGACCGCTCAAGGGAAGAAGAGATAATTACCATGGCTAGCAAATGAGGAAAAAATGATAATGATGATAGCGAAAAAGAGAAAAAGAATATCAGCAAACGTCTCAGAAGCCTGCTCCAGGCGCCAACATCTCGATACACTTTCCCAGCAGGTTACTCGCCTCGTGCAGCAGCTCCCACCGCGTCTTTTTGAACATGTCGCGCAGCAGTATCAACATGCCTAAGCACGCATTGCGGCTCGGGATCTTGGCTAGCGCATCCGGCGCTCGAGCGCCACCCACCCGCTTCAGATAGCCTTGCATGTCCTTCACCATGTCTTCTCTGTTCTCCAGTTGATACAGTGGCCGAATCGGCCCGTCAAGCGCGTACCCGTACGACCACACGATCAGCGTCGCGAAATACAACACCCATGGCCGATTTAGCAGGTAATCCTCCCGCGCGCTATAGTCGAAGCCCGTGCTGGCGCCTGCTGGAATCTGGCTCGATGTCCCGTTGTCTCCCGGCATCAGCACTTGGCTCAGGAACCGCAGCGCATAGAACGTCGCGTCTCGCGCGCGCGCCGTCGGTGCCCACACTTCCTTCATGCGCCGTTGTGCCGCCGCGTAATCCTGTGGCGTTATGCTGCGTCCCAGCAGCCGCGGGGCACCGGCGAAGATCTGGCAGTCGACGATATCAACGTGCATGGCCATGTGCGCGAGGTGGTGCAGCACAGTCCTGCTTTCAATCACATTCTCATCCACCACGCCGTTGCCGTAGTGGTATGCTGTGGGCGCAGACAGCTCGCCGTTTTTGGCAAGAGACGAATCGAAGTCCTGCTTCCAGAAATCGAAAGCCCGTGTTAGGGAACCGCGCCACTTGTCGCGGCCTCCGAGCGCGCCAGATGCGCCGAGGGAGGAGACTTGCAGATCGCGTTGGTTCATGTGCCAGCTGACGCTAAGAAGGCCCGCCATGAGGATGGTCCGTCCAAAAGAGTTCGTGCGGACAGGCTGCCCCGAAAGTGTCTTCTTTAAACCATCGAGAAACGTCGTGGCTTTGACACCGTTTGAGTGCAGGCTTGCTTCTACGCGGCCCACCTCTTGGGCGCTTGTGGCAGACCAGAGCGCCTCGTCGCAGGGCAAAGGTAATCTCATCTCGTGCGCAACCATGACTGCTGAATGGCCGAACATGGTCGCATGAATTGAGTCGATTACGAAGGCTGCAAATGCGGCGCGGCGGGTAGCTTCGTTGGTTATCCACTGTCTCCACCATTCCTCTTGGGAGTTTGCTGGTGTCGATCCGTTAGCGGACTTTCCGTCCTTCGCACTTGGGGGCGAGTCCAGGGCTGATCTCCCGATCAGCGAGCTACCTCGCCGCATTAAAGTGAGCGTGGTGGCATGGTGGATATGCGCGCGTTCGTGCAATGGCCGAGTAGAGTACAGCTTCTCAAAACACTCCAGCAAAATAAGCGCCTGGAAGACCCACAATTTGGCTGGGGGCCGAAAGTCAGCATCCATGAATATCTCCCAGCGCAAGTGCCACGCCAAAAAGTTTGCGAGTTCGGAGCACGTTGTTGTCATCTCGTGTCCATAGCTTTTTTCCAGACAAGATGCGCCGAGCGCCATCATTGATAGCAGAAGAAGTTCCGGACAGCTTGCGGCATTAAAGGTCGGTCTGTGCAGGAGAGGGAGTTGCGTGTGGAAGTGTACCCAGTATGAGCCGATATATGTCTGCATCATGTTCAAACTGAGTACGTGAGTATCTTCATCTCTGTTACCATCCAGAAACTCTTCTTTTTGCTTTTTGACTGGTGCATTGTTCGTTTCATTGAATCGTCCAATGATAAGATCCAAGATCAACTGGCGTTTCTCTTCTGATAGCGCGGTCTCTGGGAGACTGGTGTCAAGGATACTGTTCACTGCCATGGGTTGGTGTGGTGGCGCTGAATGGTTGAGATAACCGTTCACTGTGGGATCATAACCAAACAACGGTGCTTGTAGGCCGAATGTTTGCGAAGCTGGCATGTTATTCATAGCACCGACCGGGTAACCCATTGGTGATTGGCCGGGCCCAAAGTTCGCATCGTTGAAAAGCCATGCCGTGAAATCGTCTGCCATCGCGAACGGAGAGCGACTATAACCTTCTCCGCCAAAGACTGGAACGGAGAAACTCGGTGTCAGGTCGTTTTCCATAACTTGTCTTTGAGAGGCAGTGTTCAGAGCAGGGTCGGCCGTGCCCGCCGACTCGAGGCCATGCATGGCCGTCGAACTTGACACGGGGTGGCTTTGAGACGTACCCTGGGCTTGATTTATCGAAGTAAAACCTGATTGAGACAGAGGCGTAAATTGTTGAGATACATTTTTCTGGCTTTGGCTTTGATACGCAGCTGGAGAATGAGTTGCATACTGGTTGCTCATGGCTGTGGAAGTACTGTAACCTTGGGCTGACGTTGTTGCTGGGACAAAAGGTGAGTTGGTGCTCGTGTTCTGTATACCGGCTGCCCCACTTGAGCTCTGCGACCGCAGCGCAGATGGAACGAAGCCTTCAGGATGAGCATGTGACGAATGCGGGGAATATGATGATCTGCTATGACCTATAGCACTGATGCTTGCTGAGCGCTGCGGAGGGCCATAAGCAGGAGTGCTTCTAGCCTGCGCATCTGGCATTCCACTAGCAACGCTGTTGGAGCGCGACCAGCCATCGCCATTACCTGACCGATTGCTCGGTTGGATGTTTGGCAGCCCTCTACTCGAGGTGGTTGCCGACCCGATCGGGTCTTGGAGTGGCGACAATTGAGATCCAGCACTTGCGATGGACGGAGCGGAAGACTGTGCCAGCAGCGCGCTATCAGACACCGATTGACCCTGCACTCTCCAGTCAGCATCACCATTCGGACCTAGAGTGCAGAACCGTACCGGAGGGGAAGCTTGTGCCTTGCTAACCTTGGGATCCTTGTTTTGATTCGCCATTGCGCTCGATACAATGGGGTTGAGGTTATGCATGAAGGTATCTTTTCGCAACAGTTGCGAGCCTCGTGCTGAATGTCTCTCTTTGTGTCGTGCGCACAAATCCTGTCTGACGAAGGAGCGGTGGCAATCGGGGAAATCGCAGTGGTAGATCTGCTTCGGATTATCTAGCCGACGTCAGCTCTAGACAACCTACCAAGCGGACGGGAGCGTAATACGGTTCAACTGATGCCTGTATAGGTGTTCTGCCCTAGAATAGCTCTTGCCGCAGCCTTCGTGGGGGCACTCGAATTTCTTATCCAGCCCTTTGCGGCTCCTTCTCCTCTTCCTGGAGCTCCCAGGCACGCCCTCGACCTCTGCATCCATGTCCTGTTCTTCGGCATCTTCGTCGTCCCTCAAGCGTCGGCGGCCTCGGCCCTCGTCGGCCGTAGGGCTCGTCATCTCCCGTTGTTCCTGGCGCTGGTCTATTGTCGGCGCGCTTGGCTTCGCAGCCAGCGGGACCTGGGCGTCGAGCGGCTTTCTAAAATCCAGTGAGGTCCCAGCTTGCGCAGGAAGAAGCTGGGCCGTCATTGCCGCGGCGCGGGTGCGCGATGCATATGTTCGTCAGGCAGTCGGTGCGTGGAGAGAGCTCAGCCTCAACCGAAGGATCGTGGGGAAAGGCCGGCACCCGATCAGTCACGAGTGCGACAAGAAATGCAATCAAAAGTGACGGCGCTTGGGGGAGTGAGAAGGTCGAGCAAGCTGGCTGGGCCAATGTGAGGTTGACGAGAAAACGGACCGAGGAGTCGCGTGTCACAGTCGCACGGCGGGTCGAAAAGCGATCTGCGCCCAAGGCACCGCGGAGACAGAGGGCGTGGGGAGATGCGGGCGAGGGGAGGGGTGATGATGAACCCGCTCACGGTCACGCGTTGCCCATCAGCAGCAAGAAGCATTCCCGCCCCATCCGCCGCTGACACACATTGCCCAGGCCTTCATTGATGGAATGGCATTGAGCCGGAAGCCACCATGTCCTTGCAACCGCCCTGCCGCCGCCGTGCGACTAGCTCCCCCCGCCGTCGTGCCATCCTTCAGCCCACAACCCACGTCTCCCCCCCACCCACGGGGTTCGGGGTCGGACGTGTTCGTGGGGTGGGGGAGGTGGCATGATTCATTGTTTGCTCGTTCCTCGACGGTTGGATTCTGCTGCTTCCATCTGCTGCTTCGAAGCCCAGGCAGACGCGCTGGAACCTGACGCCCGCCTGCATCGACGCCGCATCACTGCAGAACGCTTCGACCACGTGCGCCGAGGCACAGGACGGAGCTGCTGTACCTCGCGCGCAATGGGGAATTCTCCCTTGACACCTCATCACTCCTCCTTGACTAAGCGCCCGCCTCTGTCCAATGATCCAATCCACTCCTCCTCCAGCTGCACGTCAGATCTCATTGTGCAACCGGGAGCATCCGTGCGCGCTGTCAACAGGGCGCAGAAAGCAAGCTTCGACAACACATCTCACAAACTGTCACATACTATGTGCGTGCGCCTGGCCGTCTTACCACCTGGAGGGAAAACATCTCGACAAACGACGTCTCCGTACCTTAAGCGAATCTGCAGGCTTACTGCTCTATTTATAGTCTCCATGCAAGCCTAACATGGATGTCCGTCCCGTCGGATCGATCTGCCTGTGGGACAAGTGGGTTACCAGCTTGGATCCCATGTCGCCGTTCCAGCCAAGTACCGTGGATACACTCGTTGACCCACTAGCTATAGCCTTACGACTTTTTAAAGACTGCACACCTGTGTGTACTTGAGTAGTGCCGATATCATCATGATGCCAACCCAGCTACTCGGTAAAAAGCACAATATTGGACAATGGACGGAATGTCATGATTCTGCCGTCATCGTGTCTACCATTCATAATCGCTCATTTACGTGCCCTGTCTTACGGATGCAGTTAGGCCCCAACAGCATTCCTCAAACTCCCTGCGAACTTCTCTTCCACTAGTCCTCTTCCGATCAATACGACCTTTCCACCTTGCGCCAGGGCTGCCTGTCTCTCGGCGTCTGAGTTGGCCGTGCTGTCCTTTGAGTCGAGTATTTCAAAAACCTCTCTGACACCCTGAATCATTTTCAGTGTTCCGTCGGTCAGCGGTATCCGGCCTTTCGTTCTATGGACCTCGAATTTCGTTGGGGTAGAAGAGGTTATGTCTTCGGGCAACCTTTCCTCCCACAAGACTGACTGAAGCCATGTATCAAGGGCTGTGAGGCCTTGTTCCGGAAGCGGAGGAAGTGGAATAGTGATAGTCGAGATCGTCTACCGGAGTCAGTTCAGTCAATCGTCAACAAGCTAATGCGGATCTTACAGGATCTAGATGGCTATGCCCTTTACTCGCGAATTCCAACTCGTCCTTGGTCACCGCATCGTACGCATGCAGATCCAACAACACACCCTCCAGCTGCGGCACCTGGCCGTGGCTCGTGACATGTATCCGTGCCAACGCGTTGATCGCCCTGATCCGCTGCTTGACATCTTCTAGCTCTTTTGCAGAGACCAGATCACTTTTATTTATCACTACGACATCGGCATGCGAGATCTGCAGGTGGGCAGTGGTGAGTTCCGGGCCACCATGATGGCCTTCTTCAGAAGCATCATGCTGGCTTTCCGGCGGTGGCTCATCTAGGCTCTTCAGAATGTTCTTAGCGTCCACGAGCGTGACGATTCCGTCGAGGTAGATGCTACTTCCAAGTCCCTCATCGAGCCAGAAGAGCGGTGCAATGTTTCCCGGGTCAGCCAATCCAGTCGTCTCGAGAAGCACGTAATCAAAAGCACCACGACGCTCCATTAGAGACTCGATGGCAGTGACACCCGTGTCTTTGACGGTGCAGCAAAGACAGCCGTTGGCGAGATCAAGCCATTCTTCAACCTGGCCGCCGTCTTTGCTGACCGTGAGAGACTTTTCGATATCGGCGGAGTCACCGAACTCTAGTTCCTTTGTTAGCGGGTCTGCGAAGCTAGAGTGGGACAGGGGGAGTACAAGCCATTGAGGATGACAGCAATCTTCTTTCCATGGCGCTCGTTGAGGATGTAGTTGAGCAAGGTGGTCTTGCCTGCACCGAGATAGCCTGCGGGTTGTTTAGTTGAAAGCAGTGGGAACCAGCGTCTAACAAAGAAGTAGTAAATACCGGTTACGATAGTGATGGGGACCTTGACCAGGGAAATGTCATCAATCAAGGTGTCGGGCGCTGCAGCGTCGGCCGTCGCGGTCACGAGGAGAGGGGGTGCTTCTTCGTCGTCGATCTCCATGGTTGCAGCAGGTTTAGTTGCGGGGAGGTGTCGTCCGTCGTCCCGCTTTCTTTCATTCCCGTCGGCATTTAATGCTATCGATAACGAAACTCCGTTGCAACTCCGTCTCGCTTGCGCGTCAAACGTGTCATCGATGCCGAAGCCGTGCGCGGTCAATGTCACCCTCCTCGTCATTGGGCAGCTGGGGCACCTCGCGGCTCCGCCGGGTCTCCAGTCTTCATGAAACCGGAAAGCAAGACTTCGCAGATCGCTGCCCCCGCCCAAATATAGTCATCTAGATGCGACACGCGAAGTTAGGGTGTAAATCTCCTGTACACCCCCGCGAATCCCGCTTTTGCCCTTAAACAAAATACTCTCTACCTTCCGCTCGTTCGTGTCTCTCTACAACCACTTCGCTCGTTTCCACGCAATTGCCCTTTCTGTACACCACGCCGCCCAAAATGCCTTCTCCCATGGTCACCGCGACGCTGCAGGCAGCTCTGCTGTCCTCTGCCTCCAACATTCTCGCCCAGTTCATCGAGGCCTACCGCGGCGAGGTACGACGTCTTTTCACCTTCTGCGCGCCGTCCGCTGACTCGATTTCCACCCCAGCGCGCCTTCATGTTTAACTCGCCTGAATTCTTCCGCTTCGTCACCCTCACGTTGATTACTGCGCCACCAAACTACCTCTGGCAAGGCCTTCTCGAGCGCACTTTCCCCGCCTATCCGCGTGACTCCATCTACGGCGCCGCACCCGGCGCCCCCATCCGTTCCCCTCGCTCTTCAATGAGCCGGGATATCGAGGCCGGCGATGGCCTGGAAAAGCGCGACGATTATGTCTATGCCAGCCAGCCCAAGCCTAGGATCAGCAAGAGAAACACCATTACGAAATGGTTCGTCGACTGCATCACCATGGGCGCCATCATGAACACTGTTGCCTTCCTGGTCATTATGGGAATCATGAAGGGGCAGGGCACTGCGGAGATTGGACAGAACATCCGGACGGTGAGTGTTATGCAGCGAATCTACACGTATTCTGGAACACAAGATGCTGATCTTCCGCCCAGGAAACCATCCCCATCATCATTGCAGGTTACAAGATTTGGCCGATCGCGTCCATCATCAGTTTCAGCTTCATCCCCGTCGAGAGGCGTATTGTATTCTTGAGTTGCGTCGGTCTATGCTGGGGCGTTTACATGAGCCTGGTCGCCGCCAGAGTTTAAGGGGCCTCTACCGAAATTCCTAGGTGATTTAGCAGGCTGAATTGCCTAGTTGGGATGTTTTTAAGGTATGGTTCTCGATCTTCCGACGATCATTGATCAACAACGTATGCTAACGTGCCTTCTGATAGGCGCGATCGGCATTGGCGTCTCCATCTGAGGGTCTACTTGGGATGAATACAATTTATAATACAGGCTGTTTGAAAAGCCTTCTGCAACTGGACCACGGCAGTAGACTGTCGGATGCTAGGCTCAAAAGCCATGTGCTAGCATTCTCTGTGCGCTAAAGCGCGTTTCACGGTCCCACTTTTGTCAGGGATAACTTATGGTATGAAAATGGTGGTCGACAACCACGGGCTTAGGGTTTAAGGCTCGCAAACCATCTTCGCCGTATTTTGTAATGAAAATCATACGCAAACCCAGGCATATTTTCGTTCATGTCCCCTGAATACCGACTTGTAGTCCGTTCGGCCGATCATCCATTATACGCCTATGGACCGCCAATAATAGGATTCCAATTCTGAAAATTTGAACGAAGCGGAACGTTTTCGTGGCCGTGGTCTGGAAGAGGCTTTCCATAAGACATAAACATCCAGGCTATCAACGCACTGTTCACCTCCGTCTTACCTATCTAACTCATCTGCCTCCGCTAGATATTGGTTCACGCCTTCACCTGATAGAAATCCAAGGACATTGACGATTTACTCATGGCGATGTTTAGGAGAGGAGACATACGGTCATTCCCACCCCCAAACGTTTGGTATGCGTATCTAGTTACTTTCGGTCGCTGAGCAATTGTTCACTAAGGATCACCGTCAAGCTCCGACGGCATGTCTACGAACACGGTCATGTTACCGATGACGAATGACGCGTGTTGTTTACCAAAAGGCAGGAACTAGAGATAGCGGGCGGAAGCAAAAGGCTTGATTAGAGTACTACGGCTCACGTCACAGCCTCATGTTGTATGCCGCGTGCAGTCTGGCCTTGGCTGCCGTCAGCCTCCTGGATCCTCCAAGCCCACTCATTCCTGGCGCTTTCTTCCAGCAGTTTGCGGTTGCGTAGCGGGAGCCCGGCCAACATGCCATTAGGTGGGCGATGCTACGGATCAGCGGGATGCGACGGACTGGCGTGATGGCTCGTACGATGGCATGGGTCGCACGGGAAGCCTGAAGCGGAGCAGCAGTGGGAGGAGGAAGCATGACGGCGCGTCGGGGGGAGAAGAGCCGCGGACGCGCCTCTGACACTGCTACGGCGTGCACGGGTACCTTCTCCACACTCGGCTTTCCCGTTTCTGCTCTGGCTTCCTGTCGACCCCGCAACTGATTGGCGTGATAAAGGGCCATGAGCTCCCCCCCCTCGTGAGCTTCGAGTGTCTCACGCCTCGCTCTCCTAGCATTCCTCGACCAATGCTGGCACTTGCCTCTTCGCCTTTGTTGAGGACACTGCTGCTGACCAGAGAGGTACGTCATCGTCACGTTGCACCTCCGCACGTCCGACTGCACCCGCCCGCATCACCCCGCCCTGCACCTTCTGTCTCCAGCAACAGAAGCACACTGACATTTCGCTGGTCGAGTCCAGGCTTCTGCTTCGCAATCCACATCGAATGTCCATTCATTTCATACCCTCGTAGAAAGCCAATATGAGTTCTCTTCCATTCCAGAAAGGCGTCGCCAAGAGGCCGCTCCGCTCTTCGTCGCTTTCTCCCGTTCTGAGTCGGAGCCACAGCAACTGGGGCAGGCGTCGTTGGCCACGATGGTTCCATGAGCGGAGTGACGACGAATGGCGCAACTTCCAAGCCCAAGTGGATCGTTTTCAAAAGCAAATCAAGGAAGACCCGTATAATACCATTTTTGGTCGCTCGAACGACATGCTCCGTGGCGTCTTTGAAGACACTCCCTCGACCGCCAAGCGATCGCGGACGGTTGACGCCAACAACGAACTGCCTAGTGAAAAACCCATGTCACGCCGAGACAATCATAATGCATTTGACGGGAAACCCATCAACTTGGGCAAGGCGTCATCTTCCGATAGCCAGTGGCGGTCTTCGAGCACACCGTTTGCTTCCGGCAGGGCGCCAGTGACTGCTACATCGCCGAAAGATACAGGCGCATCCTCGCCTATGAACCCGCCGCAATCCGAACTCATGTATGACCCCATCTCTGGCCGTATGATTGCTCTCCCTCTGGCATCTACAAAGAAACCGGCATCCAAGAAAAACAATGATGATGCCGTGGACATCCCTGTGAAGCCATCCCATGTTCCAGGAGACGCACATGCAACGAGCCCCAGCAACACCGAAAACACTCCCAACTCACAATTGGATGATGCGTTAAGCATCTTTGATCGGAATCAGAGGGAACCAAACAACAAGTCAAAAGATAGGCTGTCCAAGGAACACTTTATGGAAACCCGTTCTACATCATCCCATGACCAGCTTGCAGCAGATGAGCAAGAACAGCTCCAGCGAAGCTTGGCCGACTACGACACTCATATGCGGAACCAGCCGCAACAGGCACCTGCTTCTCCTGAAGAGTGGCTTGTCCAGGAAGAACACTCGAGGAGTACGGCCCGTAAACCATGTACCCCAACGCAACAACCACACCAGAGAAATGCTGCATCTTCCAACAATGAGTGCCAAGATCAGATGGAGCCTGACAGGTCTTTGAAGTCTAAAGTACGCAAGCCTAACCTGCCTCCTGACGACATTGACTTGATGACTGCTACCGACGTGAGGGCACGCATGGGAATTAAAAGAAATCCATCCAAGGGGACTGGTGAACAAAGGGAAGAGGAGCGGTCCAAACTGGAAGAAGATTTCGATAAAGTCCACCAGGAAAAAGACTCGGTCGATGCCTGGGGATACAGCCTCAAGCCCCAGGGTCTCGAGACCTCATATGTAAGGGAAAAACAAGCTGGGGATGCTGGAGCACATAGCTCCATGAAAGACAAGCGGTATGAGACTGCTCTCGAACGGCGTCTTCGGGGTGCCAATGCCACTCAAGGTTCATCTGCATCAAAAACTGCCACCGATCCATACGGCTATCCCCTGACACCAAAGGGACTGGAAACATCATATGAGCATGAGGTTACTGCATGCAAAAACGGTGAACGGAAGTCATTAGAGGACGAACTCCAAGAACAAGTATTCGGGAAACACAACACTGGCAATATCACCGATGAACATGACTTTTCCTTCAAGCCAATGGGATTGGAAACATCTTATCAACGCGAGCTTGAGGCTTGCAAGAAGGGCGAACGACCGTCACTGGAAGAAGAATTAGAGTCGGGTAAAAACCTCGACGGCGACTCTATCCAGGCTTCGGATGTCAACAAAGGCAAGGTTTCTCAAAAGGTTGAAGAGGAACTTGAAAAGGCACGCCAACAGCGCCTCCGCACCATTTCTCTCGTTGATCAAGTGCGTGAGATTTACGAGAAGTATTACGGCAAAATACCTGATAACAAAAGCCATCAGCCATTAAAGGCCTCGACTGTCGTTACAGATCCCGCGAACGAGGGGCGTATTGATGAGAGCGTTCACAACTGCTTGGCTGACTACGAACGTATAAACAAAAAAGCATATCTAAATGACCTCATCGGCAAAGTACAAAAAGCCTCGACTATCACTACGGATCCAGTAAACGAAGGCCGAGTTGACGATAGCATTCATGACTGTTTAGCCGACTACGACCGCAAAAATCCAAATGCATACAGCTTTACCAAAGACAAGCTTGAAGAGGAGCTTGCAAAGCTGAACCAGCCACCTTCGGCTACATCAACCGTTCCAGGGACGGAGCAAACAGCTTCTGAGCAACCATTAACAGAGAACTCCAAGACGAGCAAAAGCGAGTCCGGAGACACGAAGTCCTCGGCACCTTCCACAAACACTTCGCACATCTACAAACTGCTTGCCTACGACCGTAGCAAGAAAGCGATCACGACCTCTCACGCAACCTCCACAGTCAACAGTCCCAATGAGCATGCGATCCCACTCAGCATCGCCCTCTCCAAGCTCTCCCAACCTGCCCACTTTCTTCCGCAGGTCTCTGCTCTCTCAGAAGAAGGCTACGAACCCGTGGCGTCGACAGCGAACTTGCTCGTCCTACGCCTAAAGGGCACGGCTGATCCCGCCACCAGCTCTGCTGCTGCCACTGCCACGGCGCCTCGCCCCAACCCCGTCGACGGGACCACGATCCCGCTGCCACCCACGCCCACGATGTCCCCAACGGGCTACGTCAACCTCGAACCCGTGTTTGAGAAGCCTGCCGCGACGAGCGAGGAGGCTACGACTGGCGGTGAGCGCATGCGCAGGACCGAGGACGCCTACTCTGGCGGTAGTAGGAGAGAGCGCAGAGATAGGGGCCATGGCGTTGCGACGGTGGTGCAGACGATGGTGTGGGCTGCTGCGACGTGCTACGTGGCGGGCGTTTTTGGCGAGTTGTTGAAGTGAGAGAGAAGTTATGATTGTAGTGATTTCTTTGGAGTAGATGGAGTCTTGGGGTGTGTGGGGATTATGGACGGACGGAGTCGTAGGTATGAAGCTTTTTTTGTTTTTGATGTTCTGTTGGATGATGATCTCTTTTACTTTTCTGATTTTTTATATTGATGAATCTATGGGTGGGTTTTACTTGTAGTGTACCACGATATCCCTGCTTAGGTATTTCGTTGTGGACGAATGGAAATACTTTGCTCATTAAAGTTAGTAGTATTGCCTGTTAAGCTCATACTTCTTATTAACTATTCCATCTAAGCAACCGAACATCTAAAGTTGTCGTCCTGCAGGTATCTACTCCTCTATCTGTCCCCTTTATAAACGGGCAGAACTCAACTTACTATTATAGTGATAAATCAGAAAACAAAAGCAATTTGATAATTAGAGAAGTGAAAATGTGTGCTATCTACGCAGTACGTGTGCCTTTTTCCTTTGTATCATAAAGACAAGAAAGATAATAAAGCCCACAACAAAGGTCGTACGAAACGTAGCCCAATCATCTCATCCATCCATCCGTGCCACCACGAAGCCCCAACTACATCAAAAAGAAGAAAAAAAAGACGGTAAACTCATTACCGGATGGATATCATACAATCAATCAGTCGTCATCAAAACCGTCATGTCCCATGGGCTGGCTGGCTGGCTGCCGCCGCCACCACTGACTGCTGCCTCTGCCGTTGCCGCCAATGCGAACCACACACCACCCAATGATGCGAGCCCGCTCGCGGTCGACTGCTGCCGCTGCCGCCCTTTCGTAACCCACGAAAGAGAAAATAAGAAAAAAGGGAAACTCATTATCCCAAGCAGAAGAAAATTAACGAGAACCCCCTTGGTATCATTCATAATCCCGCCAAAACAAACCCTCCTATGCTGCCTGTCCTTGCATACATACATGAATGCATGCACGTCCAGGGGTACGCTTCTCACTCGACTATCTTCTCAGACGGCTCCCCACGCTGCTGGCCTTGCTGCTGACCCAGCTGCCGGAGTCCGTAACCCACGTGGGCATGTTGATCCAGCTGAAGCGGCTGCTGCCCGGCAAGCGCTTGCGGCCGGTGTTGCTCAGCTTGCTGCGCCACTTGAGCCGGCCTTCCGCAATGCTGTGGATGATGTTGATGATGCCAAAGGCCGAACTGCCCATTGCACGGAAGAGCGCCAGCGCTGCCACCGACCACAGGATGAACTTCAGGTAGAAGTTGTTGCCCACTTCGCCGACTGGGTATGCTTCGCTGACTGCCATGGCTAGGACCGCGTTCGCTACCATCCACGATATGACCATGTATGTACGCACCGCGCGGTAGTAATCCTCTTGCATCTGTGATTCGTTGATGCCGGGTGAGGGCACTTCAACGCGGTCGCGCAGGTTGCGCAAGGCTTCGTCGTAGCCGGAATCAATATCCAGTTGTTCGGATGGCATTTCGAGCTCGACGGTCGTGCCGGAACCCTTGGCTTGGCCCAGGTCGGTGTTGATCGTGTTGTCGCCTTTGGTTCCCCAGCTGATGTCGTGGGTGTTGCAGAACGAATAGACTTGCAACGTACAGATGTATGACGGAAGCAGTGCGAAGTACTGCGCCGAAGATGTGATCATGTGCCATGGATCCAGGTATAGGAAAGACATGAGGAAATACAAGCCGATCGTGCTGGCGGTGGACACAATCATGTTCGTGAATACGTTGTTGCCGAAAACGATGTTGGTATCGGGTGCTCTGAGCTGGTCCACCACGATGTAAATGGACGCAAAAGTCGTGTAAGCCATGATAATTCCATAAATAATCATACTCATCAAAAACATCTTCTTCGCGCCTTGCGGGCGATTGCCCATCGACAAGATGAACTGCATGCAAATAAGAAGCACACAAACATATCGCAGGATGACGAAGATGTACTTTCCGGCGTGGCCACCGAATGGATCGAGTTTCGGATCAGCGAGAGATCCAGCGATGAAATAAAACGTGAGGTAGAAATTGGCCTGCAAGCAAAGTCAGATAGATAATTCCAACATAGATAGTGATGAAGCGCCTACCAAAGAGAAGTACGTGAAGAGCAAGCTGACAAACTGATAGACAAACTCGATGTGGAGCAAAATCTTCCGCCACAAAGTGTGGTCCGTAAGCCAGATCTGCTTGAAATGCAGAAGAGAGTATACGGCAGCGAAAAACGCTCCGTTCAGCCATCTACGGCGCTGGGAGATGAACTCCGGCACAGCATCTGCTCTCTTGTTAACAACTGATTTTCTGCACGACCATCCATTGAAAAGGCTTACCCGGCACATCAGTTTCTCCCGTAGCACTCTTGACGTACTTCAAAACCCATCGTTCATTTCGCTTTGCGACCAGCTCCCAACAAAGGATTCGATCCTCGGCCAAATACATATTTGCGGTAAACACGTCCGCATCTTGGCCATGAAGTGTCTCACCCTTGAAGTACTGGCTCAGTGGACCATGGCCAGTCTCGTCGTTCTGCAGCGCATGATAGCGGTACGCACTCAGAGCACCTGGCAACACGGTAATATAGCCAAAAACAGACTCCAGGGGCTTGTCCAAGATATTTGACATCTTGTACTCGAAGTTTTGAGATGCGACCAACGGATTGAGCAAGCCGAGCCATCCTTTGCCCTTTCCGGCTTTAATCTCCCCAGCAGCGCCAGCAACGCTTGAGTCGGTGTCAAAAGCCTTCCAAAGGTAATACAAGGCTTTGGGTCCTGGCTTCGTGCCGACGTCGAGAAGGATGCAAATATTCGGGTTCAGCGCGCGACCAAAGGCGTTGAAAAACCAGCGGTGAGAGTTCAGTTTTTTCAGGTTCCTTTCCTTGAGGCAGAAAACAACCTGGACCGGAACGATGCCTTTTTCGGCTCCCTTGAATCGGAGGTCCGAGTCGAGCGATACTTGCGTCGTGTATTCGTAAACGTGCGCCGTGACTTCCTTGTTGTTGACCAAGTTTTTCGCAATTCCTTCTTGGTAGCATCCCATGGCTGCCAACGCATCGAGCACTCTTGGATGTACTTTCGTACGGCCATCGGCAATGATGCAAACTACGATTTTTTGCCAACCATCCTTACCCCAAGTTCTACTCTTGGCGCGAGAGCAGAAGTGGGCGATGTTGCGCATAACTCCATGCATAGTCCTCGTGAAATCGATCTCGTTTTCGTTGTACATGGTAATCGCAATAAAAAGCTCGGTCTCGCGCTGGGTAGGGCCAAAGTTTTGCCGCAATTTGTAGCCTCGGTCCACAAAGTCATCCGGATCGCACGTAACAGCCGTGTATCGCATATGCGTGAATTCGCTTCCATCTTTCCGTGGCAAGAAACTGTACAGGGTCGTCGGAATCTTGCACTCAAGGATCAGTTCACCGTTGACCAAACGCACTTCCCTCTTCTCCATTCTTGTTTGGCGGGCACCACGCCTTTGCTGCTTGCCTGCCGGTGCGGGGCCAATATGCTTCTCGTTGTAGAAATCGTCAGTCATTGTCGAATAAGTTCCGTAAGATTGCATGGTATCGAGTGGGGGCCGTCCGGCATCGTCGGAAAAGACATCGCCATCGTCTATGTTAATTGCAGTAGCATCACTATTTTTGGCTGAATCACTAGAGACGGGACGTCCAGCAAAAAGAGGTGCTGGCGGAAGAGGTCGTTTTGGGCTTCCGCCATACTGCGTCGAAGGCGTGCCCGGCCTGGGACTTCCGTTCAGGTTCAATGGCTCGTAACCAGAGTTTGAAGCTGGCGGGCGCGCGTAGGTCGCTGCTGATCTTGCGGACGGTGACCAAGGTCTGGTGGGCGAAACGGGTCGTGATGGCGAGTAAGCGACGTACGGCGAATCGTTTTGCGGCGGGGGCATCGAAGGCGCGTCATCTATAATCGAGGGAGCTCGCATGGAGGGGCCGCGTGACAAAGAGGCCGTCGACGGGTGGTACGAGGGTTGGAGCGGCGAGGGTCTGTCGTTGGTATTGAATGAGTCTTCTGTGCTGATAGGTTTGCGATTGACGCCGTTTTTGTCTTTGACAGTGGCCTTGATCTTCGCTACTCCGCGCTTGAAAGCGTTGGGCTGGGATGCTGGCTGGGTGCTGGAAAGGGACTGCTCGGCTTCGCGTAGAAAGTCCGAGAGGGCATCTTCGACTTGCGAGGTTGGTGGGGGGTTGGTGGGAACGGAATGGTTGGGTACATCCAATCCCGCAGCCGCAGTGCCCGGGAAGGGACGTTGGCCAGCGGGACGGGAGGGACTGGTTGCTGAGGTAGCGAATGCGGGTGGAGGTGGCTGTACTGACGGCATGTATGCTGGGTCCTCTGGATAGGGCGGGTCTTCGTGGTGTGTCAACAGACGCATGGTGGAGGAGGAGGAGCCGTAGCCATAGCCATAGTTTGTCGGACTGGCATCTTCTTCGTCGTACTCGTAGCCTGGGGGATTAGAATAACGCGGAAACGCGCCGTTAGGGTTGGGATGCCTGTCCATAAGGACAGAGGTCGCGCAGCAACGCGCGGAATGTGAATCGGATCGCGCGGAAACGCGAAGGGTGCGAGGGTATCAAAACAAGAGAGTCGCCAGCTACGTAGTAAACGACAGACCGGAACTCGCAAAGCAGACAGCAAGAGGCAGAAGGAGGCGCGAGACGGACGAGGCGCAAGAGCGAAAAGACAGAGAGCAGCAGATGGCGCGGCGCAGGTGGGGTCGAGTTAGTAGATGAAGTGTAAGGCCCCGGGGGCAGCGACCAGGCCGTGCGCAGGCAGTGATTCGCCGGTGGGTGCGCGTGTTGCTATGACGACAGCGCCTCGCCCACTCTCCGCCTGGGGGATCCCCGTCGTCCAAGGCACCGGACGGCGTTGCCCAATCGTTTCATCTCTGCTTGTTTCTGCTGTCGCTCAGATCCTCGCAGCTTTGGCCAGCTGGCACCCACAAATAGCTCCTTGACGAGCCGCCCTGCACGTCGGTAACCACTCCTCAACTTTGCGCCTCGATTTCGTGCGCAGCGTCTAGACTGGGCCCCTCGTTGGCCGGTGCCTGGTGCCTGACCGGCGCGCAGGCAGTGCAACGGGCACTGCGGGTCCCGCTGGCGACTATGACTCGCGACCCGCCAGAACACCACCCACTTACGACTAGAGGAGCTACTCCTAATGGGCCTTTCAGGGTCCAATGACGTCTGGCTTTTCCAAGTCTCTGTGTAAAGAGCAATCCCCCTTTTTCCATCTTCAGCCCACATACACACACTAGCTAGTTATGCCATCTGCAGCCCTCGACTTCTCCTGCGCCCTCGTCACCGGCGGCGGTGGCGGCATTGGCAAGGCCCTTGCAGAGTACCTTCTCAAAAAGGGAAAGACGGTCATCATTGCCGGCCGAACCGAGTCGACCCTGCAGCAGACGGCCAAGGAAATCGGCGCAACCGCTTACTACACTCTGGACACGGGCGCCATCGACACCATCCCGGCTTTTATCAACAAAGTCACAACCGAACACCCGGAACTCGATTGCCTGGTCAACAATGCCGGTGTGCAACGGCCTCTGCAGGTACAAAAGCAGGATCCCGCCGACTTCCTCGAAAAGGCAGACCAAGAGATCAACATCAACATTCGGGGACCCATGCACCTTGCCCTAGGTCTGCTGGACCACTTCAAATCGAAGCCCAATGGCGCTCTGATCGTCAACGTCTCGAGCGTGTTGGCTTTTATACCTTTCAGTATCATCAACCCGGTCTATAACGGCACAAAAGCATGGCTCCATTTCTGGTCCATGAACCTGCGCACGCAGCTGGCCGACACTAAGGTGCGTGTGGTGGAGATCGCGCCTCCGACGGTTGCGACAGACTTGCATCGCGAGAGGGAGGACCCGGATGACAACAAGAAAGAAAACAACCCCAATGCTCTTAGCGTCGACGAGTTCATTGAAGAGGTTGCTCAGAAACTGGAGCGGGGAGACGAGACCATCGGAGCGGGCATGAGCGCGGACATAATCGACCGGTGGTACAAGGAGTTTGGGCCGCACTATGAGAAGTATGCAGGCGGCAAGTAACATCCGTCACCGTTGATGAGATAACAACGTTTGTACGGACTAAAAGAATAACCAGTTAAAATAATTTGTAGTACGTTCCATAGGAACAGCTTGTAACCTTCTCTATCTCGCTGGGCGGTGAATCTCCCCTGACTGTGAGCGCATTAAAACAGGACTTGTAGAAAACATAGGGCAGTAGTCCAAGATGTGAAAGTATCTTGATGATGACGATGATGTTGTTGTTGCGTGAAGGCGGGCAGCCGAAAAAGGCATAGCGCGCCGTCACTTGCGACGCGGTTTCCGCTCTCTGTTTACATTTCGGCAAACCAGATGCAAGCTTGCTCGCAATCACACACCTCCAAGCAACCACAACCCCTCGCCATCATGCCGAAACGCGCACCTGCGCCCACTCTCTCCAACATGATAGACGAATCGGCCTCCGAGGACGAATTCGCCCAAGACCATGCTGCGAACATGCTCACCTCGGACCCCGCCATCGAAAACACCGCACCGTCGAAGAAAAGGTCTACAGGAAAGCCAGCCAAGGCTAGTGGCGCAGCTGCAACCAAATCAAACACGGCCAAAACTAGGACCTCGGGGCGCAGGACGAGCGGTGCGTCTGTCACCGCAGCAAAGACGAAAACGACCAAAAAGGCAGCCGCCTCGAAGCGCAAGACACTGGCCGAGAGACAGCAGGAGGGCAACGAGAGCGACACCGAGGAAGTTGATGAGTTTGATCACATTGAAGGTTCTGTTGTCGAGCAGCCTGCGCCGTCGAAGAAGAGAGGACGACCTGCGAAGTCCAAGTCCGAAGTTGATGACAGTGTAGTCACTGCTGATGTGCCTGAAATCCTTACAAAGAAGGCGAGGGCTGCGCCCAAATCTAAAGGAAAGCAACCTAAGAAGGAAGAATCCGTCGAACCCGTCAAAATAATCCCCGAGACCCAGCCAGAGGTAGACCCTATGGAGGTCGAGCCATCGATTGAGGAAATCGTTGAGGAGCCAGAGCCCTCACCTCCCGCAAAGCAATCCCGCCTCGCAAGTACCAAGTTTAAACAACGTCAGCCCGTGGCTCCAATCAGACGCGGGGGCAGTGTCATGTCGGATACGGAGCGGACAGGCAACGACCCGGCATTGCGCCGTAAATTGGGTGACATGACAAAGAAGTTTGAGAACATGGACGTGAAGTACCGCAATTTGCGAGAAGTCGGTGTGCAGAATGCTGGGGAAAACTTCGATAAACTTAAGCAAAGCTCGGATGAGCGAGCTAGGGCCCAGAACGACCTCATTGCTTCCTTGAAGAAAGAGCTGGCGGCTCAGCGCTCTCTGGCGAACGAGTCCAAATCTCTCAAAAAACAAATTTCGAGTCTCGAAGCCTCCAACTCAGAACTCTCATCCGAGAACAAGTCTCTCCAGAATCAGCTCTCCGAATCGCAAACTGAAATCAAATCACTAAACACCAAGCTCGCTGCCACTCGTGCCACATCCACAGCAGTTCAGAGCGCCGACGCGAGAGTCCCCGGTAGTGCCGTGAAGGCACAGAGGACAGTTATGGTCGGAAGTGCGGAGGCAGCTAAAGAAGCCCAGATCAGGCAGTTGAAAGAGGATTTGTATAGCGATCTGACCGGCCTCATTGTCAGAGGAGTCAAGCGTGGCGAGGAAGAGGATGTGTACGATTGTATCCAGACAGGTCGCAACGGCAGTAAGTTGATCCTTCCACCAACATTTTCGAACCTGATCATTGTAACTAATCGCTTACAGCCCTCCACTTCCATCTTTCCATTGCTGTTGACGATGCCAGCAAGCCCACCAGTCAAAGCTACGAGGATGCCGAATTCGCCTACGTGCCATTGCTCGACGAAAACAGAGACCGCGAACTCCTCGAAATCCTGCCCGATTATCTTACAGAGGAGATTTGCTTCCCACGCAGCAGTGCAGCCAAGTTCTACGCTAAGGTCGTGGATTGTATGACGAAAAAGATTGTTATTGAGGAGTAGACACGGACTGTTCGCACGTACGGGGCTGGCGGCGGCGTTTTGAGATGTTCGATACCTTATGGCTTACCGGAGCAGGTTACGGCGTCTTATGTCGGAATATGGGTGTGGTGGGTGGTAACTTGGCGTCTCCATCACTCGAGTTACAGCAATACAATTATGTACACATTCACTGTGCACAAACGTCCATAGTACAGCCCAAAGTATGCCAAGCGCCAGGCATTCCAGAACAACGCTTAGGGAGGCCGTGGCCTACCGGAACGGGCAATCCCTTGCCTGCAGCGCGCGCAATTTTCACGCAACATCGAACGTAGTGACAAGCTCTTGGCTCTGGATCAACCAACGCGGCGGCTCTGCCGACGTCGCCCGCTTGCCTCGACCGGGCAGCCCGCTAGCTGCACAGGGTGGCGCGCTCGCAACTTCGAACGTAGGGACAAGAGCTTGGCTTCGACTCTGCCCAGCCAGTGGCGGCCACAGCTCGGTGGCACGGCGTTGTGCGCTGCTTCTGCGGCCGCCGCCGGGCCTGGCACGTCGTCTGCCAAGCTGCCGCGCTGTCGATGTCGAGTGCCGCGCGAACGTGTGCTCGTCAGCCAAGCCGTACCGCCAAGGCCGGAAGATTTTGCTGTCGTGAGAATGGTTGATGGTCGTACTGCCGTATGCAAGGGTTTTCCGGTATATCGGCGTTTGTTGATTTGTGTATTTTGCTTACCTTGGTTTTTTGGGACACTGTTAGATAGAGCATCATAAGACTGCGGCGGTAGGATATCTAGGTAGAGTAGATTACTGTACCACCGTGTACTGCGTCGCCAGCCAAATAAAATACCTTGAAGAGTATTGCTATCTGCAAGGCTACCATAGCCGCATTGTTAGTCTCACAGAGTTCCCCGATGCACCTGGCAGCCAAGGTCTTGGCCCTACGTTCAATGTTGCTCCTAGAACTACTTGTTTAGGAAAAGAGGTTGCCCCGTATGGGTAGGCTGGCTACGTGTTTTAAGGAATCTGTGAGCATCTTGGCGTAGGGAGGCCTGAGATGGCGTCTTGAACATGGCTCAGACACTCTTCGTACCCTATTAATGTGAAGAGGCAGATTATCATCTAGAAAAAAAGAACTACGAAACGTCGTAGTTTCTCACAGAGCATCAACTGGACACGCAATATCAGATTCGCTCTCAAACTCAAGACGTTCAATTTAAAGTTTCTAGCTCGTAACTACAATTATCCCCGACAAGGACACATCGACATAATATTGGATCAGCGGCGCATGCGAGATCACCGCGATGGCCGTGTAAAAAGTCATCTGTCACAACTTACCTTTTCATGACTGCCTTCTGGAATTCTTCACACACATCACCCAACATCCACACACAACCACAGCCGTCTCGTCAGGGAACTCCACCGAGATGTCTAAAGTCAGTATACAAGTTTTCACAGTGCATGGGGGTAGGGATCCCGAAGGATCTGGCGATCAAGCTTCATCTTAGGGGTAAATCCCGTCAGACTCCGCGACACCTGGTTGTGGGGGAAACCTGTCATTGGCCTATCATAAATCCCTCTTCCCGTAGTGGTATCCGATCCTGAATATACTTTTATTTCCCACACCGACATGCGCTCTCGCACATGCTTATTGGCCGGGGCGACGGTCACCGAAGCGGCGAGGGCGCTCAGCAACCTGCTGCTGGGCGACGGCGACGACGTTGACGGGGATGGAGTCGAACTATGTTACATTAGCATGCTTAAACATCATACAAAACTGGCGGATTGCAACTTACGCCCATGGACTTGAGGAGGTCCTTGGTCTCCTGGTCAACGTCGAGCTGGCCGCTCTCGGAGTTCTGGGTGAAGTCGAGAGCGGAGATCTCAGGAACGTACTGATCCTTGCGCTCACGCTCCTCCTCCTGAAGCTTGAAGGAAATACCGCGAACGGGACCACGCTGGATACGCTTCATCAAGTGGGTGGTGTAACCGGCAATCTGTGCGACTAGATTAGAGACGACGGCCGATGCCCGAAGCCAGGCGTGCTAACCTTGTTGCGGAGACGCTTCGAGGCAATGATGGCGATCTCATCGCAAATCCTCTGTGGTTAAAGTCAGTCTTCTGCCGTCGCCCTTCGCCAGGGAATTGAAGCGTACGAACCTTGTTGGTCTCGAAGTCGAGGGTGAGCTTGGGGTAGTAACGCTCAATGACGACCTTGGCGGACTTCTTGACGGTCTTAGTGCGAACGCGACCCATTTTGACTGCGAGAGGTGGAAGTGTCGAAGAGGATAAGGTCCGGTGCGGTTGTCGCGGTGTGGTCGTCGTCGGTCTCTCAAAATGAAGCGCAAGTAGGCTCTCCAAAAGTCAAAGTGCGCCAAGACACTAGTATAAGCGAAAGAAATGTCGATCACGTGCGCCGTTAGATGCGCAAGAAGGTTCGGCTCATCATGGAAGTTCGGCAATGTTTGCTTTCCGGCAAGACATATATAATACACTGCATACTCATCTACCTAGAATATACCCCTCCTTGGCGCCTGGACCTTGGCCTCAGCTGGAGCCGAATTGCGAAGCATTCTAAAGAGCTCTTCGTTGTTCTTGCTAGCATCCGGCCCGTACCCTGAGCCGCTATCAAGAGTCTCGTTCAGCCCAAACGGCTGCACATCAGGCATGGGCTTTGACCTGGCCTCCGCCTCGCTTCTCGTCAAAGAACCCTTCTTGATCTGCACATCTTCCTCATTGGCTTGCTTGACGCTAAGCTTGATGCGACCCTGCGCATCAATGTGTGCCCGCGAAGGCGACATCCACATCTTCGGCCCGCCCTCATCATCGAACGTCATCATGGAAATGTCGCCACGTCTGGAGGAATTCGCATGGTTGAACTCGGTGACCACACCGCCCAAGCCGAGCCTGGCCCGCGATCGGTTGTCGATTGTCGACTTAGCACCCAGGACGCGTGCTTCCACAGGTTGCCGCTCGGCCCGAGGGCCTAGAACTGGGTGATTGTGAAGGAAGGCCGAGCTACGCAAGTAGGATAAACCGGCAGAAGGGTGGGTTGCTGGCGGACCGGAGTCAGTGCTAGAAACTTCAGCCACGCTGACGAATTCGGCATGCACGTCTTTGGCGGGACCGCCATAGACACCAGGGAGGTCGAAGAAGTCGCGGATAAGGCGGGTTAATTCCGAGCTCAGTGTAGTGTCCTCGCGGAGTTGCTTTAGCTTGTCTTCGAACTCTGCTTCTGAGATTGAGAAGCTCTCCACTTTAGGAAGAGCAGATCCGGTATCTCTTGCTGATTCAGATGCTTTGGCAAAAGCCTCTTGGGTGATATGCTTTCTCAGATAATCGCGGAATTCTTGTTTCCTCTCCCGCACGCCAGTTTCGAGGAACGATTGGAATTCACCCTGGTTCATGCCTGAGATCCAAGGTCCCTGGTATTTCCATTTGCTGAAGCCCTGCTTTTGCTGCTCCGAGGACAATTCGGTGTTGTCTGCCTTCTCCTCGAAGACGCTGATTTCCGGCCCTGAGGTGTCGGACACATTGACGCGTTCAACTTTGATGGAGAGTGGGATGTTCATTTCTTGCCATTTCTGCAGCGTTTGGACATGATCGCCAGCGCTCTCGAAATCCGTGAAAAGGTTGATAGTGTCCACCTCGTGTACCCTCATTGTTGGTGTACTCGACCTTGTTGTCTCCCGAAGCGGCAGTGGCCTTTTCAACCCCCAATCACCCCTGCACAAGCTTGAAGTCGGAGTAGCAATGGCTTGATGAGTCGGGTAGGCCTGCGTTGCCGTTTCCGAGTCGCTGCTCATCTCCGATGAGGTGCCATAGTTATCAGGACGAGGAAGAGGCGGCGGGAGCGAGAAGAGGCGAGAGGCGCGCAGGAGTTGGGCCGTGGGGGAACTGAGCTTTCGCGACATGATGAGCTCGAGTGGCAGGCCCGGCTCTCCGTTTGCTGAGACCCAATGGGAGCGTCGTGGTTGCGTTGCTGATGGGTTAGAGACGTGGGAGACATTTTGCTGGCCCAAGCGTGGCCGCCAAGGCCAACCACGACCGGATATCATGCCCTTATAAATGACATGAATTGGACAAATACAAGAACATGGAAGCAGGAATATTGGGGCGCAAATTAGCCCTGGCCAAGTGTTCAAGATAATAGGCTCACTTAGAATTAATGCGTCTTGTAACTACTTATCAAAAGAACCTTGAAGCTCAACGTCAACCACGATATATTTGATACCCTAGGTAGTATATGATACCCTAGGTAGTTATTTGGCTTCCGTCTGCCCCCCTCCCTGTACGCATTTCCACCTTCGACAAGTAGCAGTCCACATCTCATGTTCCCTAGGCAACCTGCTTACTGAACGCCATACAATATATGGTACACTGGAGTAAGGGGAAGGCCCTACCATATGTAATGCACTTGACATAGAATTGATGCAGAAATGATAGTCGCTTCTCAAGCACACTACACTAAAAATCATTCGTAATGATTTCTAGTCAAGATACCAGATAATATCGAATATCGGGGGACAGTGTCATTCTGGGTAGATCGGGCTCCCTCACAAGACCCAATCTCCGTCAGCATCCCTCTCCACCAAATTACCTGCCGTGTCTGTATGTGGTTCATAGCCTTCTATGTCCATATGCGCAAGTGACTTGGCGAGGTCTCCTGCCGATGGTGCTGGAGCAGGCGCCACATCCTCTTTTTCAATGATGGTGTCTTTCACTAGCCCAACGGATTTCGAGGAGATTTTCCCTTCGCCTCTTTCCAGTGCCAGATTTGCCATGGCTTTGTGCAAGTTTTCGACATGGCGAGTGCTTTCGGCTTCGGGTGTAGAGGTGGGCTTTTCTGCCAAAAGCTCGAGTGGATCGATCACGCCTCCTCTTCTGAGCCAAGCCGGCTCTTCGTTAAGTTGGACTTTGACGTACAGGGCCCGTCGAGCGCAGTCCTCGGAACACCATAGCTCGACCTTTTCTCGAGGTAGGATCGTCAAGTTGTTGCCCTTTCCAATGATGAACTTCTTTTTGCCACCTTTGGGGTTGACGTATGGCGGCTTTGGACACAGGGCGTAAGCACACAGGTCTGCGCACTTCCGTTCTTCGATCAGCGAATCATAGTCCGATGGCTGAAAGTCTGTGATGAGAGAGAGGAACTGCGAGGCGTCAGCGTCGGATGGGCGCGCGGGGTCGGCATCTGGGGATGACGGAAAGTCAAGAAGCTGGATGATTGCATCGAGGATCCGTGCTTCAGTGTCCTTCTGTTGCTGGATGAGGTTGGCATGGTAGAGGGCTATTTCGCGGTTCCGCTGCTCGCGGGGATCTGGAGCGAGGGCGGTGGCGGAACGAGGAGGAGCGCGAGCAGGAGCGCGAGCAGGAGCGTGAGCAGGAGCGTGAGCGGGAGCGGTGTCGGCAGCAGGCCCATTGATCTTCTTGAGGATGGACTTGGGCAAGACGGCACTGGGGTTGAATCTTGGGTGAGACATGGCGCGCGGAATGAAAGTGCGGCAGCCGGTCGATCGTGATAGCAAACTGACTGGGTGACTAAGAAAGTTACGCGTGGGAGTTGGAGCGTGGGTTGGGAAGGCGACCTGTCAGGCGCGTCATCTGGCGTACGGTAATTTTGGCGATGTCCGCCTGAAACCTAATGCGTGGCGGCGTCGGGCTCGGCCATCTCAGGGCACTGCCTTCAGCACAACACCTCCATCTCCCCCGACCTCCCCACGACCACTCCCGACCCTCCAGAGCGGAAGCTTCGGGTTGTCCAAGTGCAAACTGCACCTGCCCACTCACCGCATTTCTCGCAATTTCAGGTGCCTAGCTCTCGCCCAGCTCCCGCTCGCCGTCGCTAGAGCTCCTATCCGCTGACGCAATGCCCCGCTAGCAATCCGTCCTGCCCCCGATCGCACGCTGCCGCACCTCGTTTGCAACCCGATAGTGGCGTCTTCGCATTGTCTGGCCCAAGGACGACCAGGCCATGTCTCCTCCGCCCTTCAAGGTCAGGGCGCTGTACGAGTACAGCTCGCCCCATGAAGATGACTTGAACTTCCCCGAGGGAGCCTTGATCACCGTCACCGCCGAGGAGGATGCCGATTGGTACGTTGGCGAGTACATCCTGCCCAATGGCGGCAAGAATGAGGGTTTGTTTCCCAAGAACTTCGTCGAGCGCTACGAACCCGAGCCCCCTCCACGCCCAAACAGGGCCTCCAGACCTCCGCCGCCTCCAGAAGCGCCTCCTCCCGTTGAGCACGTGCCAGCAGTCGAAGAGCAAGCAGAGGAGCCTAGCGAGCCTGTCTCCCATGATGAAGCTCCTCCCACAGGAGCTCCTGCTGTTCCAGAGTCCCCACAAGCTGCTCCAAGGGCGCCTCAATTGCCAAGCTCACCGCCGCCCGCTCCTATTCCGAAGCCTCAGGAGCAGCCTTCGCAGCCTCAAGCCGCTAAGCCTGCACCTGCTTCCGCTGGACAAAAGAGTCCGCCTCCGCCAGTTGCAGAAAAACCCATGTCCTTCAAAGAACGCATAGCCGCATTTAACAAGCCAGCAGCGGCACCAATTGCTCCTATCAAGCCCAAAGCGCCCCCTGCTGGCTTTATTAAGAAGCCTTTTGTTGCGCCTCCCCCGAGCCGGGACGCCTATGTCCCTCCGCCCCGCGAACCGGCGCCCCAGAAAATATACAGGCGCGACGAAGATCCAGAGGTCGCGGAACGCTCAGCGCAGCAACAAGAGAGCACTGAGCAAACTGCGCCTGCCAGCGGATCGGCTGCAACTGAGGAAGAGGACCAGCCCAAGCCTACGAGTCTCAAGGAGAGAATTGCGCTGTTGCAAAAGCAGCAGATGGAGCAAGCTGCTAGACAGGCTGAAGCTTCGCAAAAGGAGAAGCCTAAGCGACCTCCGAAGAAGCGTATTGAGTCCCACGACAGCGAGAGGCGACCGGTAGCGGAGGAAGGCGTAGCGGAGGGTGGCGAGCGCGGGCATGAAGCTGGACAGGAGGAAGCGCAAGCTTTGCCAAAGAAAAGGCACTCGCGCGGCCCCTTGTCTCCTGACGCGGGACAGCATGAAAGAGAAATGTTCAGCGACGGCAACGATGCAGACATGTCCGCGGCTGGCGAAACTACCGAGGATGCTGAGGAATCTTCCACCACTGTCGAAGAGGAGGGGGAAAGGGCCCATGCAGCGCCATCGCATGAACCCGAAGCTGAGCAAGAAGGAGAAAGCACCGAAGAAGAAGACGACGGCTTAGATGAAGAGACGAGGCGACGCATGGAGCTCAGGGAGCGCATAGCTAAGATGAGCGGTGGCATGGGCATGGCTGGCATGTTTGGCCCCCCTGGAGGTATGCCGATTCCGGGTATGCCCATGAAGCCGAAGAAGCCTGCTCCTAGCTCGGAGGCGACAGCGGCGGAAAGTAAGCGTGAACCGGAGCAATCCCCACCACCACCGACTCAGCGTGTGCCTATGATTCCTATTCCTGGTATGCCTCATCCCGTCAGGAGCCCTGATTCCGAAGACACCGAGCTAGCTGTGGAGAAAGAAGAGGAACCACAGGACCCTGTGACTGGAGAAAGGGGTGCGGAGGAAGTTCCAGATATTGAAGATGTCAAACCAGAAGAGCACCCTAGGGCCTCGCTCGATGAGAGAGCAGCGCCTCCACCTCAAGGTAATTTCCAAATACGCCGTCGGGCTGTAGGTGCCACCCACAAAACTACAAAGGCTTCGAGGAGATCAGAATCTACCAGCTCCACTATCTCTTGGTCGTCTATCAATATGGACGGAGAGTCGGAGTGCATTCTGATCCTTGAGGTTCTGAGTACGTTAGGGGGGCAATCAACTACTTAAGTCCGCTATAACCCCACGACAGTATGCTAATAAATTCCACAGAACGACCTGTCCCGCCTCCGCCTGCGACAGAGCGGCCGGTGCCTCCGCCAATTCCTGGTGATCGCCCAGTTCCACCACCAGAGTGTACGTCAAACAGCGCCCTTGATAGAAAGTTCTTGCTAAACGTTCACAGCACGCCCTGCCCCGCCACCTCCACCGGTTGCTCCTCAGTCTCCGAGTGCAGGTTCGGAATCTGACGATGAAATGGCTGGTGATCAGAAACAACTGCCACTGCGTGGCGCTCCACCTCTACCCCCCGGAGTGCCCCCAGTCCCTCAATCACCTCCTTCTCATCAACGCAACTTTTCTGGCAGTGGTCCTATGTCACCCCAGTCGAGACCTTCGACCTCGTCGGACAAGCGATCTAGTCGCGCTATTCCACCAATTCCTATTGGCAGCCCGATTATGGCGCCTGCAGCGCCTGCACAAGCCAGACCTCCGCCGCCCCCGCCACCGACTGGGGCTCCCCCATCTAGACAGCCAACCAAGGACGTTCTTTCGCCTCACTTGGTACCACAAGAAGATGAAGAAGGCGAGACTGATTACGAAGGAGACTATGATACTGACATTGCTTCTGGCGCTCCACACAAGGATGCCCTGAAAGCACATGTGAGGGATCAAAGCTACGATGATAGTACACTTGCAGGAGATACTCCCGTCCGGTCTCCAATCGTGCCATCGTCAGCGCTACCGCATCCTATGCTTCCCGGTACGGTCCCACGTCCTGTACCGCCACCTCCACCACAACAGCCTCCAAGCGCCAGGCAATCTTTGGACGCCCCAAGAGCTGCTCCTCCGCCTCCTCCACCTGGGAGGGAGCCCATGTCTCCTGTGGAGAATGAGAATGAGTATGATCCATATCGCCACTCTTCTATTTCTGCAGCGCCTCGTGCGGCCCCTCCACCACCGGCTGTTCCACCACCAGCACCTGCACAAGCTCCAGAGTCTGCCGAAGAGGAAGAGGAGGAGGATGAGCTCTATTCGAGTCCTCCTCCGAAAAGGTTTTCTCAGCATGCTCCCCCTCCGCCCCATCAAGAGCTTCCGGAGCGTCAACCCCCTCAGTCTCCACCGCAGCCTTCTCGTACATCAGCACAATACTCTCGTCGGTCTTTGGACGTAGAGAGAACGCTGGGTGGTTCTCGACGTTCAATGGATCAATCTCGACCATCTCTTGATCACGGCCATATCGCAAACGATGTTGATCTCGGTGCGGGTAGCCAATGGTGGAGCCAACCTAACACGCCGCCTCCTGTCTTCCAAAACCGCAAAGATGTCCTGTATGAGATCGAAGAATCTAGTACTTCGAAGCGTGGTGGCAAGAAGACCATCCAAAAGGACGTGTACGTTCTGTTCCAGGATTATTCACAGACCATTGTCACGGTCCGTTTTGACGCGAGGAACCCGGAGGACGTCTCACTTGAACAAAGACACGAGCCGCCGCCGCCGAAGCTTAGGCAGGACCAGCTTGAAGATGCCTATGAGCAATTTGGTCGCCGCATAAGCAATGACGTGAACGCGAAGCAAAACACTACCGTCGGCGACGGCTCGCCCCAAGCTTTGGTACATGAGCTTGTGGCGCCTTTGCCTCAAGCCTTGCTTCCGATCGGTACTCGAGCATACGGTGCTCTTGTTTACGCCAATCTTGCCAATGCGTCGGTTCAGCAGCATGATGAGATCCGTCCGGGTGATATCATCTCACTGCGCAACGCCAAGTTCCAGGGTAAGCATGGACCTGTGCATGCTAAATACAGCATGGAAGTGGGTAAGCCAGACCACGTCGGTGTCGTGGTTGAATGGGACGGTACCAAGAAGAAGATCAGGGCCTTTGAGCAAGGTCGTGAGAGTAAGAAGGTCAAGGTAGAAAGCTTCAGGATGAGTGATTTGAGGAGTGGAGAAGTCAGGGTTTGGAGGGTGACGGGAAGGTCTTGGGTCGGGTGGGACGCTGAATAGTGCTGCACGAATGTTGTTTGGCGCTGGTGGTAGCGAAGGAGCTCTGTAGATACGTGCTTGTCAGGGAGCGCTGAGTTGAGCGTTGCAATTGTAAGCCTGTGTCGCAGTCACACAAGAATGCGCTTTCTGGAGGCAGGGAGAAATGCTGAGGGATTTCTCCTCTCCTGTGCAACCGAAGCGCATCTTGCTCTTTGAGGCAATGTAATGGAATGGGGAGGCAAAGAGCGAAGACGCGACGAAGAACGAAGGAGAGCGCGACGCGAAGACGCGACCATGTCTCCCATAAGTACTGCTGCCTCGATGTGTGTTTCGAGAGCATAGGTACTTGCCACTGTTGTACTCAAACCAGCATGCCAGCCAAAACTCCAATCTCAGTGCTTCTTTTGGGCCTTCTCGGTGCCGTTCATGGCCAGGTGACCTAGTATGTTATCCGGCCCGTTCCAATCCAAGGTACTATAGGCTGACAGCAGGACAGCAATGGAGAGTCCGGCATCTTCACGTGCGCAACCGCCTCAGGAGCCTATTGCTCTGGCGACTCCCTCAGCAGCAACATCATTATAAGATGCTCCGGTGGTGTCGGCATACCAGGAAACTGTAACGACAACTTGGCTGGCATAACGCCCGTAGGCGTCAAGACATCTGCCCTATGCTACCAGACATCTCCAACCGCTGGTGATGCTGTATGTTCCTTCAACAACGTTGGATATCCCGGCAATGCTGCCGCTTTCGCCATCGCCAACTGTAACACGCCCTCAAATGGTAGTGTCTCGACGCAAATACTGTCTGCACCTACTATTCCGGCCGTCCATGTTTCAAGCAATCATAGCAGCAGCAGCACAACAACAAAGGCACCTTCGGATAAGACCAGCACTAGCACTCTCACGAGGACGAGCACGAATATCCTAACCAACACGGAAATAGTTGACCTGCCGACAACCCCAACCCCAACGCCTTCTGGGCCGTCGGTCGAGATGACGACCGGGGCAGCAACGCGGCCTGGCGGAAGTCTTGGTTTTGGATTTTTCGTTGCTTTTGGGGTGGCAGATCTGCTCATGGGCTAAGGGTAGATCCATAGAAGCGAAATATACAAGAAGTCTTTTCGCTTTCACGGAGGTGATGAAACGGGCCGAGGCATAGGTTCTGTTGCTCCGCAAATTCCGTGGCCCCAGCTGGAGCTTTCCCCGCGTCATTGCCCCGGTAGCCGACATGTGAACAATCACACCCCCATCCACCGCCATTCATCTCCCTTCGTGCCTTGTCTCTCCCTGAACCCTTTCAACCCTCTATCCAAACATGTCGTCCTCAACCATCCGTCTCGCTCATCACACCCCGCTCCGCCTCCTCGCCCACTCACGACCCCACCTATCTGCGACCCGGCGCCTGTTTAGCAGCAGCCAACCGTCGAAACGAGAGGTTCGGGATGCTTTCATCCTGAGTGCGTCAAGGACGCCAGTTGGTGCAGTAAGTCTATCCATTTACCCTCCATTTTTGCTACCATGTCTGACGCCTTTAGTTCAATGGCGCGTTCACCACTGTGCCCGCCCCGCGCCTGGGAGCAGTGGCTATCCAAAGCGCCCTCCAGAAAGCAGACGTTCCACACGACGAGATAAAATCAGTCTATATGGGACAGGTGCTCCAGGGCGGTGCCGGCCAAGCACCGGCCCGACAAGCCAGCATCTTCGCCAACTTGCCCCCCACTTGCGAATCTACCACGATAAACAAGGTCTGTGCCTCGGGCCTGAAGGCTGTCACTATCGGCGCCCAAGACATTCAGCTTGGCGATGCCGAGACCATCGTCGCCGGCGGTATGGAGAACATGAGCCGGGTGCCGTATTATCTACCCCGCGCTAGCCAACAGCCCCCATTCGGCGAGCAGAAGCTGTTGGATGGTCTGGTTTCGGATGGACTATGGGATGTTTACAACCAGATTCACATGGGCAACTGTGCAGAGAACACGGCCAAAAAATACGAGATCTCGCGAGAGGAGCAGGATGAGTTTGCGATTTTGTCGTATAAACGTGCTCAAGAGGCTTGGGCAGCTGGCCAGTTCAAGGATGAAATTGCGCCAGTCACGGTCAAGGGCAAGAAGGGGGACGTTATCGTCGAAGAAGATGAGGGATACAACCGCCTGAAGCTTGACAAGGTTAAAACGCTGAAGCCGGCTTTCGTACGTGATGGCACTGGTACTATTACCGCAGCAAACAGCTCCTCTTTCAACGATGGTGCGAGCGCGCTGGTGCTTGGAAGCCGGGCCATTGCACAGACTCATGGCAAGGACTCTCGCGTTCTCGCCCGCATTGTCTCCTTTGCTGATGCCGCTGTCGACCCGATCGATTTCCCAGTTGCTCCTGCCAAGGTCGTTCCTATAGTTCTTGAGCGTGCCGGTCTCTCCAAGTCTGATATTGCGGTATGGGAATTTAACGAGGCATTCGCTGCCGTGATCAAGGCAAATGCAAAAATCTTGGGACTTGGTACTGAGATAGTAAACCCGAGAGGCGGTGCCATTGCTCTGGGTCATGCATTGGGCAGTTCGGGAAGCAGAATCCTGGTGACTTTGCTGCACCAGTTGGGAGTGGGTCAATATGGCTGTGCAGCGATATGCAATGGAGGAGGCGCAACGACGGGCATTGTGGTACAAAGGGTGGCACATGCAGACTTGTAAAGCTAACTCTATGTTATTGGAGCCTATGGGTAACCCAGGGCAGCAAGATTAATCGGCTTGTGTTCATTGAACCGTATACTTAATCACATCGTTAACTGAGGCCCCATTACCAGCCAAACGAGCATTGTATTCATGTGTGCAATCATTCGGCAACTGCAGTCACCATCTTGATTCTTCCTTCCAGTCTGGGAGCAATAGCCTGAGCATCTTGTCAGCCGCTTGTGAATTATGCGAGCACGAAGCATCCATCAGACTCACCTTAGTCCAGTTTATCATAAATTCTCCCTCTCCAAGCTCATCACACAGCTTCGGGTGACCTTGCAAGCCAGTCAAGCGCCACCACTTCCTCATGACTTTCCTCATGATGACCAGCTCCCTCTCGCGCTGACGAACGGCCATGTTGGTAGGCTTCAGGTCTGCCTCATCGTCTTCAGATTCAGACTCATTCAAAGGCGTCTCTGCCCCTTCAGGTCGCGAGCCGTGAGGTGTGGTCCTGCCGCTGGCATGAGACGGAGGCGACAAAGTGTTGTTGTCTGCGGCAGCCGCCCTTCTGAATGCCTCAACAACTTTGGCTCCCGGTGCTCTCGGAGCTATGTGTGGATGCTTGACCTCTAGTTCTTCCTGCACCTCACCCCAGTGACGTCCCAGACTCGGCCCCCACTGCTTCCAGCGTCCGAGGACCTTGAGGGACATGAAATACTGGCGGAGCATCATGGAGATAAGAATTCCGTTCTCCTCCGATACGATCTCTTTCGCTGTTCCGCCCTCTGCCTCAACTAGAAGGCTATCATAGCCGTCTTTTCCACGTGCCATATAGCCTCTAGTGACGAGCACATATTCTTTCTCATCATCAAAGGGCTGACCACCTATTTTGGCGTAGGTGACACGTTCGCCTTCAGGCCGCTGCGGGTCAAACTCGAATTCAATGTTCGAGACTTGAGGGAAGCGCCCTGTAATTGTTAACACTTTGCCCTTACAAGGACGGATACAAAGATAGTCACCTTCAAGGGCTGGGTATTTAGAGACGGAGTTCTCCAGTGCTCCTATGATTGCACGACCTTTGACTTTGATCACCACGATTGGATCCTCAAACGGAAAGCTAACGATCAGTCAGCTAAGCATCAAAAGCAATTACAGAAAATGGCTTACCAATTCATGACATCTTTCAGCCTCAACACGCCGGGGGGGTAAATTTGGTCTCCTCTGATGGTCCCGGATGCCATGATACAACAATCACCCTGGTAATGGAATCGCATCAAGTCACAGACAAAGTTGCCCAGGTTTGATTCTCTGAGCCGCACAGTAGTGAATCGCGCGTCGAGAGGGGCGGCCGTATACCCTATCGGTTTTTCCAGCTTGGCCTTAAGCTTCGTAGTCAGGCTATCCACGAGTTTTACAGTGGGGGGGTCTTCCGGTATCTCTGATATGACATCGCGGCGGGTGATGTTGAGATCCCACTTGCCGCTTCCATCATCCCTTTTCCAGGCTTCAATGTAGCTGAGATTCTTGAAGTCCGTGCCGGATCGGAGGATATGCGTGCCGTTGATTAGGCTGTGTCCATAGTAATGGTCATGGCCACCAAGGATTATGTCAATCAGACCATCCGTGCATTCAGCCAGCTTGTTGTCGTTGGGTTCACGCTGGTGCGTCAGAGCCACAATTAACTCACATCCCTGCTCCTTCAAGCCCGGAATCAGTTCCTTTGCAGTGGCTGACGCGGACTTGTATACCAGGTTCGGTGGAAGCGAATTGATTGTGTCCAACCATTCTCTTTCCGCTAACCCAATGACGCCAATTTTGATGCCGTTGGAAGTGGTGAGGATCACAGTCTTCTGGGCATTCCCAAGTGATTCATTTTCGCCGAGGTCCAGGTCGAGGACGTTAGCTAGCAGCCAGGGGAAGTTGCATTGGCCAGTCAGATAGCGGTATTGGAGAATACCAAAATCGAGGTCATGGTTCTGCAGGCTCAGCTGTCAGCGCTGTAATATAGAAGGGGGTAAGAGCCAGACAAAGAAGTATACATACACCGACACATGCAACATCGGTACCTATTCCGTTAAGGGCCGGGACCATGTGACTACCTGCTACATGTCAGGCAGAGCTCTAGAAGGGTTGCCCGTCCATGGTCATATCACGAACCCTTGGTCACACTGCTCTCCAAGCTAGGGTTGAAAGCATCTCCGGAGAAGAGCGTGATAAGGTCCGGTTGGCTCTTGAACCTCTCATCGCTGCGATAGAAGTTGCAGAGTGTTTGGAAACGCGCAAGTCCGCCGACAGGTTCCGCGGACGCAGCTTCTATGTGGTAGACATCGTTGTAGTGTAGAAGTCGCACGCTCGGTGGTGAATCATGGGGTCCGCTGGAGTAGGTGGTGGATTCCCCGATAGGAGGCGTGGTCGAAGGCATTTTGGAGGTTAAGGGGGAAGCGGCAATAGGGTGTTGGAAGGATGTCCGTGGACTGCACGCCCGTGTGAGATGGCCAGGCTTGGCTGCAGCTGAGACAGCAGGGTACTAATGAAAAGGCGGTGATTGGGTGGGCCTCCATTGGAGCTGGGGCTCCTTATGCAATTGCTCGCACGCTGCATAGTGTTCGGAGCGCTGGGTGTTGTTGTCGGGGAGGGTTGCGGACGTCATTGGATTGGAGCTTCCCCTTGCGAGCCAAGAAGTTGTTTCCTCCCGCCCTCCGCACCTGGCGGGGGTTCTTGGCTTACTTTTACCCCAGACAGCGCATACAACATAACTATTATTTATCTTTGTCAATTATTTCAAGGGTATCGAGTAATGCTACATTGGTATGCTTTGGCGAATTTTTCGCCCAACGCCCACGCTCACACGCAAACAAAGTACACAAGATCAAGGCTGAGCATCCCGCTCGGTTACTGTCCACCGTCTCTTCGGTCCACGTTCCCTTTCATTGCGCGCTCCCGACGGCGCAGATCCCCAAAGTCCATGTTGGCTCATAGATCTTCCGATGCTTGGGGGAAGAGGCGCTATCTCATCCTCGGCCTCGGCCTCGGCCTTCTCAGTGCGCGGTGTTGATGCTCGCCTCTGAGTGTTCCCAAAATTCAACATAAAGTCCCCGGCCGGGCTGCCACGGCCGTCAAACGCTGCTTCGTCTTTTGAAGTGGGCCTGCTCCATAGAGCAGTTCCGGGCTTAAAGCTCGGGCTCCCAGGGGAGGACCGTCCTGGAGTAGGATTATAACTTCTGCTGGACATCGAATGCACGGTCGAGCTGCGTCGAATGCTACCGAGAGAACTGCTGACTCCACGGGCCGGTTCTCCCGCGTTGTCTACGGGACTTGCGGGGGCAGCTTGAGCTCCATAACGACTGGAATCGCTCATTTTAGTCATGAGCTGTGGCGAAGGCATAGGTCCTAATCTAGCTGGGTCGGCTCCCACGCGCAAATGCTCGGTCGAGGCAACAACTGTCAGATCGTATTCATCCGAGAGCACAGACTCGACGCTAGTCTTGCGGCGTTCGTTGAGAGGAGACACGTCGCCGATGTCAAGGTCTGAAGGTCTTCGCTCCGATTCTTCTTTCCTAACAGCCATTGTGAGCGATGCCATGCCTACGTCGAGCAGAACTGGCTGATTAGTCAAAGCACCAATCAGAGCGTTACATCCTGCACCATGTGTGACCAGCACAAGGACAAGGTCCTCCTCATCTTCCTCGTCCTGAGTTTCAGTGACCGCATCTTCCAGGTGATCTCCGGCTCCATGCTCTTTGTACCAGGCCACCATTTTATTTAAGCCGCCCCGGAAGCGTTTGTGCATAGCACTCCACTCCTCTCCATAGTCGCCACCATCACCCCACTGCTGCGGGTCGCGCATGCTGTCCCACTGATAATCAATATCAACGCAAGCATCCCGAGCATGGGCAACGTAACCACGAGGAATTGGCTCGGCTGGCGAGATGGCATAAGTTGGAACTGGGGGTCTGTAGGCTCCTGATTCCGATTTGGTAGATGTTGAAATCGCAGTATCGCCTCTTCGAATGGACCTACTCGCCGAGCTGCCTTGACTGCTTGCGCGATCGCGCAGAGGGAGAGCCTGAGCCAGGCTCCCCAAACCTGAAAGAGACCCGCCTTTTTGATGCAGGCTTGCTCCGGGTGAAGTAGTGGATCTCCATCCACCAGGGAAGTTACCGGTATTCAACGATGATCCCGGGAGAGTGTCCACAAACTCTCCACGTCGGAGGAGTTCTGCTTTCGCTCCAGCAAGCATCATGGTCGAGTTTGGAGGGGGCGTAATCAAGTCAAAGTAGTCAGGCGAAAGCCATTCCCCCAAGAAGGCATCGACACGCAGAACCGTCTTGTCGATGTCTCTTTTCTGAAGAGACTTGCTGAGCACATTTCGCGTAGGGTAATCCTCAGGGTGTGGTATGCCTTTTGGCCCTGACGACCTGTCTGCACCGCGGCCGTTGGCCGAGGTCGAATGCAACGACGCTCTGCGTTTGGGTGAATTACTTCGAGACCTGGACGGCGGTTGGGGGTGCTGGAACGAAGAAATGCCGGCGCTGATGGCTACAGACGTCTGGATGCATCGCAAGAATGGCGAGCTGTGAACGATGACCTTGTGCTTACGCTTTTTCCTCTCAGATCGGGGCTGACCACTGATTCCATCCAAGCTATTGCTCCTACCGTGTGCGCCCGCTGGAGCTGTATCGTCATCCTCGGACGTTTCGCGTGCGTACAGTAGGCTGGCAATCCTCGTGCCCAGCGCGCGAGATTGCGTCCAGCCGCCGTACGTGAGAGGAGGGTCGTAGGGCGTAGGCGAGGTGAGATGCCATGTCTTGTCGGCAGCGTCGAGGCGAGCCCCGTGTCTGGATTGCCGGTCAGCTTATTGGAGAGGGCGGAATGGGCGGCTCAGGTATACCTGGCGACAATGATAACGGCAGGGGAGGGAGACATGGTGTGACTTGCGATGCAGTTCAGGGTGTTGGCAGGGCGAGCTGTGGCATCGGGCGGGGAGGTGCGGAGCTGGAGAGGGACGGGGCTTGGCACGGTGGAAAAATAATTGAAAGCAGCAGCGCGCGCTAGGAGCACTCGGGTGACGCAACCGGCGATGCTGGAGGGCATCTCAAAGGCGGCACGAGCGGTGAGATGCCAGCTGGCCCGTCTGCATTATTGCCTCTCGGGTGGTCACGATGCTCGCAAGAACAACACACACGGCATGCATCAAGGCGAATCATGGCTCGCTGCATCTTGCCGCCTACAGCTGCAGGCGGGCATTCCATAAGAAGCCCTTCTCCGCCGCCGCCGCTGCCGCCCTCACTGCTACCGGCACCTAGAATCCATGGACCCTGAGACCGCACCCAGCTGTGCCATCTGCGGCAACCCAGCACCTCAAGAATGCCAGTGTGAAGCAGAGAGACTTCAGATCGCCCTGCAGCAGGCCGAGCACCGCGCTATGGACGCGCGCCAGGCCGAGATCCGGTGAGTGCTCCAAGCGCTCGCTCGCCTTGTAACCCCAAATATTTACTTGGCCGCAAGAGACTGGGTTGTCAACCACGCTCGCACCCACATTCTTCATGCCTTCGAGCGCCTGAAGTCCGCTCGGAAATATGCCCATAATGCCTATCTCTCGTCTCTTCCCTACTATTCCATTTACGTGCAATACCGTGGCCAGCCTCCACTCCACCCCGCCGCGCTGCACCAGCTCAAAGCTCAAATCATCGATGCCGACGCCGAGTTAAAGCGTGGTGTGGACGCCGACTGGCGTGCCTCTGTTCTACGCTACCCGGAAGTGTTAGATTACTTTTACGGCCTTGTGGATCTACATCTCCCCAGCGAGAGGGACCCAAGCGTAGCATCGCCACCTTTCGCACTGGCTGGATATGTGGATCGGGGCTTCGAGGGCGGGAGGCGAGAAAAGGGCACCAAAAAGGGCAGGACTGGACGAGAAGACACTCCAACATCGATGCCAACGAGTGAGAGGCCCAGGGACCGACGCAGAGACTCTGGAGGATACGGCCCAACCGGAATTGTCAGATCAAAAGGACCGCCAATGGCTCCCACGCCCCCGGTCATGCCGCCGTATGCACCAGGATTCAGTGGCGGAGGCTACTTTGGTTGAGATCAAACCTAGGGCCACTGCTAGCTATAGCAGTGCGCCAGGAAGGCGTTGCCATCGTAGCACGTGACAGCGGTCTCCTTGGATCATAGCACGATGCCACATCTAAGGCATATCCCCACTAGTACTGTTGCTGCAGAAAGATTGAGTCTTCTGCATTGAAATTCTTGGGGACAGGCTTAGAAGATCCGCTCCAAAGGGCACGCTGTGGAAACGGTTTATTTTGTAATCGACCTAGCCATTAATGGCAGGATTTGGGCCCTGTGCATACAAATCTCAAGTTTCAAATGATTGATACTGACGCACGTTCAGTCTTACCCAACCCTCACACCTACCTGCTTCTTATTGCCACCAGGTTCGGTCCCAATACATCTATCCGCATAAGTGCTTCAGTTCAGGTAGTCGCCATCAGTCTCCTGGAATGCATTAGCTTTGGGGCAGACGTGCCGACAATAAGCCCACCTTGTGGATTAAGTCAAATAGCGGCTTCGCACTGAACCACCCCGCTCTCGGCGTCCCAATACTCTTGCACGTAAAGGCCGCGTCCTCATCGTCAATCTTGACTGTCTTGTCCCCACGACCACCGGCAGCAGCATCGGCCATGAGCTGCGCATGACAGCATTTTTCCAAAGATATGAACCAGAACACAGTTTCCTCGATCGTTTGGCCTACGGTAAGGAGGCCGTGGTTCTGGAGCAATACAGCTTTCTTATCACCCAGACACGATGCTATATTTCTTCCTTCCTTTTCCGCAAGTACAATGCCGTTGAAGGATTCATAGACGACGTGATCCTTAAACACCGTCAGTATGTTCCAGTGGCAAATCCGACTTGCCCATACGTTGTAAAAAACGCAAGCATCCTGAGTGATGATATCCAGAGGCCTTCCTAAATTGCAGAAACTCCGACCATAGGTGCTGTGGCTGTGAGCAGCGGCATTGACATCTGGCCTGGCCTGGTGGATAGCACTGTGGATCATGAAGGCAGCAGTGTTGAGGAGCCTGACGGGCCCGCCATCGACGATATCACCTGCCTCATTGACCCGTATCAGGTCCGAGGCCTTGATGAGCGAGAATGCAAAGCCAAAGGGATTCACCCAGAAGGTCTGGGGATCCACCGGGTCCTCAAGTGAAGTCAGCCATAGGTGGTGCGGCACAGCCGCCGCACGCTGTTGTTTACTCGCACAGTGATATGTCCGGCCACGCCCTCGTCAAAGCCATATTTTCCGAAGATGCGGAAGGCAGCAGCAAGCCTTTGCTTCAAATACTGCCTCTCGGCGAGCGGGTCGTCAAACGTGGGCGGCTTTGGCAAGACGAGCGGCCTCACTTTGGCCTCGCTGAGACCAGGCTCATGGACGGTTGCAGTGGGTTTGCCTTCACAGATGGCCGACGGGGGCGACATGATGTACGGAGCAAGGCAAACTTAAGGTGACGGAGAGATACATAAGTAGGTACCCCTACCCTAAAAATGCGGGGAAGTCGGCACAGTTACCGGAGTGGCAGCAGGCCCGATGACATGTGGTCCGAGCGTCCGCGCCCTTCAGTCGACATGTGGAGTCAGCAGAGGTCTGCCAGACGGCGCCGCCAGGCCTGGTAGGCGCGGCCGGGTCGAACTAAAACGGCCCTCTCTTCCTTCAGCAGTCCTGTTGCACGTCAATCTTGAACTTGTCTTCCAAAGGGCGTGATGGACGCCCAACAGCAAGACATGGCTGACTATTTCGACTTTCACGCGGCAGCCATGCCCGATGCCCCCCCTGCTAGACCTCAACCCGACCATCTTGCCGCGCCTCGCTTTATTGGCTCCTGTCTGCTACATCCTCACGATGACGGGTAAGCCTCTGCTCTTGCCTCCTTGACTCCATCCCGTGGCGGCCACATTGCTGATCACGTGACAGCTGCCTCTGCAATGGATCAACTGGTCCGTTAGAAGTCCCTGACCCTTTGGTTACCACGGCCGAATGTTCTGCGGCTTATGACATGAACAATGACTGGACCATGAACTTCTCGAGTTATATTTCTCGATACCAGAAGCCCGAGACGCCCTGCGATTACTGCCGCCTGCGTCAGCTGGAATGCTTCAAGACTTTCGAAGGCCAGACTGGATGTTCGCCTTGCAATGCCCTGTTCCGTACATGTAGCTTCAGTAAGCCTGAACAGCTGCGTGGGCGGTCGAGGAATGAGCTTGACACGTTACACTTAGTGCAGGAAGACACGGCCGAGGAGTTCGGTGGACTGACGGGCACTAAAACCCTTGCGGGCTATAAAGCTGACGAGGAGCGCACAGCACGGAGAAGCTCGACTAGATTTCCAAGGGCTGCCATCAAGGTACTGACCGATTGGATCGTGAACCACAGTCACCACCCTTACCCTACCGAGGAAGAGAAAGAGGACTTGGGAAAGAGAACTGGTTTGACCGACAACCAGGTCAACAACTGGCTGGCTAATGCGCGCCGAAGGAAGAAGCACAAGCCAAAAAGGGGCATATCGCCCAGCATCTCGTCTCCAAATGCCGCATCTACCCCGGCAATCGATATACCTGCTAGCAAAACATGGACGGATCTTAACCCCATGGAGAGATGGATGGATTCCCCACCTGAAAACGAACCTGCGCCTTTGACGGCCATTGCTCAGGCCATTAGGCAGCACACCCCACCAAGGGACAGCTGCTCCTCTGGGTACAATAGTCGAAACGCATCCACTGGGAGTTCAGGTCAGCCGTCGTTGCGGGCTCCGTCAACGGCAAGCTTGGAGATTGCTTCTGTCAACTCCGGGCTTTCGAGCCAGGACTCCTCGTTCGGATCCGTTTGGTCCTCTAACTCTCGCAATTCGGGCAACTCCTTCGGTTCTTTTGGTTCTCTCAATTCATTGGGCAGCGGTATACGGAAAGACAGACGCCGCCGGCGTCGACCGGAGGTCAGAGCCAAGCGCCAAGCTGACGATGCTCGTGTATTCCAGTGCACGTTCTGCACCGACACTTTTAAAAACAAGTACGACTGGTCCCGTCATGAGAAGTCTCTACACCTCAGCTTAGAGAAATGGATATGCGCTCCCCTTGGGCCGGTTATTACATGTTCTGCATCAGGCCAGAAGAAGTGCGTTTTCTGCGACGCCATTGATCCCTCCCAGGAACACTTAGAAGACCACAACTGGTCTACTTGCGAAGAAAAAGGGCCTGAAGGCAGAACTTTTTACAGGAAAGATCACCTAAGGCAACATATGCGGCTTATGCACAATTGCAAGCTGACCCAGACGATGGAGTCCTGGAAATCGGAAACGACTTATATCAGGTCTCGATGCGGATTTTGCCGGCAAACATTTGATACTTGGCAAGATCGTGTAGATCATCTTGCGAAAGAATTCCGCAATGGTGCCAACATGAAGGACTGGAAGGGTTGTCGGGGTTTCGATCCTCAGGTTGCTCTGCTCATCACGAACGCTATGCCGCCATATTTGATAGCGGGTGAAGCGAAGACGCCGAACCCATTCAAAGCGTCGGAACCTTCTTCTCTGGCGTGGCATACCACTCACAGCCCTGCTCCAGAAACAACGCGTTACGACGTCGCTGCCGGTGCTGGGTTTTTCCAAGCTGATGTAGTCGAAAGGCATCCTCAAGGGGTGACTGACCAAGGAGACCCCATCAATCCTTTGCGGACCAGCCGCAGTCTCCCACCCCAAGGCGCTACCTGCTGGGAGGTTCTTACTGTTCGTCTCGGTAGATATGCGAAACAACAGGTCTCTCTTGGTATTCACCCGAGCGATGCGATGCTACAGCGCGAAGCTCGCAGGATTTTATTTAATGAGGACGACGGGTGGGAGCAAACAGCCGCGGACAATCCCGAGTGGTTAAAGCTATTCAAGAAAGCACACGGGCTCACATACACACCGGCAGATTTCGATCAAGCGGACGCTTTGGAGGATCTAGGTATGCTGGGAGATTTGAGAGATCATCCAATGTGTGGCGATGATTGGTACAACACCCAAACAAGCATCCCTGCGACGGAGTGCGCAGACACAATGGGCGGCACTCTCACCTTGTCCGAAGCGAACATGATGTTAGGTGGGCCGGCAACATGTTGGGCTAACATGGCAGCAATGACAGCAACAGCAACGGCAGGTGGAGGGCTGGGCTTTGTTAGCGGAACCCCGGATTTTGAGGGTTTGGACATGAGAGTTCATGACCTGAATGGCTTTCCAGGGATAGGCTATGGTGGGAACAGCGCACCATGATTTTACGCGCGGATATTTGGGAGGAGTTATGACTTACTGTTAATGATTTAGAAAGCTAGAGGGGTCTGGGGGTTCTGGAGTTATACTGGCGATAACTTTTTTTGTTTGTTAATCATGGTGTTTGAACTTGATGCCGTCCGGGTACCAAATGAGGTGCTGTGCACTGCCTGACTCGATGCGTGAGCTGCTTATGAATCGTCATCCACCTGCGGGACTTCGAAGTACCGCGACAGACAAGGAGCGCCCGCGGACGCCATGCGCACACAACGACGAGCACCAGCCCTTCTTGAATTGCCATTATGCCGTCTACCATGGCGTTCTCGCTCTATCTGATCTTGACTCTCATCCTAGCTGCACTTGTTCCTGCCGAACATACCTCTAACTGGGCTGTCCTGGTGTCGACGTCGCGATTTTGGTTCAACTACCGCCACCTTGCCAATGTTCTGTCGCTCTACCGCACCGTTAAACGTCTGGGAATTCCCGATTCTCAAATCATCCTCATGCTTCCAGACGACATGGCCTGCAACCCCCGCAACGCATTTCCCGGCACTGTTTACAACAACGCGGACCGCGCCCTCGACCTGTACGGTGACAACATCGAGGTCGACTACCGTGGATACGAGGTTACCGTTGAGAACTTCATTAGGCTTATGACGGACCGCGTGGGAGAGGACATGCCTCGTAGCAAGCGCTTGTTGACAGATGATCGAAGCAACATTTTGGTATACATGACCGGACACGGGGGAAATGAATTCCTCAAGTTCCAAGATGCTGAAGAGATTAGCGCTTTTGATCTTGCTGATGCATTTGAACAAATGTGGGAGAAGAAGCGGTATGGTTCTACTACATCGTGGTCAGAGACAGAGCTAATGTGACGTGAAATCAGCTACCATGAACTGCTCTTCATGATCGATACCTGTCAGGCCAACACTATGTATAGCAAGTTCTATTCCCCCAACATCATAGCCACCGGTTCCTCTGAGATCGATCAATCCTCATACTCCCATCACGCCGACAATGACGTGGGTGTCGCCGTTATCGACCGCTACACGTACTACAATCTCGAGTTCCTCGAAACACAAGTCAGGGATCCCTCGTCTAAGCTTACTCTTGGGGACCTTTTCGATAGCTATGATGAGGCTAAGATACACAGCCATCCTGGTATAAGGTACGACCTTTTCCAGGGTGGCGAAAAAACAGCTAGGGAGAGACTTGTCATGGATTTCTTTGGGAATGTGCAAAACGTCGAAGTCGAGAACGGAGTTGAGCGCAACGACACAAAGTTACAGGAAGAGTTGGATCACTTAAGCAGGCTCATCGAGGCTGCAAAGCAACGTCACAACGAAACTCAAGTCGCCTATTCTGCAGGCATTGACAGTACTGAAGCGAACGTTCAGCCAAAGAGTGCGAAAAAGTTCGAAGGTGCTGCAAAAATCCAGCAGGATGACGGTTGGAGTAAACAACTCGTCGGTCTATCTGCTCTGCTTGGCATTACAACCATATGGGCCGCTGGATCCTGGTTGGAATCATAGAACAGTTTCCTCTTATCCCCTTTCTTCATGATATCCTGCTGAATAATTCGGTGCCGATCCAGTTTCCATGATGCAGCTCTAATACACTACACAAAGCAAAGTGGCCCAAGACTATAATAATGAATTGAATGGAATTCATTCAACCCTGTAGCTAGCTTTGCCCGGACTTTGATCCTCATTGTTTAACCTCTTGCCGCCTCATCAGCCCGCAAACTTTGCTGGCGATACAAAAAATGTACTAAACTCAAACCTCACCATGAATTTTCCTCGCTTGTCTCCTTCAACACTTCGGCAACACCCTTTAATATTCTGGATGCACAAACCCCTCTTTTTCATCTTAATTCAAGAAGCTACTTTATGGCGTCATCCAGGTCACCAATTGGTACTTGGACCACTGGTTCAAAGATCTTGGTCGTTATTGCTGGCGGGCTTTTCTGACCGTTTTTCTCGTCAGATCTTGAAATTGAGTCTATTTCTTCGCTTAGTCGTTTGCTTGTGGTTATTAAGACTTTCAGATATTCGAGTTTTCGAAATGCCACGACGAGGCCGCCATTGTAGCGAGTGATCTCTTTTCTCCGGCAGTTCTCCAGCATCCACTTCCAGACCTCATAGGCTTCCTGGAATTGCTTTCCGAGATTCTGGGTGTCCGGAAAATTCAGCGGACGCTCTGGGGACGGATATCTTCGGGGCTGAGTGTCCTGCTCTTCTTCTTTGGGAAGGGGATCTTCCATCATTTCTGTGCAGGTAAGCTTGTGAATACTTCAAGGTCTTTGTTAACTTTAACATACTGCTTTTAGCGGCCACCGGTTTAATTTCAGTTAACAGGATATTCTGGAAAGTACGGTCATGTGAAGTGCTCTCGTTGCTGCTGTGGGTGTTGGAAGCTGTCCTAGCAACTTTGGCTTTGGATGTAGAGTTATGTCGGGTTTCTTGAGCTGACTCTCCTAGTGTCAGTGCTGTATGTATTGCTTTCCCCGAAGTGTTTGTGTCTATGACTGTGAGGCTAGTTTCACAATAACTGAAGCTTAGAGAAACTTACCGCTGTTATTGCTTGGAAGCCCACCCTTCTGCGACACCTTTGCTCGTTAAGGTTGTTTGTTTAGTAGTTGACGATTGTTCTTCGAGTTTGATTATTATTATCTGATAGTGTTCCGATGGTGCTTGAAAAGTAGTGGAATGAGATAAAAGTATGGTTTTATGTTGTTGTTGCGTCTCGAGATAAAGAATACAAAGTTACTTTGGTGCCGCACCTTCCTTAACCAGCTCTTGCTTTTCTTAGGGTAAAACTAGAAAGTATTGCCATCGCCCGATCCCGTACCAAGAATACAAATACTTAGTATTATCTAGTATTACTACTATAAATAAACCGGTCTACTATATATTCTAACTTAACGTCCCTTACCGCGAAACGAGATAGCTAATCAGAGTAGGGCGTCGGGTTCCCTCGGCAGGACGGATTCGGTAGTAATTTAGCGATAATTTATAATCTCTATATCGGCGGAGTCTACTATTAAATTTTAAAGTAGCCGATAGCAACTATAATAAATTTTCCTTATTAATTACCTGCTTAGTAAAGCTATCTATATAGGTTAATCCGTTAGAATACTTCTAAGAGCGCCTCTAATTAGCTATCTCGCTTTACGGTTAATCTCGTTTCGCGGTAAGAGCATCAGAAATTTTTCGAAACTCTACCATATAAAAATTAGATAAGTCTAATAATTAAAGCTAGCTATAAGTTATTTTATATTCTAAATAACCTAAATCTGTAACAAAACTATTATATTTTCGTAAGGGTAGAGTAGTAAATTAAACTAAATATAAGTTTATTTAATTTTCCTTAGTTTCCCTAATATAAATTAGACGGATTGGAGCGGGTTTTAAGAGTTATAAAGTAAAAAAAGTAAGAATTTAAGCTAAATATAAGTAATAAATTACTCTAATTTATATTAGTAGGTATTAAATTTTTATATTTTTAAAAAAAATCGTAATAAGATGTTAGCTATTTTCTATTTTAATATAAAAAAGGGAATTATAATAAATAATCTAGATTATATTACTCTAATCTATAAATAAAGAAAAGAGTAATTCTTTCTATTTTAATTAAAGCTATTAAAAAATATATATATTATTATCAATATAAGCTATTTAATTTACTACTTTATAGGTAACTAAACAACTAAAATTAATTAAATTCTTAGATTCTTAGATTCTTAGATCCTTAAATTTATAAATTAGTATTTTATAAATAGTACTTAAAATAACTATTTATTAAGATATATATTTTTTAAAAGTAATTTCTAAGATATATATAGTAACTTATTATAATATATATATATATATCTTAGAATTTTTTTAAAAGAATATATTTCGCTTTTCTTTTAAAAATTTTTTTAAAGAATATATCTTATATTTTTTTAAGAATATATTTTACTTTTTTCTAAAATAAATTCTTTTTCTTTAAAATAAACTCCTCTTTTTAGAAATATTTTTTTTTTTAAAAAAAAAAGTAAAATATACTCTTTAAAAAAATATATTCTTAAAAAAAACCGAAATATATTTATCTTAAAAATAGTATACATACTTTAGTAAATAGCTATTATAAAAGTTATATTTATATAAATTATATACGAAGTAATAGCTTTTACTAAAGAAAAAATTAATAAAATTTTTAATACTTTATAATAATTAAGAGATTAACTTATAAAATAAAAAATTATTTATTTATTTAAAGCTCTATAAGTTATTTTTATATTTTTATAAAATCTAAAAATAGTAGTAATAATAGCTATTTACTAAAATATAAAGTATACTATTTACTAAGATATATAGTATACTATTTCTGAGATAAATAAATAAATTTAAAAAGTTTTTTTTTAAAAAAAAATTAAAAAATCAATATATTATAGTATATTATTAAAACATATTATATTAAAAAAAATTTACTAAAGAGACTTTTTAGATAAATTTATCTTATAGATATTTTAGAAAAAGATATAATTTAAAAAAAGATTAAAATATAGTTTAGAATATATATATATATTAGCTATTTACTAAAATAAATATATATTTTAGAAGTTTTAGCTATAAATATAATAATTTATTTTAAAATTATCTCTTTTAGAAATACATTTAGTATATTTATATATATTAGATTCTTTTAAACATATTACTTTTTTTAAATATAGTTTTTCTAAAATATATTTAGTTTTCTTCTAAAATATATTTAGCCTACTATTAAAGATTTACTTAGCTATTTATAATAGCATAATAAAGTAGACTATTTTTTAAAATATAAATAAAAGCTAAATTTACTAGATATAGTTTTTATATAATTACTTAGGATAATATCCCTACGGCGCGATAATACTACGGCTATTTAATAAAATATATACTTTTTTTAGAAAATATTTTAAGAATATATTCTTCTTTTTAAAGACCATATTCTCCTTTTTTTTTAAAAAAAAAGTATTTTCTCCTTTTTTAAGACTATATTCTCCTTTTTTTTTTAAAAAAAAGTATTTTCTCCTTTTGTTAAGAATATGTTCTAATTTTTTTTATAAATATATTCTATTTTTTGAGAATATATTTTACTTCTTTTTAAATAAAAAAATACTTTTTTTTTAGAGAATATGTTCTTCTTTTTTTTTTTTAAATATATTCGGCTATTTACTAAGATATACTTTTTTTATAAAATTTTTAAAATATATATAATAATTCTAAGATATGTAAATATATATATCTCGGAGTTTTACGCTATATATATAGTATTTTATTACTAAAAATATATATCTTAGAAATATTTTTTAGAAAACATATTTATAAAAAAAATTGAATATATTCTCAAAATAAAATCGAATATACTCTTAAAAAAATATATTCTTAAAAAAGCGAATAAACTCCTAAAGAAATTTAAAGAAAAACTAATATATATAAGATTAAATATATTTAAGAGTTTTTTAATTTTTATTAAGAGTATATTCGATTTTTTTAAGAATATATTTAATTTTTAAGAATATTTTTTTAAGAATATATTCGATTTTTTAAAGAGTATATTCGCTTTTTTTTAAGAGTATAGTTAGGTTTTTAGGAGTATATTTATTATTTATAGCAATATACTTTTTTTTAAAAAAAAAAGTACTACTAAGATATAAAAAATTTTCGAACTTATTTCTAATATATATATATTTCTCCAATGTATTTCTAAGATATATATATTTTTATAATATACTATATTGTAATTGTTTATAAGCGAAATATATAAGAAAGTATATATTTTAGAAAGACTTTTTTAATATATGTATCTTAGAAATATTATATATCTTAGAAATATTATATATCTTAGAAATATTATATATCTTAGAAATATTATATATCTTAGAAATATTATATATCTTAGAAATTTTATATATCTTAGAAATTTTATAAGAATATATATATCTTGGTAAATAGCCGAGATATATTCTTTTCTCTGAGAATAAATATATTTCGCCTTTTTTTTTAAAAAAAAAATAGCTATTTACTAAGATATATATATATATATATTCGAGTATTTTCTAAGATATATATATTATTTCTAAGATAAATATATATATATATATATATATATATCTTAAAGATTTTCGCAATATATTTAGTAATTTATTATAAAAAATACATATCTTAGAAATTTTTTTAAAGATATATATATCTTAGAAATTAAATTCGAAAATATATATATCTTAGAATTTTTTTAAAATAAAAAATATATATTCTTTTTTCTTAGGAATATAATTCGATTTTCTAAGATATACTTTTTAAAGAATATGTTCTTAAAAAAAAAGCGGAATATAATCTTAAAAAAAAAAAAAGTGAAATATACTCTTAAAAAAATATTATTTAAAAAATAATTTCTAAGATTTATATATTTTCCGATATTTTTTCTAAGATATATATCCTTATAATATTTTATAATAAATCGAAATATATTGAAACATTTATAAAAAAAGTATATATCTTAGAGAGACTTTTTCGATATATATATCTTAGAAATTATACGAAAAAAATTATATATCTTAGTAAATAGTTATTTAAAAAATTTATTCTTATTTTTATTAAGAAAAGCAAAATAAATTCATAAAAAATATATTCTTAAAAAAATATATACTTAAAGAAGTAAAATATATTCTATAAAAAGCGAAATATATTCTTAAATAAATAAGTATATTTCTATAAGAAAAGGCGAAATATAAGATATATATTTTTTAAATTTAATTTCTAAGATATATATATATATATATATATCTTAGTAAATAGCTGGATTTAATTTTAGTAACTAAGATTTATTATAAAGTAAGATAATAAATATAACTATTTATAAAGATTTTTTCTTTAAATATTCTACTAAGTAGGCTAAGATATATATATATCTTTTAAGTATTTTCTAATAAATAAATATTACTTCTAGAAATAATTATAAATAAATACTTATTTTAAAGTTTTATATTATATATATTAATTTTTTTTAAAAAAAAATAAATATATCTTAGAAATATTTTTAAAATCTTAGAAAAAAAATTTCTTAAAAATATATTTAGTATTATTATTCTTACTAAGTATATTTTATTTTTAGTAAAAAAAAATAATCTTAAAAAAATACAAAAGATACTAGAAAAATATTTTCTTAGAAAAGTTAAATATATTCTTTAAAAAAAAAGATAATATATATACATATATATACTAATTTAAAAAAGAAATACATTCTTAAAAAAGTAAAATCTAATTAAAAAAACTTTAAAAAATATATATTTTTAATTTTATTTCTAAGATATATATATTTTTAATCTAATTTCTAAAAAATATATTTATCTTATAATTTATTTTTTCTAGAAAAATATTTAGTTTATTTTTAACTTATATAAAGCTTTTTTTCTAATATTTATTTTATATCTTTTTAAATTATTTTTCTTTTAAATCTATTTAGCTTTCTTTTTCTTAGCTTTTTTCTTTAAAAAAAATTCTTTTTAAAAATATATTTTTAAGAAATATTAATTATACTTCTAGAAAAATATACTCTAGTAAACTATTTTTTAAGAGAAAATATATATAGAAAAAAATAAATATAATTTTTAGAAAAAGCTAAATATACTTTTAAAAATTATATAAGTTTATTTAAAAGAAATATATTAGAAAGAATTTAAATATATTTTGAAAAAGTAATTACCAAGATATAAAGAATTCTAAATATTATTTTTAAAACTTATAATTTTTTATAATAAATTTCTATATATATACTTATTTATCTTAGAAATAATATGCTATATATCTTAGAAAGCTTTAATTATATATACTAGTAAATAGCTGTAGTAAGTAATACTTATATAGAGTAGAAGAAGATACTTACTAGCTTAGTAAGATATATCTATTAGAGTATATATATACTTTAAGTACTTCTTACCTAGCTTCTAGCCCGAGTTCTAGGTATAGATAAAAAAGTCTTAAAAGAGACTATAAGTTATGTTATCTACTATTTACTATATAGTAGATCTTAGATCGCGATATAGTAGATCTTAGATCGCGATAATAGACATATAGGCTAAACGGAATCCTCTATTAGATATCTTATAGTCTATTAACTTCTTCTCTGTTTTTATAACTATTTAGTTTCCTAGAGCCTCTAGCCCAATTCCTCTTCAAACCCAACTACTAATTACCTACATCGACTTTCTTGTCTTCTTGGTTTTTATAGACTGGGTTTGATTTCTATAAATAGCGCTTCGGCGGTGGCATAGGCTCTGCCGTTGCCGTCTTCCAGAGCTGCAGAGATATATTGTTTCCTCCCGACAACCTTTGCGTATCTTGCCGTGGCCAAGATGACAGCGGGAAGCGGCAAGGGCTTCTTGTAGCTGACATTCAGGTAGGCCGTCATGGAGCTGAGCCCTCTGGCGGTCTTGGCATTGCGGTTGGTGTGGTCGACATTGGCGGTCAGCAAGACCCCCATGATTTCGTCGAGCAGGGTCGCGATGAGGCCGCCATGGCAGGTGGCAGGATAGCCGTTGAGGCCGTCACCGAGCTGGAGAAAGGCGCGGACGGCGGGGATGGCGGGGGAGGCGGCGTGGTCCGGCTTGCGGTGCTGGGTGAGCCAGAGGCGGATGGTGCGGTCGGATTGCAGGGTTTCGGCGATCAGCGAGTCCTCGCCGGAAGACTTGGGTTGGCGCGAGCTGGTGGGACGTACGACGAAGCGGTCGTCGGCGAGGAGGTGGGCGCACCAGGGAATGCGCGAGAGGTCTGATGAGGTTGGCGACATGGCTTGGCGCGGATGGCGGCTGTTTCGGGCGTCTCTGGGCTCCCGACGGGCAACATCCATCCCGCGCATCATGGCGACCATGGCCGACCCGCTACCCAGCGCCCTGCACCGCCTGTCGCCCGACCTGCGCGACCGCATCTACGAGCTTGTCCTCCAGCACAGCGCGGCCGTGTGGTGGCCTCCTTCGTCCTCCCCTGCGCCCGGCAATGCCATCGCCCTGCTCACCACCAGCCGTACTATGCACGCCGAGGCTGCCCCAGTTCTCTACGCGGCCAACAGATTCATGTTCGCCCACCCCTCCGATGCAAACATGTTCGTCCACACCACCTCTCCTCTCTACTCGCGCTGCATCACCAACATCTGTCTACGTATCCGTGACCGCGATGTCCGTCTCTGGTCCACGTACCTTGGCAGCACCTCCTCGTATCGCAGCCTGCAGCACGACTTCCCGCGCCTCAAGACGCTCTGGATTTTCTTCCGCAGCAACTTCTGGTCACCCCGCGCAAACGACCTGTTTGAGTCCTTCTATCGCTGGCGCGACGACCCGGCCATGCGGGAGATTTGCTTGAATCTGGAGGGGCGCGTGCCGGAGAATGCTGATATCAGGCTTGTCTGCGTGCACAGAGTGCCCAGGGCGCACATCGACTCCTTGGTGCAGAACGTCTCCGAGCTGACTGTCAATAAATTCGGTACGGGCGAGGCAAGGACCCAGTTTAGGAGGCTTTTCGGGGTCAACATTGCCCTTGAGCTGACCCCTGCGGACCCTACTCTGGCGGTATGAGAGCGACTTGATGCTATGCTCGTACAAGCAACTATGCCAATGGCAAAATGTTGCCGGTATAGAGTTGCAGTTACATTATATTTTGTTGTGCAACCTTCTGGAGTAGGTATTTCTCTTCCTTCTCTTCGGGAGGCGCTAGTTCCCGCCGCATCATACCATTTTCAATACGCAGACTCGTTGTCAGCCGATTTGTTGTAGTTAGAACTGTTGAAACAAGCAACTGCTCTTCCGCTCGGGGTGAGCTAGAGATCGAGACCAGCAACCAGGGCTGGATATTAGATTTTTCGGTCCAGAAAAGGACTGGACATATCCACTTGGATTCGCCGTACTTGGATGGGCCGCCTGCGTCATGTCTTCGACAACACCGGCAAAGAACAGGCAGAATTTTGAGGGAAATGTCAGAAGCTCTAACGTCCGTCATCGCGAACCGAGATCCACCGTATAGCGAGACAGGAGACGATACAAGCAGCCCCTACAGAGTACTCCTTGCCTAGCTCCCAGCTGAGTCTTAGGTATAGGTGAAAAGCTCTTAGAGCACGCACAGACTCTACACACCTTAACTGGGTCTCTTCTTCTACTCCGTACACTTATCACCATCTCGCTTCACGGTGAATCTCGCTTCACGGTGACGGACGTTACGATACCAAGCCTCTCCTACCTAGCCCGACACGGCTCCGATCTCCCTTATTCGCCCCACTTTCACGTGGTGTGACTAAGTAAAGGTATGTGCGGCGAGGCGATTCCTTAACTCTTACCTTAAATCGACGCCTGTCAAGCTGATACTGTACCCATCAAAGTGGAAGTTGACAGTACCAACGCATTTCTGTAATGTCTCCTGCAGAAGAAGCACCGTCTGCTGGCACGGCAGCTTTAGGAGGTGTTGACTTTGAAGAGTATGCGAACGAGGTCAGCGACGCGGCCCAGCAAGCGTCTACCACAATCCAAGCAGGGGAAGAACGCGACCTTGATACTGCTAGCGAGTCGGGATTCTCAACCGATTCTGATGCAAGATCCGTTTCTTTGACTTCCAACGTTAGAGACTTCGTCTTTGAAAACGGACGCCGCTTTCACAAATTCAGGGAGGGCCGGTATCTTTTCCCTAATGATGACCAGGAACAAGAAAGGTTAGCCGATGCATCACCCCCACAGTGCATTTCGGGATTACTAACAGGCGTTTTTGCAGAGAAGACATGAAACATGCTCTAGTGGTTACTGTTATGGGAAACATGTTGCACTATGCCCCTATTGGGGACAACCCCCAAAATATCCTAGATATTGGGACAGGGACCGGTATCTGGGCGGTCGAGAGTCAGTAGTCCCATTCCTTTGAGTTCTGACTAGACTACTGACTCTAAGCAACAGTGGCTGAAACCTACCCAAGTGCAACCGTGCAGGGGTACGCATGCATCAAACAACACGTAGTAAATTTGTTGGCTGACTAAATACAGCATCGACCTGAGCCCAATCCAACCATTATGGGAAAGTACTACGTATGCTCTCGGTGGATTATACTAATCGTCACTATAGGTCCCTCCGAATTGTAGATTCATGGTCGACGACGCTGAAAGTCCGTGGCTAGACCCGAAGGAATATTACGACTTGATTCATGGGCGTCATATCCTGCAAGCGATCAAAAATTTCCCCGCTATGCTGCAGACAGCATACGAGTATTAATGCTTCCAAGCCGACCTGATCCGACGGTAGCTGATCTTAACCTTAGACACATGAAGCCCGGCGCCTACGTTGAACTGCATGAGTTCGAGTATCAGGCTGGTTGCGACGATGGCTCTCTTCCCAAAGACGGCTACAAACTGGAGGAGATGCTCAAGTATGTGGCTGAAGGATTGAAGAGGCTAGGGCCTGACCTGTACGGTGTCCTCAAACTGCCTCAGATGCTCAAGGACGCCGGCTTCGTTAACGTGGAGGATCGCATCACCAAAGTGCCTATTGGACCGTGGGCAAAGAACAAGTTGCTCAGGAAGACGGGCCTTTATCTGCAGGCTATTGGCTTGGACGGACTGCAAGCAATTGCCATGGCACCCATGACGCGTGGGCTGGGTTGGTCTCCACAGAGCGTTGAAGTTTTCCTTAAGGACGTGCGGGACCAGATGAAGGATCCGAGCATTCATGCCTACTACAACTTTCACGCCATCTACGCGCAGAAGCCGGTTAGATAGATGAAATAATATTTTCTGATCCTGCTGTGACATCTTTGCCGACGGTGTGGCGCGGGCGGTCGACCAGTAAGTAACATCCGCCCTTGCGGTCGAGACCGTGGGCCGGGCTTTGGCGAACATCAACCTACCACAAGCCCCAACACCGAAACAACCACGTCCCAATGCGGAATCCCATTGCCTGTGTTTCTTGTCGCAGCGCAAAGCAAAAATGCATCCATCGCGACCGGCCGCCCTGTGATCGCTGCCATGCTGCTGGCCGGGGCGACTCCTGCCGTTTCGCCCCGCCAGGCACATCATTCCTTCATAGACAGGCAAAGCGGCGGCGCCAAACTTCAGAGTTCTCTGCGGACTCGGCGGACGCCAGTGCGAGAGCTGCTCATGGGGCGAGTTCGTCTGTCGAGGGTCAGGGCCCGCCCCATGTCGCTGACGGGCTGAGCGTGCCGCTCGCAGACACGGACCCTTTCGACCTGCTTACTGACGAGGTCCGGAATAGCTACTTACGATGCTCCTACAAGTGGAGCTTCCATCATACGCCTACGTTCCTCTCTCGTGTCCGCGAGAAGTCGCTTGAACCCTGGGTCACGTGGTCGGTGTTGGCACTTTCTGTGAGGTAGGTCAAAGACAACAACCGCACGCCTTATCATCCTCACGCATCCTTCAGGTTCAGTAGACATGCTCCTGGCACTTATGCTACGCCAACGGAAGCAAGCAATGCCTTTGCCACACATGCCAGACAGATCCTGCAGCTTGAGCTGGAGACGCCTAGCATCTCCCGCATTCAGGCCTTGCTCATGTTGACTGGTCATGACTGGGGTGCCGGCAACGGACGCAGAGCCTGGTTTTACCTTGGCATGGCCATCCGCATGGTCCAAATCCTCAACCTCTGTGAAGAGACTCCGGCCCAACCCAACAGGACCCCGACGCGCCAAGAGTTCATCGCTGCTGAGGAACGCCGTCGCACCGCTTGGACATGCTTCCTCATGGACAGTTTGCTAAGCGGTGGCAAAGGACGGAAGCGTACACTCTCTGCTGCAGACATGCGTATTCAATTACCGTGCGAGAAAGATATGTATGTGTTCGGGGATCCTGTCAGATGCGAGAGACTAGACCGGACGATCACAGCAATGCCACCACCGTTGCCAATAGGAGACGTGGGCATTGTTGGTTATAGCCTGCGTGTCGCCGATGTTTGGGGAGAAGTCGCTCGATGGGCTTGTTCCAGTACCATGAACGAAGAATTGCCGTGGGACCCGGATTCCAGGTTCCAACAGCTATCTGCATCCCTCCGAGCATGGTATCAGACTTTGCCTTCAAGGTTAATATACAACACGGAGACGTTGCAAGCACACAATGCCCTAGAGCAGGGCCAAGCCTTCTGCTATATGCATTCTATTCACTTTATGTCGCTCATGTTCCTTCACCGAGCGTACCTTCCCGTCCTTGGTCCTGGCGAGGAACCACAGAGGGCTGGTCTGGGCACCCAAAGTTTGAGCGGCGAAGATTGGGCTCAGTGGAGAAGAACTTCGAGGAAACAGCTCTTCGAAGTCGCTAGCATGGTTTGCGACATGGTCGATGAAATGAAGTCTTTTGGATGGTATTTCCTTCGTGGACTGGTACCTTGGATAGGCTTCACCGTGTATACCGCCGTTGGCGTGGTCGTTTACCGTTGCAACTTTCATGGAGACGAGGAGCCCGATCAAGCCGTGTCCGATACAGGCAAGGAGCAAGTTATAAACGGCTGCAACTTCTTAAAAGAAATGAAATACCAGTGGCCTATGGCACAGCAATGGGTGAGTACGTCAATAATATAGCAAAGGACCGTACTAACGCGACTATTATTGTTCCAGTTTGAGACGATCAAGCGCATGCAAGCATGCTATCGACGGGTACAGAGTGAAGGAGGCTCTAGCATACCGGACGCAGAACAGCGCACCATCAGGAGCGCCATGGTTGACTATGGCGCGCTACAGCCTTCTCCAGTTCAAGCGGAAGAAGAGATGTCTATTCAGGTGAATCCTGAAGTGGTTTGTGACCTCACCAACAATATTCGAAAGTCAACCAAGCTGACTAATTAGGTCTCTAATTCCAACGCCCTTGGTAGCAACAACCAGCTCGATTCTCCTAAGCTGATTGATGACTATACCAACGAAGATGCGTTCCTCCAGGGGGAATGGCTAGACTTTGATATTGGAGTTCCGGATGCTGAACTTGACGCCATGTTTATGAACGCAACGCAGGAGTTTTGGGCAACTTTTCCAGGAGAAGTTGGATATTCGTAACCCGGCCAACAGTAAAATTTATTCTCGGGTTTGGTGGTGTATTGAAATGGCAACGACAGTCAAACAGCTGCTCAGGGACGTTAGCATCTAGAAGAAGCGCTGAGACAATGCCATCAATAAAAACACCTGCGACCTTCATACAACCATAAACTTAAACCAGGAACCGGAAACCTCTCTCCGCCGCCTCGCCCGGCACGCCCTGGCCCGCGTTGATGGCCCCCTCAACATGCTCTCCTCGGTCAAGTTTTCTGTTCAGACGCACCAGAATGACGCGCAGAAGCGTGGCCATGATGGCTGCGAGGACAAGCATGGCGCAGTCGACTGAGAAGGCCTTCGCTACGGGTGCGTCAGCTTATTCTCGCATGAACAAAGGATGGACTAGCTAGCGAGTAACTTACCATATCGTGGTTCATCATCATACAGGTAGCTGGTGTAAATGCTGGAACAGTTGCTAACGGCGTTAATGAAGGCAATACTGGCGGCGCGTTTAGCCGATGGACGGGGGATCGTGTTCGATATCCAGGCCAACACGACGACGTAGCCTGTGTAGACACCAGAGACCATGAGCATCATGGCGACGTAGCGCGGTGCCGTCGCCGTTGTTGCCACGGCCAGAATAAACGATGCAATGCCTAGGAAGATGGGTAGCACGACGTGGAAGTAGCGTTCGCCGGTGCGGTCGGCGTGCCTAGTCGTATGTGAGTATGCCTTAAAGTTTGATTGTGGGTGTAAGGGGAGAGAGGTCACTTACCAGGCGTTGATGAAGGTCGTGATCACTGCGAGTACGTATGGTGGTGCTGTTAAGAGGAGCGTATTTACGGAGTTATAACCCAGTGTTTCAACGACACTAGGGAAGAACGTAGTGACGCTCCCTGCGCTCACGATGCCGAACAGCATCAGCATAAGGATCCACATCTTGATATCCTCACAAGCAAGCTTAAATCCGTTGAAGAGGCTCTGCTCCTTGGCGCCAGTCCAGTCGTCTGTGCCCACGTCCTCTTGAAGTCTCCAGACTGCCAGTTCGCGCTCCAGCTCACTGAGCCAACTTGTAGTGCGTGGAAAGTTGGGGATAATGAAGAATGCTGTCGCGGCGATGACTACAGTCGCAGAACCTTCGATGATGAAAAGCCATCTCCAGGCGCGAAGTCCACGATCACCATCCATGTTGCCTTTAATTCCGGCCGCAATAAGGCCACTGAAGGCACCAGATATGAGGGCTCCCGAGTAGAGGACTGCTGTACGTAGTCCGAGTTCCTTCCGAGTATACCATGAAGAGAGGTAAAATAAACATCCAGGCTAATGTTTGTCAGTGTTTTTGACGTAATTGTGTAGCTAAACGGACACCAGAACGATAAAATAAAGACTTACAAAGTAGGCAGCTTCGACGAAACCGAGGAAAAATCGGCATACTACAAGGCCAGCGAAAGATTGTACGCCAGCTGTTGCGCCAGATATGATCCCCCAGACGATCATACAAGCGGGCAAATAGACTGCTGGCAAGCCAATCTTGTTGAGAAAAAGATTGGAAGGAACTATCAAATATTAGTGCATTTTGGACATTTCCATATCGTTGGTGGCCCTACCTTGCATGAGGAGATAACCAACGAACAGAATGCTGACGGATGTCTAATCTAGTCAGTACTTGGAAGCGAGGATGTTAAGAGTTACCGGGGGAAAAAGTACCAAATACTGATTTCCATGCAGACTCAGATCCTCCTCCAAACCGGCCAATCGTGCCGCCGCTATATTGTTTCTGTCTTCAATAAGATCAGTACATTTCCATTCTCATTACTACAATCAAGTGTTCACGACAGTGGTAGGCTTTTGGCCGGCTGTCTGGGACGACCTGGTCTCACACCAACCATATCTTCAACTTATCCTTAGGACCACTTACCAATATAATTCATGATGTACATGATGATGATCATTGGCAAAAGTCGTAGGTCAATTTTTCTTCTCAAGCGTGCTTCCAAACGAGCACGCTCTTCCGGCGACAGGTCCCGAATCAACGGCGGCACCTCTTTTTTCGGAATGTGTATGCGGTTGTTTCCTGTTTCTACATCTTCTTGGTCTATATGCTCTGCGGTGCTGATTTTCTCGTCGCCGGCCAAGCGTGGGGTGTTTTGAAGAGCCCCAGCAGGTGCAGAAGAGGAAGCTGCGGACATGTTGGTGTCTAGACTCGCGATCGCGACGGAGGGGAGATAATAAAGGTGAAGGAAGACAAAATGTCGTTGCCTGCTGGTATAGTGTAGAGGAAGCCGGGGATGCAGGATAAGGAAGCCCAAGGAAGAAAGGCCGGAACGTCTACCTCCCCAAGCCAGAATGCCAGCCAAGGCTGAGCGATGTAACGAGGCGTCGACCAAACCAATCGGCGCCCTGATTCGAGACTCGCTACCCCGCGTTTGCGTCTCCACAGATCCACTTCCCCGCGAAGACGGGCCGGCGAAGCGGAGAACTAACGCCTTGCCGCATCAGAGCCGCGAAGGTTGCTTACACGGAAACCCGACATTCTTCGGCACATCATTTTATCGAGCGCGCCGAACCATCAGTCCACAAGTAGGAGTTTTCTTAGTGTAACTACGTGTTTATCTAGTTATCAGCAACAGGGATATGTACCGAAGATTGGGTAGGTGATCTCCGGGATCATCTGCTCCGGAAAATGCGGGGCTCCAGCCTCCGCGCGAGACCACCTCCCTCCTTACATATGAACATGATCGGATACGACTGGCGTAGATCCACTGAAGGCCTAGCTTTTTACCGACATTCTGGCTTTCATGCACTTGCATGCATGAGCTCGAGCTCCTCCGTGCATCTGTCTACAAGGATACCCCACTGAGCTGTGGGTCGTGGACTGTATCCATGCAAATGCATGGCACGTCACTGACTGCAGGAATTATTCACTTATCATGGACTTGGCCTCATGGCAAATTCTAATACCGATGTCAACTTTTCCTCAGCCCATTTCACCTTTTTCCCCATCATGCAGTCAATACGATATACCTTTTCATACCTCAGTACATTACTCCTTTCAATCCATGTATATGCAAGTGGCGGTGCACCGCTGGCTGATTTGGGCTACGTCCGCTATACCGGCTTCACTAATGAGACGGCGGGGATAAATTATTTCAGAGGGATTCCATATGCACAACCTCCAATTGGTCAACTGCGCTGGCAAAAGCCACTGCCAATCGAAGAATTAAACAGCTTTGCCGGCCAAACGATCAATGCATCTGCGCCAGCAAAATTATGCTACCAAGCACAGCCATATTCACTGTGGGTTGATCAGCCAGGCAACCACAGTGAAGGCAACACGACATATTGGAATGAGAACTATCCACAGTCTGAGGGTTGCCTAGTCCTCAGCGTCCTGGCCCCGAGATATCCCGTAAATAACTCACTCCCGGTCTTTGTTGCCATTCGTGAGTAATTTGCCTCTATTGAATACTTCTCGCAACAGGTCAGCTGACAAGCAAATCTTCAGATGGAGGCGGATATACCCAGGGATCTGGCCATATGAACTCACCCGGTGACGCAATAGTGCATAAAAGTAACGGTTCGTATTACACCTGAGTGGCGACCTAGAAGTAAGCACTTACAAAGGTCAGGCTCTATCATCTACGTCGAAATACAATACAGGCTCGGTATCTTTGGCTTCCTCGCTGGCTCAAGCGTCATGGAAGATGGTGTTGCGAATGCTGGTTTGCTCGATCAGAGAGCTGCACTCAACTGGGTACAACGACATATCAGTGCATTTGGGGGAGACCCGAACCGGGTCACTATTTGGGGCGGTTCTGCCGGTGGTGGAAGTGTCAGCTTCCAGCTTATGGCTGGTGGTGCGTTTGATAAGCCACCGTTTTCTGCCGCCATTGTAGAATATCCTTGGTAAGTTCCAGGCTGAAGGCCTACTCATGCATGGTTGCTCTCAAAAATGAGGGCTACAGATGGACGAGCAATTGTCTTTGGGTTATTGGTGGCGCTGCCACGAAACATACTCCGTAAAGACGATGAGCCTATACTAACCAATACACAGGTGGCAGCCCCTTCCAAGCATCAGCACCCAAGAAACGCAATTTCACACAGTCCTCGACATTGCCAATTGTACCAGTCTCTCTTGCCTGCGCTCCCAACCCTCTTCTGTCCTACAATTCGCCAATCAACATGCAATGAACGTGTCCTACCCCTCCCCTGGCACTGGCTTTGGTACATTCTATTACGGCCCAGTCGTCGATGGATCTTTCATACCTTACCTCCCATCCGAAGCCCTCCGGCGCGGCCGCTTCTACACAGTCCCACTCCTTGTCGACCGTGACGCCGATGAGGGTTACTACTTCTCGAACCTGTCCATGAACAGCATATCCGCCGAATTAACCGACGCGGCATATCTCTTCCCTTCTGCCGGTCGCACCTTCTTTAGCCGACTGCTCACGCTCTATCCACGTGTAAATTACGATACAATCTTCGCGCAGCGCGCTGCCTGGTTCGGCGATACTGTCGTCAACTGCCCGACAGCGAGGCTCGCAGCTGCATTTGTGGACCGCGGCGCCGCTGTGTTTAAGATGGTCTTCGCGGCTGATGGTGGAAGACACAGTGCCACTGGCGTGTTTTTGACAGAGGACAGCATCGGATTTCCGAAAGCTAAAAACGGGACGCTTGCGGATATCATGTCGGACTATTGGATCAGCTTCGCTAAAGAGCATGATCCCAACGTCTTGAAGAATGCGGCGGCACCGATATGGCCTTCTTATGCGAGCGACGGAGAGGCTCTGGATGGGGTGAAATTTGATGTTTTGCGTGTCGAGGACGAAAGGATTGCGGTACAACAGGATCCGGATGCCGCATCGAATTGCGATTTCCTTGCTGCGCAGAGCCATGTCATAAGAAACTGATATTGGTGATGGTTGCGACATGAACGAAGACGGTGCGCCGAATACATTATATGCCTTACTTGCATTGAAGCCGAGCGGCACGTTCATAACTACTGTATCTTCACTGTTAGCTAACTGACCAATTAATAAATAACTTGCCCGTTATCCAATTCTCTCTCTTCCTTTCTCTCTACCCTTTTGTCTATCTATCTACCTGAAGCATAGTAGGACTTTGATAGGAAGAAAGAACGGAAGAGGAAGGGGTGGAAGCAAAGGACACAAACGGGGGAATGTCCGCCATTCTTTCCAGAGCGGGTAGTGCAAAACTCAAAGGCCGAACATGGTGCCGGTGGTGCCATGGATATTCACTGATAGAGAATGTTCTTTTACTGCCAAGATTTACTGTCAGACCATGGCCGCAGGTACGGGTGGTGTTGTACCACACTGACCATGCACGTAGAACATCTTGCATATGACCGTGTAGCGGTAACCATCTTATGGCCCGTGTTGCAGGGGTTGACATGCGTAATCAGGCAATGGCATTGAGCGGCTGGGACGTTGATAAAAAGAAGGGTTAGGGCATATCTGGCATTGTTGAGAAAATGCACTAAGTTGGCGAGAAGAATGAGACAATGTTCATTGAACGTGTGCCTTTTTGTTGATGTATTGTTTTGTAAGTTGAAGTCTCAGAGCCGACAGATGCAAGACGGATTAAGAGATTCCAGCGATCAGAAAGAGGAGTGGAAATTAGGAGCTCAGACCGGTCGTCGAAGGTGATGTGTTGCTGCCTCAGTGTTGTCACTTATTCTTGCCGTTGCCCTTGTTAGCAGAAGTCACCGCAGTGAGCCGCAGAGTGGCTAGCTGCACCGGCAAGTACTGCGATTCGTCCGAAGCTTCGGCCAACGCTACAGCCATTAGCTTGTTGAGAGTTGGTTTGTAGCCGTTATGAGCGCTGTTCTTGATGGATTGGGTCCAGATTGGGAGGTCGTCCTTGACACACTGTAAAAACTTGGCGCAGCACATCTCGTCAGGTACGGTGATTCCAATATCGATCACTGCAGCTAGACGGTTGTGGAAGCCCTTGAAGAAGTCGTCCAAGGTATCAAAATCGCTCCGCTTAGTGTCCATCCATTCCAGAATAATTTCTGAGCTATGAGCGAAGTCTTTCTTGTCGTATGTCTTGCAAAGGATGTTCCAGGCGGACTGAGCAGTTTGACAGTAAGTTATCGGGCGTTGTAAGGAGGTATCAACCCAAGAAAGTATGTGTGAGAAAGCAATCTGCTGATCATCATCGTCAACGTCGGCACCAGCTTTGATAGTGTGGCCCAGCCTAAGTGATTTTAGCTGCTTCTCTGCTAAAATCTTCCACGCATCCCAATTATCGGCCCCTTTGAGGAGAGGAACCCGCGGCACTTTCTTTTTGCCTGTCGGACTTGCTGTGGTAGCAGTTTGTGGGGACCACGGGTAGTTCTTCAAATGCTTGTTCGCCTCGAGGATTTCTCGCGTCACAAAGGCCATCTGTTCGTCAGTCGTGCGCGTAAACATCAGTCGGATTGCGAGCACCATGATCTTGGCGAGAGGAGCCATCTTGCGGGCGGCGAGGATTGTCGTCCATCGCGTCGAGTGAGCCGGGTAGCGGGTGCCTACTGCACGCGACTGAATGTTTTGAGTTCTACGGACAGGCTTCGAGAAGAAAAGGAAGGCGGAGCTGACTAAAGCCACACTAACTGAAAAGGGAAATATTATTCTTCCATAATGACGACAATGGAAATGAATCAGCGCGAACAGCCCGTTAACAGGCATTTGCCCATATAGAAACACGTAGAGTGACCAGCGCCCTATGATTTCTCTTATCTGGCAATACTGAAAAGGGCCCCGCAATAGAAGTCGCCTGCTCACTATAGCGTTACTTGTACTTTCATGGTCAATAGAACTCCAACACTTTCCCTATACGTTATTTCTTTTAGACACAGGCTTTGCAGTTGTAGCTGAATTAACCACACAAAAAGGTATGTGTCTGATAACAATACTTCCCTCTCCAGCCCTAGTTGAAACGGATTCTTGGCAGACTATAGGATAATCAGACAAGAAGACGAAGAGTGCTTATCTCGGATAGTGTTGAAGAGACGACTGCCAAACAACCATGCCCCCAAGAACGATGGTCTCGACGCGGCGCCCGGAACGCGCAAGAACTAGTAGTCTCGCCAGCGCACTGAGAGTAGACAGCAGCGTCAGCAGCGGGAAAGGCCAGGCCAGCCCCCAGCTACCCGATACCACATCATCACCGCCTGTCTTCTCTTCCTACCCAGCACACCTATCTAACCTACCTTGACATGCCCGCCGCACGCCCCCCAGCTTCTTTCCTCTCCCATCACACTAGCCAATCCAACAACGACGCGCGTTGTCCGACGCGTTCGTCCGCCTAGTGCAAGGTAGCATCGCGCCACGCCACGCCACGCCACGCCGCTCCCCGCCGCGCCGCACCGCGCTCCGTCGCGCGGGCCGGCGACGGTGCAAAAGGGGAGACAGAGAGCGAGAGATGTGTAGAGAAATGAGGGGTAGAGAGGACGCGCAACCATGATGCGTGAGCGCGGCTGCGTCCGGCGGTGGTGAAGGGTCGTACGAGACGGTGACGATGGAGAGGTATGGGGAAAGACGGGAGAAAGAAGACTGAGGAAGAGCAAACAGAAGAGAAACAGCATGCCTGCTTCCGCGCAGTCCCCCCCAACCACCGTCATCCCTACCCCTCCACCATGACCCGTACCCGTTGCACACAGCAACCAGCCGTGCCTGCCAGACCGCTCCCTTTCGCTACTCGGACGTCGTCGGTAGTTACATGGCGGTGAGGCTGGTGGCAGACACTCCGCCTCGTGTCCGTCCGCCTCACGAGCGTCGAGCGCGCTTCTCGCAACTTCGAAGCACAAACGAAAAGCACAAACCCGCACGCCTGCCAACTGTTGCCCACCCGAACAGGCCGACCACACCGCCGGGGCCGAGAGAGCCCAGCATCAGGGCGTACGGCTTGCCGACCCGGCATCTGGAAGGCCCGGCTTAGGCTACCCATCCACCCCCATCCAACCCAACACCTCATACCTCCCACGTGCCTACCTGCCCTACTTATCACCCCTGGCGCGACGGCGCGTTTCGCGCGGCGCGCGGCGCGGGCGTTTTTCAGGGTCCAATCTAAAATGGCCCTAAAGTACCTAGTTGATGGGACGCAGGCATGGTGCGGCGTTAGGCCGGCAGGCGGGCACTGGCGGAAGCAGCGCCTAGAGTAGTTAGCTACGTAGCTAGCTAGAGAACAAGCACCAAAGCAAAGCCTCGGCGTGGCGGCAAGAAGAAGGCTGATAGTAATCGGTGTGCATGCAAGTGCACAGAGTAATCAGGGAAAAAAGGGCAACCGAAGGGATTTGACAGCTTTCATTTCATCCGACGATGCATTGACTAGCTAGCTAGGCAGTGACAGACAAACAAAGCTGAGACTGACTACTGCGGTTGCGTTATGCATGTTGCATTGCGCAGGTAAACCATTCGCTCGTGACTTCCGTGGCTGGCTGACACTGACTAGCTGATGGATGAGTGAGCACCACCATCAGCAAGCCGGGGGCAGCCGTTCGTCTCGTCCTGCCAAAGACATTATCCGAAACGAAGCGCTTCGCTCCGCTCCGTCAATCCCTCCCTCACATCCAATCCAATCCGAAAGGAAACGAAATGCAAATGCCAAACCCGGTCCCTTTCATCGACTCAAGGGCCCATCACCGAGAACGCCGCCCCACACCCCACCCGGAGTAAACAGAAAGAAAAGAGAAAATCCCATGCATGCATGATCCGTGTCTCGCATCGACAAAGTGGTATAAGCGACCCAGCAGCATGTGAACAGTAAGAAAAAAAATAACGACGATCGACCCACTACTCCACCGTGTCTAGTGGCAGCGAAGCAAAAGAAAATGTCTAGGAATCGAAATGAAGCGCTAGAACGCAGCAAACTAGAAGCAGAAGTCATTATGCAGGCCGACGAGTATTGCCAATGGAAGGCGTGTCGCCCAGCGCGGCGAGCCGGAGGCGGGCGGGAGGATGGTGGTCGCGTGGCCCGTGGCAGGCAAGCAGCGGCGGCGGCCCATTGGGCAGGCGAGCACGAGCGGAAGAAGCTCGGCGATTGCCATGTTTGTAATTAAAGGCGCGTGTGCGGTCGACATTACGAGAGAGTATCGGCAGTGTCCGCGATTAGAACGTGCTCCAGTTCCAATCGCGCGGCACGCTGCCCACATAACTGCCAACGCGGTGGGTCTGCGCTTGGGCTTGCGCCACGCCTCGTGGCTGGGGAAGCTGGAGACCCTGAGTCTGCGTGTAGTTGGTGAAGGATCCGCCGGTGGAGCTGCCTTGTGAGCTTGCGCTGTTGGTGCGGGAGGAGTTGCGCGCCGTGTCCCACTGACGGTACGTCGACCAGCAGCTGTCACAGGCGCGCGACAGCTGGCCGTTCGGATGGAACAGAGCATCCTGGTCAAGCTTGATCTCGTGGGCGCTGTGCTCGTAGCAGAAGATGTCGCCGCAGCGGCGGCAGTGGTGGCGTCTGCAGAACATGGTGAAAGCACGGTTGCAGCCGGCAGAGTTGCACTTGTCGGTTGCTTCGTTGGACTATCGCGAAGTCAGTTTGTGACCAATGAGGCGCGTGATGTTGGAAAAGGCGGAGGTGGGACAGGGGGGTCGAGGGACGTGGTGTTGCGAGAGCCGCCCCCAAGACATGCATACGCGACCGGCTAGCGTGAAGGCGGAAGCCAGTCACACGAGCAGAATCGCGCGGGATGGCGCAATCAAAAAGGGCGAGCACGACGAACCATCAAGGTGCGAGACGCGAAGCGTTAAAAAGGCTCCGGCTGCCCCGTCTTGATGTCAGGTCGGTGCATCTCGACCACGACCTTCTCCAGACGGCGCGACGCCAAGGAAAACGACGGATGGCTAAACACGTACCTTCCAGTGATTCCTGGACGGAGGGCCCGTCACAGGTCCGAGGGACTGGGTGTCTTCCTGGCTGTTGATACGCTCGATTTCGGCGATGCTCGAGCCGAAGCCGTCACCCGCCGCCTGGCTCCCAAAGCCGATGGATCCACTATCCGAAGGGGAGGCGATCTCGCTGCCCTTGGGGGGAGACGAGCGCGGGGGCCTCTCGGTCGGGCGCAGGACGGCAGGGACGTACATGGGGGCGCGCGGCGGGCGCAGCTGGCGCGAGTGCAGGTGCATGTGGTGGGAGTTGTTGGTGGGAGAGACGGTGGTCGGAGTATTCGAGCCGGAGTGGGTGGGCGAGTAGGGGACGTACTGCACGCCGCCCTTGTAGCCGTAGGTGGGTTGCTGGTAGGCCGAGGGCGGCATGGCGGCGTGAGGATTCGCGATTCCGGTGGCCATGTTGGGATTGCGAAGGGGTGGGTGTCGAGAGAGGTGGGTGTCGCGTGGATTGTTGGTAGAGTAGGTAAGGTAAGGTAGTGAGGGCGATGACGGAAGGCGCGCGCTCAAGAAGAAGCTATGGAGGAGCGGTCTGCACAGGCTAGGCCGGAGCAGGCTGGGGAAGGAGGCGGGAAAGGCGGAAAGGCGATAAGAGGGTTATTGGACGCGAGGCAGACAGGCAGCGATGGCATGCGTAACAGGGCGGCGGCGTGAGGGCTTCAAATAACAACACGGGCGGCTGGGCACAGAGTAATGCCGCCGCGCCATGACGCTTCATCGCTGGCCGAGAGGACGGCCGGACAGGCAGATTACGGCCGCTGGATTGGGCAACTCTGCCCATCACTCGCATATCTCTCCGCCCGGGCCAGGCTGGATGGAGCGTAGCCGGCCGAGCGAGGGACCCGCAAGCGTCGTGGAGAGGGCCTCTCCGCCACACTCCAGCATCGTGAAGGCCCTTGGACAGTGCGCCGGCCTTGCTCGCCCAATTTGCCTTAGCAACGCGAATGCTTATCGTCGCCCGCCTATTGGCCACCCGTGCCTTCATCCGTCGGCAGCCGCACCTCCCACTGGTAGGGCTGCTTGTGTGTGTTGCTCTAGCCACCTCCACAAACACAAACCACCGATGTCAGCCGCCCGCCCATGTGTGTGTGTGTTGCCTAGGTCGTGTGTAGACTCGCCACCTTGCATGTTTTGGGTTTCCTTCCTCGAATGCCTCTCTCATGCCTGGTCCGTGTGCCCCATGGTTACAGGTTGAGTACGCTCGCTCTCTTTTCGGTCCGCCTGCTAAACATTCGGCCGCCGCTCGCTGCCATGCCGGGTCACTTTCTCCGCGGTGTGTGCCATGCACGGTGTCAGCGCTGCGCCCGCACGCACGATTGCTCCCCGGGATCCGCTGCACTGACGGATGGGACTGTTGTCGCAAAAACGCGGGGATGGCGTCTGCATTTCGAGACCACCATGCCACAAGCAAAAAATCGCCTTCCAAGACCCTGACGCCGACGACGTCAAGCTTTTCTACTTAATGCCGCCCTCGTCGCGTGCGGCTCGAGCCGATTGCCACGCTTGCTTTTCCCGTCCTCTACATGCCTTGAATTGCCGCTGCGTTCGTTGCATTCCTCGTTCTCGACCGTCCTCTTGGCATGGCGATGCTCATCAAACATGGCCCGCTGCCGCCGCTACCCGACAAGACCTCCTCAATCCCGGCACGGAAGAGTAATCGGAAGCTCCTGGCTTTGGGTGACACCGTAGTGCCATTATCGGTAGCGCCGGTTGCCACGGCCCAACCGGCAGCGCAGCTTGCCGTCGAGAACGGCGCCCACGTTGCCGCTCTGGCCCAGCTTCACCAACTCGTTGGCCTAAACGTCGAGGGAAGCCTGGCCAGCAACTATCTCGCCGAGCCGCCGTCGTCTCTTCGCCTTTCAAGCTAGGTCTGTGGCAATTATTGGTCAACTGCATGCCTCGCGACTGTAGTAAGCAGTTGGCGACGGTTCTATCCCTGCTAGGGTCAGTCAGGGAAAACCGATATTTATTGCGCTGCACTAATTGGCTGCCAGCACGCGTCCTGGCGCGCTTTTTTGTTGACTGGCCACGCCGTCCCTTCGCCGCACAAGAGGGAATCCTTCAGAAAATGGGCCATCCAGCATTCCGTCAACTTCATAGACCGCTGTCTGGGTCTGGTCCAGCCCCACAGTCAATGGCGTACTGGGCTTCTGCTGACGCCTCAGTCGATGCCATCATACCGTGGAGGCTGGCAAGCTGAGTTCATCAGGGAGGGACTTTGACGTTGGAACTTCGGACTTCGGGGGGTTGGCGTCTCGCCTACCCAGCAAATGAACCGCGATTGGTCGGCGGTGAAAAGTGGCAGAAAGGTGTCGCGATTCATCTGCTGGGGACCGCCCTGGGTCTCGCCCATGCCTGCCAGTGGCGTCTGGCCCCGTCTCCTGCTTCTCTGCTGCCCGACGACAACTATCCTACCTCCTTACACTCGACTGCGACACCTAATCACGCCGAGGAGCTCGGCGCATTCTTCTCCTTCTTCCCTCAATACCGCAAAAGACACCGGCCTCGTTTGCCCGGATTCATGAATACGCGGGCGGCGCGCGTGGGCAGCCCAGTTCTGGCATGATCTGCCTTCTGCAACCAACGATGAACGATGACCACGCCTCTCACCCCCAAACGATCGAGGATGCGGCCTTTTATCAGCCACCCGAATGGCTGAACGGCGTGGACATTGACAACGCTCTAAATGCGCTCAAGGACGCGCCCAAGCTCGACGGCCTCAATAACTACAAACTGTGGAGCGAGAACACGCGGTGGGCCCTTATGCTCGGCGGCCTGTGGGACTACGTCGAGGGCACCCTGGACTCATACCGGCGATCGCAATGGTGGCGGACGCGCGACGGGCAGGCCCAAGCCGTCATCCGCATCGCCTGCGGCAACGCCTATTGGAGTCTCGAGCTCGAAGGCAAGTCGGCCGCTGAGGTGTGGCAGATGCTGGAGCAGTTGTACCGTCCCCGCGCCAACGGCCCCATGATAAACGCCCTGCTGCGCCGCTTCTACTCCAGCACCATGGCTACTTGCGGCAGCGCCCAAATCTTCGTCAAACAGCTGCTAGCCATCGACGACGAGCTCCGCTACCTGGGCGAGCGCTACGCCCTGCCGCCGCACATGATGAACTTGCAGCTCGTGTACAACCTGACACCCGAGCTGGACCACGTCAAGTCGCGGCTGCAGGAGCGCGAGGACCTTGTCGGCACAGACAACATCATGACATTCCACGCCGTCGCGAGCGAGGTCATCGAGGCGGAGATGATGGTTCGCGCTCTGAAAGCACAGTACGAAGAAGAACAGCAGGCAAAGGCGACCACTCCGTGCTCCAGCTGCGGCAAACTAGGCCACGAAGCCGGCGCAGACGGGTGCTGGTGGAACTCGGGGAACCGGACGTCGCCTCAGTGGGCCAAAAAGAGAAGGAGGACCAGCATTGGCAACATGCACAGGAAACGGTCAAGGACCAGCCCTGCATGAAGGCTGTCTATTCTTGTCGCCATTTTGCGTCACGTCGCGGTCGAGACTTGGTCTCTGCGGCTGCTCTAGGGTGAGCGAGCGCGCGGCGCGCCAGGGACCTCGTGCGCGTTACACAGCATACTACCGACGGTCTCATCCCCGCATTCCAAAGCCACGAGTGTCGCCAAGTCCCATCCGCCATGGTGAAACGTCCGAAATCGATTACTGAAGCTAGCCACCTGAGCATGGCTCTTCCTTTTTGGTCCACTAATATTTCCATGCACACGATTCAGTGCTTGACCACCGCCGCCAACACCGTCGTCCAGACCAGCCGCTGCCCTGCACCCCAGAGCGTGCCTCACTTGCAAAAAATCCCAAGCTTACGCCTTCTCGCCAACAATAAACTCCTTGACCTCCTGGTACGCCTTCTCCAAATCGTCGTTGACGACGATCTTATCATGAATGCCACCAACCCTCGCAAACTCCATCTCGTTCTTGGCCTGCTCCAAGCGCTTGAGAATGGCCTCCTCCTTGTCCGTGGCGCGGCCACGGAGGCGCTGCTCGAGGACCTCGACGCTGGGAGGGCTGAGGAAGAGGAAGCGGGGGCGGGGGAATGTAGGGTGGTTGGCGACCTGCTTGACGCCCTCCATCTCAATGTCAAGGATGCAGGTGCGGTCTTTGGCGGCGATGTCCTGGATGGTGGCAATAGAGGTGCCGTAGCAGTTGCCGCCGAACTGGGCGTGCTCGACGAAGGCGTGCGAGGCGATCATGGCCTCGAAGTTTTCGCGCGTCGTGAAGTGGTATTCGCGGCCATCTTGCTCGCCGGCGCGGGGCGCGCGGGTCGTGTCTGCACGAGGGGGCGATTAGTTGCTGTGCCGATGATGGTATAGAGAGAGAGAACAGGTGGATTAGATGGAGCGAGGGAATATAGAGCGGGTTGTTGTGGCTGTGTGTATGAGGATAGCGCGCGCGGAGTGCGCTGTATGGATTGCACGTACGGCTGACGGAAAAGCCGAACTTGTCGGGGTATTCCTTGAACAGACGGTTGAGGATGGTGCTCTTGCCCGCGCCGCTAGGGCCAGAAATGACAATGGGCCTGTGGGCCTCGAGCGCGGCAGTCGAAGCCATCTTTCTATTGTTGTGATGCGGTGATGTGCTGCTGGTGCGTGCAGTGGTGGTGGTGCTGAAGAACGCGCGATTGTCGAACGATGGATTTTTACTTCGCGACGGGACGAGGACACGCGGAGCGAGAGAGCTGCTGAAAGAGAGGCGCGGGAGCGGGAGCAAGAGGCTGGACGAGGACGAGGACGACGAGGAGGATGTGGGCGGCGTCGCGAGGCGGAGGCGGAGGCAGAGGAGGAGCGAGGGCGAGGGCTGGCGCATAACTTTTGGGAGTCTGGATCTGGAGTGCGGCGGGGTGAGTAGGTCCGGCGGTGAGCCCCGAGGACTGCGCCGGGCCAGGCACCGGGCAGACTTCGGGAGGGCCGAATTTGAGGGTCTCATCCGCGGACTGGAGTCTACCCAGAAGTAAGGCATCATTTTCAGGCAGAGATTGGTCTTGTCTCAACTGGTCATTCGATGACATTTTTCACGTGAATTTCCACCAGGCAGTGGTCTCGAGACAGCCGACTCGGATGCTGTAACCTCGTGGGATGTGAGTGAGTGCGGCGCAGCTGCAGTTGTCTGTGCAGAGAATTTTGCTGAAGAAGCAGAACATGGAATGTCTGCTACCTTCGTAGAGTGACGGAAAAGGTTTATTGCTGTGATACTACTGGCCCTTAAAATACCTATTCTTCAACGAACCCCATGAACTTGGGGTCTCCATCACTTACAGTTCATGAATCATAGGTCCCTACGTCCATTCTCTTAGGTAGGAGTAAGGTCAGACGACACTACGATAAGCCCCGTCGCGGGGCAGCGGGGCCAGGCCTTTGGAGGAGGTGGCACAGTCGTGGTGGATTTGTGAACTGGCCCGGTCCGCCTCTCCAGACTCCAGACTCTAGAAGGATTTGTCCGGAAGGAATGGATGGGCTGAACCGACGCCTGCCGTTCTACACTCGCGTCAGCTCGATTCCAGACCTTTCCACCGATCATAACAGAGAAAACCCCCAGCAATCGGCTAACCATCTTCATTCTCGTGGAAAGCGCGAGAAAGACGGGATGGATGGGCGCACAAGGTGGTCCCTCAGAACAAGCAGTGGGGGCACGGAGCACTATCTATTGCGGTCATTGCCTCGCATTCGGATGCTGGGCGTATCTTGCGGTAAACAAGGACCAGCTGTACGATCATTCCTGCCCGATGATGCACTGACGAGCGGGTGCCGGGCGCCAAGCATGCTACCGAAGGCTCCCTTCGATGTGATGTGCAAAAGAAGTGTTGTTTGAAACACGAATGAAGGGGCCACCAACTCGAGTCGCGGTTGGCGTGCGGGGAATGTGGACCTCGCTGCTCGCACGACGAGCATGGAGGTGTGGAGGTGTTTCTGCCACGTCGCGGACAACAAGGGAGGTTATGGGATCGTAAGAGCCAAACGCCTTATCGTAGCTGGCTGCAGGCAGCAGAGCCCTCTGCTCTTTCTGCGCTCTACGGCCTGAGATATCCGGATAAGACGACCATCCCCACATGCACGGCGCCGCGGTCCACAAGGAGCGAGCGCATTAACTGTGGGAGGGCGGCAATGGCATCCTCTAACGGCCGTGATGAACCGGTTTGAGAATCTCGATTGTAAGGGGTGAAGCTCGGAGGCAGTGAACATGGCGCTTTCAAGCCGGGTGGCTTTTCGCTGTAAACAGGTGAGGTTAGACTACAAGACGTTCATACCGCGGATGTGTACCCTGATCCAGTTGATGGACGGACGCTGGAGGTTCTCGTATGTTGTACAGCGTGTCTCAGTTCGACCAAGAAGCATACCTTGGCCTTGCAAAGCGGCAGTACGTCGCCGGAGATCTTCATCATGATTCCCAGACTGCCCGCTTCCAAGCGCACGGAGCAGAAGCTGGCGCCAGGGCGTCAACAACGCACGCTTCCAAGCGTGGCTGAGCGCGAGCTGAGGGAGTTGGAAGAGTGGGCTTGAGAGGTCCATCTCTGGCAGCGCGAGTGGGGACATGAGTCCTCCGTTGGTAGTGTCTCACGGTGTGTCGAGCGAGATGAAGGGAGAGGCGCAGAAAGGCGAGGGATACGTGTAATCAAACATTGGTGGTGCGAGGTGGAGATGTGATGGGCGTGGCTGGTTGCTGCTTCAGGCCCCACCAAAGCCTGGAAGTCGTTGCCGCCCAGCGCGACGAAATTGCCCATGGCTGACTCGTCACCGCCAAACGGTAAACCCGTCTCGCCCGCCTTCGGAATTATTGCAGTCACGTGACTGATGATGGTGAGGCGTGCAGCCCACGCAGCCGTCCTTGGCCAATCGGGCCGTTGCCGGAGCTACTTGCATAGAGGTATGATAGGGCGTGACGGGAGTGACCGTTATACCCTCAGCTGAAGCCTGCCAATCACAGCGTTTGCCTCCCCATTGCTCTCCGCTGACGCCATAGCAGACATCAGGGTCTCGTCAACGCCCTTTCCCGACGCTTTCGTGCTGAAGCTTAGAATCTTGCCCGCAAACAAACAAACACACTGCCATCCAAAAACGTCGTTTTGAAGGACTGACTCCCCCACCATCCGAGCTCTGCGACTGCAGACACCGACGCAGACACACCATCATTAGCAATGTCGACCGAGTTCATCTCCTTCCTCGGGCCCACGGCCTCGCTGGCCGCCTATGACCCCACCAAGCCTGCCGCCAAGCAAGAATCCAAGGACATCCCAACCGCCTTCAAAGACGCCATGACGGTGCGCCAGCGCGTCTTCGTTGAGGAGCAAGGCGTAGCGTTGGAGAACGAGTTCGACGGCGACGACCCGCGCTGCTACCACTGGGTCGTGTACGCCTCGGTCGGCACCACCAACGGCCACAGCAACGGCGCGAACAGCTCTTCGTCTGACCCGCTCGATGACCCCGCTGCCCCCGCCCGCCGCAACAGCACTGCTAACCGCGTCGCCGTTGGCACGATCCGCCTTGTCCCGCCGCCTCACCCCGCTCACCCCGCACCTTCAGACCACCACAAGTTCGACAACAGCCTGCACGCGCCGCCGACCATCTGCTCCGGCAACGGGCACGACCAACTTCGCCGCAACAGCGACGGAAGCGCGGACGGCAGCACCGCTAAGCCTGTCGAACCCTACATCAAGCTCGGCCGCATGGCCATCCTGCCTGCGTACCGCAAGCTCGGCCTCGCTGCACTGCTGGTGCGCACGGCGCTCGAGTGGGCGCGCCAGAACGCAAACGAGGTGCTGTCACCGCCGCCGCCCGAGGCCGTCGAGCTGGCGCGCGTCGAGGGCCGCGAATCCGAGCTTGAGGCCTGGCGTGGCTTGTGCCTTGTGCATGCGCAGGCGGCGATTGAGCGCTGGTGGACCAAGTTTGGGTTTGTCACAGATCAGTCGATGGGTGTATGGGACGAGGAGGGAATTGACCATGTCGGGATGTGGTTGAGGGTGAAGGTTAAGGAGTAAGTGAGTGAGGGAGTGAGTGGTGGATAGAGGAGGCGTTGATGGGAGTGGAGCGAGACGGTGAATAAAGGAGTGAAAGATGGAGGCGAATGAGGTTCAAAGGTCGGACCTTTCTGCATACTCGCACGGCATTAGAGGTGGCGGCAACGCCCAGCTGCAGCTGTAGCTGCAGCAGTAGCAGCAACGACGAAGGTGGCGGAGGCACATACACCACCAAGGAGGAGAGCGATGAAGTTCACGAAGGCACGATCAGAGATATATTCCCCCATACCTTTTTCTTTCCAAAGGCCCTTTCGGTCGGAAGCTCCACGTACCTAACTTTAATTCATCACACATGCTTCATAGTAGTAGTAGTAGCTTCTTTCTTACCCATCCAAGGGCGTGTCTTATGCACACTGCACATATCCTTGCTTGCCTTGAGTTTGAGCCGTGAGCGCGCCTTGAGCGTTCCATTCCATATTGTCCTGGTTGACCTATTCCTCTCGCTTCTTCAACCTATTCACTGCTCTCCAACACACCAATCAGCCCATAGGCGGGCAGCAAAGAAAGCAAAAACACAACCCTGTGCTCTGCGCGTCCGTCTGCTGCACTCATCGTCTGCGGTTTTCTGTTGTTCAAATTCCTTTGTGAGATCGCGCGTCGCACTCATTTCCTGTAATAGATCTTCTTGAACTGGAAGTGCAGTTGCAAGATGCCCTTGTCAAAGCTGCTCTTGAAACCCCGCTCCCGCTTAGCACTATAATCCCACTCCTTGTCAACGATGCGGAACGCAATGTCTTCGTACGGCGGACCAGCAATGAATCGAATCAAACACGTATCTTCCTCTCCGGCCGGGGCAAAGGACTGCCCGCGTTTGCGGCCGTTCTCGCGCTCGATGCGGTAGGTCGGGGCCTTGCCCTTGTCGATGAGTTCCGGGTAGAAGATGTTGAACTTGTAGCCCTGGACCACCTTGGGCGGGGGGTTATCGTGGTCGTAGTGCGTCTGGTTGTACTTGTTCCACTCGTAGCCCATCTGCACGCGGTTGAAGTAGCGAGGCTTGCGCGGCCGGTGTTTGTTCATCCACTGCGATTTGTTCGCCGTGACAACTTCCTCTTCGCCCGTGAATATCTCCTCATTCTCGTTTACGCCACGGGCGACTTCGCGCTCATAGAGAGCTATGGTCGCTTGGGAGAAATCGTTGTTGCGCGGCGTTGCGAACCTCGAGGTACTGCTGCTGCTGGCATCCGCTGCTGGCTTAGCCTGGTTGCTGCTAGTAGCAGACTTGTCGACCTGGTTCTGCCCAGCTGGCACGTAGCCGAGTTTTAGGATCTTGCGACGCTCGTCCGCGATCTTGTCCAAAAATGCCTGCTCCTCAATACATTCCAGTGCCTTGTCCTCTGGCCGCAGCTTGAGGAACGGCTCTGGATCTAATGAAGATGTTGCAGTATTTGCCATTTGTTCTCTTCCTTGTGAGCTCGGCTTGCTCAAGATGCTACGCAATCTTTCCTGGACGCTGAGCGCCTCTTGCTCCTGTTGCATGCGCAAGCCTTGTAGACGACTGTTGACAACCGCCTGCGCGACACGTCTAAGCTTTGCCTTTGACTTCCAGACTATGAGGCTCCGGAGCAAGTGTTCCCAATAATCAACGTCGATTGGTTCGTTCGATTCCAGCTTTCTCCGGATCTGCTTCTCCAACCCTTCGAGTTCTTCAAGGGACTTTGGTGCAAGAAGCCGATCGACATCGCTAGACACGGAGCTGACGCCGCGGGCATCAGAGCCAGACTCTGACTTTTGGCGGCGATCTTTGCAAATGACCTTTATAGTCTGCGACGAGTTAGCATATCATCACAACTTAGATAGTTTGCGCACGGGCTCGTACATTCCAAAACTCCTTGTTCTTTCTGTCCGATTCAAGTGTGAGGTATGTATCGATGTCTTTTTCCAGTTCAGCCAGCTGGGCGTCATCTAGCGATTCTAGGACGCCTTCGGGATCCACAATGTCAAGCTCGCTGTCGTCCTCATCGTCCTCGAATGCGCCTTTCGCGCCGTCGACAACGCGCAAAGTGATAGCGAGCCAGTCGATAGGCTTTGCACGCCCTCCCTTCACACGAATAGCTGCCTTTTTCTTTGCCTGCCGCAAGACGAAGCGATCTTCGTCCGCAACCCAGGCCTCCTCTTGTGTGTCGGCGGAGCGCTTGCTCGGTATCGTGGACGCGGGCATTCTGTTAGGAGCGCGACCCTGTTGGGCGCGCCATGGCGGGTTCCGGCTGTCCATAATTACTCGGCGTCGACAGACAGTTCTGGGTGCTGCAGCTCGTTGGTCACAGATTGACCCACTTTCTCACGCAAGTTGCTCGTGAGTCGTGATGTTGTAGATGAAGAAGACAGATTTTGCGAAAGTACAAGCGATGTGACAACCTCAGATCAGTGCCGTTGCAGTTGCTCTACTCTAAGTCAAGGTCGCGTGGGTTGACATCATTGTATGAATGTTGGCTTAGGGTCAAGGAGCCTGGGAGTACCGAAATTTTGCCAAGACATATTCACCGCCTGCGGCAGAAACCTTTCGACTTTCAATATCATGACGAACTCAATTCACGCGTCTACCTACGAGTAGGCAACCTGATGCATTGCAAGGCCTCAAAAATCATCTCGACTTTGCGTTTTCAAGACGGTGCACAAACCTCAAACATATCAAATCGTTGTGCGTGCCGAACGCAGCACGCATGCGACTGGCTCGGTCGAAGCGGGATGGAGCGGAAAATGTTGATGATGATGCATAAACAAACCCACATATTCTCCCCTCTGTAACCTATACCTGCCTACCAGTGTCATCACAACGCACACCTCGGAGAAAGCAGAAAGTTAGATTCTCGCGGGCGCTGTCGCTGTACCGAGCCATCGTCCTCGCACAGCGGGGCCGTCCGCCGCTGTGCCCGCGCCTGCGTCTGCGGGGCACGCGCGCAGACTTCAGAGAGCAGAGCGGAGCCCTGTCCGGTGCATCAGGTCGCGCAACAAGGCGCGCCGCTGGCTGGCCCTACCGGCACTACTGCAGCACGCAAGCAAAGCCTTGCGACGCTGACAGCAGCGCGCACGCACAGACAGCACGCAACCAAAATCTCCGAGGCTCCCAGACCCTGAGGCCCAGGTCAATGGTGACTGGCGACGATGATTCGCAATGCGGCGTGGGTGGGGACGGGGGGCCTAGGGGTCCAATCTTCCATCTGGGTGCCCCATCATGTCCCGCTATCCTCGTGGCGGCGCTAGAACACGGTAGCGTTGGGCTGGCGCAAGCCGCGAAACCGTTGAATTTGCGAGGGACCGAAGAAGAACGTGGCGGATGAGGGGAGGGGTGGACCGGGCCAATTGGTGCGCCTGATGAGTATTGGTCGCGCGGCTCGCGCTGCTTGCGCGCTGCGAGCGAGGCTTTTTTTTCTTTTCGTCTTGTTCTTTTCTTTGCGCATTGTGCGCTCGGATGCTCGGTGCCAGATGAAGCATAGGCGGTTTGCAGTGGTTTTGTGCTGTGTAGCTAGTGCAGCTTGTGCAGTGTTTGTTGTGTTGTGCATTCTGGCATATGTCAATGTCTGAGAAAGTTAGATGCCATGGTCGAGTGTTTGCCCACGGGTGAATGTGGCGCTGACGGGACAAGCAGAAGACGCCAATCGGAACGTCATAAAAGCCAAAGGGGCAAAGCCACTTTGGTGAATGGGCCAGATATCGACGATCTGGTCGAGGCACGTTGCGATCGCGGGGCCGGATCTGGGGACTGACGTGCAGTCAACACCATGACGCCCAGCCATCACCAGGTCGCGCGGGGGGCGATTTGGAAGGCCAATGATGCGCTGACGCGGGAAGCGACAGGGCGACCCTCACACGAGCGCGTTTTGCAAGCACGTGTGACCGAGTACGAGGCTGCGCTTCTTCGGTGACTACGTGAGTTGCGTGGGAGTAAGTGAGTACTGTCTTGGAAGGCACGACCGCCGGACTTAACACGACTGGTGATTGACTGAGACTGGAGAAAGCCTTCACCCATCAACCAAGCGAGCACTTAAAAAACCCCCTCCCTTTGTCCTGCCCTTCTCTTCTCCACCTCCTCCCCTCCCCCCAACCCTCACGTCGACTCTCACCCGGACCTGACAAGACAACCACCCGCAATTGCTCATCCGCCGAGCAGGCGACGGAGTCCGCATTATGGTAGGCTTTGATGATGCTACCTAGCTTTCGCCCCGAGCTTACCTACTTACTGACGCTTTTTTTGTAGAAGCCGACTCCTACTCCCGCTCCAGACGTCGCTAGAGGCTTCGAGGAATCCATCTACGAGTTCAGCGGTCACATCCAGTGGCAGTCATACATATATCTCGCCTTTGCCGTTATCGACACGTTTCTCACTTGTGCTGGCATGCTATGGCTGTTCATGCTGCGCAACAATCCCGCCATCCGCATCCGTAGGCACTGGGCTTTGCAACTGGCCATTTCTTGCCTCACGGCGTACCTCATCTTGGTCTACTTGCAGTTTCCATTGCGCTGGTGGTACAGTTGCGAGGCTGAGTACTTTGTCATGGGTTTCTTGCTTCAGTTCGGAATCGGAATGATGGTTTGTATGTCATGTCCTCTCGTGACCGCTCACAGAAGTAACATTGCTCGCTGACGTTTAAGTGTCTCACAATCGCCTCTTATCCTACTACAGATCGCAGATCTCTTTTATTGATCCTTCTCTTCGTCGCAAGAAGTCTACAGCGTCAAAGACTCCACTTCTCAAGCGACCCTGGCAGTGGATCAAGGAGCGCGACTACGAATCAACGACTCTTGTGGTACTGATTATAGCTTTGATAGTCACAACTATCGTCGTTATAACCGTCTACGTCGGGTCAAGGAACTTCCATGAAGGGTCCGGCTGGTTTGGAGAATGGTCTGGTGTCCATAACTGTTACCGCGGTGGGCATGGCGAATGGTAGGTGTCCCCTTGTATTTCCCGAAGCTAAAGCTGACTTGTTCTTCTTCTAGGGCCATCACCGCCTTGATGCTCATGTTCTGGATTTACCTCTACGGCCCGTTTACTCTTTATAATATCTGGAACATCAAAGACAGCCACAAATGGGCAATTCAGACCAAAATCTCCATCATGTCCAACTTTTTTGGTATTCCAATCTGGCTGGTTTTCCTCTACTCGAACAACCCCGGTATCCTGGCGGTCAATCGTTACTGGTCGCATGCGTTATGGTGAGTGTTTTGATGCACCAGAAACCTTGAACCTTTACTGATCATTGCTAGGCTTGCCCTCGGCCTGATTGTTACGAAGTACTGCTTCATTTGCTTTCCCATCTACGACGCATGCAGAGGAATGCCTTACTTTTCCAGCCAGACCGAACGTAATCCCTCGACCGCCAGTTGGACGACCAACTCTTCAAAGGAGAAGGTACGCCAGGCGTATAGCATCGGTGCACTAGATGAGTGCCTGGAAAAGAACATTGAGCAGCTACTTGAATGGTCTGCGCGCCGGGACTTCTCTGCTGAAAACATTGCTTTCCTTCGCGCGGTTCGCGACATGAAGAGCAAATCGAGGACTCGTGCCGTCGACCGCGGCGGCGTCATCACTCATCTGATCTTCCGCGAACGCTATGAAGAGGCGGCTATCATCTTCTTCAAGTTCATCGATCCACGCACGGCCGATATCCCGCTCAACATCAGCAAGCGCACGGTTGATGGCCTTCGCCAATGGTTCAAGTATGTCTCGTACGACTCCCTTGATGATGACTCCTCAAGCAAGAACGACGTTGCGCCATTCATTGATTTCAATGGCGATTTCCCGAGTGCCAGTCCCAATGGAGAGGACATCGTCATCGACCGCCTTTACCCAATGCCTCTGACGGAAATTGTACCCACCGGTGCCATTGATGACGAGGGTAACACTGCCGACACGGTGCCTGAAGGATTTAACCTGGACATCTTCGATGATGTCTACGCCCAAATCAGGCACCTGGTCTATACCAACTCTTGGCGCAGGTTCGTCGTCTCTTGCGAGGGTGATGTTGAAAGCTTCACGTCTTCCTTGCAAACTGCGGCCACCAAGCAGACTGGGGACTCCATGGGCAAAGAGCTGTACAAGATGCCTAGCTCTCCAACCCCAGTGTATCGACAGGACTCCCCAACCAGCCCACGGTCTCCCAAGCAGCCGGAGACACCAAACAACCACGAGTTTCCGCGCCAGCAGGAATCACCATAAGCGGAGCACTTGCTCATGCACTCGGGCCACAACTTACTTTGAGTACCCACACTTCCCGGTTGGCTTTCCACGGCATCTACTCTGTAACAACAACCTACCTCAAGAAAAGCTCTTTTCACGGCACTGCATCGGTTGCATTGTTGCATGTCCAAACTCTCTTTCCAGTTTCTGGTTCAACGATTCCATGTTGATCTTGCTTGCCGATTCCATCACCTGCGACTCCTCGAGCCTGGCTCTGTGATTATGCTTGCGATGGAAGGCGCAAGCTGCACCAATACCACTTTGATGTTTTCATGTTTTTGCTTTTCCCTCACGACCGACTCTACGAAATTGCATTTCAATGCCAGAGATTAGTGCGGCTGTGGTGGGTTCTTCTTCGGGACGGTAAGAAATTCTCAAAAATAATGTATTAGTGGTGTCTACACTGATTGGTAATTTTTGCAGCCTACGGAAGCGCAGCACGTCTACTACCTAGGTAGAAGATTCGGATGAGGTCGGGCATGGGTTGAAATGGATGCTGCTTAGTTAATGACGATACACTGGCTCGGTTAGTAGAGTACGTAGTACGTGAACACATAAATATGAGCCAGTTTGCTTTTGCCACTATGGGTTTTCTTCTGTTTTTTTGTTGAGGAAGTCTTTTTTCTCGAAGGATGATGCTGTGACGTTGTCACATCGTGTGGAGATGGAAGCCCCAAGGCCCCACACAAACCGGGGCAGCGGGTCTTCCCCGGTCGTGTGCGGAGCCGGGACGTCTTGCTGGCACCAGTCGCACGACGCATCATTGCATACAGCTGGGGGATGCGCCACGGGCGGCAGTGGCAAACAGCCATGCAGTCGAAAGCACGGGAGGAGCAACATCTGGCGGCAACGTGTCCTCTCAGGGGGGCACGCGAGCAGGATTTGCGAGGGAAGAGCGATTGCGGCTCTCGGAAGCTTGGCATGCAGGCGCAGGGGTCAGCTGAGCGGTCGCTCGATGGGACGGCGATTGGCGACGATCAATGGCACCATCGCGCTCGACCATGGCGTGCAGAGCGTGCAGAGCGTGCAGAGCTAGGTTAAGAGCAGGAGCGAGACAGGAGACGACGCAGATATAGTCAATTGATGACGACGCAAGTAAAAAGAAGTTGCCACAGGGGAGGCCGGGGAGATTGCGGTCAGCATTGCTTTTTGGCTTTTCGGCTGACATGGACGTGTCTTGCTTCCTTTTTCGCATTTTGCAATCGCCCCAGGAATTGACGTGCTCAGCCGCTCACAGTCCAGTGCCGGTCACTAAGCTTCCCCATATGCAGGGTCCGGTGCATCCACGGGCCAATGGCGTCGCTCCATGCTCCGCCCGATCCTCCCGGCCCAGCAGTATAAAAGAGCTCCCTTTTTCCTTCTTCCTTGCCTTCCCCTGCCGAGTGTCTTGATTGTCTCGCAACCCTCCGGTCCGGCCTCCCGCGTTGATCTATCAGATACCACCTACCCTCCGCCCCGACACCGCTTCTCTGCTGGCGCCACTTGCTGCCGCCCGACTTGGCTCCTCCAGGGACTGACGCCCTTTCCGGAAACAGACTGACGTGTCAGGAGTCCTCTGCTCTTAAATCGACGATAACTGCTTGTCTATATAAGAGCATAGGCAGTCAGACACTGCCCTCACTACGCCCCCATCCCACTCATCCCTCGAACAATGGCCCCTCACGCTCAGCTCCCGGACACTCCTCCTAACGGCTCGACGGAGAATGGCTACCTGCCGCAGGGCGACCACTTCCCTGTCCAGCCCAACATCCTTTACATCATGGCCGACCAGATGTCGGCGCCACTGCTGAAGATGCACGACCCCAACTCGCCCATCAAGACGCCTCACCTCGACAAGCTGGCCGAAAGCGGAGTCGTCTTCGAGAGTGCCTACTGCAATGCGCCCCTCTGCGCGCCCTCCCGCTTTGTCATGGTGACAGGTCAGCTCCCCCACAAGATTGGCGCCTATGACAACGCATCGCACCTTAACGCCGACGTCCCCACGTTCGCCCACTATCTGCGAAAGGAGGGCTACGAGACGACCTTGGCCGGAAAGATGCATTTCATTGGCCCTGATCAGTTGCACGGCTTCGAAAACCGCCTGACTTCGGACATCTACCCTGGCGACTTCGGCTGGTCCGTCAACTGGGACAAGCCTGAGGAGCGCCAGGAGTGGTTCCACAACATGTCTTCAGTGCTGCAGGCTGGCCCCTGCGTCAGGTCCAACCAGCTCGATTACGACGAGGAAGTCATGTACAAATCCACCCAGTTCCTCTACGACCACGTGCGCAAGGGAGATAAGCAGAGGCCCTTCTGTCTGACGGTCTCTCTGACGCACCCTCACGATCCTTATGCGATCACGGAGGACTACTGGGATCGCTACGAGGATGTGGAGATACCCCTGCCCAAGGTCCACATTAAGCAGGAAGATCAGGACCCACACTCGGAGCGCGTGATGAAATGCATCGATCTGTGGGACAACGACGTTCCCGAAGAAGCAGTCAAGCGCGCGCGCCGCGCCTACTACGGCGCTTGCTCCTACGTCGATGATCAGATCGGAAGGCTTCTGACGACGTTGAAGCGCTGCAAGCTGGACCAAAACACCATTGTCGTCTTCAGCGGCGACCACGGAGACATGCTTGGAGAGCGCGGTCTCTGGTACAAGATGTCCTGGCACGAGGGCAGTGCTCGCGTGCCTCTCATCATCAACTACCCGCCTCGATTCAAGCCTCGCCGCGTCAAGGAGTCTGTCTCCACGATGGACCTGCTGCCGACGCTGGTCGACCTGGCCGGCGGGAGAATGGACACCGGCTTGTCGATCGACGGAGTAAGTTTCTACCCGGCGCTCTATGGCCACAAGGTCAGCGACGAGGTCTTTGGCGAATACATGGGTGAGGGCACGATCTCTCCAGTCTGCATGATCCGCAGGGGCCGCTGGAAGTATGTCACCAGCTTGGTGGACCCTCCGCAGCTGTTTGATCTGGAGAAGGACCCGCGAGAGCTGCACAACGTTGCCAATTCGGAGGACTCGTTGTACGCAAAGGTCTCGCACGACTTTGCCAACGAGGCGGCCAAGAAGTGGGATCTGGAGGCCATCCATGACGACTGCCTGAAGTCGCAGCGCCAACGCCGTCTGTGCTGGAACGCACTCAAGAAGGGCAAGTTCGAGTCTTGGGACTACCAGCCTCAGGACCTCGCGTCGCAGAAGTACATCCGCTCGACGATTCCTCTGGACGACCTGGAACTGAGGGCGCGCTACCCGCCCGTTGATGCTTTCGGCAAGCCGTACATCACAGCCCATCCTCACGGCATCGCTGGCGCAAAGGGCGAGTAGTCGTGCTGACAGGTTCTTACGGGTCACATGCTCCGCTTTGGACGCAACAAAAGTTTGCTTCGGCCAAAACAATTTGCGATACCTCTGCTTTTTCTTGTAGCCACGGCCCGGGCTTATCATGATGCTTTCTTCAATTGACTCTCAGCCTTTGATTTTCTTAGCAAGGCGTCGGGGAGCACATTTCATTTTCTCTTTTTCCGTGGCTCTACGAAGGATGGATGGATGGAGCGAGGTCGGGAAGGGAAAAGATTTCCATATCGGGGCAAGGGGGCGTCGCAAGGCGTACTGTAGTTAGCTCGATGCAGTCTCAACTTGGAATACTCTAATAATTTCTAAGCGGGACGGATGTGCGCGCGATGGAAGTTGCGGTGTGATGTTGCTAGAATACTCTGGAGGTCCAGATTTCTCTCCTCGGCCTTCCCCTGATGGGCTTGCTTGCATGTGATCGGGGGTTGTGGCTGTGGCTGATGCTGTGATTGTGGCAAAGGGGTGTGGCTAGTAAGGTGGCGGCAGGCCTTGTCCGGGCATGGCACGCAGTTACGTTTGACGTCATTGTTCGAGCTGCCGGAGCTCCCGCCTTTAACACTTCCACGCCTCCCTTCCCTCCCTAGGAGTATTGCCCATCATCCTACCTACCTTACCTTGGGGATTCAGCACCTCAGAGACATTTTAGAATCAGGCAAGGAAAAAGAAATCAACATGGCTGACCTACCACCGACATACGAAGCCGCAACTGGCGGCAGCTCCAGCTCGCAGCCCTCACACCAGACGCGCAATGGCATCCCACCTCAGACACGCCGCAGTATGGAAGATGAGTCGCGCCCACTGCCAGAGGGCTGGATTCGCCAGTATGACCCGCAAAACAACCATCAATTCTTCGTCGACACGCGCGCAGACCCACCCCGCTCCATCTGGCACCATCCCTACGACGATGAGCAGTACCTCTCGACGCTCGATCCTGTGGAGCGCGAACACATTACGCGACTGCACCGTAGTGTTAGCCTAAAAGACATCGAAGATGAGAGCAGCGACGACGATAGCGACGAGCGCACGCACACGAAGAAGGCTTCGGCCGGCGTCGGCGCCACCGCCGATGAGGTCCACGGCCTGCACAAGTTTGGTCGCAAGATCAAGGATCGCGTCACCAACTCGACGCACCAGCAGCGTGAGACTGCGCGCCAGAAACGCGCGCGCGACGAGCAGGCCGCGTACCAGGCGCACATGGCTGCGCGCCGCGCCATGGTGCGCGCGTTGGAGACGGGCCAACCGCAGTTCTTGTGCAAGGACCGCCAAGGCCGCGACGTCTACATCGTGCCGCCGACTGGCAATGCTGCTCCGATGGGCGCTCGCGCGTACAATCCGTATGCTCAAGGCCCGTACACGAACCCGAACGCGCGCTTCCTGGCCCCGGATTACCCTTACTCTCGCCCGTACGGCTATGGTTATGGCGGCGGATATGGATTCCCACTCATAGGAGGCCTTTTGGGTGGTGCGATGCTGGGTGGATTGTTGTTTTAAGAGGGATCACTTTCTCATCACTCTTTTTCCCCTTGAGTTTTGCACATGATGAATTACGATGGGATGGCTACATTTTGATACCCGCGGACGGATTGGGAAGTGGTCTGGCAAAACAGCTGGTATAATGACAATGCCCAGGTCCTCATGAAGCATGTATCAAATATATGAGACTTGAAAGTTTGAGACTGTGCAAGGCGAAAGGATATCTTATCAGCGAGTCATGCACCGGGACGGTCCCTGGTGGCGCTAGCGTCGCTCCAGAAAGTCCGTCCAGAAAAAAGTTCCCCGAAGCCAAAGAGGAACAACAACTCCGCAACCGCACATCATGGGCAAACGCAAGGTCGGAGCGCTCGAAAAGGTCGAGGCTGATCTGTACGGCTCCGCTGCTCCCGTTCTGCAAAGCAATCCGCTAACTTCCCCGCAGTTCAAATTTGCAGTACAAAATTCGTCGCGATCCCAGGTACGTCCCTTCCGGTGCCCGCGCAGACGACTGTGCTGATATGCGCGCAGTTCCTACCAGGATGACTTCGAGAACCAGTACCTGCAATATGAAGTGTTCCGCGACGTCTTCCTCGACACGCCGACGTCGCGCGACGAGAACGGCCTCGTTTCGCTCAAGGACCAGATCGATTTTGTCGCCCACGTCGCCGACTGCTACCCCAAGCTGACGGCGAGCTTTCCGGACGACCTGGTAAAGCTGTTGATGCAGCACCATGCTGAGCTGGAGCCGGATCTGCGGGACAAGATTGTTGGGAGTCTGGTGTTGCTGAAGAACAAGGACGTGATCGACTCGGCGAAGCTGCTCAACACGCTGTTTCCCATCCTCGTTACTACGCCCAGTAAGAACCTCAGAGCGCTTCTCTTCCAGAAGATCCTCTCCGATCTGCGCTCCGCCAATTCCAAGGCTACCAACCACCGTCTCAATCGCACCATTCAGACTGTGCTCTTCAACCTGCTGAGTTCGGATCGTACATCCTCCAAGGGCATATGGGCCGTCAAGCTCACTCGCGAGATGTGGAAGAGGCAGATCTGGACGGATGCGAGGACTGTGGAGATTATGAAGGAGGCCAGCTTGTCGGAAAACGAAAAGGTTGTTGTCGGCGGTGTCCGCTTTTTCTTGGGCGGCGATAAAGAGAGAGAGGAGGCGGCCGAGGACGACAGTGATGAAGGCTCGGATGTCGATATGGGCAAGCTGAAGCACCAAATTGGCATCAACAAGAAAACCCGGAAGAAGGAGAAAGATCTTAAGAAAGCCGCAGCTACGGTTAAGAGGGTAATGACTGCTCTATCTACGTACAGGCATGCGGTTTGCTGACAGCCCTCACAGAAAGAACGCAAGAAGAACGCGCCTCATCCACTCAACTTCTCCGCCCTTCACCTCCTGCACGACCCGCAAGGCTTCGCTGAGGCTTTGTTCTACCGCCACCTCCAGAACCAAAAGTCCAGGCTCAACCTCGAGCAGAAGCTCCTCATCCTCAATCTCGTGTCCCGGCTTGTCGGTCTCCACCAATTGACCGTCATCAGTCTTTACTCCTACTTCCTGAAATTCCTCACCCCCAAGCAACCTTCGGTGACATCATTCCTTGCATCCCTCGCACAAGCCACGCACCCGCTGGTACCCCCGGATGTCCTCGAGCCCCTCATCCAGAAGATAGCCAACGAGTTCGTCTCGGAAGCCGCAGCATCCGAAGTGGCATTCGCAGGACTGAACGCTATCCGTGAGGTCTGCGCTCGGCAACCACTCGCCATGAATGACACGTTGTTGCAAGACTTGGTCATGTACCGCAAGAGCAAAGACAAGGGCGTTATGATGGCAGCCAAGGGCTTGCTCAGCTTGTACCGGGAAGTCGGTGCAGAGATGCTGAAGAAGAGGGACAGAGGCAAGGAGGCAACCATGGGTCTGAAGGCGGGCGAACGCAAGGAGCAAAGATATGGTGAAATGAACGTGGGCGGTGGCATCGAAGGCCTGGAGCTGCTGGAGAAGTGGAAGCAGGAAGAAAGGAGGAAAAAGAGGATCGAAAAGGGTCTGGATCCCGACGGGCCCGACGACGAAGACGAACAAGCCGAAGACGAGGACTGGAAGAACTGGGACGTGTCGGAAGACAGCGACGACGATTCGGAGGGCTGGATCAACGTGGAGCAAGACGGCGAGGACATCAACATCAGCGACAGCGAAGATGAGGATGGCAAGCCGCCAGCGAAGAAGGCAAAGAAGGGGCCAGCAACGGCCGAGGAGCAGGCTGAGGCGGCCAAGACAGCCGAGGATAAGGCGGTGGCTGAAGCGGCAGCGGCCAAGGCGGCCGAGGAGGCGGCCCTCGCGTTTGCAACGACGCGCATCCTTACGCCGGCGGACCTGGCGAAGCTGCAGGAGCTGCGGCTGGAGGCGTCGGTGAAAGCGCACCTACCTGCGCACAGGCGGAAGGCTGCCGCGGCGAACGAGGCGGCGGCACGGCACGCAGATGACCCGTTGACGGCGGAGCAGATTGAAGGCCTAGCCGGGCTGGGGAACAGGAAGACGAAGGAGGAGAAGGTGGCGATGGCTAGGGGTGACAGGGAGGGTGAGAAGCACCAGAGCACGACGGCCAAGCGGAAGGAGAAGAAGGTGGCGCAGGGGAAGAGCACGACGAACAAGGAGAAGGCGCGGCAGAAGAACTTCTTGATGACGTTGGGCAAGGCGAAGGCGAAGGGGAAGAGGAGCTTGACTGATACGAAGAAGATTCTGAAGGGACATCTGGATAGGCAGAAGAGGGGAGGCAGGAGGGGAAATAATAGTTAGTGGGTGTGGTGGGTTTTGGGACTTTGCAAAAAAGGATGGGGTTCGTTTGGGTTTTGTTAGAAAAAAAAGGACTATGGAATGGGATGTGAGATACCCTGGTTTGGTTCTCGACGGTTGGTTCTTCTTCGCTCTGATGTAAGGCCAGTTGCTTGTTTAAACGGCGAATATGCTGAAGAAGGTGAGGACCTAGGCACGGTAGGTATGATGGAGAGGATAAAGTGTTCTCTTTTCTGTACAACGAAGGACGTGTCGTAGTGGCGGATACAAATGAAAAGCGTAGGGAACTTTATGAAGGCCTGATCGACTGGAACGACGCGGGGAGGCCGGAACACACTCTCCGCAGCCGCTTGGGCAGTTGCTCGGACACCAGTAGCCGCTGGCGGGTCAGCGTGGGGAGTGGTTGGTAGTAATGGTGGTGGTGAATGATTGTGCATACAGTGGCCACTGGTGGTTGTCCGGCTTTGATTTAATGCAGGAGCAGCACGGCATATATTTACCTATCTATAAACCAGCCACATGTCATGAGTTTTCTGTAGTGGGATAGCAATGATGTGGAACTGGCTGATATGGCATAGTTGGGAGGTTGATTGGTATTTATTGGGCGGCTTAGCTGTGCTGCTTTCTCTTCTGCCGAGTCTTATTCTTCTGCTTCTGTTATCTCTCCTAATACCGACACTGCCTACTATATCATCCGTTCATCCAAGTTTTTGGAGAAGTCATGGCCAAACAGGATTACATGCACAAGAGTCCCAAATGGCTGCGGTATCGCCAGCTTCGAAAGTAAGCAGTGAATATCGAAGAAATAATGTCTTGGCTGAGAGAAACTGCTCCCGCTATATACGCATGACAAGGAGGAACAGCTGCACATTTTCCACTAGGATCCAGGTCCCTTCCAGGGGAAGTTGGAGCGCTGCTATCATGACAGTCTTACCATACCGTGTCTGTCCGCGGAATGTCCGGCTTCCCAGAATCAAAAGCAAGGCCGGTTCACCGTTATTCATCTGCTATCCGAAGTTTGTCCAGAAAAGCCGCCAGCTGGGGGTTGCTGGTGTACTCCTTTCCTACGTGGACAACGGGGTCATTATCGGGCTCTTCGGAGTTGTGTCGGATATGTGGCTTCACTCGCGTAAGGCTTGGGCGGTTGGTCTGATGCGTGGGAGGATGGGGAATGAGTGTGGTGTGGTAGGGGGTATGGTAATGTTGCGACTTGTCGTGTTGTTGGGTTGTTATATTTTGTAAAATAGGTGTTATTGGTTTTATGAACGTTTGAAGTGATTTGTGAAGGAGTTTCGGTTGCCCTTGGAGGGTTGGTATGTACTGGTTATCTTGAATCGAATGAGCCTTGGAACGATAACAATACAATATCTCGTCTTGGGATATTAATCGAACCAAGTCCATACGGCCTCCTGGAAGCGAAAGAGAGTTGATGAATCTTTGAGGAAGTGCGATATATATGTATACAGCATAAAAAGAAATATCCCAAGTCGATGGTCCGTTTGATGCTCTTTTGTCCGTCGAAAGTTAGCTAATATGTGGATTGGGCCTTGGAACCGGGATGCAGAAGACACGATATTGACACAGATCTCTTGTCCACGGTATACGGTCACTACTGTTACTAGCATGCCCTTGGTACGCGAATCCCCCATTGTATGGCATGGACGAAACAGTGTTCCAGGTACCGGCACCGGATCCCCACGGCGTTGTCGCATTTTCAGTCGATAGAGATGGCGTTCGGACTAGCAGCTCGTCCCAAAGACATCGTCACCAGGCCGAGAGTTCACCGGCATCATCAGCAGCAGCAGCAGCGCATTCGTCATCCTGCAGACACAAGTCAGAAGCATGGCCAAAGCATCGATTCAAAGGGATGAAAGAGAGCAAAAGAAGGACGCAGAGTGGGGATGCAGGTTCCATTTCGGGCTTCGATCGGGGTGAGTCAAGCCGTCCACGGATGGAGGTCACAGAGTCGATGGTGGCTTCTCCGCGATGATGAGTCAAATCGAGGAACCAGCCGCTGCCCCGCCCGATACGGCAGACGCGGGGCGCGATGCGGGCGTGCGGAGAAATTATTCATCAGAGGATTCGATTCGATCGTCTGTGAGATCAAGACGAGAACGACAAGCAGTGCGGTCAAGCTGTCCCACGTTCGCGAGCTGGGTGTCGAGTACAGAGCTTTTCAAGCCGTTCGCAGAACGGAGACGAGACATTGAGGCGGCAGGAGGAGGAATTGGAGGCTTTGGGATAGTGCGGGGATTGATTTAGGCGTTCTCCGATCGACTGGTTGAGCCGGATCATGCGGAGGTTCTAGAGGAGGAAGTTGGGGGCGGTAATGTGGGTTAGGTTGTTCGGGGATGACGAAGCCAAGTCCGGCTCTTTGAATGATCGTCTGGATTGTGGTGTTTGTTGTTGAAGATAGAGTCAATGAGCAATAAGGACCTGCCCCCATGGTACGAACGTCATGCAAGACTCTTATCTCCAATATGGGGACGGATGGAGCCTCGTGTGAGCAGTCAGACGTGATATCACCTGAAGGTACCCTGATGGCCCCGCAGTATTAGCGCGGTCCCGGCGCAGCTCTTCCCCACGAGCCTTGCTCGATGACCTGACACCTTAATGGTCAGCAACAATTCGAGGCGCACCCACGACTATCACCAGCCTCACCAGTATGACATGTCGATACTTTGCCTATAAAGCGGCATGCGGCAGCCTTGGGGGTAGGCACATACCGGACTCCTGACTCCCGTACTCTTGTCTCCCATTTCCCCTCCAAGGACCGCCGATAAGCCCGCTTAGAGCAGCATGTCCGTACAACAATGCACGGTGCAGAGTGGTCCTCTGTCACCTGTCTCGGCCTTCCCGGCCGTACGCTTCCTGTACAATTACCTCGTCGCCTTGGACTCGCTCGACTTTGCATCCCACGCTCCCTCCCGCTTCTTCGCAGACGCCGCAACCTTCTACCACGCCGACAACTCCGTCACCCGCTCCAGCGAAGCAATATGGAACTCGACGAAATCCTCCTTCGCGCAATTCGAGTTTATGTTCCACCAAACGTGCATCACGCGCATCTTCGGGACGGACCTCAAGACTTCCACCCCGGGCCAGATGCTTATTATCTCATTGCAGACGATAATGCTGTGCCGGCTAAAGAACTGGGAGGAGGAGCGAATGGTCCAAGTGCCGAAGACGTTCGACTTCGTCATCGGCCCAGTCGAACCGAGAAGGAGAAGAAACGAGAGGGCGGCCGATGAGCACGCCGAGGGCGCCGCGCAAGGGGACGACGAAGGAGAGGGTGTTGCGAACGAAGACGAAGACGCTCCGCCGGCCGGAGCCGCCCAAGAACAAGACCAATTAGACCAAGAGGACAACGAGAGCGACAGAGGCTGCGAGGGCCTCCACATCTACGAGGCGCGCGAGTGGTGGGATACCGGCGTGCTGGCGAGAGCAATCGCGGAGAAGGAGAAGGAGGACGAGAAGAAGCGCTTCCGCTCGTTCCTGACCACCTGCAATGGCTTCCTGGGCCAGGGCCGCCGAAACTCCTAGCCCACTACTCCGGACCTCTGCTTCAACTTTTGCCAAATCCGGAACAACAAGGAATCCACAACGCGCAGCAAACCGGCACATACGGGGGATGATTGATTAGCCAGCGTCTCTGAACTTAGTGGACTGCAAGCAGCGCGCTCAATCGCGCTCCCAGACGGCAGTCCGAGGACCGCCGCCGTCCGAATGCGCACAAGCAGCAGGCAACAGTCCAGCCCAGAGTCCAGAGTCCAGAGCCCACACCAGCCCCGCGGTATTTACGCCGCCGCCGGCGGGACGTGCACGCGTGCACAGAGCGCCCGCTCTTGCGGCACGCACCGCTCCCGCAGCCTTGGCCTGTCTGGCATTGTCTCACTACGCGGCGCAAAAACCGCGCAACACGGGTTCCCCTTCCTCCTGTATTCTTTTCCTTGCTGGTGCTGGTTGGAGTGGAGGAGGTGATGGTAGTGCTGTTGCTACCGCTGCCGCTACTGCACGGGCCCGCAATTCCCGGGTCTTCACCGAGTGCTTCAGGGCGGCGTGGGTGGGATTGGAACATTGCCTGCTGTAGATAGCTTGCTGGGGTTTGATTGCGCCGAGCTGTGTGGTGCTGAGATGGGTTATGGGTGGCTGGGCGGTGAGGCCGCTAGTCGCTGCTTCGTGCTTCTCGTGGATAAAACTAAGAACAATACGTCTCTTGTTTCCTCGGATACTATCTATGCATGTTGGATTCTTAGGTGTAATTAAGAGTATCAGCATTGGTGACCCGCACCAGGAGTAATTTGATTGTGAGAGGCTGTGTGGGTCTGGTTATCGAGTGATGTCGCAGTGTATGCGTGACTGCGGAAAACTCAAAGCAATCATAATACGATGACTGATCAGTTGATTCTACTACGGATTTCTACTCCCTACAATTCAGTCTAGCTATTTTACCATTCAACCACATAAACTCTACCCATCTCCATCAAACAATCTAACTCCCGCACCCCACCTACCGACCCAGCCCCCAACTCCTTATCCCACGCTCCCCTTCCTCTCCTCCTGTTCCCTCGCCCTCGCCGCCTCCTCACACCTCCTCTGCCGCTCCCTCAACTCATTACAAAAAGCGCTCCGAGCACGAATCTGCTCACCCCAGACCCAAAACCCAAACGGGACAACACAAAGCAGGAGCATAACGCAGCCCAGCAGACTGCAAGCCCAGGGCACGCCCAAGCGCGCATACATCAAGCGGGTCGCAAACGGTAGCGTGGCGCCAAAGACGCTGCGCGTAGTGCCCGTGGCCGCCATGGCCGAGGCAGCGAACACGGCATACGCGTCCGTCAGGTAGTTCAGCAGCGCCATGAAGATCAGCAAGTACCCGATACCGAAGGGTACGCCCGCCAGCACCGGCACTAGCCAGTGGATACTGCGGCGCGCTGTCCAGCCCGCCCAGAACAGCGAGAGCACGATAAACGGCCCTGCGAGGCAGGCCAATGGCAGCCGCTGTGCTTCTTCTCGCTGCGTCCAGGGTGCGTTGCGCTGCCGTGCTCGTGCTAGCATGCTGTCGTAGAGGAGGTAGATTAGGCAGGCGATTATCGAGCCGATGCCGATGGGCAGGAACGTGAGGCCTTCTTCGCCGGCGCTGAAGCCGTAGGTCTCTGTTCGTGCGTTAGGGGTTGTGTTTGCGTGGGACGGGGATGGGATGGGATGTGCCTCACCTCGGTACATTATGGGGTAGGCTTGGAAGAAGATATAAAACACAGTGTAGACAAAAGAAAGATAAACACACGAAAAGAGCACGAGTGGCTCGAAGAGGATCATCCTGATCGGCCGAGTCAGCACTACCGTTACGATGTACCTAGGACCGCGGTTTTCCAGCTCGATTGGCGCAACAATGGATGGGTCGTGTAGCATTTTGCGCAGTCTTTTAGCCCGGCGCTTCAATATGACCGGCGGATAGGTCTCTGGCATCAGGAGTAGGGGAACCCAAGTCACCACGGCTATAATCAGACCTAACCAATACGTCCACCGCCAACTGACGACCGAGATGAAGCCCGAGACTACGGGTCCGAGAAGCGGTCCGAATGTAGTGATGGTCATGAAGACGGCCATTGCGCGGCCGCGGACCACCGGATCGTGATATACGTCCGCACATATTCTGCCCAGCAGAGTCAGCCCAACCATGTTCCGTGGAGATTATCGAAAACCATACACACCCTCCGACCACGCTGACAGCACAGCTGGCTGGAATCCCCACAAACAGCCTGAGCACTACCAAGCTCGCGAATTTGTCAGCGAATGCGCAAGCCAGTGTGAATATCGTGTACAGTGCAAAGGCGGAAAGCATAACGCTCTTCCTGCCATATGCCTCGCTCAATGGGCCGAAGATGAGCGGACCGACGACGTAGCCGACGAGGAAGATGGACGTAGTGAGCACGAGTTGCTCTTGGCTGGGGACATTAAAGTAGGCGGATATCTGGTCGGTGGTGCCGGTTGCAGAGGATGAGGACATGGTGCTGTTCATGACGGTCGTCATGGCCGCAAAAATGGCCCAGACTTTCTTTTTCTGTCGAGAAAAGTACGTGAGCTTGGCGCTTATCGTTTCTGGTTGTGAATAAGATTGAGAGCGAGGACATACCCATGGCCACAGTTTTGGATTCGCCGGATCGTCCTTGGAAAATGATACTAATTTCTGGCTCGGTCGTTGGTTTTCGATGTCTGAGGGGCATAAAGAGCCGCACCCAGGCAAAGAGAGATTGGACTCGTCAAGTTTAACTAGTGCCAGCTGGTCTTCGATATCGAGCGCATCAATTTGAACTTGCTTGTATGGGGCGGGGTAGTATGCTGCTAATCCTGTCAGCCAACTTCGTATCTCACCCACTCATTACCAACAACAGAAAGCACCTGCTTTGGCAAAAGGTATGTATGCCTCATTGAAGAAGTTGCAATTGCTGGATAGCCGTTCCACTCAGCCCTCTCAAGCGTCGTCGACAGGAACATATCCCGGATTGTTCTTAAAGAGCTCCCCATACCACGATCAACGGAAGCGCTGCGCAGTTGCTACAACAAGAGGTATTTTGGATGATGCTGCATACCTTTCACCGGTGTCTCCAACGTCTTTGAACAATATGACGATGCTCGAGAGTCCGTTCCGTCATCGGCGGTGTTTCTTCTGGTAACACGGTCTCCAGCCATCGACATCCGAATGAGTGACCAGGCGCTGCAGCGTACACAGACACAAATTTGGCGAGAAAGGAAAGAAACGCAAACGAGGAGGGAAACCAAGGCATAAGAGAACGTAGAGCAGGAGATATATGTGTTGACATCCGTGGGAATGAGGTACACTATGAATATGTGCTACAACGGTGGCCGCGATGACTGGGTCAACTATCCCCCACTGGGGAAGACAGTGCTTGTATGGAAAACGTTGGGGGCATGGACAGGATAGTGATGACGGCAGTTAACCAGTGCCATGGACGCACGGAGAGAAATGGAGATAAGAAGAACTCAAATCTAGGTAGAAATAAACGGTTTGCATCGCAGTGACAAATTGAAAAGCAGCAGACCTTCGGTTAGATATTGGGAGGCTCGATTTGGGAGAAAATTGCTGGCGTTATTTACGTTTCGAGGTTGATGCTCCTTCCGAATCGCGCGTACAACGCGACCTTGAGCTCCTCCATCTGCTCGCGCACTGACGACAGCTGCTCTTCGACCGACGCCACATCCTGATCGATCTTCTCGGTCGACGTGCTCAGCATCTCAAGCACCTCAGGTTGCGGCAGCGAGACAAACGAGTCGCCAATCTTGTACCTGTTTGGTCACGTGAGCACGAAAGGTTGCCCAGGCAGCCCTGCACCCTGCTAGGGAGTGGAGACGAATTGGAGGAATGACTTACGGGACCTTGTCTTCTTCGTCGACAAGTTCCAACTCGGTGGAAATCTCCTCGAGATCCTCCTTGTCCTTCTGTGAGAGCGCGAGGGGATCAGTACAGGCCCGATCACGGGGCGGAGGGTCGCGAAAAGCGCTCACCTGCTTCGTCTTCAGCTCCTCCTCAAGCACCTTCTCGCGCTGATGCAGCCGGCTGAACTTGTTGATCTTGTCCTGGTCCTCGCGACGGACCTCGACCTCCTCCGTTGAGGCCTCATCCTCACGGGAAAGCTGCGACGAAGGGTGCTCGTTAGCGACGGCCGACCCCTTTGCGACGCGGCAGATGCGGGGCGGAATGGCTTACCATGCGGCGGTTCATCTTGATCGCAGGGCTTGGTGTTGATGGGGATACGTGTTGTCGGGGTTGCAAGGTGAGGCGCGACGTCTCCTTCCTGTGGCTTGGCTGCGTTGAGGCTGGTGAGCTGCAAGATTTGCGCTGGTCGACTCGATGTTTTGCGGGCCTTCACCATCACCGCTTCGCCGTTGAAAAGACAAGATGACAATTACAACGCCATAGCATCAAGGTGTCCGGTTTACCCGATGCCATATGTAAATTTATGCCCGATTCTTTTCTTATCAGAAAACTCGTTCAAAGCTCAAGCCACAACATCCGCCTTCACCTCCTCTCCACACCGCACTGAAGAAGGATGGAGGTGTCGTAAATGACGTCGTATATATTGTCAGTATGGTACCAATAAACTTTAAATAGCAATAAATATATTCTCTATAATTGCGGCCTTGAGAATCTGCGCTATCGTTCGATACTTCTGCGCGACACCAAGCTCTTCTCCAGCGGAATGCGCTGCCAAAATCCACCCAATGCCCACCACTCCTTCCAAGTGGTTTTCAATATCGTGCATGTAAGTTCCCTTTCGACTGCAGTTGCCACCACTTCCGGTGGAAGTGATGAAGTCCACCCAGGCACTTGCGCCGGCCCATGGCCTGAATTGATGATCGGCTTTTTGCCACTCTCCTGCAAGTAGATAAATTCAGTCGCATACAAAGGTCGCCGCATAAAATCCCAATAAAGTCGGCTCCAACTCTGCCGTTCAGCATAGAACTCTATGTCGAATTCCTGAGACGATACGCTACCATGTCGCAACAGTGTCATATAACTTTTGAGCGCGCGGCGGACATCGTTGTGCTCGCAATTGGACCATTGATTTGCCTGCCGCCATCCGGATGAAAAATGATATTGGTGGTTTAGCTGACGAACATTACCGAGATCGCCAAGAAGCCAATGCTCGGGCGTGAGGGCATAAAGGTTGTCGGGCTTGATGTCTTCATGGCAATAGCCACGAGTATGTAGTTTAACAAGAGAAGATACGAGGCGAAGGAACGTCGGACGTAGTTTGGCATCCAGATCTTGGGGCGTCCACGCTATCTCTTGTTTCAGTCGAGGTGCGAGTTTCGAAAGAGTTCCGCCAGCGATGTAGGGTGTTACCATACTCCAAGTATACTGCTGTGAGGAGACCTCTGGAGATGATGAATTTTTGAGAAGAAAATAATCTAGAACCGGCACAAGCCCATTTTTGTAGACATGGAGACCGCCATGGTTATGACCAGTGCCATGTTTCCGTTCGAATCCTGAAAATGAAAGCATCGCAGGTATTTCCGTCGGCCACTGTGTAGTTTGTCTGCCAAAGAAATCAATGTATGTTGACGGCATTGGATTTCGAGAAGGCCCGAAGAAAGTTTTTACAACTACTGTGTTGTTGTTTAAGTTGTCAGTGTAAATTGTAGCATCTCCCTCAAACCCCTTTCCAAGATGGCGCAACAACGTATATCGGTCATCGATCTGAGTCACATCTGCCATTATGGCGAGGTAGCGAAGAGGTTTTTCAGGGAGCAGCTCGCGGTCAGGGAATCCAGAGCTACTAAATATTGTGGGGGCATTTTTCAATCTTAACATAAGAGTCTTCTCTGGTTTCCGTGTCAGATAATACTGAATGCTGTAACCATATATCTTACCTGCGTAATTGATTGCCAACCATAGAAGAAGAGCTATGGCGACACCAATGGAACATTTTGACACTACCCTGAAACCGCGACGGACGAAAGAGACGGTTGATTGAGAGACAGTGACCCTTAGGCTAAGGTGACCAATGCTAAGCCCAACTACCCGAAAGGCAGAAGAGCTATGTCGACTTACCCACTGCAACTGAGGCCTTTTCGGGGAGTCTTCAACATATGGCTCTATGTTTTCGACTGATTTATCGAGAAAAATGGTCTGAGAGGAAGAGAATTTCCGACATTGAGCGGTCGAGAGCTACACTTGCTCCAGAATTGGTTAAATAAATATGCGGCAAGCAAGGGATCACGTTGGATACACGTGGAGGTTTGACAAAGTAGGAGAGCATGCCAGTTATCCGCCTGAAGACTGCTCTTGGCGGTGTTGAGGGAGTCGATAGGCTTCCACGGTAGGAGCGGCAGCACGGCACGGCAACGCCTACAGCAGAAGTAGGAGCAAGGGACAAAATCAGGAAAACGGTCGCGAGGCGGAATGTAAGCTGATTGGAGGGAGTGCATTTTTGAAGCAGCGTATGGTAGCACAACGAGAGGACGAGCGAGAAGTCGGAGAATCGGAGCTGACGGCATGATGACAGACGGGGCGCAGGCAGAGACCGAGATATAGGCAGCCGTTTGCATGTAGCCGAGGATAGAGGGCGGTGGTGATTGGAGGAGGCGAGGGAAGGGAACTGGCGGTATGCTTGTCAGACGGGGGAGCTGCGGGAACGGCCAAAAATAATGCACCTGCTAGCTGCAAGGCGGGGTGAGCCGGTTTCATCATTGGGCTGGCACAGCCTCGCCTTGTGTCCGCGCCGCAGCTGGGTCGACAGCGCACCTTTAACAGCCCAACTCCGCGCTGGAACGGTTGAAAGTGTCTGTCTCTCGCACCCGGCGAGCACAGCGTCATGGCTTGAGGAGGCATCGGGTACTATCGATAAGGCTAAGCTTCAACTTTCCCGTACTTCGGCCCCGCTCTCCTAATGTCCAATACAAACCGCCAGGATTCCGCAATGCCTGCATTCCCGTATAGCCACGCTGACGCTCAGCTGAGCAGACAGGTGATCCGCGTCTGCGCCTTATCAGCAACATGATCCCCAACGTGCGCGGAGACGACTACTACTACTGTCGCTTTCACTCTTGCCGGATCGATTGGACGACTATGGATTGGCAAACCTCCGAATCCACAGAGACCGACTTACCTCCTTCATATTCGGGTCCCCGGGGCCCTCCGAGTGACGCAACTTCAGCACAACCAACTGACAGAGTCGGCGGTTCGGGGCGAGGTCCTCATCCCACCTTCGATTTGCACTGGAGCTGGACCCGGACCCGGATTGTCGAGCTGCCCTCGGTGACCGGATTTCCTTTTTTTCCAGAGCCAACGACGACCACCTACACGACATCTGTTCCGGTGGACCCGGTCCCGGTGACCCAATCAGACGGAGCTGGGTCCAATGCGGCAAACAAGCCAAGCAAAGTCGTACCGCCTGGACCAGAGCGCTCAGATTCCACCAAGCCACCCAGTCAAGGGGATGACACTGATAACCACTCAGGCTTGGGAAAGGGACAGGTTGTAGCTGCCGTGGTGTTACCGCTCGTCGTGACCGCGCTCCTGGTATTGATCATCTTTGTCGTCCTCCGTCGGCGAAAGCAAAAGTCGCAGCCTCATCCCCCTCAAGACGAGATGAAGATGCGTACGGAACCCACCTCATCAACGACGGGTTTGCATCAACCTGTCGGCCCGCAAGTACCGCCTCCTGTGTTTTCTCCATCTTCTCCGCAACCGCCTCCGGTCATTATTTCCGCCATGGCTCCCTCAGGCAACGCGGCATACTTCACCGGTATCGACACGTCCGAAGCACTTTCGGTGCGCAGCGGGCAGCAAGGCCAACAGATGGGCGGCTTCATGATGGACGGAGAGCATCATGAAGAGCCTCCACCGCCATACCGGCCAGCCAGTGTGCCGCCCCTTTCAAGAGACTCCAGCATGCGATCTAGGTTGTCAAGACAGCTCTCTGACAATGTCAATACGCGGCTGGCAGCTCATCATTCCCAAAACGGGGTCAATCCTTTTGCAGATCCGTCGGAAGATGATCATGGATCATTCATGTCAGGGTACACGAACGGACCGTTCGGACGACGACATGATGACCAGCTTTCTATCGTCTCTGATCTCTCCTATCAGGATGAACAACCAACGATGGTACATCAAACCGTATAGATAATCGCTTGAGCGGACTGCTACAAACCCTCTCCTTTCTGCAGCGTGAATAAAAAAACATGTTGGAATGCAGCTTTAGCTCGGCGATGGCGTTCAGGCGTTGGCACGTGCTCTTGGAGAAATGTTTTTGGAGAGTGGGTTGGCTAGAGACGTTTGTCGGGTGCCCGGGCGACTACCGCATTGCAGGGGGTGCTGGAGGGTCTATTTCATAGCTTGAGCATTCTCAGAGGATATTCATACGCACTGCATTCCATTGGCGGGATGCCACGCCAGATCGCCCGTTAGCTCGAAGCGTGGCACTGGGGGGTTCGCATGGCGGTCCAAATTACATGGGAACGTTTTAATCCACGTTGGCCGCGGCTCCTGGCAGCTGTATAAAGGTGGCGTCGGCTAGGAAGTGGACGATGACGCGCCGTGGCCCCCGAGATGCTTTTTGCCGTCACAGAGTCATACTCGTACACGTACACGGCGTGAGAGGAGGCCTTTGTCCAACAGCTTGTGGAATGCAATATCTAGGCGGCGTACCTTGCAGCAAACGAAGTGGTGCCAAGAGGACCGGCCGGCTGCGCAACGCGAGGTGGACTGCATGAGTGCTAGACTGCAGGCGTGGTGGAGCAGCAAAGCAGTTGCTGACGCGCAGGAGAGAAATTGAAGCTGGCGAGACTCGGGATCGGCGGCGCTGAGTCAGGCGGGCGGGAGCCGACGCGGAGCAGGTCTAGAGTAAATTCGTCATTGACGGCAACGAGGCCCAGCTGCCAGCTGCCAGCCCCAAAACAACCCACCCGGCAATGAAGTTGAGCGCATGGCTGGGCTGGCTTGCGTTCTTCTTCTTGCGTGGATCCTGCAGATCGGGCGACATGGGTAGCGAGTTATGTACACCCGGACCATGCTCAGCCCTCATTATGCCTTGCCGTCACGCCGTGCCTTTCTTCATAGCATATCCTATGCCAGGAACAGCATAAGCTCCATGGCGCCATGGCCGTCCTTACGCTGGAGCCATCCGGTGCCTTGCACCTTGCACCGGCCTCCGCCCGCCGCCAATCATGTCTGTCCACCAACCAACACCGTCCTCTCCGCTGAAATGCTTGTTGCCGTACGTCAATAAGTTCCTCCGACTACTCGAGCTTGCTCGTCCGTCAAGCTTCAAGCACTTGCGGCCTCATTGCCCCTGGTTACCGCGCCACTCGGCCCCGGTCTTGGCCTTGCCGACAAGCTCTTGGTGTGTGTTCAAGTTTCTCTATCCAGGGCCTCACGTCCGATTTCCTTCACTCAAGGGCGGTCCTCACTTACCACAAGCTCCGCAGGGACCTTCACGTCACAGGAGGCCTCGTATGCCTCTTTTCCACCGTCGTTGGCTCCACCGTCACTCATACACGGCACAAACCTAACACCATATCCGAGACCTACCTCCCGCAACTCTACAACCACCATCCTCGGTTTATGCACTCGCAGCAGCCTGTTTCAGCGGACAATTGCCTTCAGTGCCATCTTCGGCCTCTAGTTGGCCCATAGTCTCCCGCTTCTGTCGAGGAAGTTCCACGATCGCCCGGCACAGACGAATCTCGCAGTGCGAACCAATACCTCCACGCGTGTGTTGTCAACAAGTAACGCCCTCAAGGTGGGGTCTTGAGGGACAATACGCATTATATGATAGAAGGCGTAGGGCACGTAGGGTGTTTCTGGGCTGCTATGAATCTGGAACAGCAGCACATGTATGGGTATGCGCATCCATGTTTGACCGGGCCAATCTCTGCTCGGTGTCACCACCGCCCACACCACCGAGCCGGCCGCATTTATACATAATCTTTGGTTGGGGCAGCGGGGTATCACCGACACAGCCCATCTGGCTTGCACCTGCATAGACTGCTGCCCGATTTCTACTTCAATCTCATTCTGGTCCTATTACACATAACTAACATGTCGTTTGCTACCAGAATTACCGATTGGCGTCTTCCGAGCCCGAATTCCACCCCGAAATCAGCCACCTTCCCCGATGCATCCTTCCAAACGCCTAGGACAGACTCTTTTTCAAGCCACTTCCTAGATGCTTGGTCAACGCCTCGAGCAAATGTACAACAGACTCCCACGCAGACACCCCTCCAACCACGAACCGTAACTGGGGAAAGACCTGTGAGCTCCTACAGCCACAAAAGCTTGAACCTTGAAGATCCCAATTTCCACATAAATCATCTTTCTCCAAATTCCCATCTACCGTTGCCGCCAGTCGAGCAATCTCGCCGGTTATCGTCTAGCCCAGGGCCACTACCAACAGAGCACGGATCTCGTGATAACAGTCAGGGCTACAGCACTGCGGTTTCATCTCTGTCGAAATCCGCCATGAATTCCTCCCAAATACAAACACCGCCTCCGACGAGGGATGCATCGTCCTCGAGGAAACGAGACTCGAGCGGACTCGGCTTGAGCTTTAATACACCATCTACAATATACTCGAGGAGAGGCTCGGCACCAGTTGGAAATGGGGATAATGATATCGAAAGTGCTTTCACGCAGACTCCAGGTCCGCTTTTTACGAATCTTCAGTTCACCCCGGACATGGCACAATTCTCTAGCACGGGTCCGGCTACAGCACCCATCCCTGCACAAAACAGGCTGTTTTGGGACTCGACTAGCTCTTCGAATGCGACAGGCATTGGTAGCAAACCAGTCCTCGACGATCCGTTTGGATTCACACCAACCCGCAACCAGGGTGCTTTTTCTTGGCAGTTTGTTACACCCTCAACTTCCTGTCACTTGGATTCTTCATCAATGCCTGCGAGTGACAACGCCTGGACCCATACCCCTGCTATGGTAACTACAAGCTCCACTCAGCTGCAAAACGTTACTGGGACCGCTTCTTCGGCAGCAGGCCAAGACTCTTCTCTGGCGTCTACATCTGCAGCTGTGAATCCAAGCATGCTCTTCAGCTTCACTGGCTCCCCGACCAAACAGACTGACTCCTTTCCTCCGGTACAACGTCCACAAGCCACTTCCCTCCATAAGGGACGGTTGCCGTATGAGCACCAAAGACAAGAATCCCAAAGAGAACAGCAGATACGGAGATTCTCGGCGCAACATTCAGTTACAAGCACCAGCTCGTCTGCTGGCTCTATTTTCGGAACATCCAAGCCTGGTCTCCAAAGAAGCAACAGCCACAGCGGCTCCACATGGCGTCCGGGCGCCTTCACCAATTCTCACCAAGGCAGTTCCGCCCCGCTTCCGCGCAAGACGTCACCATCAAAGCGTATGGTGCAGTCGTCCTCACTCGCGTCTATATCCGAGCACGCTTGTTCGCGGCCGAAAACGCGGCTCGTCGTGGACGAGTTTGGAAATGCCAGGACTGAGACAGTGCGAAATCAAACGCAGTCACCGCGCACTATGGACCCCCGCAAGCGTTATTCTGACCTATGGGACGATGGCGATAGTGATGATGATTCTGTTGCCAGCACCTACGTCCCAACTCGAACTGCTTCGATCTCGTCGGCTTCTGCGCTTTCCCGACGCAACTCGAAACAGGGTAGATCTGGAAGCCTGCTTGGTAGATCGCAGTCTGTAAAGCATACCAAGACATCTTTCGGAGGCTTCTCTTTCAGTGAGAGCCTATCAAGGAAGTTGGGGCAGCTTTCTACCGACAACAGCCCGGTAAAGCAGCGTTCCGCTGACGTTTCTAGGAGAAACAGTGTTTCAAGCTTGGGTAGCTCGTTCGGAGGTTTCTTTTGGAACAGGAACGGAAGGTCTAATGTCGTTGACGATATACCGGAAAACGGTAGCGGTGATGCTCAAGACGAGCTGAAAAAGATGGTGGAGAAGACCAAATTAAGACGACAAGGTTGGTGTGGCTGAATGGTTTGAGAGAAAATATCTGACAATTAAACAGAAACCATCCACGCTGCCAACGTCGCCGCTCAAAAGCTTGAGGCCCACAATCAGCGCTGGCGAGCCTCGGCCGACTTCTCGAAAATGACTCCCAGCCAAGGGGCACTGTTTGATCCGTTTGTCGACGCCTCCTTCGCGGACCCAAGTGCAGCCGGCAGTACCGAGCTCCTCAACTCGACATTGACACCTCTAACGGAGCGCAGCAGTGCGTCTAGTGATGCCACGCGCTGCGTGTGCAACTCGGCGGAGTGGGACGGCCAGCTGATGGTGCAGTGCGACGCATGCACCAAATGGCAACATGCCAGCTGTCTGGGACTGCCACTAAAGCCTGAGCTCTTGCCGCCGGTTTATGTATGCCTCTTCTGCACCAGCAGCACGCCGGCAGCCCGAGAGAACCGATCTCGGAGGTCTTTCGGAAGCCATATGCAAGGGCCAGAACTGCTGAGTCCGCTGGGGTACAAGAGCGGTTTCCAGCCTTGAGACTCACATACTACGCGCGGGGTCTGTGGTAGCGTTGCTTCACTCGGACTCGCTCGACTTACCCACCCCCTTTATTGACTTGATAAACGCGTCATCCCGACGCGTTCAGACGACCTACCAAAGCCAACAAGGCAGAATGACCTCGAATATCCCTGTAGACTGTAATAGCATCGAATGGATGAGTGCATAAAGGAGCTGGGGTGTAGGAGAAGGGCGTGTGATACGGATTATTGATTAATTGGGTGGAGAAAGCAGTGGAATGCAGAGGGAATGAAAGCGGTAGCAGTATATATTCTTTTTGCATACCAAATCGCGCAGTCACGTGAGTGGAAGCAAGGATCGCTATCGATTAGCGGGACGATCACCTTACCGAGCGAGCCGCAGCCAATGACGTAGCGTCGCGGGAAGCTTCTCCACGCTTCTGCCAGTTTCCAAGGCAGACTCTCAACGGCCTTCGAGAGGCTGTGAGATCCCTGTAGTAACATCACGATACTCCTGCCAGCTTCCAGCTTGTTCGAGGTTACCTGACGGCTGTACGCATATATTCCCACCGTCCCGCGATAATTTGCTGGTCATCAGACAAAGACAACAACACACCCGAACAACAAACAACTCTCGAGCCTTATTTAATACCTCACGTTATCTTTCTCTTTGCCTAATCATACAACACAATGACTTCAGGCATGAACTTTACAGACCGGGCATCAAAAGCCCTAAACGATGCCCAAGACCTCACCCAACAATACTCGCATTCGCAACTATTACCGTTGCACCTCGCAGTCTCCCTGATCGATCCTCCTCCAGACCTCTCTAAAGACCAGCAAGCAACCTCCCACGACTCACATGCAGGGTCGTCCGCACCACTCTTCAGGCAGGTCGTCGAGCGCGCACACGGCGATCCTCAGCTGCTGGACCGAGCGCTGAAGAAGGCTCTCGTCCGGTTACCTAGCCAGGACCCACCACCCGATCACGTCTCGATTGGGCCATCTTTCTCCAAGGTCCTGAGAGCTGCAAATGAGCTTCAGAAGACGCAGAAGGATAGCTTCATCGCCGTTGACCACCTTATTCAAGCGCTCGCGCAAGATTCGACCATTCAGCGATGCCTCGCCGACGCAAATATCCCCAAGCCCGGCCTGATTGACCAGGCTGTCCAGCAGGTTCGCGGCACGAGGAGGGTAGACTCTAAGACGGCAGACTCGGAGGATGAGAACGAGAACCTGAAGAAGTTTACCATCGACATGACGTCCATGGCAAGGGAAGGCAAGATCGACCCCGTCATCGGTCGTGAAGAGGAGATTAGGAGAGTCATCCGCATCCTCTCCAGACGGACGAAGAACAACCCCGTCCTGATTGGTGAGCCAGGTGTCGGTAAGACTACAGTTGTCGAAGGCCTGGCACTCCGCATAGTCAACGCAGATGTACCGGCCAACCTGGCGGCATGCAAGCTTCTGTCGCTAGATGTTGGTTCTCTGGTTGCCGGTAGCAAGTACCGCGGAGAGTTTGAGGAGAGAATGAAGGGTGTGCTGAAGGAGATCGAAGACGCAAAGGAGATGATCGTTCTCTTCGTCGATGAGATCCATCTGCTCATGGGCGCCGGAGCTTCTGGTGAGGGCGGCATGGACGCAGCCAACCTTCTCAAGCCTATGCTTGCCCGTGGTCAACTGCACTGTATTGGTGCAACGACCCTTGGCGAATACAGGAAATACATTGAAAAGGACCAGGCCTTCGAGCGTCGTTTCCAGCAGGTCTTGGTTAAGGAGCCCTCTATTCCCGAGACCATATCTATCCTGCGTGGTCTCAAGGAGAAGTACGAGACTCATCACGGTGTTACCATCCTCGACGGTGCTATCGTCTCCGCCGCCACCCTTGCCGCGCGGTACCTTACCCAGCGTCGTTTACCCGACTCGGCGGTCGACTTGATCGATGAGGCCGCCGCAGCTGTTCGCGTGACCCGCGAGTCACAGCCCGAGGCACTCGACAACATGGAGCGGAAGCTTCGGCAGCTCCAGATCGAAATCCATGCTCTCGAGCGTGAGAAGGATGAAGCTGCTCAGGCTCGTTTGGCGGAGGCTAAGCAAGAAGCTGCTAATGTCGAAGAGGAACTTAAGCCACTGCGCGAGAAGTACGAGCGCGAAAAAGCTCGCGGCAAGGATATTCAGGAGGCCAAGATCAAGCTCGATCAGCTCAAGGTCAAGCGTGCTGAGGCTGAACGTATCGGTGACCTGTCGACGGCCTCTGACCTTCAGTACTACGCTATTCCGGACGTCGAGCAGCGCATTTCTCAGCTCGAGCACGATAAGGCCAAGGCCGATGCCGAGATGTGGAAATCCGGAGGTGATGAGCAGGCTCTGCTTACTGACGCCGTCGGCCCTGACCAGATCAACGAGATTGTCGCTCGCTGGACCGGTATCCCTGTCACCCGTCTGAAGACGACGGAGAAGGATAAGTTGCTGCAAATGGAGCGCCATCTGGGCCAGCTCGTCATTGGCCAGAAGGAGGCTGTCACTTCTGTCTCCAATGCTATTCGTCTGCAGCGCTCCGGTCTTGCAAATCCGAACCAGCCACCATCATTCCTGTTCTGCGGTCCTTCCGGTACCGGTAAGACGCTTCTCACAAAAGCCCTTGCCGAGTTCTTGTTCGACGACCCGAAGGCCATGATCCGGTTCGATATGTCCGAATACCAGGAGCGTCACTCTCTATCTCGTATGATTGGCGCGCCGCCTGGCTACGTCGGCCATGACGCCGGTGGACAACTGACCGAAGCCCTCCGGCGCCGTCCATTCTCGATCCTGCTCTTTGACGAAGTCGAGAAGGCCGCCAAGGAAGTCCTGACGGTGCTCCTGCAGCTCATGGATGACGGCCGCATCACCGACGGCCAAGGCCGCATTGTCGACGCCAAGAACTGCATCGTCGTCATGACATCGAACCTGGGCGCAGAGCACCTAGCACGGCCGAACGCGCCAGACGGGCGCATCGACCCGACGACCAAGGAGATGGTCATGGCGGCGCTACGCAACTACTTCCTGCCCGAGTTCCTGAACCGCATCAGCAGCATAGTCATCTTCAACCGTCTCACGAAGCGCGAGATCCGCCGCATCGTCGACGTGCGCATGGTCGAGATTCAGAAACGCCTCAGTGCCAACGGGCGCAATGTGCAGATCAACATGACGAACGAGGTGCGCGACTACCTTGGCAGTGCGGGATACTCGCCTGCGTATGGCGCGCGGCCGCTAGCGAGGTTGATTGAGAAGGAGGTGCTGAATCGGATGGCGGTGCTGATTCTGAGGGGCGCCATCCGGGATGGCGAGGCGGCGAATGTGATCCTCGAGAACGGACATATTCAGGTGTTGCCGAACCATGATTCTGAGCCTGAGAGTGAGGGGGAAATGGTTTGGGATGATGATAGTGATGATGCGGTAGAGGAGCTGGGAAGAGATGCGGATGGAGACATGGAGCTCTACGATTAGATGAGGATTGACTTCTCATCTCTTCTTTTCCTTTACTCTATCTCTTTCTTCTTTTGCTTTTGTTTCTTTTGATGTTGCTTTTGCATGTTTCTCCAAAAAGCGTGAGCGAGATGTTTTTCACTCAGTCCCTGGGGGATTTGGGATTTTACGATAGGTTTTACGACTTGCACGACTTAGCGAAATAGTTTTGGGTTTTACCTTTAGAAATGGGTATGGTTCGGTAGCATGGTAGAGATTTAATACATGGGCTGCATGAAATAGAAGTTTTAGCTCTTTGTGTTTTGGTGTTTGTGTTTGCTGTGTGACTGTTTGGAAATGGTGAGCTGACTTGGGAATTAAACAAGTTTTGGGCAGGCAAGCCTTGCCGCCCTAGTTCTATGCTAGGGGCTTGCCTGCCTTAGTTCAATGCTAGTTAGGGTGTTTGAGAGTGCTTGGGATGTACGGACAAGTGGCAAGTATAAAGGCAACGCTAACAATGCTTCACTTCGCACACAAAGCAATCCATCACAGCAAAGCAAGGCACAGCATAAGGGAAAGCAATTGATTTTTGATTGGCTCTGCATGATGGTGCGTCCATTGAGCCATCAGTCATGTATCCGCAAGTCGTATTTGATCGTCATCCATCACCAGCGACAGCTAGCCATCTATCTAGATACGCTGCCGGCGCAGGACCATGGTCGCTCCGCGAAAGTCGTCGTCATGAGAAAAGAAAAGAAAAGAAAAGAAAAGGAAAGAAAAGGAAAGAGAAAGCAGAGTATCAAAGGCGCGGCCGTAAGAGCGCAGTCGTTAAGAGACCAGTCAGTCGTAAGAGAGCAGAGTGGTCAATCAGTTGATCAACATAGCCACAGGAGGGATCATGTTGACACACCCAGATGACTGACCACATTCAAGCCCAAAGCTCGAAGCTCAAAGCTCCAGTCCAGCCTCTCCGACCATCTTGTTATCGCCTTCTGCATCCTTGGAATCCTTGGCCTCGTTGGTCGCATTGTCAGCCACAGTCTTGCTGGACTCCTCGTCGCGCTCATCATCATCGACAGAGCCAGACTCTTCGCCCTGGGCGTCCTTGTCCTCCTTGTCCTCCTTGTCCTCCTTGTCCTCCTTGTCTTTGTCACCATCCTCCATCTTGACATCGCCATCACCGTCAGTGCCGTTGGCGTTCTCCTTCTGACTACCACTGGCACTGGCACTCGCGCTGGCGCTGGCGCTAGCACCATCCTCCTTCTCATCGGCGTCGCTCAGCTCGGAACCAGACTCGTCGTCCTCAGCCTCAGCTTCGGCCTTAGCCTCGGCTTCGGCCTTGATCTTCTTGGCCTCAGCCTCAGCGGCTTCCTCAGCGGTCTTGCGCGCCGCAAGCTCCTTCTTGGTGGGACGGCCTGCCTTCTTCTTCGTAGCAGGCGTGGCCGTGGGCGTCGTGGCGTCTCCAGCAGCGGGAGTGGTGGTAGGCTCCTTCTTAGGCTTGGGCGTGCGCTTTGCCTTGGGAGTGGTTGGGGGAGCAGCGGTAGCGGAGTCGCCCTCCTTGTCGTTCTCGTTACTAGAGGAGGCGGTGGCCTCGCCGTTAGTGTTGGCGGCAGCATCGGCTTCCTTCTTCTCCTTCTTGACCGGCGCCTTTCTGGCACGCTTCTTGGGGGTAGGCGTGGTGGGAGGAGCGGGAGAGTCCTCGCCGTCGGTCTTGGGAGCGTCGGCAGCGCCATCTTCCTTCTTCTCCTTCTTAGCCGGAGTCTTCTTGACGCGCTTCTTGGGGGATTCTTTGTCATCGTCTCCGCCGGCAGTGGCGTTGTCACCATCGGCGCTGGTGCTGGTGTCCGCGTTCGCGTCCTTCTTCTTGGCAGGGGCGCGGGCACGCTTCTTGGGGGTGGCTTCGCCTGCGAGGTTGAGAGTGGCGGAACCTTCGTCGACGGGAGCGAGCTTCTTTTGAATGCGAACAAGGGCGTTGCGCGCAGAGTCTTTGTTGGTAATTGACATGTTCTTTGCCATCTCGACATAGTCGACCTGGTGGGAAGTGTGTCATTGATGGCATGGTGCGTAAGGTGAGGTGAGGTGAGGTGAGGTGAAGTCGGGTGGGATGGATGAGGCGTTGGATCTTAGATGGATGGCTTGAAGTGTTGGAACTTGAGTGGATAGATCGAGACCTTGGATCTTGGATCTTAGATAGCTTGGGGTAGGTGTATGGATAGGAAGGTGGTTCGGAACGAGATAAGTTGACTGTCTTGAATGGGATTGAGACACATACCTCAGGAAGGCTGGAAGCGCGATAAGCGGCAGCGAGGGTCTGAACTTCACGCGGGGTGAGCGTGATGACAGGCTGAGCTTCAGCTTCAGTAGAAACGCCAGCAGCGCCATCAGCGACAGGCTCTTGAGGTTGGGCCATTGTTGTTTTGTTTCGACGTTTTAGTGAAAAGGGAAGGCGTATCGAGGTTGGAAGGGAATACGAGAGAACAAGCTTGTGTGGGTTAGCTATCCAAAGCAAGGTTGTAAGGTGTAGGTCTGAGAGTGGGCGAGGAGACCTTTTTGTGTGCACTCTCCTTTTTGGCGCTAGGAGCGTGTGTGACCAACCGGATACGGCAATTTCGTCACCGTACGAAGTGTGAATATCAATCCTCGGACATCGGGGGAAAGTCACAGCTCGTCCGTTAGTATATTCTCATTCTTTTTCTTTCTCTTTATCGGCAGCAGTTACCACAATTTACATACAAAGCCACCCCTTGTATCTACCTAATGCTTTTGGCGTCATAGTACTGCACTCATCCGTGACACTTGAAATTTCGAGAACCACGTAGGCAGACAGTACATGCGGTCAAAGTCCACCGGCACAAAGCAGATAAACTCTGTATGTCGCTGCTGTGGAAACGTCATGCGTGATGGCTAGATGCCTTGAAATGGGCAAAACATAGAAGCCGAAAGGTTCCTGTCTTTCGGTATGGCGTAAGTGTGCGAGGAGAGACTGGAGGCCGGCGGTTACAAGGAGAAATCAGCAATGCTACCGGCCGCCGCGACAAGGCTCAGGTGTCGCCCGGGCAGCCAAGTGAGGACAAAGGACGGGAAGGAGTCTGTCGTCGCAACCAAAACCTACCTAAAAATGTCAACGTTTCACCACTGACCGCGGTCAAACTTCTATCACCCAGGCCTGACGAGACTGATACTTACTCACCACCAAGTCGAGCGAGACACAGCGATGCGACCCCCGAAGAAGCTAAACTGCCGCGAGTGGTTCCGCCTCCTACACGCTGCCAAAGTTGAAGTTAAAGAGGATACCAGCACCGTGGTCGAGGCTTTACTGCATGATACTGTCAGCGACAGCAAAGGAAAGCGCTACACCTTCCACCCTCCGGCTCTTTCTTACCTAGCTTCACCATTTGCCTCACTCCTTCCGCTGTCACGCTGTCCCACACACTTTTACACGGCGGCGCGTCTCGCCGCACACCCCGGATTCAAGAAGCCCACAATGTGCGCTGCTGCTCGCGCTCGTAGGGGCCTATGTACATCGTACCGTGCCCAGGCGGATGAGCACCTGCACGCGCATCGCAGCAATCTCTGCACGTCTTGCGCTCTCGCGAAGAGAAGTAGGTTTGTTGTCGTTGTCGTGTTTTAGGACCAAGTGCTGCTGCTGCCGACGGACATACAAAAAGGGAAAGAGAAAGTGAGCGACTTGCCTCTTTTCCCCCACGTTCCTCACCTTTCGCCATAACTATATCCCATTCCGCGGAGTGCGGAAATCTGCGGACAACTTGTAGGTGAATCGTTCATCTCGAGAAAGCTACTGGGGATCTGAAACATGAAAGCATGGAAAGTAGACATGAAGTAAACATTATTTAACAGCCCTCTCCTCATGGAAACTTCTCTCTTCAGTACTCATCCTCCTCCGAACTCTTGATCCAAGAGTAATGCCGTGGAAACACGGCGACTTTCATTCCACAAATCGACAAAAGACGCGACTACATTCCCCAATCCTGGTGATCAACGTGCTGTAAACTGTCATCCTGGGAAGATGTTGTCCATCGTTTCTGCTTAGAGGTCAAGCTAGGCATCATTAGCGTGGAATATTCTGAGCCAGTATTGCGACAAAGGTTCGGACGTCCGGGTCGGATGTTTTGCTGTAGATCTCGCTCATTTCTTTCATGAACCCATCACCTGCTACCGATAGCCCCGACGCTGCATAAAAGCGCGAGGCCATGCCTGGATACGAGCTGAGAGAGCTTGGTTCGAGCTAAGCTTTGTGTTAAACCAAAAGGCGGGCCCGCGCATTTGATGCGCAGGTTTGAGTGACCTATATATTCCAACACTTTGGAACATGGCGTTTGACTTGAACGTGCGGCTCGCCAGAAATGATATAGTCGTCTTCTTCCTCGTCGTCGTTGACTAGATCCACTGATGAACTATATCTGTTAATCAGCTCATACGCTGTTAGAAAGGCGTCTACAAGCACTCCCAAGGAAAACTCCTAGGTGTGTTTATTTGCAGGAGAAAAAGCGCCTCAGAAATACTATCTGCAAGAAATGGGAAGAGATCATCATAATACACACCTTGCCCGACGTCTAGACGCGAGTATTCCCCCAAATTTATAGTTTAACTAGGTTTGGTCTGGGAGAAAACACACGGCCAATACGAACTTTCTGATCTCCTTATGGCAAACCATTGCGGTCAGAGGGGAAGATGTTTGTCCTCAAAAGCGCTCGAATTGTAGTTGCGTTGGACACAAGCAGCTCATCTGCGTTGCGAAGAGAAAAATATGAAGTATTGAAGAGCAAATAGCGGTTAAAATCCTCATCATGGAGCGCTGATGTTCTCCACTTCTTCATATGGTGCTTATGCCGCTGTTTAGGCATTGGCTCGAAGGTTTTATTGACCAAGTGAGGGTTTGATGTGTAGCATATTGCCCCCAGCAGCGATATCAGCATCTGCTTCAACCTTGGTGATTACCCTGTCGGGCTTTCTCCTGGCCTGGGAAGAATATTCGATGTTCAATCTACCATCAGAACTGCCTTGTATTGCACAAAGCGCAGCATCTCCGCTGTCGGCACCGACGCAAAGTGCGCTATAGGCATCTCAGGAACCCAACAAGCGGGTTCGTCGAAAACGTCCTCAACAGGGTTGTTGCTCCCGGCTTATTCCAGTCAGATACCAGTTTTCGAGACCTGGAGGTGTGTGTTCTGTTTCCATGAAGATCTAGACCAACCCCTTGTTTCCATGATTAGGCGTTGGCGTGGCAGCAATCGGGCGAACGGTTCGACTCGTCATCGTGATGGCAGCGGCACCAGGCTGTGTCTGGGCAGACTTCCACCATTCCCTCCGTCCCTCGGTCGTCGGCCTGGAGCTTTTTGAGGTTATCGGTCCATATCTCGAACCCCAAAGCTTTTTTCTGCGACTTGCAAAGCCACAATGTGATCTCCTCATTCTTGGAATATATATTCTCCATGCTTGGCTGTGAAGGATTGCTGTCGTGATGCTGCCCGTGCCATCCATCGATGACGCGGAGACCCCGTCATTTGTCGCCGGGTAGCTCACCAACTGAGCTTTTGGAGCTATCCACAACAGCCTGGCAACCCCGCTCAAGACTGTTTCCTTTTGGCGTCGAGGTTGCGTTGTCAACCAAAGTGTTCGGTACGAGAAGGAACAAGTCTCAGCATCCACTCTCAGTTCTATACTTCAAGGCGGCTGAATCCAGGTCCAATTCCATGTTGGGCCTTGAACCGGCATGGCAGTAGCCTACAAAAAGTCTGGTATAAGCAAAAAACATACAACAAAATCGTACCCTCATCAACATCATAGCAGCATACCTCCAATCCTAACCCCAAGTCCAGCCGTAATCTCTCAAATAATCTCCCAAATAAAAATCATTCTTTGCCGCCAACTCTTCGCTCAAAGTCATCCACCATCTTAGCGCCATCCACGACCTCAACGCCCTTTCCGAGCCCCACCATCGTCCCCGTCTCCCACCACTTTTCCTTCTTCTTCCGCTCGGGACTGTTGCCCTCGCTCTCGTCCTCTGTGTCCACGAGGCCGCCAAGCCCGCTGCCCCCAGCGCCCACCACAACCATAACTTGCCCGACCCAGCTCTTGATCTGCTCGACATGTACGCCATTGTCGCCTGCTAGGTCTTCCGTTATGTAGACTATATCTGGCGCAATATGCCGCAGCATATGTATGTGACCGCTAGGCGTGCCGAACGGCATTACCATGTTGGGCTTTTCAACGCGCTCCAAAGCCTGCGCTTTCATAGCGTCGTATACAGCGTTGTCAGCGTCCGTCGCCGTCATGGCAGGCGTGAGGACAGTTGGAGTAGCGGCTGCTTTGGGCGTGGCATTGTCGCTGAATGGCTGCGGGTCGATGTTGAGGAGCTCTTCGCCAGTGGTTTGAGAAGGCGTGCTAATGGCAGAGAAGGAGGAACCGATGCTGCCGACCTGGTCGGAGGAGGAGGATAAGGGCTTAATAGAAGGAGCATATATGAGGATAAAGAGCTTCGTTGTCGCAAAGTTGGTCGGCGGAAGTTGGGACAGCAGCGACTGAGATTGTTAGGCTGAGCTTGGATGTTTGATAGATACAGTAGCAAATGACTTACAGGATGGTCCGTATTATCTAGGCCGTGCTCATCATCGTTAAAGCCCATGAAGTCGGCTGACACAACAACGACTACAGTCTTCCGTTTGACGCCGGCTTTCAGTGCTTGCGAAGGGCCCTTGAGGGAAGCATTAAAAGCATCCGTATGCGCACCCACGGCGGCAGAGCTCTCCGCAGACTGCGCTTCCACCTGCCTGCGCGCAGCCTCCTCGGACCATCTCGAATGATCACCGAAATCGTCTCTATCCTCTTCCCGAATGGCCGACAGCGCGCCGCCGAACGCAGCGCCAGCGGCAGCAACGCCGGCTGCCACGCGCCTGCTCGCACTATCAAAAACTTGCTGCGGGCTCGGCGTGCGGCGAATGGCGCCAGACATGCGCGCCATGAAGCCCCCCTCTTCTTCTCTCACGATGCCAACAGACTCGTCGTCTTCAACTCCTCTATATGTGGGCGGAGGAACCTCCGGTGGCAAGTCACGCTTGTCCTCGCCATAGACAAGATCGGAATCGTTTCCATCGTCGTCGTCGGTGTCTCGGCGTTCGCTCCAGACCCAGGCTGCGATGCCGGCAGTCGCCACGGTGACGGTCAAGGCGAGAGGCACCCAGTAGCCGAGGGTGGTGCGGCGGCGCGAGCTCGGCTGTCGGCGGTCATAGCGGTCGTATGAGAAGGACATGGTCGCTCCTCAACTCACATTATTCTGAAAAGCGTGAGAATGGGGGCCGAGCTGTGGTGATCTCTGGCGGGTGGGTGGCTGGGGTAGAGCTGGGATGCATGGGAGCTAAGCTCTCCGCACCGGCGTCCATGAGCTCGCCAGGCACCGAGCGCTTGCCGATTCGTCACACCCGAACACGACCACTAGGTACCTGGTACCTCTTGCCTCCCTCCTTCTAATACACCTACAAACCCCCCCACCCTTGCACTCAAGTAAGCAAAGAGCCACGTCACCTTCACCTATGCGCTTCTCACAACTCTGTCGCCACTCGACCATCTGCAAGACATTGCGGGCGCCATGTCTCATGCTACTCGAGTACAGTACAACGCCAATGTCATCTCCAGACTTCAGGCGCTGATAACCCGTTAACCGACTGCGTCGATCAGCGCCTTCACGTCGAGTCCTAAATGTCACGAAGGACCCCAAGTCCAGATGGCTCAATTTCGAACCAATCGAACCGCGTTGAAGGCTGCAATGGCGCTTGCTGCACCACCACTGACTGACTCTCAAGAAACATGGAACACACAAAACTCTATTAGAATCTGTGGTAAGCCGACCTCGTTACTTCGCATCCATTTTCCGAATTTGGTTTGCTGTGTTGGTGGCTTTTGGAGGCCACTCTTCTTAATGTTTGCCGCACATTCTGGAATTGAGTCCTTCGGGCCTTGTCCCTTTCACGAACAGACTGACAACACGGTATCCACCGAAGTGGTGTTACTGTGGGAGAACTACAAGCATATAATCCTACGTGCATACGGTGAATCCAAGTCACGAGGTTGAAGTGCTGACGATAGCGGCGTAGATGTCTTCCTAAACTGTGGAATCCGCCGAAGCACTTGAGGCCACCCTGTTGCAAAGCCCTGCGGTAAGAGGCTCTACATGACGAATCCAAAAGAAACTACTTGCACATGTCCAACATCTGTCCAATCTTACGTGCGAGATCCACACAATTGATCGGGGTATGGAAGTCTCCAGGCAAGTATGAGTGGTGGACTCAGAGACACTATTGATCCCTTTCTCAGCCGCTTCAGTTGCACGTGTGCATATGCAAGCAGAATGACGCAGTGACTGCTACACCAACCTTGAACTTTTAACATAAGCGAACTAATTCTGTGCAGCGGGCTGAAGGCTTAGACACCGTAACGCTCCTTTCAGGCAAACGCAAGGCAGAAAACCCTGCAGCCTGAAGGCAACACGAACCAGTCATCAGCCGCCAAGACCTGCAGAATCCCGACCCCGGTCACGGGCTTTCAGCCTCTCCTCCCCCCCACGTCAGCTGTCTAATAATAATCAGCCTCTTGCGGCCGCCTGCTGGATCGGAGCGGCCGCAGCGGCACGGCCCTGGGCAGATCTAGGGTGTAGTTCCGGGGGTGGTGTCCCTTCTTTGCCAATCGCTGGCTTGCGCTCCGTCTGACTGCGTAAGACCCTAGATTCAGCTGACAGTGGCTCATCGCTTCCGCGAATATTTGCAGAACGCGGGGGGTAGGCGCCACAATGGATGGTGTGCAGGCGGCGGTCAGCCTTCTTGTGGGGCGGCCTCCTTGGTCGACGAGTTATAAGGTCGCGGTTGCCGCGTGCATAAGAGGCTACAAAAAACCAACCACTTGACACTGAGGCTTGGGAACCACGATTAAGTATACGAATATCTCTGATCTCTATGACACCAAAGATGGGAGAACAGATCTTGAGACGACCGAAGAAGCTTATTGTATGCTGCGATGGTAAGACTCCTGTCTTTTGTTTTTGAGGATCATCACGTTTCTTGGAATAGTTCAGTTGGAGAGCTGTTCCAACCACATTTGTCCCATAAGGGCATAAAGACTAACATCGTAAAGGCACCTGGATGGATAGTGACAATGGCCTGAACAACGAAGGCACTTGGTTCCACCCGAGCTGGGAGCTCCAAACTCCCAGCAACGTGACGCGCATCGGACGCGCCATCCTGGCCGAAGACTCGCAGCACCACCCGCAGGTAGTATATTATCAAGCGGGAGTGGGTACGGGCTTCAGCTGGACTGAGCAGATTGTCGGCGGCGGCACTGGTGAAGGGCTCGCGGAGAACATCCGCGAAGCGTACAGTTTCCTCGCCAACAACTACTCGGAAGGCGACTCTATCTTCCTTATTGGTTTCTCGAGAGGCGCGTTCACGGCACGCAGCATCTCGGGCCTTATCGGCGGTGTGGGCTTATTGGAGAAGCATGCACTGCCTGTATTTTATGACGTCTTTAAGGATTGGGAGCATACTGGCGCGAAGGACTACCACATAAGGGTCAAGAAAGACTATCCGAGGTTCAGTATTAAAGCTTCTGCAGACGACCCGCAGGAGTACTTGAAGCAGTACAAGGATGAGCTTAAGAAGGTGAGTAGCCCCGACTGGTTCTTCCTTACAATGACTGACATGTCTCCAGCATGGCCTAACTCGCGAAGTGGAAATTACCGCTGTAGGTGTTTGGGACACCGTAGGTACGTAATGTATTCCATTGCGTACACTAGCTTTGACTGACATTTTCAACAGGTGCCCTCGGTATACCTACACCCGAGATCCTGCAGAAGATTGGTTTCCCGGCCTTTTTACATGAATACCGCTTTTTCGACACTGACATTGACAACCACATCCTGCACGCCTTCCAAGCACTCGCGCTCGACGAAAAGCGCTCAAGTTACAGCCCTGCAATTTGGGAGCGGCCAACAGGCTGCAACACGAAGCTGAAGCAGGTGTGGTTCCCGGGCGTTCACTCGAACATCGGGGGCTCCTATGCGGACTCGGGGCTCGCGGACATTACCCTAGCGTGGATGATGAGCCAGCTAGAGCCGTGGCTCGAGTTCGACGAGCAGTACCTGGTGGAGCAATGGACGTTGAACAGCGAGTACCACCAGGAGGAGCGGCACAAGAGCCTGTACCATCCGCACAGAATACACCCGGAACACACGCCGCTGCTACACTCGCGGCATAACACGCTGCAGGTGACGAGCGGGGACATTGTTGCCGCGCCGAAAGGAGACAAGTACAGCAACGACAATGACATGTCGCTGTTCCCAGACGCGTCCTCTTCCGACGAAGAAGCAAACGTCCATCTCGCGGAGTCTGTGGGCCCCACGGCTCCGTCGTCACACCCAGGCTGGGCGCTCACCAAGATCTACAACAGCAACAAGTTCCCCACGAGCCTGGGGGGCACGACTCCCCGTACGCCGGGCCGCTACACCAAGACGGACTACTACTCGAACAAGAGGCTCACGGAGCCGATGCGCGAGACGGGAGAGCACGTGCACGCGAGTGTGCGGGTGCGCAAGGATGCCCTTGACAAGAAGTACGATCCAGCGGGGATGCGGGGGTGGGTGTGGGAAGAGGACGCGGTCACGCGCGGGCGCTGGGTGTATCGGGGCGAGGATGTGAAGTGGCAGGGGAAGAAGCTGCCGGAGGATGAGCTGGGAAGGCTGGAGATTAAGCTGTTGAAGTTGGATCAGAGAATGAGGGCTAGAGTGGCGAGCGAGGAGTTGAGGATGATGAAGAGGGCGACGTTGGCGAAGGTGGAGGGGGGAAAGAAGAGCCGTAAGAAAGAGGGGGGTAGGACTAAGACGTTTTAGGGGATTTTGGTTTGGGTTGGTGGGTATGGCGTTGGTGGTTCTTTTGTGTTGCATTACCCCGGACGTTGGTTAGGCGCTTGGGAGGGTTAACCTATAGTAGGAGTAGTACATAGTCCTTTGTATAGCAGTAGTAATACGCGCAGTATAGTATATATAAACGGGAGACAAACTCCACTCCATTGTGATTTTCTTTTCTCATAACATACAAACATATGAACATCTCCTTCTTTCCAGTCCTCTCTCATCCCTCGCAGCCCACTAGAACAAATGATTCACGAGATCCGAGCCTAAGCAGACGCACACGCATCAGCAGCAGCATGACGACGCAAACACAAGCGCACTCACCGGCCGTAGCCCCCGCGCCATGAGGTCGCGGGCCCATTCAATGAATGCCCCAGGCGTCAGCCAGCTCGTCAGTAACAAACAACACGCCGTGCACGCAAACTAGGGGAAGGAAAGGACTCGCCTTGGGGTGCGCCGGGTGCGCTGGCTGCGCGCTGATGGATTGGTATTGCGGTGGGGAGAGGATGGCGGCGTCGCGGATGGTGTTGAGGGAGCGGGCGACTTGGGCGGGGTCGGGGGCGGGCTTGGACATTTTTGCTTGTGTTTGTTTGTGTATAGAGTGGGTATGTAGGGTACTAATGATACTGTATCAATTGAGGTAGGTAACCTTAGGTGGTCGAGCGCAGGGCTAACTAGGTACTGACGTCAGGAAAAAAAGGACGCCGTTCTCAACACCACACCACCACCACGGCCTTAAACAAGCTCTTCCACACCACGAGACCAGAGAGCTCAGCCCAGCAGCCCAACAGCACCACGTGGGCCCCACGCGCTTCACTTTTTCTTCCTAAAATCTGCGGCGGTGAACGCGCCCAGCGCGGGCCCAATAGCCCAACAACACATCATGGCCCGAGCTCACGATCTACAAAACCCGTCCATCATGACGCGCCTGGAGACGCGACATTTTCTCTCCCACAACAACAATAACAACAGAAGCTTTTACAACCGAATCACAATGGCCACGGCCCACGCCCTCGGCCTCGGCCCCGGCGCTGCCGGCGCTGCTTACCGCGCAACGCAGCTCTTCAGTCTGAGCGCCCTGGCGCTCCTCGCGGGCTCAACGGCCTGGTCCACATTGGCGGTGCTGCCGTCGCTGGTGGTCGCGCCCATGTCGTCGCACGCCAAGCTGTCGGCGCTCAAGGGCATCGTGCTGCTCTCCAATGCGGCGCTGCCGCCCACGCTGCTCGGCACCATCGCCAGTCTGGCATTTTTGGCCCTGCGCGGCTCCCTTGCTCATCGTAGCAACCACCTCATTGCGCTGGGTGCGGCGGCTGCCGCGCTCGCGCTCCAGATTCCCCTTCGTCCCCGCCTCCGTGCCATTGTTGAGATTGTGGACCGTGGGCAGAAGAGGAAGGATGATGGTCGCGACGCCAATTGGCGCATCAAGGAGGTGTGGCGATATGGGGTGGTGCGCATGGTGCTTTGCGCCGTCGCGTTTGGGGTCGAAGCATGGATGCTGATGCCCCAGGAGGGGAGGATATGAGACGGGGGGCGGCTTTTAGTCGTCTCTGTCTGGGAAGCGGGGAGGAGAGTATCAACCTCATGGTGTTGGTAAGTTTCTTCAGTATCACCCCACAGCCCAGCCATTGACTGACCCAATGCCTCACCAGACCACTCTCATGACCTCCCTGCCTACCGACCATACCTCCACCGCCACCACCACCACCACGGCAACCCGCACCCTCATTCCGGTGCTCCTCCCACCCGCGCATTTGCGCACCTTTTTAACGCCCGTTTACGACGAAATGATTTATGACCAAAACCAAAACACCAACCACCCCATACCACACACACTCGTACCACCTCAACAACCCCAAGAACAAACTCGGGTTCTCCATCTCTCCCAGGCAGCCGCAGCCACAGCCACGCCCCTCAGCAGCAGGCGTGGCTAAGCGCCAAAATTACAAACCCACATCACAGCGCGCAAAACAGTGAGTGCTGCTTGGCTAGGCGCCTAACAACAAACCACCACCATCCGACATACAACAACAAACAAACATCAAACTAAATTACTCTGCTATCCATTTCCTTGCGTTTTTCATAACCTCTACATTATCACACTCTCACACACAAACACACACAAACACACAAACACCTACCGATTGATCGCGTTCACTTTTTTTTCTTTTGCTATGTACATATTACTTGCATACGCTGCTGCTGTACATATGTGTGGTATACCATTGTACATACTCTGGAGTAGGGAGAGGAGAGAGGAGAGAGGCGAGAGGCGAGATGCAATATCATCTATGCATTTCGATTGCGTTGCTGGCTGGTTGAGTGATTGTGCTTGTGAGTGATGTTTGGGTGTGCCATCAAACTGCCATGGCGGCGAGTGATAGTATAAAGTGCAGTGATTTGCCTAATCCACCACAACGCGTCTCATAGGAGTAACACATCATCTACCTGTTAGAGTAACGAGTGATGCCTGCGCTCATAGCAGCAGTGGCGGCGGCGGCGGCGGCGGCGGTGGTGCAGGTCACAGCGAGCACACGCGCAAACAGAACCGAGCACACTTGAGCGGTTGTCGTAAAAATATTCATACGCAGATTACCTATTATCAACCAACTACAACAACATCTACCCAAACCACCACCACAATGAACACGGCCGCTACAGGGCATGGAATGGCCTCGCGCTACCATGCCCACCGCACCGCACACAAGCACGCAGTTTCCGTCTTCTAGAAACGCATGCGCGTGTATACATGCGTGCAGCAAGCGGCCTTGCACACCTCCTCCACCCACAGTATCCCCAACCCTTCCCACCCCAGCAGCAGTGCACACAACACGCAGACCCAAACCTAAAACCCTTCGCAACGTCAGTCAGCGCGCAAATTCCCAAGAACAGCAAGATAAAAAGCAATGAATGCGTGTTTTAAAGACGAAGCTTTGTTTAGGTGTGTTTCTTCTCAGATAGGAGCGAAAGATGGAATGGTTGTTTCCCCAGGTATTCTGGTCGGTTGAACTATGCATTGTGGTTTGGATCATCAGGGAAGAAGGCGAGCCTGCGAGCACTTGCAAGCGAGAGCAGTGCAGGCACCGTGGGTAGGTTGTTGTTATTGTTGTGTGGAAAGAGGAAATGTGCAAGGCTTACCTCGTGCTGGGGTGCCGCTGTCGCCGAGGCGGGGGTGCGGCGGCAGCGGTGGTGGTGATGGGGGAGTGGTTGTGGTGGTGGTGGAGCGAAGGAAGGATGGAAGAGGTTTTGTGGTTTGTGGTGGGCGTGGCGGGAGAACTGCGGGCAAGTGGTCGAGGGCGCTAGGCTGGATGGGGTAGGTGGATGTGCTGTGTTGCTGTGGTGGGGGACCGTGGTGCGTGATGGGGCACCGGCTGGAGAGGTTAAGGAGGTTGCTATAGGAGGTGATAGTGTACAAGTACGATGGTGATGGGTTGATGCTATAGGCATGGTGATGGGGGTTTATGGCTTCGCTGGCTGGTTAGTTATACTCTTGTATAAAGTTAGGCCCTCTAAACTGACTGACTCGATCGATAGCCGTTGGTTATTGCGCCACTATGCAGATACATGGATAGGCATCCGATGAATGCAATTATACCCTTATTAAAAACCCCTCCACGAAGCACTGATGCCCATCCGCCCACACAGAGCACAACTCCCTCCCGCAACTCCACGAGCACATCCGCACCCACCTCTTACAGCACACACACCCCTTCACACCACCACACCCACGCCCACCAATCATCCTCTCCCGTCTCTCCATTTGCGCCCACGAATCAGCAGCCCAGCACTGTAGCACAGCCCCCAGCCCACGCGCTGACGTCACCGCGCGCGTGAGGTGTCCGTCGCCCTCGCGGGGGCTCGGGTGGTCAGCACCTACCTCGCATCAAAAGCAGGCTCCAGAATAATTGATACCGGGATACGCGTACACGTACCTAGCTACACGTATAAGAGCCCGATCCGCGTCCACTCTTGCTACTTTAATCACTCTACCAACTACCTCCTTCCACCACCACCACCACCACAACAACAAACAACCACAAACAAACTCTCCACCTCCAAACCCACCAACAAAACCAAGCCAAAGCACTACTCCCACCTACCAAAAATGGCCATCACAAACTCTAACGAATCCGGCCTCACGTCCGGCGTGCGCTTCGTGACCTCCACAGTCGGCAACACGGTCGGCGGCCTGACCAACACCGTCGGCGGGGTCGTCGGGGCCGCCGGCCGCGGCGTCGGCCAGACAATCGAGGGCGCGACGGGCTCCGCGGGCCGTGGCGTCGGAAAGGGCGTTGCCGACGTGGCGACGGGCGTCGAGGACGGGGCGGCGCGCGTCGCGCGCGGCGTCAAGAATGCTGGCGAGGGGAAGTGAGTGATGATTGAGAGAGCGGACGGAATGAGAGAGGAATAGGGAAAGAGTTTTTTCTGGGGGGAATGCCCCGGGGAGTATATTTTCGGCGAAAAGATGGCGCAGAATGGTTGTGAGGAATGTTAAGGCTTAGTTATTACTCGGATATCGTTAAATGATACCACTCGTCGCGCGAGAGGCCGAAAGGTGCGAATTAGAAAGAAGAGACCCCAAACCAACCCAAATCCCAAAAGATGCAAATGCCACCGCGAATGCGTATGCGAATGCGAATCCACCACCCCTCCCCTCTCCTCTCCTTCAACCTATGCCCAAACCAGCTTCTTTAACGAATACCCAATTTGCTCCAAATACCCCGTGCTCTTCTTCGCCTCGGCCAGACTAATTATCTCCCTCTCCTCAATCGCCACCAGCGGATCCGCCTCTGCATCCTCTCCCCCCTCGCTCACACTCGCCCTCTTCTTCTGTATCCCCTTCTTTTGCCCCCGCACCTCCGCAGCCGCGCGCTGTACGTCTGCGCAAATCATGCTCACAAGCTCGCGCTCACTGGGCGGCTCGCTGGGCTGTTCGCCGTCGTCCGGTCCGCTGGCGGTCGCGAAGCTCGACTTGGGCGGCAGCGCCTTGAAGGCTAGGTAGCGGCGCACCGGTGCCGACTGGGAACCTGTTTTCTCTTTCTCCTTCTCCGACGTCGTGCCCTTGCCCTCAGTCTCGGCTTTGGCCTTCGACGCCTCCGTCACACCCTCCGCAATGCTTTCGCGTTGAGCCCCGTCGGAGTCGTCTTTGTTATTCTCGGTCTCAGAATTCGTTTTGCCCTCGGCTTGTGCGCGGGCCTGGGCTTCGGATTCGCTCTTCTCGTTGGCCAGACTCCGGGTGTTGATGCGGACGGCGTCGGATTGCTGGATGTACTCGACGACGAAGCCCACGTTCTTCGTCTCGTCCATGTGCCTGGGCGCGAGCGTGCTGGTGATGTACGTGCCCTTGGACAGCTTCGTGATGTTCTCGAGCTCGATCTTCTCAAACTCGCGCACCTTTTCAGTGCCCCAATCGAAGCGGCAGAAGTACAGTGCCTTCTCCGTCAACAGCAGCACGCATTCTTCAAACGGCAGTACGCGCAACGTGTTGCCCTTAGCAGGACATGACAGCGTCCAGCCGTGGATGAAGTCTTCATCGGCGTCCTCAATCACGAGCTCGGAGCAGCGAGAAATGGCCATCTCTCGCACCTTGCGCAGATCGATGGCGTAGTCCTGAGCCTTCATGTCATCTTCGAAATCATCAAAGATGGACTCTGTCGCCCGTCCAAGCAAGAAGTCAATGACAGCCTGCGCAAAGTAGTCGTTAACGATGTTGTTGTAGTAGCGCGACAGCGTAAGTCCAAAGTCCGTGAGCGCGCCCGTGATGTTGCGCTTCCGAGTCCGCGTAAAGTCTCCCTTCAGCGCGGAGGTGCCGGCGTACTGTTTGGAAATTGCATCTCCGTTGTCTGCCCACAGTGTGTTGAACCAGGAAGTCTTGGGGTCGTTCTGAAGATCGATGCCAATATGCTGTTCTGCGAGCTGCTGCTCAAGAGCGTTGCGGCCACATGCAGACTGGACAACGTTTGTGCGGTCTAAGCAGTCCATGCAATTGGTACGGAGTACACCGGATTGTGTGCCAGTCAACAGGCCGTGCTCCTCAGCGGTCCAACCGAAAGAAGTCATGTTTGGAGCCAACGCATCCATGAGCATGGAAACATTCTCGAACTTCATTCCACGGCAGACATTGTGAAAATCAAACCATTCGAATCCAAGCCCCTTTCCCTTGCCATCTATACCACCACGCTCATTCAGCAAGCTAGCAGTGAACTCGTATTCTTCACCGATCTTTGCCTCGTTGCCATGTTTGTCAACAAGCGAGGCCACCTGGACCCCTCCGTACTTGTTTGCCAGCTTGGAAAAATGGAGCTTGAAAGCAGCATAGTTCGCCTCAGGGGAACCGTGGAATTGGGGAAGGGGCTTTAGACTGTACGGAGACTGCGAGAAAAATATCGGTATGGAGCCTCTGAATTGGACAAACGAATAGATTTTGCCGCTGTTGGAATCAAATGATTGCGGCGACAGGATCTGTTCAGTTTCCACGCTATTGGCAACGTTCCCGTCCTCGTCAACACCACGTCGAAGGTAGCGCAAGCCTGCCCTCTTCACGGAACGTCGCGATATTAAGGTAATCAAGAAATCCTTCTTTCTCGAGCCTTGCACGGACAGATTAGTGACTTGAGGGGAGGCCAATCCAGACTTGGTCGGCGAGGACGGTGAGCCTGGTCTCCTCGCTTCATCTTGTGCGGCGACGACTTCTCGCGGATCTGAGGCTGATGCTGCAACAGTTGCCTCAGAGCTCGTCGCGGACACATCGACAGAGAAGGCACGCTGGCCGACAAACCCTTGGATTAGTGGCAGCACGAAATTATGTTGACCAGCCTCAATGAATGAAGCGGCAATCCGCTGGTTCCAGAAAAATACGGGATCAAAGAGTCTGTACAGCGGAAGGGATGTAGAGGCGCCATTTTGGGTGGCAAGACTCCTCGACAAATCATACTCGTATGAGAAGAAGAAGCTCTTGCTACTGAAGTATAGCTTCGTGGTCTTGAGGATTTTCGGAAGCAACGTGCTGGTTGTGTTTCCGGAGGGCATCGGCAAGTTACTCTCCAGTTCCTGTGTTGGTTTCACGGCAGCGTCTTTCCTCTCCTCCGAAGGGGACATAGACTGAGGCTCGGCCTCTGCGTCATCCTGTGGCGCCTTTGGTGCATCCGTCTTTGGTATCTCGGAATTGGGTGTCTCAGTCTTGAGCTTCTGCTTCTGCGGAAGATCTTCGTCGCTGCTCATTCCTTGCATGCGCCTGTGCTCTGCACTCCAGCCTTTCTTCGAGAACCATTTCTGTGCGAACCTCCCATAAACTCCCTTCCGGCCTATCACATCCTGGGCGACACTTGTTCTCTTGCGGGACGTAGCAGCCGTGGCGTCCTTCTCAGCCTCTGACGGCGGGGTGGTTGGTAGAGACTCGTCGACCGTAATGTGATCAGAGGAGCTGTCAGAGTCGTCGTCTGAAGACTCGTCATCGTCATCACTGTCATGGTTCCCTTTGCGCCGCTTCAGGCTCTCCTTGGCCTGAATGATGGCCCGATTCGCTTCTTCCTGGGACGCGAGGGGTATGAGAGTAACGTCGGTGATGGTGTATATGGGCTTGCCGCGTATTTGCGCAACGAGTTCGCGTTCGGATATGGAAACGAGGAAGTTTGCTTTGGCAACCTGCAGTAGGCCTGTGTGCCAGTGTCGCGGTCAGTGCAAGTCCGACAACGGAGAAGAGCGCGTCGCGTCAGGGGAAAGGCGATACCAACTATTCCATGAGCCTCCAGCGACACGGGCGTGGTGTCCTCTTCGCGCCTGTCCTTGAGCAGCGGCGCGATTTTGCCCGTATAGTCGATCTTTATAGCTTGCTGCGTCGTGGGCGGGTGGTTGCGCGGAGGTGCGGGCTGGAGGATCAGGCCGTCCGCAGCGGCGAAGATCAGAAGCTTGCGCACCAAGCCCGGCATCTTGACCGTATGTGGGTGACTTCAAACGAAGGGCTCAAGTATCATGGCAGGGAAGACATGCATGTGCCGGGGAGCTTTGCCTAGGGCGCCATCATGGGGTTCGGCGGGAAATAACCATTCATGACGTAGGCGGTTTCAGCTGGCGCTCCTCAGGCGACCATCGTGTCCGTTGGCTGATGATCTGGTCAACAACACGCAAGTCTGGCCATTTTATCCCAACGCTTCTCTTGTGATGCTGTCCTGGCCCTGCGCGCGGCTGACGAGCCTTCCAATCATCAAGCGATCCGCTTTCGCTTTCCTCCGCTCTCGCCTATCTGCTGCATACCGCCTCGACCTAGTGCATACACGTATGGCACCTTTAAACACCAGTCACGAGCTTGGACTGGCACTAGAAGAAAACGCACACCGTCTTGAGCTCCTCTCAAATAATCGGGAGACGCGGAAAATTACCTACTGCACAGCAGTTGCTTCAGGTGTTATATCACGACACTTTTAGGAGACACTCCTGGCCGGCGAATGACCCGAGCGCAGCTACAACATCATGCGAACTACCAAGACATTTAAAAGTGCAATCGCGGCTACCCTGACAGCAGCACACAGTATACAGCGGCTCACCTGCGGCATCACTCGTTTCGTGTCACATGAAGATTCTTGTCAGCCATTGAACGCAGATGTGTTTACAAAACGCAGGGACTTCTCCTTTGTACATGCGTAATCCGAAGCTGCGTACACAATGTACATCGTAAAGCCATCAGTGGTGTCGAACCAAAAAATAAGTAACCATCTCTCATACTCCCCTCATTGTCCACATACTGTACCTCCTATTTTTACTCATCTCTGCCTTCCTCTCTTCTCTCCGCCAACCAAGCCCCCTCCCCCACCTTTGCCCCTTGCAGGGGTGCCATACCATACCATCCAATAGCGATCATGCCCACAAAAGCCGAGACACAACTGAAAACGAGTGCAACAATGCCGCGTGGCGTGAAGCCCACGGGCAGCGGCGCTGGGGCCTTATTCTCGCCGGACAGGTCGAATAGATCCTTCGTATTCCCGGCGGCATTGCCCTTGGTCGGCGTATGGGAGGCATTGCAGACGGCCCAGTGGTCGTCGGGGATGATGGAGCGGCCGGAAGAGAACTGCTCCTGGATAGCGAGAGGGGCCTCGATCATCGTGGCGATGAGGCCGGACGCGACGTGCCATTCAATGTGGCCTGTAAATATGGGCGTCAGCTGTTGCGTCTGCTGAACTATGTTTTTGGACGGGATGAGCGGATCCAGTAATCACTTACAATGGAAGAACCAGACACCGGGATTGTCAGCCCGGAAGCGCAGTACAACGTTGCCATTCGGACGTACGAGGATCGTATCGCGACGCATTGGTGTCTGAGGCATGGTTACGTTGTTCGCGTACAGACCTGCGTTGTCCTCGGAACGTGATGCGACCTGGAATTCATGGCCGTGCAAGTGGAAGGGGTGCTTGCCGGCATCGTTGTTATTAATAACGATCTCGACCACCTCGTTCTTGTTAAGTATGAAACTGTTCGTGCTGCTGCCGTAGATAGATACGTTGGTAGCTGCGCTCCCTGAGGAAAGAACGCTGTACAGTGTGGGAACCTTAGGGGCAACATAGGTTATGTCGTTGAAGAAAGCGCTATGCGGAGTAAATATATAGACAATATGTTGTAGTGGGAATTGACTTACTAGTTAAATCCATCGCCGAGGTTGTCCATTTTCAGATCAAGTGTAATCTGATGATCGACGTCTCTGAGTAGGTCTTTGCCGTCTTGCGGCACGAGTGTGAAGTCATCAAAAGGATCGTAAGCGTCAACGAGCACAGCTGGTGCCCTGTCTGCAGTGGCATCGTAGACGAGCCAGCCTGTTACGTTATTGTTGAGTATGGACGGAACGGTATCGAAAAGATCCTTCACTGTGTTAACGTCCGATGGTATAGATAAGTCAAGTATGCTCTACCTCATCCATGCTCCCCACTATGGCAAAGTTTGAGCTCGTGTCGTTCTTCGCAGTAATCAAGACGCTGTATCGTTGTGCAGCAGTCATGTAAATTCGGTCTGCTTCAGCCGGCTCGGTGTAGACGCCATCAACCTCGATTATGCTCATGGTATGGCCCTCGAACCAAACATATTGTGCGGCGAAAGCGCCCATGTTGACGAGGCGGAACATGTAGGTCTTACCGGGCGTCATTGAGACGGTAAGGTTCTGTGTGTCATTAATCAACGCCGAATTTGGCACAGGCTCAGCGCCAGTGGGATTAGTGACACTAAGGAATTGCTTCATCAAGACTGGTATTCTTTCGTGGTACCAATCGGAAAAGGTAAGCACAATCTCCTCGTCATATTGGTCTTTGTATGGAGATTCGGAGTCTCTCACTATGAGTGGGCCTCGTAAACCATCGGGATACTGAGCTTTGACATGGGAATGGTACCTGTACTTAGATTGAGTATGCACTCATCAACCCATGATAAGATGCCTTACCAGTAAGTTCCTGATTGATTGACCTACTGTAGCGTTAGCATTGTTCTGGGATAAATTCTCTTTTGTAGCCGATGGCGAACTACACTAATCTTTTGGTGCTTTCTCAAACAAATTCAAACCTGGTTACAACGTATGAGTTGGCCAGGAAACTCCTACCCTTAAAAAAGCGTTCATCGGCATACCTAGGGTTTGCGTGACCTTTCATACATTTACCATTGTAACGAGAGAGACAGCTTAAACAGTCAACGCTAATCTTAATAGCCGGAAGGTGCTGACCAGCCCAAACGTTGTAACCAGTCTGGACTTTTTGTAAGAGAGGACTTCATAGAGGGAATGACTTCGCCTTCCAAAGGAAAGTTATATTTCCCAGCTATGAAGCCTCTCTGTTCTGACAGTGAAAGGAATCAAGCAGCAAGAGACCAGACAGGGTTGCGAGTTCATGACAAACGTACCGTAAAGTTGTATGTGAAGTTGTTGCCAGGAAGGACTGCGCATTGCGTAACACCCACAACGCCATCCATGTGATTCGTCTCGTTCATGAAAAGCCCATGGAAATGCAGACTTGTGCTTTCATTCCCAAGCTGATTGTTAAGATTCACAATAACGCGGTCTCCCTTGTCGGCAACAATGGCAGGAATAGGCCATTGGTGATTAATCCCCATCACAGATCGCTCAAAGAGGCCATCAGGATTCGCGCGGACCCAAGTAACATTGAAGTCGTAAGTGACCGTGGCCGCACTGGCACACAATGCTGATGCCAGCAAAGTGAAAATTGAACGTGCCATGAGAGTTGCTGTGGCAAAATTTTCGTTGCCACAAAGCCGGAGGTGTTAACGGCGCATGCGCTGAAAGTCTGAGCTCAATAGGGCTCCTGTGAACAATAAATCTGTGCCTGAAGCGTCCTGGGCGTCTGGGAAAGAAGTGATAGACTTGAGAAAATGAAATGATTGATTGATTAGATCGATAGTTTTAGACATTCAGCAGAGATCAGATAAACCTTGACTCCAACTCTTTGGTTGAATGGACTGTCATGGTACGGTCCGATTATTGCGGCACTTGTTGAAGGTTCCAGACAAGCCCATTGCTTAAAGTTCATGCAGAAGGCCAAAACACATAGGAAAATGCCGACACCAAGGATCAGAGAAGAATCAGACCTATAGACGGCCGAGAACATCTGATAACCGAAAGCGAAAAGACGGCCCAACAGATGCAGCTGTGGGTCGGCACACCTAGCTCGGAAGGTCAGAAGGACGAGTGGCGCGATATGAACCATGTGACGTGGATCATTTTCTCCAACGGGAATCTTTAAGCGCAAAGTGGCTGCGATCGAGAGTAATCCAGGACGTGGATGGCTTTCGGTATGATACGATGGCGTAACAGATAGCGAACCTAGAATGTTTTCTGTGATGATATGCAGTTAACTGATCCTGAGGAAATGTAATCCTTGTGCAGGCTAAAAAACGAGACATGTTCGTGTTGTCAACAGATGATGAAGGGAACTCGAGCAGATGATGTAAAATGGGTATTTGAACAAAGGGATAAAGGTCGTATAAGGTCAGTAGAATATTATATGTGGGGAGAGACAAAGCGCAGGACGGGGAAACAAGGTTTGGCGATCATCAAAATAGCATGCTTGTGCAGAGTTAAGCAATGAACCAAGCTTCGAGACCTCGTTGCCGCTGTGGAGCATCCTGGTTTGGCGTGAAATTCTGGCGCCTGAGCGTCGAATCTACCCGAGGGTAGCGCAGTTGGGGCAGGTTAGCGCACAGTCGGGCCCTGGTGAGCTTCCGGCCTCGGGATGCCTGTGACACCCAGAGTGTCGCGGGCGCGGCATGATGTTGTTGAAGAGATGCAGTTAAAAAGCGCCCCCTCTTTATCAGATCATCAGTATCAGATTATCAACCGCCATCTCCCTCACTCCATCGCTAGAGCACACTTTTTTGCAAGAGACTAATCTCCCGCAAAGCTGCCTTTCGATCCAGAATGGTGAACGTTTTCGCTGTACCAGGTAAACCCACTGAAACATGTTTGCGCACGCTGAATTAACTAACGCAACCTCAGTGTTCTTCATCTGCATGAGAGAATGCCTGGAGACAAGCATCATCGTCTCTGTCTTGCTTTCGTTTCTGAAGCAAACGCTTGGCCCTGAGCATGATGCAGTAACATACAAACGTTTGGTGAAACAAGTAAGTGGTTTCCCAATGTCGCGATAGCAAAAGCCTGATTATGTTTAGATTTGGTTTGGCGTAGCTTTGGGATTGTTCTTATGTCTGATTATCGGCGGCGGCTTTATCGGTGCATTCTACGGCGTCGGAAAGGATATCTTCTCCAAGACGGAAGACTTGTGGGAAGGTGTCTTTGGACTGATTGCATCAATCATCATTACTGTGATGGGTGTTGCTCTTCTACGAGTGTCCAAACTCCAAGAAAAGTGGAAGATGAAGCTTTCGAAGGCACTTGAAGCGAACGACAACAGGAAGGGAAAAGTCGGAGGTCGCATGAAAAAATGGGCCGAGAAATATGCCATGTTTCTCCTCCCTTTCATTACAGTCCTTCGAGAGGGCCTTGAAGCAGTAGTTTTTATTGGCGGTGTCAGCCTAGGCATGCCAGCAGAAAGCTTTCCACTGGCGGTTGTCTGTGGACTCGGGGCAGGCTGTCTTATTGGATATTTCATCTACAAGTAAGTAGTAAGAGAAGCTCCAAGGGTAGTTACTGACCAGTTGAACAGGGGAGGCAATGCTGCTTCGCTGCAGATATTCCTTATCGTCTCTACCTGCTTCTTATACTTGGTAGCAGCTGGCTTGTTCTCCAGAGCTGTGTGGGCCTTTGAGATGAATAAAGTACGCATTATATCCATTTTTGCCATGATTGTTCCCAAAAATTAACTAGGGAACAGTGGGTAAAACTTACGGGAGGCGATGCGGCGGAGACTGGATCCGGACCAGGATCTTATGACATCCGACAAAGCGTGTGGCATGTAAATGTACGTGCTTCGAGAAGCCGCTGCGACACTAGAAGAAGCTGACATTGTTAATTAGTGCTGCAACGCGGAAATTGCCGCCAACGGTGGATGGGGCATCTTCAACTCCATCCTTGGCTGGGAAAACTCCGCGACCTACGGCTCCGTCATCTCCTACAATCTTTACTGGGTTGCTGTCATCACTGCCTTTGTGGTTATGCGGTACACGGAAAAGACCGGCCACTACCCTCTCATGAAAAAGCGCCCGACTGTCGCCACATCTGATATTGGAAGCGAGAGGAATGGCGAGCCCGTCATAAACTCCAAGGCGAAGGTCGATGCAGAAACTGCTCCTGCCACAACCAACATCCGGGAATTTAAGGAATGAGTCGATAAGCCCTGGCGAATTTTTAGTCAGCGTGCCAAGCTATTTTTGTTTTACTTTTGACAGGTAACGTCCGTCACCATGGAGCGAAATCCACCGTGAAGAGAGACGGTGATACTTGTATGGAGTAGAAGAAGAGACCCAGCTATGATGCGTAGAGTCTGCGTGTGCTCTAAGATCATTGCACCCATACCCAGGACTCGGACTGTGAGCTAGGCATGGAGTACTCTGTAGGGACTGCTTGTATCATACACTGTCTCGCTAGACAGTGGATCTCGGTTCGCGGTGACGGATGTTACTTACGACGATGCGATTTTTTGGATGTCTATCCATTTGAGGTGCAACCATCGTATGATAGAATGTTTCAGGGAAGGTTTACGGGACTGTGGGAATCTTGTCGATAAACCAACATAGGTCTTCTCAAAAAGCTGTTATCAGTACGACGGAATAATCAATATATTGTATGACAACTTCCGGCATTCAGAATGTTTTCGTTGACTTAGCCAAGACCGAGTGGGCTGTGAACGTATAGCAGAGCCGCCTATAGTTCAAGAGGTAGTCCGCTTGCATTCGAGGTGGCTGTGTACGACCCATCACCTGTTATGGATGATGGCTGACTTGCAGGCGGCGATTGTTCGATGGGGTGTTATGTACGTGGTACGGTCTGGTGGGTACTCCTGCCAGGCGGCGTTAGTTCGGAATTTCCCCGAGATGCCCTGTGCCTGGCTTTGAGGTGACGTCCGTTCTCTTACACTCCGACGCTTCTGAGCCACCGCTTGAACATTTTTTACCCTCTATTTAGCTGTTCTAACCATGAACTGGCCGTATCCATGAGGAAAGGGATTGGTATTTTTTGCTTCCAAACCAATCTCACCGATCGCCGTCTCCCTGAATACCCCGCTACAGCTATCTCGTACCCATCCTCGAAGAGAGCGTCGCCCCCAACATGCCAGCCGGCTCACTGTTTGCCACGCCTCCAGCATCGCCGACTTCCACAAACGCCGAAAACAAGGAAGGGCAGCCGCAAGCGCCGGGGATCACAATCATCTCTGAGACCGGTGACCTGACACTGCGGGTCAAGGCTGAGGACGATCAAGAAGGCTTCAGATACCGGGTTGACAGTCACCGTCTACAAGCTGCATCGCCATACTTCGAAAATCTTTTAAGCCCGCGGTTTAGCGAAGGAGCAACTGTCACTGCCCAACATGAGCGCCTGCGGAAGCAGTACAAGAACCTGGCCGACGCACCCGTGGAGGAGCTTCCTCAAATCACCATCGTAGACATCGGGAGAATATCGAAAGTCAAGACGATCGAGCTCATCACTGCAGATTTCCTACGTGTCCTTCACGATCAAAGCCTGGGCAAAGATAGCCCGCCAATACCCAATATTGGCAACCTTGCAATCGTCGCGGATCGGTTTGACGCGTTACCGACCTTGTCACAATACGTTCATCGGAGGAAATATTTTCAAGCAATAGATGCGAAAACTAAGCTTAAGGGAGCGTCAAACGTGCCCGAAGAAAGAACAAGGCAGAAACTTATGATTGGTGTCATGCTGGATTATGCGCCTTGGGTCCGAATGTACAGCAAAAGGTTGACTCTATCGGGATCCACAAGATGGAAAGCTCAAGGGTTTGAGGAACCTGGCGCGCTCTGGTGGGATATCCCTGCTGGTATAGAAGGTAAGGCCTGCATTCAATGATGTCCATCCCCAAAGCTTGCGTTCTTGTGTTTCGCCTTGGCTCAGAACAACCGCGGAATGTAGACCTCACACTCTGCGCACACATGCTAACGATACGCAGAGGAGATCATGCACCGTCGTCAATGTGTACTGGAGACAATCAGCTCTTTACAGTCTTACTTTCTGAAGCTCTACACCTCCGGGCAACGCCAATGCAGGCTCGGTTATGATTCATCTGCGCAGTGCGATGTTTTCCAACTGGGAGAAATGGTCCGCTTCTTCACTAAAGTCGGAACCCTGCGCCTCGAGTCGACCATATTTGGCGCCGATCCGCCCGATGATTATGAAGGCGATATCAACCGGCTACTGGAGTCCTTACGCCAATGCCCTGCATATCAGATTGACAACAACCATTCCCATTGTGGCCTCCGAACAAAATTAATTCCACTGCTTGATATGGTACAAAGTTGTATCAGTTCCAGCGCTGAAGGTTCTGACATTGGCATCTGTGGTGACTGTTGGCGGAATCACAGGAGAGAATATGCATGGACAGAGTCCAAGCGGCCCGTTCTGTGGACGAACTCTCGTTTTTTCATTTCGAACTCAAGGATGCCCCCAAAAGGAGTGCACGGAAGAGACGGTTGCCTTGCGAGGCATTCAGGGCTGAGGGATATGTTCACTGCTGCCGAGCGGGACTGGACAGCTAAAGATGCTTACTGATGGTGGTTCGTTGAATGTATGCCATATGGTATGAAGACTGCCTGTGAGTCGCAGCTTTGGCTGAGGCTGTCGTAAGGAGTACTGAACGGTGACCGGCATACCCGTCAGGTGTTAGCTATGGGTACACCTCGCGAGAACCTAGGGCCCTTGCTATATGTGAGCGTTGAATTGATATGTTCAGCATCAAATCCTGCCTTGAGGCGGAGTCAGCGCTTGCAACATGTGAACTTAGGAATTTTTACTACGTAGTAATGTCAGGTGCATCCCGAATTCGCCTTGACCATGTGCACCTGAGGCTGCGCCTCGAGAAGACCACTGATAGGTGGGGGCGGCGGCGCAGTTTAATTGGCCTTCAATAAGGCCGCAATCAGGGACACAGCCTCAGCCTTGTGCGAGTTGAGAGCCTTAGGCTACACAGCCCCCGCACCACCCGATCTCGCGGCATCTCTTGAGCCTAATCTCACCACCTCAAGACATTACCGCAACTGCAAACAGGTGGGGCAGATTCAGTGCCCATCTGCTCTTTAGGGGCTGTAGGCGAGGCGTCTCCGAGGCAGATTCCTTGGAGAAGAAAGAGATGAAATAAATTGCGTTTGTATGTTTGGTTTATCAAACTTTGAACCAAGGTTCACCTCAGTCTCGTGGCCTCCTGCTTGCTTACGCTTTACTTACACATTATACTCCACAGCATGTGCGCGGCCGTAGTTTCTTTCTTCAACTCTACTTGCCAATCACCCACCACCTCAAACCCTCAAAACGCCGACATGGAGCGCGGCATTTTCGGAAGCATTAAACACAAGCTCTCACGCAAGGAATCGAAGGGCGCATCCTCTTCACCTGCATCGTCAAGACTCTCTAGAACCTTTAGCTTCAAGTCCACCACTTCGAATAGCCAGCAGCAGCAGAATAACCCGTTCACATCAAGTGCTCCGGCAACCCGTCGCCCAGGTAAGCATGACGTAAAATATCCGGGTTAGACTGTCAGCAGGATCTCACATGCGTGCAGACCGCCCGGGCATGAACGCTTTCACTACCCCCTCCACCGAACCTCCGCCGGCGTACAGTCCAACACCACAGTCATCCAACGCCGCCGCCACAACCGCCACCCCGCTCAACATGGCAAATGCGTCGGTGACGCCGAGCGATGACCGCTACGCCTTTCTCAGCTCCTTCGATACGATTTTCTTGATCGATGACTCTGGAAGCATGGCCGGCCGCTCGTGGCGCGAAACAGGGAAGGCACTGGAGGCCATCACGCCCATCTGCACGGCACATGACGCCGATGGAATTGACATTTTTTTCCTCAACCACCCGGATAACCAATACTACCATAATGTCACGCTGCCTTCCACGGTTACGGAAATATTTTCTACTGTCCGACCCATGGGCGGCACCCCGACGGGTCAACGGCTTAACCAGATCCTAAAGCCTTACCTTGCTCGCGTAATCGCGGATCCGGATAACACGAAGCCGCTTAACATTATCGTGATTACGGATGGAGAGCCCAGCGACGATGTGGAATCCGTGATTATCAACGCTGCCAAGAAGCTGGATAAGTGCGATGCTCCGGCCTGGCAGGTAGGAATTCAGTTTTTCCAAGTTGGCCGCGAGCCAGGCGCCAAAGAGCACTTGAAGCAGCTGGATGATGAGCTTGCACAGCTGGCAGGTGAGGATGATCTCAGAGATATTGTGGATACGGTGCCGTTTACTGGCGCTGATGACACTGAATTGACTGGCGAAGGAATTCTCAAGGTAAGTTCTTATAGTATCCGTCAAAACGCAACATCTTCTGACTCACTCATCACAGGTTGTGCTTGGTGCAGTGAACCGGAGATTGGACCGTAAGAAGTCTAAGGATCTCTACAGGTGAACGGTCCACCAAACCCTTCATTATCGAGAAATCCGCGCGTAGGAAGGGACGCAGTCCTTCTATTTGTCTCTGGATAGCAATACGTTAAGTTATTCTCTTAATGGGCGTTGCTATCATCTTTTGAAAACTGACGTTGTTTGCGGTACAAGGATTCCAATACCCAACCTGGCGTGTTTGGTTTCCACAGATACCTGTCGGACTTCTGAGATAGTAAGCTGGCCATGGCCTTAGTATTTACTTAAATGACGTCAAGTCGCACTCTTCGCCCATGATAGATAGTTACTACTTCAACAGGTGGAATAGGACAGTCGGCTCAAACGTGGTTTCTCACTCATCGCGGATAACCAAAACGGCAGTGATGATGTTTATGTATTTCCAAGAACTTTTCCATATTCTTTAACTAGCGTCGAAAAGAGGTAAATACACACCTATCCGACTTCCTGGCCTAATGTTATTAGGAGTACATCCCGCCTGTAGTCACATGCAGTGGAATACGTGATCGCAAATGACGTACGGCATCGAGGGACTGAGATAGAAGGCCCTGGAGTGCCACAAGAAAAAAAAGCAACTCCGAGGCCTGCACCGGCAAAAGGACTATTCTTTGGACAGTCCCACCTGCACTATCAACTTCGTAGACACTGTCAATATCATCTACAGTAGAACCCCGGAGAATTATGGCGAAGCCCGTGATCACTTTTGTTCTATCGCGACTAAGAACCTGGATCAGCCGCTTCACTTTGAGGAGTTTATTGAGCTTGTTGAAGACGGCGGAAGCTTCTGCAAGGAACTCTGCAGAATGATGGTCGGGTTCGATGGGGACAAGGCCAAAGGATAGGAGACAGTTTCAGTGCGGAGCTTGTGGTGTATTGCAGGCCTTGTGTTGAGAGCTTCTAGAAGAAGGTCCCGGATAATTTGGCCCCTTCTAGAAATTCTGCCCACCCCTTAACTGCGTATTAATTGAAATCTAGGATACCTACAGATTACTCCTTAGGTAGTTATAATAGATTATTATACTACGGCTAGCAGACATTACATAACTATATGAATGTAAAACTATACTACCTAGGTATATTTGGATCCAAAACCATATAAAAGTACTAAAGTAATCTAAAAGGGTACAGAAATAAAATATTCAGAGTCTAAAGGTACTTACGAAGGTATAATTATACAAAATATCTAGGGATAGAAAGTATATCACAAAGTTTTGCAGATATGTCTTCACGTGGAGTGGGAAACATATCTAGAGGGAGTGGGTAATTATCCGATGCCTCTGACTAACATGTGTGTGAGCTGGACGTATGCGCCGTTTTTGTGGCTTTATGGATGGCTCCCCCCAATGATGAGACTGGTATCTACTGAAAGCTACTGGAGCTATCAGTGAAGTACCAGGTAGCTTTCACTTTAACACTTCGGGTTTCTGAAAGCGATTTAGTTCCCTAAACAACTGCACAAAACATATTTCTTGACCCGGTCTCTTTGAAACCTGCAACCACGCGCTTCTTCCAACAAATTCACATCCCGAGAGTACGACAACCTTCTCGGATTACACCGTCATGGCGTCTGACGATGACGGCCCCGTTGCCGCCCTCACTGAAGGCTTAAAGTCGTACGTTACTTTGGCGAGTTGCTGAAACATATCATTACTGACCCTTTTGCCCTAGAACTTTTCTCAGCGGCGATTTCACTGATCTGGTTATCCGTTGCAAATCGATGAAATGGAACGTCCACAAGATCGTTCTTTGTTCACAGAGCGAGTTCTTCAAGCGTGCTTGCCTCGGCGGCTTCAGGGTATGTAATCTTAACAGCTTGCTCTTGTCAGAATGGACTTTACTGCCATGGGCCTTTTAGGAATCGAAAGAGAATTCTATTGATCTCAGTGAGGATAACGGTCATATCGTCCATGCGATGCTTGAATTCCTCTATTCCCTCGACTACACCTTCAACCCTTCTTCTCACGAGGAGGCGGATTTCCATGCGGAAGTCTACCTTACGGCAGAGAAGTACGGCCTCACCCATCTCAAAGGGTGCGCCCTGGGAAAGTTTAAGAAAGTGGCCGAGACCCTTGTTGAAAGTCCGGCACGCTTTGCTACTGTCATCGTCAGGATTTTCGATGGAACGCCGAATTCTGATGTTGATTTGCGGAGTTACATCAGCCAGCTCGCTGCAGAGAACCATGATGTTCTTCTGAGCTGCCCGTTGTTCCAAGAATATACGGAGGAGGGCGGTGACTTCAACCTTGGTCTCATGAGAGCACTTGCCTCGAGATACTGTAAGTGTGACCACAACTGGCACTTGCCCACCTGCATGTGCAACAACGACGTCGTCTATGGTCAGCAGGGAGATTCGGATCATGATTAGTAGCAGCTAGTTTTTGCCTTGTCGGTGGACATCATCCGAGAACAATGTCAATGAATCAGGCGCGAGACTCCATCTCTTCGGGTAGACTTGGAATGGTGATTAGGCCCACAGCGTAGAAAACAAAGACGATCTACAATAGAAAGTTTGCTTTTACTTTGTGTTGTCAAAATCCATAAAAACTCTGGATGAAGCCAGAGACATTATGGTTCTCGTGGGAACTTACTCATTGACTCTCGTACGGTCTACCTTTGAGGGGGCCGACTTACCGCGTGGCCACTCTCACTTTCACTTCAGGTTCCCTAAATAGGATTAGCTTCCAACCTAACTGCACAAAAGGCACTCTCCCCCAGCTCGTTCTTCCTTTGAATCTTTGCAACTCTACCTCGCCCACGCCATCGCCTCGAAAGACCAGGTCCCTCCTGTTATTACACCATAATGGCGTCCGGCAACCAAGACGAACCCGATCCAACTTCCAAGCTCAGAAAAGGGCTGTCAGCGTACGGACCTTCCCGCCATCTAACTAAATTAAATCAATACTAACCGCTACAAGGACCTTCACTTCCGGTGTCTTCTCAGACCTCAGAATCCACTGCAAAGGAAGCGAATGGAATGTTCATAAAGTGGTCGTCTGCGCCCAAAGCGACTTCTTCAATCGAGCTTGCGTCCTAGACTTCAAGGTATAAGACATTGAGAGTCCTTTTATGGACTTGCGAAACGGATGTAACTGACTTTTACTAGGAAAAGAAAGAGAATCTCATTAACCTACGCGAAGATGATCCTAACATTGTCCACGCGATGCTGGAATACCTCTACAAGTTCGAATACCATGGACACAGACAAGGCCCTACCGACCCTGGCAGTGTTATGTCGTTTCATGTGGATGTCTACATCATAGCGGAGAAATATGGCCTTTCACACCTGAAGGCGTATGCTCTTAAGATGGCAAAGGGAGGATTCAACTACAACCAACTGGATCCCAAATCTTTCGCACCGATAGTCTCAGCTATTTACGATGGAACACCGGATTCCGATCGTGGAATGCGCGACTTCATCTGTAAAGTGGCTGCTACCCGTCTTTGCGACCTTTTGCTCTGCGACGAATTCAAAGACCTGATCAGAAACAACGGAGATTTTAGCATTGATCTTCTGGGTACTTTCGCACTTCCGTCTGCTGCTAGCCGCAAAGAAAAGGCTCGGAAGGGTAACGTGGAAGCCCCTTATAACTGGTTCCCAGAGTTCAGAACCTGAAGAACAAGTATATGGGTGTCATTTCTGTGCTATTGCGGGCTCTATCGGCGATAAAGAAAGAAGCCAGTAAGATGTGGAGCAAATCTAGTAGCTAAGTTCGGAAGCAATGAAGAAGTAGAGAAAAGAGGCAATGTGCTAGGACTGGTGAGCCAGCGACGTCTATTCGACGTCACGCACCCAAGCGCTACCCGGAGTACTAGGTACCTTAAATTGCTCCCCACATGCTCGCTATCCAACCCCACCACACCTGGCCCCCACCCCAACACGACCCATCCCAGCCAGTCCACAGTCCACAAGCCCATAGAGCCCACAGTGCAAAGCCCAAGCAAGGCAGCAGCAGCCGCATTTCCCCTTTTCCCCTCCTTCTTTGCAAGCACAACGGCGACAAGGAGCGCGCACGACGCCGACGTAGCCATCCTGATTCCCGAACAGGGGGCCTTGGAGGCAGATGCAGATGCGCAGCGCCCGCGAATCCAGGGACCGCGCCGATCATCTTCGGCGTGCGACCAACGTCGTCCGCGACTCGCCCGCGACCTCGACCGCATCCGCGAACCCCTCACCTGACGTAATGCCACGGCGGCGGTCACCTACAAATAAGGGCGCCGCGCGGATGCGGTCGTGCTTGCGAGAGAGCGAAAGATGATGATTGACTGACTTTCGACCTTCCCACTCTGCTTGGACCCCGACCCCTTCGCTGCGCCGCGCCGATCTTTGAGGAATCTGCGACGCGTACGTCCGCAGCCCATCGCAATTGCATTTCGCATCGATCCGAATCGCGTTGGTCCGCTTCGCTTCGTTACTTATCTCGCTGACTTCTGCGAGCGCTCGCAAGCCTTGCCGCTACAACACCTCCGCTCCGCCTGCAGCTGGCTACCTATACTAGCGTACCTACATACCTCCATCCTACCAATCTCCAACCGTCACCATGTCCGAGGAAATCATTTGCACGGCGGTCATATCGCCAAAGGTGGACAAGGTCGACGAGGTACGCATTCAGGCCAATAAATGCGTCCATGATCAGAAGGACAGCCCCCACGCCAGATCCACACGCATGCTTCGCTCCCTGCCTTCCTTCTGAACGGCGCGTCAGGGAGCGAGTAGCGGTGTCTATCTGACGAGCGGATTGTCTGTAAAGTTAGCTGAGCTGGGCTAACGCGCGTGTCCGTCCCCACAGGTCGAGAAGATCCTCACGACGTTCACGGCATGGGTGCACGCCTTTGAGCCCGACACGCTCAAGTACCAGCTCTTGAAGCAGATCACGGGAGAGACGCCCGAGTTCATCATGCACGAGAGGTGCGTACATACTTATAGCTCGAGCATTTCCATGCCACACATCCCTTTCAACGCCCAACGAAAATCCTCTGCCCAACACCAACACCATCATCACCGCTACACTTACCACAGCCCCCAACCATTGCCTCCACTTACCAACGCCCATCGCCCCACAGGTACAAATCCCAAGCCGCGATCGAGGCGCACGAGTCCAGCGAGACGTTTCAGAAGGCGGCCGGGCAGCTGAAGGACCTGCTCGCGCGCCCGCTGTCCATTTACTGGTCGCGCCCGGTTGCGGGATTCGAGAACCGGGATAGGGGGACGCTACATATGTAATGCAAGAGCAGGAAATGGCAGGAAGAAGAAAGCAAGGAAAGAGAGGTGACGAGGGAAGGAAAGAAAAAAGAGAGAGGGGAAATTGTTTATAGTGAGTAAGAGGATGTAAAAGACTGTAGGAGATATGGAGAGCGAGGGCGTGTTTGCTACCTGCTTACGAACATACCTACACACCTACCTATGGACCTCGTGGACTACTCACTGTTTCTATTCCTGCTTGCTTTTTTGACAGTCCTATACATAAATCCAACCCCTCACGAACCCACAAACAGCCAGCCCTTCACCAAATGTCTCTCTAGCACATACACACCTACGCCAATCCACCCCTCATCCAACCCAAAATTCAAGCATACCTTTATACCTACATACCCACCAACCCACCAGAACCGTGCACACGGACACAGCCAGCTATAACAACCCCAATATACCCCAGGGGACAGAAGCGCACGAGCACCACCATCTCAGCATCCTAATCTGCCATCATCTCGCATCTCGCATCTCGCATCTCGCATCAAGCGCAATCTACGCGACCGACCCAGCACCGCGTTCCCCCTCTCTTGCGTAATATGATTGCTCTTATCACTCACACATATACACTTACCAAGCACCCTCCCCACCACCCAACATCTCCTGCTCAACCATACAAACCCCACCAAACCAACCAACCAACCAACCCCTAATAACCCAAGCCAACCCTCTCTTCTTCCCTCCTCCTGAGCTCGACCTCGACCGACCTCTCACCCTTTCCCCGCACAGTCCCTACCCTATCTCCCGCCCGCCTTAGCGCCAGATCCAGAGATCTCTTAAGAGATCAAGCGATCTAGCGATCGCCCACCTGCCTATACCAGCGCACTAGGCACCTATATGATAGGCCGCGAGCGTGCGTGCGTGCGTGTCGAGCTTGCTGGGTCATTAGCTGCTGTGCACGGCGGGGCGGGGGTTGCTGTACGGGTGGTGGATTAAAATAGAGGCAGCGGTGATGATGGTGGTGGTGGTGGGGAGATGTAGGGATAGCGGCGGGAAGTGTCTAGGTAGGGTAGGTAGCTAGCTAGGGATGGTGTCGGACATGGTTGCTTTTCTTCCCGTAGGTACAAATAGGTACCTAATGCGTAAGTGTAGATGGGTACAATAGGACCAAACAGGCACACAGATACATACGTAGGTAGGTACATACAAGCATACATATTCCCATGCGCTCACCCCGCAACGCGTGCGCGCGCGCATTCGAGCAGCCATATACATACATACAAACATACCTAGTTCCAACACGATACCTAACCCGCCCGGAATTCCCTGCCAGCCTGAACTACCTATACACGCTACAGTACCACCGTACAACAGCCGCCAGCAGTGCAAACTCGTACAACCCGTACCAAAGCCCGAAAACGCCGCTCGCAGGTCCCGCGCCGCCGCAGTGGCAGAATGACGACGACGACGCTTGCTGTTGCTGCTGCCGTAGTCACCGCCGCCGCCTCCGCGCGGGACTTCTGTAGGCAATGGAAGCCTGAGTACTTTTTCCCCCTGCTGCATCTGACCTTTGCTCCTCTTTCCATCTCGCCCATTATCCACACACACGCACCGGCCGCTGCATAATAGCTGCGGCGTTCAACCGACCAACCATCCGTCCGTCCGTCCATCCAGCCGTCCCTTCCTTCCGCCACCGCACCCGATCCGCCCTGCGCGTCGTGGGTAGAGCCTTCGCCGTATACGCCCGCAGCACCACACCAACCAGCCAGCCAGCCAACCAACCCACCATAACAGGAGAGGAAGCAAAATGACACTAAAAGGCGAGAAGTAAAGCAAGAAGGCTGATGGATGATGCATAAAAAAAAAGTCAAGAAAGCAAAAGAAGACGTGAGCGTGCCCGTCCATCATCTTATTTCCGGGCAATGCGCTCCTCGTACGCGGCCCACGCCTCCTGGCGGTAGCGCTCGGCCTCGGCAGAGCGGTTCTCGGCAGCGACGATGCCGCGACCGACAATGATGACGTCGACGCCCTGCTCGAGAACGACCTGGCGCGGGCTCGAGTACTGCTGGCCCTTGCCGTCGCCCATGGGGCCGTCGGGGACGGGCTGGCCGGCGGGCGGCAGCTTGACGCCGGGCGTCATGGTGAGGAAGTTGTCGCCGGGCAGCTCGTTGAGCGAGCGCTGCGCAATGAAGCCCATGACGAAGTCCTTTTGCTGGCGCGCAATCTCGACGCACTGCTGCGTGTAGGCGCCCGTCAGCAGGTTGCCCGCGCTGCTCATCTCGGCCAGCAGCAGCAGCGCGCGCAGGAACGGCGTGCTCCCCAGGCGCTCGAGCACCTCGTGCGCGTCGGCCGAGCCCTCGCCCTCCTCGTCGATGATGGGCGTCGGCTGCGGGCTGATGCTCTGCGAGATGGTCGTGCTGATCGACACGATGCTCTGCTTGCGGTCGCAGTTGGCCTGGTTCGACGACTCGTCGACGTCCAGGCGGTCCAGCTCGGCCGTCGGCGCGCCCGCGGGCGACGCGTCGATGGACGACTCGGCCGACGTCGGCGGCGACGCGCTGATCTCGGTCGAGACCGACTGGTTGTACGTGGCGATGGCGCTGGCGGCCGCCTCCTTTAGCGACGATACGATCGCCGGGCCCGGCAGGATGTGCGCATTGGTGATCTCGGCCCAGCGCGCGATGACGAGCGGGCCGCCGGTGTACTGCTTCTGCACGGTCTCTGCAAAGCGGGGAAGGGACCCAGGTCAGCGGGGTTCATCATCGAGAGTAATTTTCTTCTTCTTCTTTCTTCTTTCTTACCTCCAATGTCGGCAAACTTGCGGTCCTCAAAGACGAGGAACTTCTTGCGCTTGGCAATGTCGCGCAGGCCCTTGACGGTGCGGTCCGAGAAGTCGGAGATGGTGTCGGCGTGCGTCTTGAGCAGGCATATCGAGTCGCCCACCTCCTCGGCCACGGCCAACAGCTGGGCCGTGGTGCTGACGTCGGCCGACAGGCACAGGTTGGTCTTCTTGATGGCGATCAGGCGCAGCAGGTAGGCCGTTAGGGGCGAGGTTTCGGGGAGCAGAGCGCGCTCGATGTAGGACTGAGTCCAGGTGGGATGGCGGGCGGCGGCCATGGCGGCGATGTGTGTGTGTTTGTGTGTTTGAGAAGTGGTGGTGGTGGTGGTGGTGGTGGTGGTGGTCGTCGGAGTCGAGCAGCAGTAATAGTAGTAGTAGTAGTGGGAGAGACGGCGACGCAGCAGCAGCAGGAGGAAGAGGAGTAGGAGGAGACGGAGAGAGAGAGAGAGAGAGAGAGAGAGAGAGAGGAAGGGTGTGTGTGTGTGGCGGGCGGTCAATGGGCAGAGGGCGGGCGTGGCGGCGGGATATAAGTGCGTGTGCGCGCGGCAGCTCAGGGTCTTCTTTTCGCGTTGGGTCAATCTGGCGTGCCGTGCTCTGCAAACCGCAGATCAAAAGTCGGTCAGACTTCCCTTGGCTTCCGCGTGTTGGAGTGTCTAGACTAACTAGCCCTCATCCCCCAACTCCTGGCCTGGCCTGATTTTCCAGCGCCGCCCGGAAGGAATCGTAGCTATACGCGGAGGCGGCGGCGCGCGCGGATCGCCCACCGACGGCCTGCCCACGCTCCAGGGAACTTCCCTCTCCGCGCCCCATACCATTATCCCGTAAGGGTCATGGCCTGCCGCAATTCGCATTGCACGCTCGGACGAGATCGAGAGCGCGGCACGCAAGCGGCTGGATTGCGCGACAGCGAAATAATAACACATCGGACGATCCAATTAACTGTCTTTGCTTGCTGCTGATGCAGCCTCACTTCGCTTTCCCTGTGGTTCCTATACTTAACAATCGGCCCGCAGCACGCTGACCCGGAGCTGCTGCTGTTGGGTGGCCAGGCGACCAGCCCCTGGAGATCGATCGCCGCTGACTCCGGATCTGCCGTGCAGCTGCGGCTGCGGCAACTCGACGGGGCGACACGCATCGTGTAGTACCTAAGTGGCTCCCACCATACGCACGCACGCACGCACACTCGCTCGCTCGCTGTCCTCGTGTGTTTATAAGGACACACGCCAGGTATACCAAGCCGCATCCTACCTACTGACGGTACTAGCCCGCGGACCGACCCGGCGCGCACATGCGCGTGCGAGAGGGCGTGACCACGACCGTTGGATGCGGATCCATATCCATACCCATACACACCAAGCGGGTACGGTGCGGCACAGCACTTGAGCACATCGTCGGCCAGGGGACTCGGATTCGCTGCGAGGGCTGGTTGGGGGCGGCCGTATATTGGATCGGCGGGGCCAGCGACGGCGGCGGAGTCACGTCCGCGATTGTTATAGGTGGTTGGGTGGTTGGGGAATGCCTATAGGTGGATTTGTATAGGTGGACTGGTGCTAATGCCTATAAATATGGGTGGGTATGACGATGGGCGGGCGCGTAATGCAGAGGGCCAGGCTTAGCAGCTGGGGGCGGGGCGGGGCCCGTATTGTTTGGATGCGTGTGGTTGGTGGGTGTGCAAATTGGGGTCTTGGGTGGGAGTGGAGTTGTCTGTGGGCTCTGATGCTTTGTTCAATGATGACTGATATTGACCAGGTGTTGGTATTGGGGCAATTAGAAGGCAGCGAGGAAGGTCATGGCGAGTCTGTCTTTCCTCTGAACAGGCACGTTGCCGGAGCGATGCGCCCGCATGGCCGCCCACAAGCGAGCCCCGTAGCGTCGACGGCCCCGCGACGGCCAGAGATACAGCAGCGCGCGCGCAGCGTTGCGGCGACGTCTGTATCTCTTCACGGCAGCCAGCCGGCGCGCCCACAATGAGCCTGGGACGCATGCATCGATGTCGCACATGCAGCAGATATAAAAATCATGACGACGGCATGATGGCTGGTTGTTTGTTGACATACACACTACGCACATACACATACTGCGTTTGCTTTCACCCATCGAGGGGAGTCACTTCATTCACCGGCTTCCGCTGCTGCTTCTTTGGTTTTCTACCCTGGCTTTTCTTCTTCCCTTCAACTCATCTCTTTCCATCTCTCCTGCATCCCCCCAACATCCTCTCGCATAGAACTCTACAACTTCAGATCCAACCACAAACACTCTCCACCACCCTCCATACCGTTTCATCATCAGCAATCATGACCGACAACGCGAAGATCAAGTCAGCGTTCAGCGAGCGCGAGATTGTGCTCATGGCTTGCGCCTTCAACGCCATGAAGAGCCCTCTTGACGTGAGTATTTACCCTCTGTTGCCACCACTTCCCGCCTACCCCGCCGCGCTTCACTCTTCGACGACGATTCTGCCTGCACCGTCCTGCCTATCTACATCTTTTCGTAGAACTTCAAAGACGCGCAGGCCAGCTCGTCGTCTTGTCCCATCCGTCTCACCTCACTTCACATCCAGCACTTGTCGCCCGCCCACCTCGACCACCACGAGCTCCCCTCACACCCCACACATAATCCATTCACCCACTGCACCTGCCCACGTCCTTTCCCTCTCTCATCCAATCCACACCCCGAAAAATGTCCGAAATGCTTAAATTAACTCATCCCCACAGATCGACTACAACCGTATGGCCGCACTCGCCGGAATGTCCAACCCCCGCTCCGCCTCAAATGCCATGGCAACCATCAAGAAGAAGCTTGCTGCCTCCCTTGACAGCACCCCAACTAACGGCACTACACCCCCCGCCAACGGCACCCCCACTCCCAGCACGCCCGCCCGCGGCCGCGGCAGGAAGCGCGCCGCCCCCACGCCGAGCTACGCCGAGGACGGCGAGGACGACGAAGCCGAGGCTGAGGCCGAGACTGCGCAGCCCAGGAAGAGGGCCAGAGCTGCCAAGGGACAAGCGCCGAAGAAGGCCGCTGCTGCTGCGGGAAAGAGGGGCGCGGCGAAGGTGAAGACTGAAGTGGTTGATGAGGAGGCGGAGAGCGAGGGAGGAGAAGTGGACGGCGAAGGCGAGGCTGATGGTGAGATTTTCTGTGTTTGATTTCGTTTCTGTTTTCCTTGGTCGGTGCTGGTATTGGAAAGTCTATGCTGCATTGGCTGCGTTAGCCCTACTCTACCATCTCTCCCCCTCATCTATTTCCCCCTTTCTACTCCTACCATCCCATCCACCACACCCACACACACACACATACACATACATACACTTGACGCACAACGCACAACACACGAAACACCACTGACGCCCCACCCCCACAGCAGACCCCACGGCCGCCCTCGCCGCCGCCACCGCAGACAACGACAACGGCTACGGCGACGCCGTCTACGGCGCCGGCAGCACCGAGCTGGAAGTCTAGGCTCCGACAATACCTACGCTCTACACGCCACGTACCCGACAGACACTTAGTTAAACGCCATACGAGGCAAACGACGCACTCGAACAAACGGATTCGCCCAGTTTACGCGGGAGCAAGCGTGCGTGCGAGCGACGGCTGTGCTGTGCTCATGGTTGTGGTTGTTTTTGGCTATGGCTATGTGGCTGTCGACTGGGTCCGTAACGTTACGCCTTGCATGCGTGCAGTCTGGCTGGGGTAAGAGCGCAGTGCGAACAGTTGGGTAGTGCGGGGTCTAGGAACTAGGGTGTTTTGGGGTGGTTTGGATATGGAAAATGACGATGATGATGGCGATGGTGGTGGGCAAGACGACTACCTAGCTTGCTGGACTGGCTGGCTGGCTGGCTTTTTCCCTTTTTTTTTCTTTTACTCCTGTTCCTGCCTTTTCTCTTTCCTTCGATTTCCCACTCAACATTGCACAGCACGGCACACTCCACATGACCCCATTCCCCATTCCCCATTCCCCACCCCACGAACCATGCACGACGGAAGGAAGGAAGGAAAAACGGAAGAAGAACGCTCGGCGGGGAGAGGACGGGGACGGGGTAGGGAGGCCCCTCCTGCTATACACGCCCTGCTCTACCCTATCCTATCCTATCTACGCCGTTGACGAAGACGATGCATACATGCGTGCATGCATGCGTGCGTAGTAGATAGATAGCAGGCAGGCTGACTAGCTAACGAACAACCAAATTCAAAAGTCAAAAGTCAAACCACAAAACGCGCACGTACTTCCCTAACTTGGTCGTGTAGGTACCGTACCTATCTTGCTGCTCTTCGTTCTTGCTCATTCGCTTCATGTATGGATGGGAATGTGGACAAGGGTGGGTAGGTGGGTGCGTATCTACGCTCGTTGACCAGGCAAGGGTGTGCACGAGAGCATTGAAGACAGTGGCTGTAGGGCAGAAGCAGCAGTCGTAGCTGACTAATAATACAGCGAAGCCAGCAAGCTTCTCTACGGAAAAGAACAAGCCGAAACGCAATCCATCAAGCAAGTAGTAGTATGCATACAAGCACGCAACCCACCACCCCCTACTCAACCCTAACAACCCACCCATCGCCCGCCACCTCGCCCGCAGGATCCACGCCACCCCACAACACGACCCCGCGCTGATCCCCCATCGTCGAGCTCGCAAACCACGCCCGCGGCCCCGGGTGCGCCTTACCCGCGTGCGCAAACTCCTCGTCGTGCACGCGCACCTCGACCTCGGCCCAGCTGTCGCAGCCAGAGTCCATGCCCAGCGCGCCGCGCGCCGCGTCCTTTGCGCCTGCGAACGAGGGCCGCGGCGCCGGGATCTGGAATGTCCAGAGAGCGGCGTGCGCGGTGCGGGGGGCGTCTTTGCCGCCGTCGGCGTCGTCGTCGTCGTCGTCGTCGGTGCTTGCGCTGTTGCTGGTGGCAGTGGCACTGGCGTTGTCGCCATGCGGGAACGGATATGCATTGCTCCCCGCCGCCGGCGCGTCCTGCCCCAGCATGTACAGCAGGTACTGCCGGCCATGCCCGGTCGAGACGACGTGCAGCGCGGCGCCATCGCGCGGCAGGCGCGGGCCGGGCACGAGCGGATTCGCGGGCGGCGCGAGCGTGTGCCACGACTGCGTCGAGAAGTCGTAGTAGTGGACCGGGGCCTGGAACTGCGAGTCGCGGCCCGATTCGCCATCGCCGTTCGCATCTGCCGCGGCGGCGGCCGGGGGCTGCATGCCCGCGTCGCCTGCCCCGCCGCCGACGAAGTAGACGCGGTCGCCGGTGGCGGCGATGGCGGATGGCGCCGTGGTGCGCGACAGCGTCTGGTCGCTGAAGGACTGCCAGACTCCGGTGGCGGGGTCTACGCCGCTGAGGCAGGGCAGCGCGCGCAGGTCGTCGGTCCGTGGTGGACGGCTGAAGCCGCCGTACAGTAGCAGTTGCGGGTGAGTGCCGCCGCGCAGGGCCGAGCCGTGGTAGAACTGCGTGGCGCCGGCAGGGCCCTCGGGGACGGGGATGCTGGTCCAGCGCAGCGACGCCGTGTCGAAGGCCCAGAGCTGGGCGGGCGTCTCTGGGAGGGAGTGGCCTGCGGCGTCACAGCCGCCCCAGACGAGGATGCGCTCACCGGCGGCGGTGGCCGAGTGCGCGGCGCGTGGAGTGGGGACGGGGCCGCCGTCTTGGGCGGGCAGGGCGGGGATACAAGCGTAGTTGGTGTCGCCGGCATGCGAGGCGCTGGGTTTGGACGGCGGAAGAGTTATGACATGGACTTCGTCGCCGGCGAGGGCGCCCGTCTCGGTGATGCCGCCGAAGATGTAGGCCTTGTCATGGATGACGGTGATGGAGTGCGAGTGGCGGCGGATAAGATCGCTGTTGAAGGGGTTAGTTTGGTGTGGAGATGGTAGTGGAGCGTGGGAAAGTGGCTCACGAGATGGCAATGCGGGTGAAGGTGGCTTTGAGTGGCATGGTGCGCCGCGATAGGGCTACACCGGCCACGACGCCGCCTTCGATGGCCGTGGACACGACCTGCTCGGCGACGACTGCTCCTGCTGCGATTTCGGCCATGGTGAATTAAGGGAGAAGAAGGAGGGGCGGGAGTCTTTGTACACCTGCATGCCGGTGACGCCATAGTGTTCCGGGTAGGGTGTCGGTGCAGCATAAACATACGCGAGTCATGCAGGACAGTTCTTCTGGTCTCCGCCGAGTCAGCCAGCTCCTCAGGCATTCATTCACTATCCACATACATGTCGCATCCATCCTCCATCATCACCATCATCCCAACCGCTCACCATCATCCACTCGACACCGGCTTCTCGCCACCCTCGCCCATTCCATTCACATTCGCTACGCACTCCAACGCTATCGTATCCTCCCGAGACGCCGCGCGCCCTTCGCTCTACTCCCGCGCACGACCTGTTCGACCTTGCCATGTCGCATTAGCCGTACCCCTGAGATGGCGACCATGAGCGGTCCCTCGCGCCCCTCGCAGGCCCTGCGCCAGCGCCGCGAGTCCCAACGTCCCTCACAGCTGCGGAGCAGCACGCGCATCGCGGCGAACGACAATGGGGACGCCGATGCCGCCACCAAGGTGCTGACCATGCCCTACGGTATGATGACAACTCGAGGTTATCTGCAGCGACTAACCCCGAGCAGTCTTGACCGAGGAATACATTCTCAAAAAGTTCAAGGGCAGCCCGCCCTCGCTCATCATCCACCTGCATCAGCACCATTTCCGCTTCGAGCACCAGGATGGCAACTTTCCCTACAACTCGCCAATGCGCCCGCTGTTGCAAAACATCCGCGAGGGCACCGTGCCGCACTTTATGTTGGAAGAGATGCTGAGGGGTGGGGTCCATTTCTATGACGGTTGCCTGATAGTCCAACTCGTCGATCACCGCTCGGTGGATGCCAAAGTCCAGACCACAGTTGCCGCTGCCAGCACAGCCAAGGGCAAGAAGGCTGCGCCCTTCTCCATCCACAACTATAACAATTTCATAACTCCCTCGCCCTTTGTCCCGTACCCGTCACCTCCCACCTCCGAGTCAGAAGAATCGCCGCCTCCCAAGGCGCCTGCTCCGCCTGAAAACAAAGCAAACGCGGCTGCCGAAGAGGCCGCCAAGGCCAGCAAAACCCCAAAAATATCCACCAAGGTTCTCTTCCCGACGCAGCTCAGCTTGCAGACGGAAATCGAGCTGCTCGCCACCACGCCCATGCCCGACCCGTCGATTCGGAGGCAACAGGTGCGTGCGGCGCAAACACCGCTGTCGGCTCACCCTGCGACACCTTTAACGCCGGTGCCTCCCACGCCATCCTCGGCTCGTGGGCCTCTCGCAAAGCGGCAAAAGATGATCCTCGACGAGCACAGCACTCACACATTCGAAGCCGAGGTCGTCAATTCCACAGCCCCGGCCCTCTTCCTCGAGCCTGCAGTCGACATGGCCGAGAGTCAAGACGTCATCGAGGCAACCAGCCATCCAATGAACAAGAACCCTCCGCCAGCGCCAAAGACGCGCAAGCGCACCACGGCCGAGCTGGCTGCGGACGAGGCGCAATTCGCGGCGGATCAGGCCTACATGCTGTTCATGGACAAGCCGTCGACGAATGCCAATGGGCAGAGCGAGGGCGAAAGCCTCCGCAGCGGAGCCGCCTTCGAGCCCCGCTTCTCGCGCTTCAAGACGTTGGAGAACATCAAGATTGCGCACGAAGAAAACGAGCGGGTCAAGAAGGAAGAGGAAGCGCGCCAGGCGGCGGTGCGCAAGCAACAGCAAGAAATGGAAAACAGCAGACGCAGAGAGGCCGAAAATGCCCAGCAGCAGGCCGAGCAGGCTAGGCTCGTCGCCCAGCGCCAGCAGGCCATGCACCAAGAGCGGATGCGCCAGCAAGCGGCTGCCGCGGCTCAAAATGCTGGCGGTGGCATGATTGGCACGCCGCAACACCCGCAGTTCTCGCAGCCCCCGCAAAACTCGCCCATGCTGCGGCAGCCGACGCCCATGCAGCAGGCGTCTCCTGTAATGAACGCCAACGCCGTCGCGGCGCACGCTCTCGGGGGCGTCCCGATGGTGCCAACGACATCCAGCCAAGCGGGCAGCCCCCAGCGGCCGCCGTCGGCCGTGCCGCCGCCCATGGCGAGGACCATGTCCCGGCAGCAGAGCAGCCAGCACCCCGGCAGCGCACACGGCACGCCACAGATGATCCAGGGCACGCCGCAGATGGGCCAGGCGGTGCCGGTAACGCGCCACATGACGCCACAGCCGGGCCGGGTGAACCAGCACGGCAGCCCGGTGGGCGGCATGCAACCCACGCCGATGATGATGCACACACCGCAGATGATGCACACACCGCAGATGATGCACACACCGCAGATGCCGCAGGGCATGACGCGCGAGCAGATGATCCACATGCAGCAGTTGCGTGCGCGACAGATGCAGCAAGCGGGCATGCATGGGTCGCCGGCCAACCTGAAAAACATGCCGCCCGAGCAGCTGCAGGCGTTACAGGCGCAGCGCATGGCGCAGGCGCAGGCGCAGATGGTGGCTGCGCAGCAGCAACAGCAACAGCAACAGCAACAACAACAACAGCAACAGCAGCAGCAACAACAGCAACAACAACAGCAGAACCACTCCAACAGCGGCACGCCCACATCGGCGTACAACGCGCAGTTGGCGGTGCAAATGCGCAACCAGATGGCGTCGTCGGCGTCGCCGAACCCGCAGCAACAACAGCAGCAGCAGCCGGGTCAACAAGGCCAGGGCCAGCAAGGCCAGGGCCAAGGGCCACAGCAGCGCCCGCCCGGTGCAGGCGGCGTCCCGCCAAACCTCGAGCCGCACCAGGTGGCAGCGCTGCAGGCGCGCAAGCGGCAGCAGATGATGCTGCAGCGCATCACGATGCACTTTGCAGGGCAGGTGCCACCGCAGCTGCAGAGCATGATCCGCCAGGGGCAGCTGTTACAGGTGTTCCACATGGTGCAGCAGCAGCAGCAGGGTGGCGGCATGGGCGGCATGGGCGGCATGGGTGGTGCAGGCATGGGCCAGCTGAACATGGGCGGCACCGCAACGACAGGCGGCGGGATGGGCATGGGCATGGGCGGCGTGACAGCGGGGACGGGCGCGGGCGGAGGAGGAGGGGGAGCCGGCGCGGGCGCCACAGCCGGAGGAGGAGGCGGCGGCGCCAACAACATGAGCATGCAGCAGATGCAGATGATGCGGCAGATGCAAGCGCAAGCCCAGGCCGCTGCCCAAGCACAAGCAGCCGCGCAGGGAGGCGGCGGCGGCGGCGGCGGAGGCGGCCCCGGCGGCCCTGGCGGCGGCGATCCCCAGGCCCAGCAGCAGTATATGGCGCAGTTGATGCAGCAGCGGCATCGCATGATGGCTGTCCAGCAGCAGCGCCAGCAGCAGGCTGCTGCTGCTCAGGCTCAAGCTCAAGCTCAAGCGCAGGCCCAAGCGCAGGCCCAAGCGCAGGCTCAGGCCCAGGCCCAGGCGCAGATGGGTATGGGTATGGGAGGGGGGATGTGGAGGGGAGGTGGGTGATTTGATTGTTGGTCTGGAGTGATTGATGAGGAGGGGCGGGGTGGTGATGGCGGAAAAGACCTATTGCTGATTTTTTATTTTGGGTTTGGGTTTGGGTTTGGGTTTTGCATGCATGCATGGTTTATGGGGTTGGGATGGATGGGATAGGTTTGGACAGGGGTGGGTTGTATGAGTACGTACGTCCGTGAGGTACTTATGAGTATGGATGGGTATTGGTAGGAGGTGGTTCTGAGTGATAAGAGACAGACGTAATGACAGAACTGCATGTTAATAACCTACTCACCTCGGCTCCCACCAACACTCACGCCCAGAGACACAACACCCTCAGGCAACCAGGCCCATAAGTAGGCAATCTCCATACCAACCAACCTCGCTCCACTCGCCTCGCACCCACCACCCCGCCGTTATACATGTCGTCATCGTCATCTCCCCCACACCGGTAGTTGGCAGCGTACATCGCACCTAGGTGCTGCCTGAGGCAAAAACGTCATATGCATGCGTGCCGGACAAGCTCACGGCTATGCGAGCACTGTGGCTAAAGCCCGGCTTGCCTACAGAGAGAATGGCGATGCTTGCCAGGCCTGTCCGGGTTCCCGCAGAGCAGAGAGTTGGGAGTGATTTAGCTGTGGCCTGTGCGCCCAACTTTTTTGCCCGCCGCGGCCAGAGCCCTCTCACCTCCGCAACTCAATCATGGCGGGCACACTTACCGGTCACACCAAGCCTACCAAGGTCAAGAAGCTGCAGCGCTCCCAGAAGCGCAAGCGCAGCGATGTCGACGTCGAAAAACTCGCCCAGGCTGTCGCCGACCTCGTGCGTCCCTCCGCCGCATCGCATCCCATGTCCTGGGTACTGACTGACTGCTGCACAGGACATCAAAGCCGGCGAGTTCAAGAGCTTCACCGACCTGCCCCTGTCCGATCCTACCAAGGCCGGTCTCAAGTCCAGCCACTTCGCCGCCATGACCGACATCCAGGCCAAGGCCATCCCGCTGGCCCTCAAGGGCGCCGACATCCTGGGCGCCGCCAAAACCGGTAGCGGAAAGACGCTGGCCTTTATTATCCCTGTCCTGGAGAACCTGTACCGGTCGCAGTGCATTGGCGGGGACGCTGGACTCGGCGCCATGATCATCTCTCCCACGCGCGAGCTGGCCATCCAGATCTTCGACGTCTTGTACAACATCGGCAAGAAGGGGCATTTGTTCGCGGCTGGTCTGATCATTGGCGGAAAGGGCCTTCAAGAGGAAAGGGATGCGCTTGTCCGCATGAACATTGTCGTCTGCACGCCCGGCCGCATATTGCAGCACCTGTCGCAAACGGTCGGCTTCAACTGCGACAACTTGCAGATGCTTGTGCTGGACGAGGCGGACCGCATTCTGGACATGGGCTTCCAAAGGGACGTCGACGCTATCCTTGACTACCTGCCGCAGCAGAGGCAGACGCTGCTCTTCTCGGCTACGCAGACCAAGAAGGTGTCGGACCTTGCTAGACTGAGCCTCAAGGATCCGGAATACGTTTCCGTTCATGAAGCCGCTACAACTGCGACTCCGAAAACGCTGCAGCAGAACTATGTGGTCACGCCCCTGTCCGAGAAACTGGATACGCTATGGAGTTTCATACAAGCCAGCAAGAAATCCAAGATTATGGTTTTCCTGTCTTCCGGCAAACAGGTCCGCTTCGTTTACGAGAGCTTCCGTCACATGCAACCCGGTATTCCTCTACTGCATCTCCACGGCCGTCAAAAGCAGACTGCCCGCTTGGACATCACACAGAAGTTCTCTGCCGCTAAGACGTCGTGTCTTTTCGCGACGGACGTGGTAGCTCGTGGACTGGACTTCCCGGCCGTGGACTGGGTTGTGCAGGTTGATTGCCCTGAAGATGCTGATACTTATATTCACCGCGTGGGCAGAACGGCACGATATGAGAGGGACGGACGTGCGGTACTCTTCCTGGACCCTAGCGAAGAGGAGGGCATGCTGAAGCGATTGGAGGCGAAGAAGGTTCCCATCGAACGCATCAACGTGCGGACAAAGAAGCAACAGAGTATCAAGAACCAGCTGCAGAACATGTGCTTCAAGGACCCGCAACTCAAGTACCTGGGTCAGAAGGCATTTGTTTCCTACGTCCGATCGATTCACGTGCAGAAGGACAAGGAAATCTTCAAGCTCAACGACCTACCGCTCGAGGAGTTTGCGGCAAGCCTGGGCCTGCCGGGTGCGCCGCGCATCAAGTTCATGAAGGGAGACAATGCCAAGGAGCTCAAGAACGCGCCGCGCCACGTCATGTCGTCGTCGGAAGACGAGGACTCGGAGGCGGAAGGCAAGAAGGCCAAGAAGAAGGACGCCGTCCGCACCAAGTACGACCGCATGGTCGAGCGCAAGAACCAGGATGTCCTCGCCGACCACTACAGCAAGCTCATCCAGGACGAAGAGGAGGACGGCGACGACAATGCCGCCGGCGCCCAGGGCTCAGCCGACGACGACGACGACTTCATGACCGTCAAGCGGCACATCCCCGCCGAAGGAGAAGAAGAAGGCGAGGCCGCGCCCGCTCGCACGGCGCCCAGCGAAACGCAAGCCGCGGCCTCGGAAGGCAAGAAGGTGGTGGAGCTGCCGGGCGCCAAGGAGGCCCTCATCGTGGACAGCAAGCGGCGCGAGAAGCTGCTCAAGAGCAAGAAGAAGCTGCTCAAGTTCATGGACAAGGGGCAGAAGCTGGTCTTTGATGACGACGGCAACGCGCACGAAATCTACGAGCTCGAGGACGAGGCGGCCTTCCGCCAGCGTGGCTCCGCCGCCGAGCAGCGCCAGAAATTCGTCGACGAGGAGCGCGCGCGCGTCGAGCAGGCCGATGTCGAGGACCGCGAGCTGGCAAGGGAGAAGCGCCGCGAGAAGAAGATCAAGAGGAAGGAGCGCGCCAAGGCGGAGAAGGAGGCGGACGAGAGCGGCAGCGACGACGACGACGACGACGCCGAGGGTGGCGCAGAAGGCGGCGTCGCGCTCGGTGGCGTCGACCAAGACGCGTTCAACGACTTCAAGACCTTCTTGGCGGACGCGGCGGCGGGTAGTGGAGGGGAAGAGCAAGAGGAAGAGGAAGAGGAGGAAGAAGCAAAGCAGCCGAAGAAGAAGAGGGCCAAGAAGTGGTTCGAGGACGAGTCGTCGGGAGATGAGGACACTGGGGACAGGAAGAAGAAGAAGAGGAAGGCTAGGGCTGCTGCTGCGGCGGCGGCGGCGGCGGAGCCCGAGACGCTGGAGGACTTGGAGGCGCTGGCTGCGGGCGTGTTGGGCGGCGCTTGAGCTTGGGCGTGAGCTTGAGCTTGAGTTTGGGCTTGAGGAGGGTCCTGTGGTCTGTGGGCTGTGAGGTCTGATGGTGGTGCAGCTAATCAGTCAGTCAGTCAGTCAGTCCGTCAGTCCGTCAGCCAGTCAGCCAGCCAGCCAGTCAGTCAGTCAGTCAGTCAGTCAGTCAGTCGAGACGTCGGCGCGCGCGCGGGCGGCACGGATTCTTTCCGAGTCAGGAAGGGCGAGCACGGGGGGAGGTGGTAGGCGGTAGGGTGGTATGTACGATAGTGGTGACGATGGCACAATACAATACAATAGCACGCACAACAGCAGCAGTGAAGGCGGGGGCCACGGTGTGGCAGTGCAGTGCAGTGGTGTGGCATCGGCAGAGCAGAACAGAAAAAATAACAATAAAGAAAGCGCATCAACACAGTCAAGGCACTACCTACCTACCCTACCCTACCCTACCCTACCCCACCTAGCTAGCGGCAGTCAGTCAGTCAGTCAGTCAGGCCTTTGTTCGTGCGGCAGGGCGTGCGTGCGAGCGAGCAAGCGGTAAGAGAGTAGGGCACGCGTAACGCGAACGGGAAATTGGGGAATGGGGAATGGGGAACGGGGAATGCCCGGGCGGGGACTGAAAGGGTAGGTGGGAATAGGTGGGAATGAAACGGGGACCACCACTGTCGATTGTCGACTGTCGACGGGAATAACCACCTAGGTAGCAGGTGGTGGGCTTTCGGGAAACCGCGCGTGTGTGCGCTTGGAGCGTCGTGGGGGGGGGGGCTCGCGGGTGGAGCCGTTGCATAGCGTATCCATATCCATATCCGTGCCTAAAAATTTTACTATTTTCTGTTTTATGGCGTGTTTTTTCTTTTCTTTTTTT